CCTAAGCCCCCCAAGCCTACCAAGGGTCAGGCTCCCCCTCCCCCCAAGGACAACGACAACGACAAGCGCGAGGACGGCCCCAAGCCTCCTAAGCCTACTAAGGGCCAGGCTCCTCCTCCTAAGGACGGCAACGGCAAGCGCGAGGATGCCCCCAAGCCCCAGCCCCCCAAGCCCACCAAGGGCCAGGCTCCTCCCCCCAAGGACGGACAGAACTAAGCTAGTTCTGTAGAGATGCAGATGGCGATCATTGAAGAGCCAGCAGACATCTAGTCTGAACTGGTTTTATAGCGAAGGATTGATTTGGATCTGATTAATATTCTTGTTTCTTAAATTCCCAGCTGGTTTCGCGTGCTTTTTTTGTCTATAAACTATCCAATGAAATAGGTCGACCACTACTTCTGATCATCGTAAAGATATAACATAGCCGAATCCTCTGAATAGTATGCATAAAATGCAGTATAAAACTACAGCTCGACAACAATCTTCTTGGCAGACACACCATTCCTCAACAAAGCAATCCCCTCCCAATAACCAACCGCCCCGGAACCGGCTTGGGCACGCCGGTCTTGAGGGCCCCAGGAATAAACCGGCCCCAGATGGGACCCCCGATTTCTTCTCTCTCGCCAATATACGAAGTGTCGTTCACTGACACGTCAGCACATCATATCTTTCCCAAGGATAAGACAGACAGAGAACAGACCTGCCACAACCTCAACCCCATCAGGGATACCACTCACAGGAAAAGGTAAGTTGGTAACAACCTTCCCACTTCCCACCTCCTTGACAACCGCTCTAACGGTTTCCTCTGTCGCAATAGCGTCGAGAGCTCCTACAAACTCACCCCCGGCATTCTTCACTTCCTTCACGAGATCCTCCACAATCGTCGGACTGTTATAATCCAGCATAGCCGTCGCTCCGAGACCCTTCACCAGTTCATGATTTCTACTCGACGCGGTCGCGATAGCAGTCACACTCGACGCAACGGAATCTGGATAGCGGCACTCCCACGACTCGACGATCCGCCCCAGACGATAATGGTTTTACCGACTGATTCTGTGATTGTCACCGAGGGAAGGGGTAACTGCAGTCGACCAGGTGGATACAATCCCATCGAAGCAGCACATAACGCTAGAGGAAGGACACTACCCTCCGCAAGGAGATATGGTCGGGTAAAAGGGCGATGGTCATAGCATCGCAGATGGCGTAGTTCTGGAAGGCACCGTATTTGGGATCAGGTATGCTGATCCAGTGTGCTTTGCTGTTTTACTTGTCACCGGACTGATCAAGGGTATTCAGAGATAGGTGGAACTTACGCCATGACACGATCACCTTTCTTGTAGGTCGTGACGCCCTCGCCTACCTCGAATATTTCACCTGCCATATCTGCTCCGATCGTTTACCGCTGTCAGCATGAAGAATACTTGAATTGAGATAGGTTGGACAACACACAAAAGGGTATTTCTTTTTAAACGGAAGTTTCGACCGACATCCTGTATTTGCCAGTCCACTGCACCTGTTAGCAGATGTCGTATCCACAACCGAGACTACTTACTCGGGTTGATAGTAACAGCGACATTCCTCACGACAACGTCGTTCGGACCGCGTGGACTATACGGAGCTTCCTTTACGGCGAAGTCGCCTTCGGATCCAAGGAGCCACATTGCAGCGTTGGAGACAGACATGGTTGATGATGATCGATATTCAGGGATGGTTATGATTGATTAACATTATGGATTATATTGACATGTTTATATGGTTTGGTGTTTACGAAATTCGGTGCCAAAATAAGGTGCTGTCTTAACTCAATGTCCGGTCGATCAGGCTAATTCCGACGGCGAACGGTGTGAATATCAAACCGATGGTTAAGGCTTATGTCAGACCGCGCTCATGAACTACAAATTGAGGAGAAGGAATGGGTTGTTAGATTGATACGGTGAAATGGGATTAATCTCCGGGGTGCATATCCGTCGCGGGATTAAAGTACGGTGTCTACACTCCGTATGCTTCGTGCTAACTCCGACATGGACTTTATGCAACCGATTCCGTTGGAGGTTATCGGTGTATCAAGCACGTACAAGCAAGGAGAGTTCGAACAGCGTGTAGCGACACTGTTAAACGACCAGCACATCGAAGACCGTCAATTAAGTTCACCTTCGTCTCGAATCTCAAGCCTGATGAAAAGCCGGAAAGAAAACGATATCTGCATTACAGCATCAAAGCTGATAGTTGCTTTCGAGAGCGTCCTTTGATATTTGTGAATCGCACTCCCCAAGTAGCGATTCTCGTCGAAGGTCAGATTAAGGTGGCTTGACAATGGAGAGCTGAAAAAATCAAATTGATCGCGGAAAGCCCTTGCTCCCCAGGATGCCATTATCACTCAACAATAGTGCATCGGCTAGAATCATCCATCATAGTCGGTGACAACATCTGCAAAGTGGCATGTGAGACATGTGCAGCGGGCCTGGAGAGAAGCATGCATGCTGCAGTCATATGTCGGCAAGACCGGATGCATGTAAGGGAGTGCCGTGTTCATCCCCAGAATGCAAGTTTTGCTTATTCTGCAGAATAGTTGGAGAACACGACGTGTTGTTTCTGAGCCAGATTGAAGATGCGGTTGGAGATATTGACGGTGAGAGATTATATTGCGGTGGTCGGTGTAGTCTGCTCGATGATGCTATTCTGTCGCAAAGTGTCTAGGTCGGACATCTAGAAGGTGAGACTGTCTCGCTCTTCCGGTCGCATATGGTCTAGATGGACGAAAGGGCTATTATACCGCTAACTTCCGATGAAGAGAAGATGCAATCGACGTCAAGGAAGAGGCTGATTCTGAGATTTCTTCGATATCGGCTCATCCGATCGAGTCCATCGCCACTCAGCTGACAGTTGTGACACGACCGGGATGTTCGCATACGGGCGCATGACCTGCAATGCTTTGTCCTGGAGAGAGGCTGCTTATCGAACATATGATTTCTTTTTCGATCTGGCCCGAAGATCCATCCCTAAGTAGCAGTATGATGCGATGCCGATGAGGGAAATAAATCCAATGTTGATTCTGTCGTCAAGTTGGTTATGTATTGGAACTGATGGTTAGTGGCCATCAACAGCAAGGATGCTTTGCTGTGGCTGATGGACTAGATCCTTCGGTCGCAATGTGACGTTGCAGCGAGAGGGCACAGTATTTGAACGAGGATACCTCTTCCGTTGTACAGATCTCAGACACTCTGGCATCATCTCCTTTGTCTCATGATAGAAGTCGACGGAGCTGTTGAGCGCTATCTCACGATGCAGTCCATCCAAGCTTTGTGGCAGCGCCATAGCCGTGCTTATCGTTCTTGGCCTGAACTTCTATTGCATCGCAAACCGGCCGTGGAGAGGAGACGAACAAGGGGTGCAGGCGAGAGGACTGAACGATGGCAGCGCGCTATCGATAACCGCGCAATTCGATGCCATCATAGGCTACTGACAGCTTCTTATCTCTTCTAGAACACCTGTTAGAGTTAAGGCTGGTCGGGCTTGATAAACTTAGTTGCATGGATAGCCGCTTAAGGTTAAATCGAGCTCCTGAGCTGAGCTGTTTTGATATACCTATTGCAGTAGAGGATGCGCCCATCAGGCCACCGTTTGAAAAGCAATTATGTATTAAATCGCTATCAGGAGCATACGAGGCCGATCAGGCAGCATTTATTTCAAATGCGACCGAGAGAGATAGCAGATCCCGTAAGCAGCCGACGTTTCACGGGGCACAACGATGAGGTTTTGGCAGGTGAAACAGAGGTGATAGGCGATGACCAGAACGGATTACATGAAGCTATCGCGGCGAGATAAGAGATTATCAAATAGAATGGAGTACTCGAATGGTGGGCTGACCTGTTGCCACCATGCCTGATCCATCCGGTGGGCGGCTAGCCGTAATAGGCACACGGTCGTCCGAGGCGCGGCCACTGGCCGTTGGCCATTAGAAATCGTCCACCTTGACTCTGGAGTTACATACAGCTGAGACTGAGACCTGGTGACTGATGAGTAGAGGCCTTACCGTTCTCGTTCGATTCTCATTACTGTTTGAGTTCTGGGGTAATGTCCCTTCAATCTGTGAGGCATTTACATAGTAGACAGTGTACGATAACTTTAATAATGTTGATAACTCTATTATGTATGCCAGATAGTGATCCCCGGAAGTACCCCGATATCTACGAAAATTTCTGCCCGTACGGCTGTGTACCGGTGAGGGTGTTTCAGCGCTGGCGGTGCTAGGAACCCGCTAGACGAGCTTAAACCCCACCGTGCGTCCGCCACAGCAGATCTGCCCAATCAGAGGTGATAAAATATCTGCAAATGGCGGTTTTAACGAGCCGTAGGCTGAATACGGCCTAGCGCCGTATGGGCATTACTTGCGCTGTACAGCGTCACGGCCACGAGTTCTTGGGTTGTTAATAATGTTTCCTTCTGCGTCGTGGATTTTTTGCCCCGCATCCGGGCATGACCGACCCCAAATCGTCCAGACCCACGTTGCATTCCGACTCCAAGTTTTTTTCTGTGCCGTTCAGCTTTTAAATCATCTGCCCTTCCCACCGTTTGGGTCGATATCCAGTCTTCATCCCATTGCTGATATTCAGAAGGGACTTACGACCTCTCTCACACACATACATACATCATGGAATACACACAAACCGTCAACGAACACCAACCCACACAGAAGGAGATGGAGGCCGGCGCAGACAACAAGTCCTTCAACGCCCCGGCGGAATATGACAAGGATCTCGTGGGTGAGATGGACGAGAGGGAGAGGAATGTCTACGATCATGGCGTCAACAAGTTCAACCGTCTTGGATGGAAACGTCTGACGGTCGTGCTGATTGTCGAGGCCATCGCGTTGGGCAGTCTGTCGATCCCCTCCTCGTTCGCGACCCTGGGCATGGTCGCCGGTGTCATCTGCTGCATTGGCCTTGGTCTGATCGCCATCTACACCAGTCACGTCATTGGCCAGGTCAAGCTGGCCTACCCTCAGGTCCAACACTACCCCGACGCCGGTCGATTGATGATGGGCCGCTTTGGCTACGAGTTGATCAATGTCATGCTTATCCTCGAACTGCTCTTCCTCACGGGCTCCCACTGCCTGACGGGTACCATCGCCTTCCAGAACATCACCGAGAGCGGGGTCTGCTCTGTCGTCTTCGCGGTTGTTTCTGCCATCATCCTGGCTCTGTTGGCCTTCCCTCCCAGTTTCGCTGAGATGGCTGTTCTCGGTTACATCGATTTTGCCTCCATCATCATCGCCATTGGTATCACCATCATCGGCACTGGTGTCTCCGCTGGCAGCTCCCCTGCTGGACTGTCTGGTGTTGAATGGTCTGCGTGGCCCAAGCCAGGAACCACCTTCACCGACGCCTTTATTGCCCTCTCCAACATCATTTTCGCCTACAGTTTCGCTCTGTGCCAGTTCTCCTTCATGGACGAGATGCACACCCCCAAGGACTACATCAAGTCGATCTGGACCCTTGGTATCACTGAAATCTTCATCTACACCATCACCGGTGCCCTCATCTACGCCTTTGTCGGCCAGGACGTTGAGAGCCCCGCTCTGCTTTCCGCCGGAAACACCCTCAGCAGAGTCGCTTTCGGAGTCGCTCTTCCCGTCATCTTCATCTCTGGCTCGATCAACACCGTCGTGCTAGGCCGTCTTGTGCACGGCCGTGTCTTCAAGAACTCGACCATCCGCTTCATCAACACCAAGATGGGCTGGATCACCTGGCTCTCTCTGATCATCTTCGCCACCATCCTCGCCTTCATCATCGCCGAAGTCATCCCCTTCTTCTCCGACCTCCTCTCCATCTGCTCCTCGCTCTTCATCTCCGGCTTCACCTTCTACTTCCCCGCCATGATGTGGTTCATGCTCATCAGAAAGGGCAGCTGGACTGATCCCAAGAACCTCTTCCTCGCCTTTGTCAACGGATGTGTTTTCATCATCGGCCTTGTCATTTTGGTTGCGGGCACCTATGCTAGTGTCGATGATATTGTAAGTTTTCTCCAACTGTCTAATTTGAATCTGTTACTAATGAATTCTCCAGAACAACAACTACAAGGAAGGCACCGTGCGAGGTGTTTTCACCTGCGCTGCTCCGGAGTAAGCGTGGATAATGACGAATCATGGATTTCGATATGTCAGCGACTGTATCATAGATTACATTTACAATAAATTACATTGCATATACCTATCTCTTTTTGTAAATCCCTCATTCTGTGGATCTGTAATTGCTCATAGTGGCTTCGGTGATGTCACTACTGCCTTAGTTTCTACGAATTTCTTCGTTCAATTGACTGTCGTCATATTCGCATGTCCCATGCTATACAGAATGTCACCCAGAATTGACTTAGTGATTTGGCTTCACTATTGTTGTGACACCACCTTTGCTGTAGAATATGACCTCAGTCAAACCGAACTTAGCAACTTCCTTCATCGCTGAAAATGCTCTCCATCATACCCCTTAACGGATTGCCTGGTCTAGACCATAGCAATTTCAGCTTCATCACGCTATTCTGTATACGAACAAAGCACCACTTAGCAATACGCCTCATTCAATAACCCAACTTGGCGAATGCTTCACTAACAAGACTACTACTGTAGCTTACTCCTTGGCAAATATTAGCCAGACGCAGGCACTTCTCCAAGACCCTGCCTCAAAAAACAAGACCATGGATAAACTCCCGTCAAATTCTCGGGCCGCTCGACTTGGCTAATTTCAGGTACTCATACAGTGTAATAGTAGGAAGAGTACGATGAGATCACTCAAGCCGAAGATCAGCGCCAAACCTTGAGCGGCTACTGCTTACTGCTGCCTCGGGTTGGGGTCAATTCCGTCAAGAGCCCCGGAATCTTCCATCACGATCTGCATAACCATGACATATAAAAACGTCGCGCAACCCCATAATTTGTAATGGAAACTGAATGTTGGAGATTTCCCCCGCAAAATTCCCAACATTTGAACACATAAACATGGAGGATGTGAAATTGCGACCATGGGGTTGTGTTCCGGGGTACCCCGTATTCTGGCCCTGGTCGGTGTTGGTGCCCCGTATACCATTACCCCATATGAACGGATCGGGCGGGGGAAAAAGTCTGGATGAGGCCCGACTGACATACAAACAGTGCACCGAAAGATCCCGATGCTAAGGTTGATGGCTTGGATGAGAGTTAAGGTGACACATGTTTTTTGGCCTTGGAGGTGAGGATAATGCCTCAGTTGGGGTAGCTGCACGCTTTGTGTCGGGATTACAGGAATAATACAGACTTCTCCAGATTCTGCTGTATTGTTGACCCCGGACTGTGGCTCTATCCACATTCAGGATAACTGAAGTAATTGCGAAAGCATCATCTTCTCGTGTCTCATCCATGAATTGAGGTCGGTATATCGACTCCACCGACACTTCAGCTTCCCCATACCCACTTTCTTATTAGCTAATTCCGAGCCCACCGTACCACTCTACACCGATTATCGGACCTCCATATGATTGATTGCATTATTCATGAATTTATACAATAACTTCATTATACAGAGATAGTATAAGATTGAATATCCTTAACTCATTCTCTCAACCGATAAAACCAAGACGGCTATTCGGCTTCGGAACGGACCAACAGCAGAATACGGCGAATCCACCGGGACTCGGACACTCCACAAAAGCAGAAATGTGGGGATTGTGGCCATTCTGTGCCACCGTGACGGTTTTGCATCGTGCAGGCTGTTTTGAACATTTGTTTCTCGGCCAAATTGGGCGGCTTTAACACCGAGAAAAAGAGACAGCATTCTGTGTGAGATATGAAAGATTTTGATGGTAAAACCCCGAGATAATCGCGATAAAATCAGACAGAAATTGAGACTGAGAGTGTGTGGGGTGGCTATCCACCAATCAGAACCCGCGAATGGTCAGATTTTTACTGCAGGGCGGATTTAAGATTCCAGAGTGGGTCATTAGGGTTTTGGTTTGCCGCCCACTTGGATTTCCGGTGTTCTGATTAGCCGGCAGTGCTGATCTGCCCCTCTGCCCGCAAAAAAAAGGATCGCTATCTTAGGTTATCTATCGTGGATGGCGATATTAAAGAATCAACGGCTGTCGTTGCTTTTCCTGACTACATCCATCTCCTTATGAAGGGTAGCCATGTCGTTTGCACTTCCTAATGATGTCTTATTGCTGGTCGGAGACTTTATCGAGGACCATGAGGATCGGTATAATCTGATCTTTGTGTGTCGCCATTTTCACGACTTGTTTTTGCGCACTGTTTATAGAGACGCGTCGTTGAGGAACTGCACTCAGCTCAAGTCGTTCCTTGCTGCTATCTTGCGACGTCCAGAGCTGGCTCGGGCGGTTCGCACACTCGATTTTGATGAATGGCAAACGCCAAGTGCGGGGGAGACTCACGATGACCTGAGCGTGTTCAGCACCTTGATCGAAAATGTCAGCCAAAGCGACGAAGAATACGCAAAATGGGAGCAGGATCTCCGAAAAGGCAGTGCAGAGGCGTGGATTGCTCTTCTGCTGCCTCTTGTCAGCAATGTGAAGCAGCTGAATCTGGTCTATCCAAAGGAGAATACGTATCTGGATCGCACGATGCAACGGGCTATCAAAGGCGATAAGCCGTTTGACAAGCAGCCTGCGCTCCGTGCTCTAGAGCAGGTCTCTATGAAGCATCTTGACGATGAGGACTGCAAAGGAAGTTATATGCCGTCGCAACTTCTGCCATTTTTCCGCTTCCCATCCATGCAGAGCATCTCAGCAGACTCGGTCGTTGAATCGACATCTCAACCTGATCAGACAGAACCAGTGGATAGCTCTATTTCAGAAATCCATCTCACGACAAGCAACGGACCCAGCGGCATGGATAGTCTCATCTCCTGCTCGTCTCTCAAATCCTTCAAATATCAACACTCGGACAACCACCTCCTCGCAGAAGGATACCAACCATCTGCCTTTTATCGCTCGCTGGCCAGCAGTAAAAACACACTCGAAACCCTCTGGCTCGACTCACATGGCACTCACTACCCTTTCACCATCACCGGCGCCAACGAAACCCACGACGAATGGTTCGGATCGCTGACCGATTTCACCGTCCTCAAAGACATCCGCATTCGACTCCCCAATCTCCTTGATATCCGCTATCAGCCTGATCCAGCGACTTCTCTACCTGATATTCTCCCCAAATCAGTCGAATCACTCTACATAGAAGGCTGCAAGGAGAACTCCCTCTCCACTCTCATCGCGCAACTCAAACTGGTGCTTAGTAAACGCCGGTCGCGATTCCCCAATCTTCGCACTGTCGATATCGAAGGGTTCTTCCATGATGAGGAAGACTATGAGGACTCGGGCTACGATGCCAGTGCAGTGGGTGCAGAGAAAACCATCAAGCCTCGCGTGTATTCGATGGCGGAGCCGTTGCATGCTTCTTGCGCTGAGGCGGAGATTCAGCTGAATCTTCGCGATCGTGATTGTCCGAGTACAATGGTAGGGTCAGTGTGATTGATTATGATATACGACTGATAGATAAAATTGCTTTGGTTTACTTTGCTTGTTTATTTATTTATGTTGGTTGTTGTTCTACGCCCCCCTGCACATATACACTTGCCTATATACATGATTGTTCTGACTTTGATGCACATACACATATAAATTTCCTCATATTTGATTTAGCGATTCATTTACCCCATTTCATGTTTATAGATAGCGTTGCTTTATGCCTGGATTCACAAATACAACATCTGAGTGGCATCGCCACCGTTTTGCAATCAATCCACTTTCCCACTTCATAATCTCCATCCATGGACAATCTATTCCTTCTGGGGCTATCCGTACTTTCCTTTAAAATCTGTATGATGATATAGGAGGCTGACTATCTAGGTACGGGAGTATAGCATGTGCCATGACGTGATGCTGTCTGTGCTGCGCGTCTCATCCCTTATTCTCCTCCACATTTAATTCTGACACCATAGCTATCTCTAAAACCATTTACCTCTGTTCCAATGCCATTGCACCGATCTCTAGCTCTGTTGATGTGGCGACTAGTTTGTTGCTACGGAAATTTTAAATCCATATCCATCTATTATACTCGTCTAAACCGTTACTAGATAATCAAAAGTAAAGCACCTTTCATCCCTTGGGATTCTGGACTATGAGTCGATACGTCTAGATGTATATTCCTGGTCGATATCGATGACGAGAATTTCCTCCATCATTGTTAATAGAAATTGAACATGGACAACTAAGCATGAACGGTTATATCATCAGGAAGACTGGATAGGAATACCAAAGAGACTTGCTGTAGAAATGTCAGTTAGCAGAGATAGAGATGACTGGCGGAGGTGTTACGGGATCCCTTAGGTAAATATATTCCATCGGATGTCTTTGATCTGGATGTTGCATGTCCTCATTAATGTCGACACATTTATACTCCATCTTGATCCTCTTGGTGGTTATCTCGGCTGCAGCAGAAAATACGGTTGGCGAGGTTATTATAGAAACAGTGACATCAACCCATCATCCTTTAGAGGCTCTCTCATCAAGCCCAATATGATGCCTTTATTGACAATATAATGTTGTAAAAGCACGGGGTGTTCTTCATCCTTGAGTCCAACACTGGCTTTACTATTGCCATTTCTGGTCTCAATACTGACAAGGATATCTTGGAATTTTATGTCCAGGGGAGACCGCACATAAAACCTGTATTGAGGAGTGCGAGGCTTATAACCCAAATTGGGGCAGTGGTAATATTCTTTTTATTCTCTCTAATAGAGGTAGGCTTAAAAACATCAAGGGATTTGCCCAGATGTTTAAAGGTATTCTTAACATTAAGGGAATCTGGAGGAAGATAGGTATACTCTCAAGGGTGCAAGGAAGACATTGCAATAAACATCTCACTGATGGAGGAATCCATGTGCTCTACCCCTTCAATGTTGACCGGATGAGCCATAACGGGCGCTGGCTTGGTAATTTATAGACCACCGATCCGATGACTCATTACGATCGAATTGGCATTTTGGATTATCTACCATCATGCCATTGTCGTCATGCTGAGCAAACAGGGGACGTGAAGAGCTCCGCTCGCGGGAAGATGACATCGGTCTTTGCATCGCTATCACTCGTCTCGTAGATGATCGGGGATGTGTTGGCCCTGCTTAATTTTAGGGTATCTTTGGCCAGTACGGTTGTGCTAAGGCTCGAGCTTTGCTTCAGACCTTTGCTTTTGAAGACTAGGATCCTGAAAGACCTCATTCAAATCCGATTCACTGAGACGAAGCTCCTCCTGGGCAAAAACAAAGACAGCAAGCCAGGGCACACAGTTACGGCTAAAGTCTTCCTGACGAGGCTGGGACTTGCATATATTTCTCTTCCATGGCGGCGTTGGGTCTGTCAGAACAATATTGGGAAGCACTCTTCCCCAGCCTCCATGATCCTAGGGAGGATAGAATGAGTGCGGAGCACCATTAGGCAAAAAGAATCGAGGCCCAATGACATTGAAGTCATGGTTGCTGGAGAGGAACTGGCTCTCCTCCCCGTCAGTTCCTTGTCTCATATGGATCTCCTGCTCGACGGTGATGCTGTTTCCCATACTACAATCCGCTCGTTGGTGATGATGGCAACTTGTTCGATACCGACCACAAGGCACTCAGTGCCTGCGCTGACGGAGACAGCGAGAGGTATTACGTCTAAATTCTTCAAAAGGAAGACTTAGCCAATTCCTGCCGTTGTAGGGAGCTGTCTGTGTCGCTAACGTACGCAAATCTCTCAGCGGAGGCAACAGGTATGACTTGGTCGAACTGGATGTCACGTTCGACAAGGCGAGCCCAACGGTCTACGACGGCGTCAACCCGCCTGTAGACGGCAATCTGGCCAGTTTTGCATTAGACCACGGTTGATAAGCAGGAAGATCAACGAGTGGTCATTGATGGCGGTGGCTAGCAAGGATGACTGAGTGTGATGAGCACATCACCAGTAGACCGTAGATCTGACTGAGGTCATGAAAGAGCTTGTTCCCGTAGGATGATCATGGCTGCGGTACGTGAGCGTTGGAATCAGGGTTATGGTCCTTTAACCCAGTCTTATAGCAGTACTTAAGACTTTGCCCAAGGCATAAAGAATTTCTACCACCATTCTCCATCCAAATCAAGATGACGGGCTCAATGAATCTCGCAGTCCCTCTCAAGCTCGACGCCTTTATTCTTAACAAAGATGCCTGTGCCAAGGATGAAAAAGGGTCTAAGATCGCTCCCATTACCAAGCCCAACTCTACCTTTTTGCAGCTTGATGACTGTCTCACCCAAAAGGACATTCTCAACCATGTTAATCTCCATAATGCCTTTCCTGCTCAAACAAACCCCCATGCATATAAACTGGAAAAGGAAGAAGTCTGCAGGAATCACAAGGGCATCTACCTACATTGGGTCATGCCGCGTTTCTACCGCACAGGAGTGGCAGTGACAGAATCGGCGGCTGACCAGCATACCGAGGAACACAGAGAGAAGGGATTGGGAAAAACATGTGCGAATGACTCCAAGGACTATTCAGCTGTCCGAGCAGTCCCCAACCGATGGCTGGTGATCCGGAAAATCGATCCCGACTCTATTGAGCCCAAGACTGCAGATATCAAAACGGTTCATGGATGGCTTGTGGAAAGTGACCGAGTGCGCACCACTGACGAGGATGATCTGTATGGTGCGGTGGACATCGCGCCGTATAACCCCACGAACAATCAAAGCGTGGGTAGCATTCAGCCGGAGAGACAGGCAGAAATATTCATCGGCCATAAGCAATCCACCAACGATTGGAGGGAGCTGGACAATGATGACACCGACCCAGAAACTATCGATCAAGGCATACAGCCAATGATATATAAGATATCTTGATTGATTCTTCTAAAGAACTCGGGCCTGCTCTGGGTAGGGCCTACTAAGATGCGGTATATTACTGTCTAAAGGGTGACTTTAGAGTAGACAGGCTTAATTTAGGAGGAAGGTTAAAGTGGACTGTAGATAAGATAACCATAGAAAAAAAGGCTGCAGCTAATTAGTTAGACAAGAAAATGGCTAATAATTTAATAATATTATTATATTAGGAGGTTGTACAGCCTCTGAGGAAGTTATATACGTAAATGACTGCAATCAACCAGGCCTCATCACCGTCTCAAACCCAAGTCTTGAAATTCCGTTCGGGTCTCCGTCTCTTTCCCACTTCTTTCCATTCCCCAGTGAATTCCAAGTCATGAGCCTGCTCCAAAAGCGTCACTGTACTTTACATATACACAAGAGGCTGGAGCTTTTCATACTCTATGATCCTTTCTCTTAGGAAGCTTAGACGTTGACGTGCGAGGTCCAACGAGGTCTGGTCATGCAAGTCCCTTTTCTTAAGGTCCGCACCTTTTAAAGTAGCTTTCTAGCAGCATTCAGCTGCGTAGTGAAGTGGCGTCTGTCCAGAAACAATTCTCGATCCGTTCGAAGACGACGTTATCGCATTGACCTGGTCAATCCGAGAGAAGGTACCGAGTAGAAGATCAAACCTTTGCTCGCCAGTAGTATTGTCGCCGAAAATCTCGATGGTCGAGGCGGCGATGTGCAGTACAGATTCTGACGTGTTCTTTCGTAAGACGAAGGGACAGTAACTGTCTTATAGTAATATTGAAGAACCGGGACAGAGTCCCATGTAGGAGAAGAGATAACTGATGCCACGAATGGCCAATCACCCTTATCAGTCACTGTTGTGTCGGCACTTGAATGGATCTGCAGCTTTATCACAGTCAAATAATAGATTGAGACAGCCTAATCCAGTGGTGATCTGTCGTGTCGGATTTTGTCAAAGTAACTGACCCTAGAATTAAATTAATATTATTAATATAGCACTGTTGCTCAAGGTCTGCTCCTGCTCTGACTAATCTCCTTATAGTATCAATAAGGTGCGGTCCTTCCAAAGCAATAAGCTAGTATAATGGTGACTCCCCTGATGAAGTTGCATTAATACTTGCTTTTGAACCTAACAGAAATAAAATAGCTTCAGGCTCATTTGCTTGGCAGGCACAAAGCAGGGGTGTCTTATGTTTTGAGTATTGTTACTAATGAACTCTTTAAGTAAAGGAATGCAACAAAGAGCTGCTGTGACATGAATAGGCCAGCTACCTCTATCATTCAAGACCAATTTATCAAGGAACTTTGTGCCCTTCCCTTGACAAAAAATGATGAGATCTTCTTCGGTTGCAATTTATACTAAATTTTTCAGTTAGCCCTGCAGAATAATTTCTCCCAGGAACGTTTTGCCACGTCAGAAAGGGATATATCTAGTTCCTCGAGGTCTTTCAATGCTTTAAGATAGCCACGATTAATGGACTTTTGCAGAAAGTCGCACATCTCCTGCTTAGTTTGTAGTGATAGCGTTTGCTCGGGAAATGATGCCTTATGGAGCCTATATGCGTCTGTTTGAGCCATGTGGTTCTGGAGTCGCGCTGACTTCATAATCCAGTCACAAGCCTGGCTCAGGTTTTGCCAGACTCCAAGCCCGTTCGTGTAACATTTAGCTAGCAGGTAAGCTGCATATGCAATCACTGCGCATAGCGACACACATAGACGTCAAGCGATCTGACAAATTCCGCCTTGACTAATGGCGATTCCTCCTTAATAGTATTGATGAAATCATTTATCTATAGTTGTCAGAGGTATAAACCTCTTTACTTAGTGAGAAACATATATTAATCTCACCTGCAGCAATCAAGTTCCGGGGTCAATATCTATGCTATCTTTATCTAGTGACATGTAATTGTTACTAAAGTGGGCACCCTGTGAGGGTACATCCTTGAGTAGACACCATGTCTCATCAGAATGTTCGGACTTGATCTCGGACAATTCTGAAGAAGAGACAGCAGATTTTAACATAGAGCAGACATCTGCCATACTGCATCTTCCTTCTGGCTGGAGAACCAATGTATATTTCAGGACTTCAACAACAGAGTCCAGCTCGTCCGAAGACTCGTGATTGTGTAACAAGCCGGCCAATAAACGACCCATACCGATGCTCTGCCAAAAACGCATTGGTTACTTTGGTTTGAGACGAAACGTTTTCAGTATGTGCTTTACCGGGACGAACGGTACATAGCACGCCCCCGCCATTAACGGATCTAAGAGTCTGCGACGCGAGAACACTCGACGTAGACGATCCGATTGTATCGAAGATATAACCCGGGGTTAGATTCGGGAGGGAGGTGATCTGGTCGATGACAGGCTCGTCGCGGTAGTCGAAGACATGGTGTGCGCCGAGGGAGCGGACGAGGTCGAGTTGGCGAGCAGGTGGTGATGATTTGGAAGTTGAAGAGGGATGCGAGTTGGATAGCGTAGAGGCCGACGCTGGCTGGTGGTTTGCGTTAGCTATGTATTACTTAGTTATGAGTGATGGGGTCTGTAGGGACATACAGCTACCTCCCCAGATTAACAGGGTGATTTCAGACCCTAGATTTCGGTCGATGTTCAAGCATCCTGGAGATAATACAGCTAGCCAGGAGGTCAAAGCCGCGAGAGGGACTGTGGAGGCTTGTTCGAGGGATATTCCAGTCGAGATGGGGAAGCAGATGCTTTCGTCGGCGAGGATGTATTCGCTGTATGCGCCGAGGCCTTTGAATTCGCCTGGTTACATTGGGGTTAGGATGAGGATGGGAAATGTGTTTAGGAAACGAGGATAGTGAGGTTAGGGCCAAGGGATGGAATGAGATACCCCCCAAATCAAACCGGCAATAGTATCGCCTGACTTGATTTTCGTGACTGCATCGCCGATCTTGATGACCTGGCCGACGAAGTCGCATCCGAGCACGGTACCGTCGCCAAAGGCATTGGAGTCGAAGGATTGGACTGTCAATTGGTTAGTGGAAACTCATTTACTGAAGATTATTTTGACAAGGACGTACCGTCATTCGGGTTTTGGGCGACGTGGGTGACGCGGATGAGGGCCTGATGTGACTGGGGTTCAGGGAGAGGGAGCGTCTCTGGGATAAGAGTGGGTGAGCCATTCTGCGTGCGAACTACAAGGGAAGTCATATGACCTATGAAAAGGTGAAGCTGGATGTGATGTGATGAGGAGCTGAGAGTGGACTTCTCGTTTACATCCGATTAGTGATAGATGCGGGGTTAGTTCGTATTCTGAATCGTATGGAGACTTTTGACGGAGCACTGTAGGCTGTGCAAGTAGGCGTTTTGGACGAAATTATTTTGGTTAATTGTTCTTGATGGACATTGAATGGTTGTACATACATAGTGCCAATGGATGATACTATTTAGCTATACTATGCTCGGATGTAGAGATTGATCATAGGTTGAAGGCTACGAGTATGAACCCGGTTGAGTGGGCATAAGACGAGGGCGTGGTGTTAGTGATGATTATCCGATCTGCATGATTCAGCTGTTTCACTTCAGCTGATGAGTTGGCAATTGGCAGATAGACAAGGCAGCGGGCCAGGCCGCGAACCAGTGATGCGTTCATGCAGGTCAGACTTTGACCTTCAGAGTTCTGATGGAGTGTGGATTGACATTTGACGTGCTGTACATTATTACTTACAGGTATGTAATATTTATACAATACATAGTACATACATATACCTAGTCGGAAGGTGGGTAATATACATACAGTCAGTAACAGTATGTATTACCGCCGAATGAATACAAAAGAACCCCGCGATTCCTGCTTCCTCGACGCGTCACATCACTTTTACATTTGACAACTTGCACATCGCAGCCACCATGGTCAGCTCCCCTCACTTACTATGATTTACGCTTGCTAATGCCACACATCCAGCCTAATTTCAAAGAATGGACCGACGTCCCCGAAGAAATGGGAGCGACTTTCTACTGGGACGGCCCCGACAGCCTCGGACAGATCATGGCTAAAGGGTTCAAACTCAATTCGCCGGAACCTATATTGGGCAGCACTGCAAAATCAGGAAGTACTTTGTTTGTATTCAAGTCGGAGGGGAAGTTCTATATATGGAATATGGCGGAAGACACGGTGTGGGAGATCACGAAGCCCACCGAGGAGAATCAGATCAAGGAGGAAATTCAGGCGGGCCGGATCAAAACTCTAGGACTTAAGGAGGTCCCATATAGCTCTTGATTAATTGAATAGTTGGAGTAACGGTGGACTTATAAACTCCACAGTTCTTCCGTGCAAGGGAACACTGCCCATGTAAATTCAGAATCTTAACTACAATGGCAGACGATCCGGCGAATATCCAAGCGGCATTTAACGGACAACTTACCTTTGCTGTAGCATACGGCTTTACGACACCAGATGTATTTCCCTGCCTCCTTACTAGATATAATACTGACTAGGTATTCGCAGCAAATACTCGATTTCATCAACAACGTTGCTGATCATCGAGATCCTCGCAGGCAGTATGGGATCGTGCCAGAGTGGTTCCCACATCTCAAAGACATTCGGGATGGTATTGAGTATCTCTAGTAAGACCTTTCATGGAAACACACCCATGGTCTTAACAATGCCATCTAACGAGGTATATACTACAGCCGTAGCGGAGCGGGCTATCCAAGACCTACACCACCGCAGCATATCCGGCGAACTGCAGTCAATCATAACACAGATCGATTGCGCATCAATCAATATTTCTTCCGAAACCGTCATCGAGTCTTCAGTGTCTACGACCTTCTGGCAATGTTCTTATCCCTAGCCCTGGCCCCGGTTGGAGCGACCCGCGCCACATTTTATTATCCATGGACATTCATATATATTCGCTGGTCAACTATTATGACGCACTTCAACGGAACGAACGGATTCGGTGGTAAAACACCTACGATGTACCAATGCACTTGGATAAGGGAGCCAAATCAACAGTCACGCTTCTTCATCGGGACCGTGTTGGCAGGCATGGTTAGGACATGGCAACCCGCTCCCCCACCAGGCCAAGCCCGGCCCCCTAATCCGTGGATTGAGAGGCTGAGAAGGGCTCGGTTTTCACATCTCACTAATGACAGAAACGAAAATGGAGCAGTGGGAAGAAGATGGGCCTATGGCCAGTCGCCCGAGTTTGATGCGAAAGGGGTAAACGGGTGGAACTTTGGCAATTGCGCCGAAACCCATCCCTTTGTGGAACTGGTACGGTAAGTGCTTTTTATTTTAGTAAAGGGAGAATTATTCAAAGAAAATACTAATGGAATAGATAGGGACGCTCGCGCGGATGTGAGAGGCCGATGCTATGGGTTCGCTGTGAAGCCGCAAGCGGTGTTTGGAAATGAGCCACTGCCGAACTTGGAGGCTGCGCTCGCAATTCAATATACAAGGCTACATTTTACAAAGATGTCACTCCCTTGCCTGAATTGTAAGGCAATGATCAATGGGTATGGGTGCAGATATTACAACTTTGTTCCACTGCCTGATCAGATAATCGCGCTGTTTGTTGCAGAAAGGAGAAGAAGCTGAAGCTGAACACCCTGTTGAACCTACAGCTTCGCCTCCCTTCCTGATAGTTAGGATATAGCGCGCCATACTGCACCTCTTCTTCTGTCCCCTGTATCTTGTTTTTTAGATAGCATACTCGATACCACCATCATTATACTTTAGGTTCTGAGCCCTTCCTTCACGGATACATGACTAGGAAGTGAGTTTCTAGTTGCCTGTTGCTAGTTCTTACTCAATCTGGATTCTTGCAGGCGGACTATGTATGTTGACGGATCAGTTACTTCCTCGGAAAAACGAAATGAATCACTGCTGAGTTGGCATGTAGAGTGACAGTCCTGCATCTTCTTCGATATCCGCATTGTATGGATTGTATTGTATTATTTAATACGGTACCTTGGTAAATCGAAATACACATTACGTAACGGTAATACCAAATCCGGTTTTTGCTATCAGAAACAAACTGGGCTGAGTTGCTCTTTCTCTCGCACGCAAAAACCATCGTGGAATCTACAAGTGCATCAGAATGGCCTCTCGAGCAGCTGAAGATGGCAAGTTCTACGTTCATGCCAGCACGGCCGAGAGCAAGCTGGAACCGAATCTTATCATTGAAAAAGACACCAATAGTGACAAATTCGTGGCCGAGTTACCCAACAAAGTCATAATTGTCACCCAAAAACCCGACCCCAATGCTGCATTTCACGAAGAGGATGAATGGGCCAAATGGCTGAAGATGCTTGACAAGAATGGTCAATTTTCTTTGACTACGATGGGGGAGAAGAAGGAAATTGAGCACTTTGAACTGCAAATCAACAACCCCATCCCGCTCAAATTCAGTTCAGCCAAGGAGGCCCTGATCAATGCATTTGGCGAGGATGATGCGAAGGGCATCGATCCCCCTGGCTACAATGACCCGCTGCTCTGTGCTGGGTTGGTAAAGCCAGAGGTAGCCACTAAGCAGGTTGAACTGGGTAAAGCATGGGAGTTCGCCGGGCTGACAAAAGATATGCTGCCCGCGCCTTTTCAGTCCTTGCTGGTTGAAATGGACTGGAGCTTGCCTCAGAAACATCGAAATGCCTTGTGGTTTAACCCAGGGTTTGGATCGCAGATCAAGGCTCGATTGGCCATGCAATTGGCTGATCCGAAGACGCTGAACGCACTTTTCTTTTTGGATAAAGTGAAGATGGAAATCACCAAGGCAGAGATTGTGTGTAAGAAAGTGCTCACACAAGCCGATACAGGACAGAGAAAGCTGGCCGTTGACGAGGGCGAGGCGCTATTCGGACTAGAATGTAAGCTGGGAGACTTGACCCTGACGGGGTGCTTGGAACTCAGCGACGGTGCGATCCTCTTTACGCTGCAGAACAATGATGAAGATGCTGCAGCTAAGATTATCGAGTGGCTGGGTGACGTGATATGGAAGGACAAGAACAAGCTTAAAGACATGGAGAAGGTCTTTCGTGGGGAGCCGTTCAAGTCTATCAGCTTCCGCCGATTCCAATTGAGTCTGGATACTAGCGAAGACGGAAACCCCAAGGTAGACTTCTTCCGTGTGGATCTTCAAGCTTCTACACCTGTTGGCCAGTCTCCAGACTCGGTGAAAGAGGGCAAAAAGACGTTGTTTCTTTTGTCATATACCTGGAATAACCTCGGTGTAGCGGAAACCACCAATCTGGGGACAATTCGCGGGGAATTATGGGAGCGTAAGTTTTCCCCCTTGTTTATTCATGGGTTTTTTATATGCTAAACTATTGCCCAGCGTCCGATGAATCATCTCTAGCCGACCCAGAATACGAAGAATGGACGGATTTCCAACCTATTCCCAAAGACACGCCCATACCAGAGATGGAAATTGCATATCTCATTCCAGGCCAAACGATCGACTCGATCCCAGACACGGTCCCGAAAAAGATCTCGAGAGCTTTTATCAGTTTGTCACTGCAAGAGATTGCCATAGGGGCCACTCTCACGGCTAACAAAGTAGAGGCTGGTGCAGTCCCCCAACCGTACTTGGGTGACATTAAACTAGATGCCTCGTTCAGTCGTACTGAGGGAAAGAAGGAGTTCAACTTTGAGCTGTATATAATGGCCGGGATCGAGCCGAGTCAAAGTTCAACACATTCTGATCCGGCATTATTGACGGGCGATTTGATCTATAAGCGCTCGTCTTAATATCAAATATCTTCTTCTATAGGAACTACAGGCGATTCAACTACGCAAGTGAAGATAATTGCATCTACATAGCTAACATGTCATAATAATGTAGATATGCGCCCATACTCTTCTTCTAACAAGTAGAGTACCCGCATAGCTTTACGCAATCAGTTAGGCTCTGTAAGGCAATAGAATATGGCTTGATTGATTGACTGATATGAACAGAGATTTAAAACGAAACGCATGATATCATGTTGAAATTGGTAAGTTCCATTATGTACGTTCTACAGCCAATCCAGCAAGCAAATTTCGATTATGCAATTTGAAAAATGCTATAGAACTATACTCATGCAGCAGCAGTCCCCAGTCTGGGAACCTCCAAAAACGAGCTTCCAAAAGTCTCCTCATCCTTCAACAATATATTACCGGGTTTCTGTCCTGTGATTGTTTGGTCCTTGGTGAGATCCCACTTGAAATATTCCTGGTTGGCCCAGAGCTTGACAAAAGCATCAGCAGCATCACCACCAAATCCTGGTGGGCCATCCCATTGCTTGCGGACGGTTTCCCAAGCACCCTGACTGGTGTCTTCATTCTCCGGTTCCCAGGCGTCCTGCTGCTGGTTGATATCGGGGAAATGATACGGCCCACCAGCATCCTGGATGAAGAAAGTCTTGTAATCGAAGGGTGGTATCTTGTCTTCGTTACTTAGCACCGGCAATGGTGAGGAAATAGTGATTCCCGTAGCTTGCGAGACGGCTGGATTGTCTCCTTTAAGAAGCCCTTCAATCTGGTTGGGATTCGAGGCCGCATTCGGGTCCTCATCGGATTTATCTAGTTTTGTTAGATATACCTTTTTTGATTTATTAGTCGAACGGATGTGACTTACACGGTCCCCATAATGCCATTGGGACGGACTTGTAGTTCAACTTGGCTGAGTTCCACACCGGAACGCCGTAATCGTGGTCAGACGCGGTTAGAGCCAGTGTCGTCTGCTTTGGCTTGATCTTGACGGTTAGAACACTTGAAAGTGGTTGGCTTTCATCTAGATGCATGGGCTTGGAGAAGATATCTTTTGGATTCGGAGTAGGCTTGTACGCGGGGATGGGATCGCCATGTGCGTCAGGCTGGTCCGTCACCACCGCAGCCTCTTTGACGGCGAACTTGCAGCCGACAGTGAATTGGAAGACGGCACCGCGGACGTTCCAAGCAGTTGCGTTAGGTTCAGATTTAGCATTATTGTCGTCGGATGCAATTAAACCCTGGTTACAGGAGAAGATGACCGGTGGCGGGTCAGTTGCATCTGCGGTTTTGCCCTTGGCAAGATCGGCTTGTAGAACCTGCTGGATAAATTGACGCAAGGTACGTGCCTTGGTATCGGGGGTGATCTTGTTGCCAAAGTTAATGTCGAAGCCGAAAACCCAGAAGTTGACATGGACTCGGCCGGCAATCGGTGGTCCTTCAATGTAGAGAGTAGCTGAGATCTCGATGTTGATATGCACCGTGCAAATCCACAGGTCGAGAGTGAAACGAACACCAACGCTGAGGCCACCATCTGCTGAAAAGTGGAATGGCTTATAGTTGATGAGGAAGTCGGCGTAAGCGTCGAAGAAGGCGTAGAGAGCTCCCAGCGTGAGGGAGGCGTCTAGTCGACCACCACCCATGCAGACCTTGGGTGTGATAGCAAAGTAGGCTTCGCCACGGATGCTGATAGAGCTGTCGTAGGACCAGCTGATGGCTAGACGGGGTGGATTGGGGTACTGTGCTGGTGGCTTGTATGAGCGATGATATCCACCGATGGTGAAGACGAAGTCACCTGAAGATGGACCACCCCCAAACCAGGTGTAGAAGGCGAAACCACCAGTCAGATGGCAACTGGGATCGAGCACGTAAGAGGCAGGTGTCAGCTGGCCCTCTATCTTAAATGTCCCTGCATCTAGGTCAAGCACGGCTACTAAGCCTAGTTGAACGTGGGCAAACTTCGTGTCAGTTCCAGCAGGCATATCGGCTGTGGCGACACCAAACAAGCCAATCTTGACTTTGGGATCCCACTCGACCGCGATGACTGCTTTGATGTCGAGAATTTCAAAGGCCAGCACTGTCATACCGGCAGCAAGCCAGAATGAGTTGTTTTTAGGAAAGAACCATGCGTCTCCCCCCATCAAGGTGTTAAGCGCTGATTGAGGGTCGTTCGGACCGGACGTGCTGATCAAGGGGAAATCCGGCACGTTGGTCACCGTAGGGAACCGGAGGAAGGTGTTGTATCCAAAGCCACCAGTAACGCCTCGAATCTCGGCGAATTCCAGTGTGGCCAATGGTCCATCTAAGATGAAATAGACAAAGGTAGACTTGAATTCAGTGCCAGTCTTGTCCTTGACGTCGCCGTAGAAGCCAGCAGCTTGGAAGAGGTATGGTTTGAAGCTGAGCGTCGCCGCGCCTTGATATGTTTTGTCCACATGCTTGAACATGCCAGCTAAAATCAGAGGAGACCGATCGAACGAGGCAGCGAGGCCTTCAATTGCAAAAGTAGGCGTGGGTATGTTCTTAAAGAGATCTTTACCTGCTCCAAACTCTAGAGTGATGCTGAATCCAAGCAAACCAACGCCAATTGGACCTAGAAGGACTGATGCGTCCAGGAGTAGTGACAGCGATGGGGGCTTGTTCAGGCTGTATTTCAGACCCAAGTTGCGGATCGTGATAGGGCCAACTTTCTTCTCATATGGTGCTTTGGCTGGGGGCTCAGGTTGAGTGTCTTCTCCCTCTCCTTCATCTACCATCGCAGTGGGTGGCAGGTCACCCGTCGTAAGGGCTTTGGCTTTCTTGGACTTGGACTTAGCCTGGCCAAAGACATAATCAAATGCAACGATGCTTCCCTGCTGAGGATCCTTACGGATCAACATGAAGTGCATACCGGAACGAATCACTACATCGTTAGGCTGATAGGCTTCCTCTTTTTTAAGTGCTTTATATCGCAGTTCTTGGCCGTCGCCAAGTTGACTAAGTTTCTCATTCATCTTCTTCACGGCTCCATGCGTTAAGCCAGCCGGAGCACCTGGCGCCTTCTGTGGTTGCACGTAAAAAAACACCATCTCGTCAAACGGCTGTGGAAGGTCGCCAATCATGTCCACTTTGACCTGCGGGATCTCCTTCACAGAAAGTCGAAATGCTCGTTGAACCGCAGGTTTGGTTTTGGGATTTTTTTCGTCTGTCGGTGCGCCCTGGAATTGAAATGCTTGAAACCGAAAGCCGTCGACCTCGACCCATGCAGTGAAGAAGACATCACTCTTGGATCCGGTTTTGGGATTGGGAGCAGCAGCAGCAGCAGCATCCGGGCCCGTACTCTCTCCAGAATCAGGATTCTCCTCCTCTTTCTTCAGAGAAAACATCTCGACTCCTGCGGAATTTTTCGACTCTGGCAGCTTGAGCTCGATGTTCGCCACAAAGTCTGGGAATTCTACATCGGGACCAAAGATATGTGCTGCGACCTTGCCGATTGTCGTCGATGGGGGTTTGCTTTCACCAAATTTGAGCTCACCCTTGAATTCCCATCCTTTACTGTCATGGTTGAAGGAGAGCGAGAGTGGAAGATCTCCTAGCTTGATGAGGCCTTTACTTGTGAAGCTGGCCGTCTGGGGACCGTTATATTTGTAGGTGACCTCAATATTCTCGATTTCGATGTGATCTAGCAGCGACACGACGCTATCTGAACTAGACGAGTCGAAGAACTGGTAGAGCGTGGATCCATATACATTTGACAGCGATAAAGTGACTTCCCACTCGTTTTTGGGCACAGGAGGGTCGGTTGGTTCGGACATGGCGATCGCGTCGTCTGGATAATCCAGAGTCCTGATCTCTCAAGACAAGGAGCAGTTCTATTCAAAGTCGATCCGAATAGATGGACCATCGCTCCGTCGAAGGTAGGTGCGTATGTAATAATGTATGGTAATACCATGTATCGAGATAGGCGTACTGAAAGTCTCGGTTTTGTTACATGTGTCATGTGTATGATTGTCAGTAACAACTCCGCAGCGGGGTAGCTGCATGATGGTGGGTGGTAGCGATGACATGTTCTCCGGAAATGTAGATGCAGTGGAACCTGTCACATTCAAGTGGGCCCTATTATCCCAATCCGACAATTGAGTGGTTGATTTTGCTGACATGTCTGTGGGTCAGATCACAATATTCACCTCGCCACTATATATCATCGCCTACGGAGAGCCGGCTATAGGAACACATAACTTCAAGGATCAACACATGAGGCATTTCTCCAATTGGATCTAACAGACTATCTAGCATTTACTTCGACTTGTCTGTGACTTCTGGTCTTATGATCGGCTGCTTCAGCTGCAGATACCCCTCAACAGCGGTATATGGAGACGGCTCGAACTTGGGTCGACTGTCCACCTTTCCCAATCCCAGCGCCTTGTAATATTGCGTCGTGCCATCGTCATCCACAAATGGCTGCAGCCATGCCCAATCGCCCGTGGGAAGCGTGTAGATAGTCATCCGAGTCCTTATTAGAGAGAAGCTCAATAAGATGGTCCAACTGCACCGTGTCCTGCTTTTCTTTCGGTGGCCCAAAGGGTAACCATTTGCTACTGGCTGCGATATGCTTGGGGGCATTGGGAGATGACAGGCGGACTTCACGATAGAATGTGCCATCAGGCAAGAAGAGCTGGATGCCATAGTCGACATAGTTGAGTACAATCCAGCCCCAGATGGGGTTTTCCCATTCTGTCACAGGGTGCCAGTATGAATACTGGTCCTTGATCACGGGGTTGTTACGGCGCTTATCGTACTTCACAAACGTAGAGTTCAACCGGGCTGCTTGATTGATACTGGGTGGAACCTGCGCAAACTCAACGTGACCCTTAGAATCTGTTCCGTGGGGTTGAACAAGATTTGGTTTATCGTTCAACAGTTGTGGTTCGTAGTAGGAACTGAGATGTGGATAGACTGCCTGTTCGTCCTCATGACCATAGCGAGCGTCAATCGAATTTATCACTGTGCCAAACTTGTCCACTATGTTCAGCTTTGAGAAGCGGAATTGACCATGTGTAACCGGCTTAAAAGCACATGGCTTTTGCTGGTCCCCAGTCCCCCCGGGATTTAAGATACTGGTTGAATTTGTGAGATAGGCACCGTAAGGAGTTACTTCGGAATAGATGTCGATGATTCTGAGATGATCTTCTTTGTCTTTGAAGATACCAGTAGCAGCCTCAGAGATAGGATGCAGGCCCTCTACACCATATCCAGCATTTCGGGGGTACCGCACGAGAGGCTTGATATGTGTGCCTTGCACCACGGTCCGTAGATGGTCGTTGAATCCACTGAGGGGAGCTGAAAGGAATGGTAGCTTCCATGTATTTTTTTGAATCTCCTTTCTATCATCTTCGTCCTTGATGTATTTCTTCAACGTGTCTGGATCAACAGAGCTGAAGAGTTGGTCAATGGCTGCTTGTAGAGAGAAATTGGGCTGAGGCAGAAGTAAGATGCGTCCAGACAAGGGCCGGCTGTCGGTAATGGGAGGATTGAGAAGATCCTTATCGGAGATTCCTAGTCGCCATTGGGGATCGAGCTTGGCTTTCTGCTCTTTGATCATGCCCCAATCCTTCCAAGGAATATGGAAGTATTCAGCGCCCCATTCGAGGAACAGCGGCGCCCAGGGCTGTGTCTCGTTCCAGTCATCTCGAAGAGGATCGCTATCTTCCCCATGGAGGCCCTTATCATGATATAGAGGCAAGAGTTCTGGAGCTTTTGGCTTGACCAATTTATCGCTCAGTTTGACGAATTCCTGGATCAATTTTTCGGCTGTGCCCTTGAGTTGTTCGGGTAAGACCTTCAGGCAATACGCTTCCATATTTAGCTTTTTCTTGGAATCATCGTCAAGTTTGACGAACTGGTCGTCTAGTCGCACTTTCAACTTTTCCAGATAATCATCAGGCCATCCAGCTTGAATACCAGCTACCAACAAGGTGGGATCACGAGGCTGACTGAACTCTGGTAGAACTCCTTCCTGAGGTTTCTGAGTGAACTTTGGCATCAGAACCTTTGTGATATAGTCCTTTTGGTGACCGGCAATAGATTGCAAATATTCTATTTGGTTCTTCAAGTAATCGATGTCCCAATGTTTCTTGTTGCCTGTTGTTGCGCTGAAGTATCGCCACCAGTAGGAGAACATTGTCCATCGCATTTCAATTATCTGTCGACTGATGGTGTCCACGACTTTCTGGGCATTGTTAAGCTGCTCTAGGAGCTTGATATCATCATCCGAGGGTGTTGTGACCTTCTCTCCAGGTTGACTTTGGATGTACCAATGCGAACCTCCAGACTCTCTCGAGAAATTCCAGTTCTGAACCTCATCCATCGCCACCCGATGCGCGTCCACACCTTCATCCTGCGCTCGTAGAAGTGGCCCTAGCATGTGGATGTCCTTTTCTATCCTTCTTTGTGGGTCTGTTTCATGGTCCTCATATTGAAAGCTGTCGACATAGGCCAGCAGCGAGTCAATTGGGGTAGTGCCTACCGTCACTGGCATATTATCGAGCAGGTGGGTAGACGCCTCTTGGGCTGGCATGTTGTCTGGCTTTTTTGTCCGATTCCAAACAACGCTGTACATGGCACCGTGGCAGAGACTTTGCCCAGGTCTGTCTGAATCTAGCCAATCCGTGATTGCCTTGGGCCAGTTGCTGCCCTGCAACTCCATCTCCAATGATTCCAGACGCTTCCGTCGGTCGAGCTTTGAGCCTGCGGTTAAATCACCAAATGGCCCTTTGGTGGCATCTGAATGCCACCCGAGGACGTAGTAATCTGCCTTAGCGCTGGTGAGCTGAGACGGACTGTCGTTGACAGTACATTTGAATGTATCCACGGTTGAAAAGACATTGCTGCAATGCGGCTGGTAATCGAGGAAAAGCTGATTTGAACTGCTAATCGCTGTGAGATCGACCCGTTCGGGTTTGGGTTTGCTTGGAGTGGTACTTTCATTCCACTCCTCCCAGTCATTTGCTTCTTTTTTGTACCCGATGAAGACCTCTGCTTGCTTCGCTAGATTGATATGCCTGACGCTCTCCTTGTTAGTGGTGATGTAGGGTGAGATGTCCACCTGAAGGTCTGCGTCGACCAAATCTTCGTCGTCAATCGAACGCACACGGTCACTTTCCACGACCCATGCCGCCACTTCATCAATCTTCGCGGTCTTGGGCTCAATAGAACTGGTATCAAGTTTCCGGATCACTAGCCACCGGTTGGGCAGTGCTCGGAAAGCGGGTGAGGCATAATCTTCAGGATTCTCCGCGTGGGTTTTGCCTAGTCCCTTTGCTTTAAGCTCCTCCGTATGCTGCGGGTGCGCTGATGGAGTCGCCGCTGTTCCTGTGCGGTAAAAGCGAGGCATAATCCAGTGCAGATACACGCCCATGCGGTTTTCATGGGGTTTGCCCGTTCCCAGATCATACAGACGCGGGTTTGTCTGTGCCGGAAATGCATTGTGCAAATCTATATGATCGAGAATGTCATTTTGGATTAGACTGTCGTCAAGTTGCAAGAAGGTATAGTTGGGTTGGGTGATCGGAGCGATCTTAGCATCTTTTTCAACTTTGCCACAGACCTCTTCGTTCAGTACGAAAGCGTCGAGTTTCAGAGGCACTGCGAGATTCATAGAGTCTGCCATATTGGCTTGTGAGATGAGGGGGAAAACAATGATTACAGTTACATTTTGCCCAGTCGTCGTATCTTAAATAGACGGCACATATTAACCGGGAAGGTTGGGGGTTAATTTCCACGCACTAGAACTATCGAGCCATTTGACTAGAGCAAGGCATGTGTCATACCCTCAGCTCTTTGGATCAGCTGTAGTCTTCTGCAACTGGTGACGTGTTCGTCACATTCATGCCCTAGACAGGTCCGTACATGATACTAGAAAAATGTTCGACCGCAGCCGCTATATCAGAACACTTTATGGAAGCTCGCAAGCATTTTTTCGAGACGGAAAACTCATGAATTGTTTGACTATTCGTTGGAATTGACAGACTGCGATTGCATGCAGATGATGATAAAGAGGAGAAACAGGAAAGAGAACTCAGAGGGGTAGAACACTTCGAAAAGGGAGCTAACTGCATCTGCTTTAGTTCCTCCGGAAAACACCTTTTTCCTTTACCGACGGTACAGTTACAGTACATGGATACGAAATCTATTCAAAAACGAGGTTTTCTAGTTAAAACATCAAACTAGGTGTGATATTGGACACTATGTCCTGAATCTAACTGCTGGCACTACCTTTTGTCCATGGCTGGTCCAAGGTTGCCTTATACACCCCGGAATTGTCATTTGGGACATAATACACGTAGTTGGTGTCGTCTTTGTTGGCCACTGTTAGCAGTGACCAGTCGGCCACTTCGTCAGCCCCTTCGACAACACCGGCCTCTGTTTTACCAAGAGTGCCATTTCTGTCAATCTCCCCAGTGACACTACAGAGTCTATGTTTCCGATCCACATAATACACCGTGAAACGCAACACGGTTTCACCGGTAACCTTCTTACTCGTGTACGAGTTCACAGTCAATGGACTCGCATCCCCGATATTACCCGTGCCGTCGAGAAAAAGTGCTATACACCCAGATCAGCTTCTGATTTGCCTCCCAATGGATGATGGCCTGACTTACGGGCGTTTGGGGTACGGGTTGAGAGGTAATAGATTTGATCATCACCCCAGAAAATGTAGTGGTAATAGAAGGCAAGGGCAGCTAGATTGCTGTTTGTAGCTGGGGTGACCGCTTTATAGCTTTTTATAGTCGCTTGGTCGGCGTTGTTCTTTTTGAGTCCACTGGGGTTAAGATGGAGTTCCTGCAACACGTATGGGTCGGAGGCGGTGCTATGTTTCTGTGCGTTAGAGGGAAAGATTTTCAATTCGGAGGGAAGTTGACTGACCTCCTTTGGAAAAAGTAGACAAAGTAATCCTGCTTTCCTGGTACCGAACAGGCGGCTAGTGCTTTGTGGTCGGTGGCAATCGGTTTCCCATCGGGGTCGACGATGGGATTGTAGTATGGACTCAACCTGCTGATGACATTCTTACTATCTGTGGTTGTGGTGGTGCCATACACGACCGGCTGATAGAGTTAGCATGGGATCTGACTGATAATGGACACATTTTACCTACTATACTGTTCTGAATGATGCCAGCAAAGGAACCAGCTTCCCAGATGTATCCCTTCTGGGTTGAATTCCCCTGGTAATTGCTGTAGATATTCTTTTGGTCAACATCACGCAATTCCAATGCAATTTGGCCGTTTTCCACAGTATACAGCTGGTGACAGTCTGCATTCGCAGGATTGGCAAGAACAGCAACAGAGCCAGACATCTTTGGTTTGGGAGGGGTGGGGGTTGGGGTTGTCATTTTAGATTTGTCTCATTTGGTTGAATATGTCGAATTTTATTAAAATAAATGTTAACGATTTGATGTTCTACGACTCCTATATAGTTGTGAATACTTCATAATAACTTTGGGGTTGACGCACGTTCAGCTAGCCATCGTCAGGATGTGACAAAGAGATTGCCTTGAACGAGATCACATTCGCAATATTCAGCTGACGACCGACAATCCTACGGTTGGCATCGTAAGATTGGACATCAATGCAGCGCTATTTTCCCGTCACTTTACGATTCGCATGTTGCTGCATCTACCCCTCTTTGCAACACGACGTTGTAGATCTTCGGCATGATACCGTTCGTATGGTACATGCCGTATATAACATACCGTACCAGTTCCATTGTATCTTACAGTACCGTAAGCTGCGTAAGGAAGTATTCTTGTTGCGTCCATCAAATATACTATCTTTGTTCGATCGCACCTGCCCAAATTATTCACTTTCATTTTCTATCGATCAGTGAGGCTGCTTCCCTTTGAGCTCATCAAAATGGCCTCTGATCTCCGTCGCCCGCCTAGAAACCCAACTCTGTCGCCGCGTCACCTTGCACTGCGCCATGTAAAGAAACAATTGCGAGCGCTAGACGCCACAGTTAAAGATGAACCACCACCGATTCCCCATGGCAAAGAGCAGTTGTATTCGTTCTATGTTCCCGGTCTCCAGGCAGGAGTACACACAATTACCGTTGAGCAGGAAATAAAGACTAGACAGGGAACTCAGGACCAAGAGACACAAACACTCCCCGGAGAGCATGATTTCAATGTCATTGCACCCCGTTTCTCTCTACCTGAGGGGGCTCTGAACTCCTTTTACCCCCCACAAGGCCATGCAGATCGGGGTGAAGTCCTCCCCAGCGTTGTCTTTAACGACCCGACTTTACCTTGGGAAAGGGAAGCAAGTCAGAAGAAGGCTGGACAAGGTGTCACGGATTATGCTCGAAACCGTGTGCCCTGGCTGGCTGTGTTTTTATTCACCCAGGAGGAGCTTCGATTGAGCAATGAAGAACTCGACACGGTTTTTAGCGACCCTGGTCTCAAAAAGCAAAACTTGGCTAAACAGAGTGCGACTCTCAGCACCACTATGCTTGCCCGGGATACCCCGAGATTGAACCAGAATATCACCAACAATTCCCCCATCATATATGACCAAAGCGATGGAGATGCAAAGACAGATGTGATTTTCCTGAGAAAAGAGCTCTTCACGTCCCTCTTCGCTGAGTATGGTTCGGACGGAAAGAAAAAGGACAATCCGAAATGCTACGTCCGGCACCATCGTTTCCTCGCTCATCTTCGTCATATCAATCTCGATGGAACGCCCACGGCAGGGAAAACGGACAATGATGACCATGTTTATTCTGTTGTTATGAGCCATCGTATTGGTACCCTTGAAATCACTAAACCCACCCCCGTCGTGGCTCATCTGGTCAATATCGAGGGAGTTGAGCGTATGGACTCCTCATTTGACCAGACGTTCGTGGCAATGTCCTCCTTATATTCATGGGAGTATACCTGTCTTCCACCAGATTCCCTCAATATTGAGGATGCCTTTGCGCATCTAGGCAGCTCTCTCAATGTGCTCAAGCCTATTCCCATAAATAAGGAAACGAAGGGCACCAAAGCCACCACAGACGACAATCCTAAGATCATCATTGATCGAATGAATCTCAGGGTCAATGACGGTTTCTCACTGCTCAGATATCGTATTCAAACAGGAGAAGTCACTGCAGCCTTTTCCAAAAGTCCTTTCACACCCAAGGCAGTGAAATTCAACGACCCTTTGTGGCCCCCAAGCGCAACCACTGGCACAAAGCTACAAATACTTGATCCAAATTTAAATCTCATGGATATAACCTACTCAGCTGCCTGGAATTTAGGAAAGACGCTAGGATTAGCTCATCCCGAGTTTGCTACGGCGCTTGCCCGGGTTCGAAAGCAAATCTTCGATATGGGAATGAACGATGCACAAATGAAGAGAATACAACAGCGCAGTAAAGAATTGGGAATTCCCACGATGTTCAAAACTCGCGAACAGGTTCTTGCAACCCTGAAAGATACAGTCACGAAGCTGAAAGATCTCCCGTTTGATGCGACACTTAAGAGCAAGCCTGATGGTATGGTCCGACGATGGCATCGCCCGAGCATGCCTCCTTTAGATCTCTCATACCACGGACCAGATATCAGTGCAATTATCAGACCGTGTTTTCGAGAGGCCGCCAAGAAAATCTCGAGTAGCATCGAAGACTCTAAAGTTTCTGAAGTTCCCTACAACGAATTTAACATGCCGTATTCGACTGACTGGGCGGTTGTACTACGTTGGATCATGGACCGGTACTTTCTCGTCGATGTGCCTCCTCACTATTTGATCACAGATCCAAGCCATCTCCCTATGGAGACGATGCGTGTATTTGCCATTGACCATGCCTGGGTGTCTGCTATGATCGACGGAGGTCTCAGCTTAGCAAATCATCTAGACCAAGACGATGATCGTGTGCGCAATGCCATCAAATGGGCGTTTAATAGATTTCTTGACTATGAATACCCCGATGTCAAGTATAAGCCTCTCACACCTCGTTATGGGTTTTACGTTCGATCTACCCTTGTTACAAAATTCCCTGATCTTATCGTGGGCATTGAAACGAAAACAGGAGACGGGAAAACCACAGTTCCACTCGATGAGGCGGAGCCCCCTGTTCTTTTGCGGCATGACATTGTCGACAAGAGCGTCATGTTAGGTTTGATGCGAGAGCCGCCCAAAGATGACGGGTCGATATCGTTGTTTCTACGACAGCCCCCTCACCAACAGTACTTCTCTGCCGCTGCCGATATTACTACCAAAATGATCAAGATGGAGTACAAACGCGTGTATACCAAACAGGATGTCAATGATCCGGACCAGCACACACCGATAGAATATACCTACCTCCGGGATTCGAAATCAGAGGGGCCTTCGCCGGCAGTTTTTATCTGGGGAACAGCAGACAATGTCCGTGTTTTGAACATTGAAGCTGTGGCTCAACAACACGTCGACGAATTGAATGACACGTATGCAAAGGTCAAACACCCAGAGTGGTACGATGACCCGACTCCCAATTCAGCCTTGATGGGGATTCAGTTGAGTGAACCTCAATGGCAAATCGAAATTACTCTTCCAACCAAAGATACCTTCCCAAACTTGTTCAAAGATGTTTCGAGAGATCTGCCTGTGCCTCCTGATCCCGACTGTGCTCCGTCGACTGTAGCCAAGGTAACTAGCAAGGTCGAATGCAGTCCTCATCCCGCTTTTGGCAATCGAAAAAGACCAGCCCCAATTGTTCCAACATATCATCCTCCACACGTCCGTCTTCCTCGCTTCATTTCCAATGCCCATACAGCCACCGAAAGTCGAGCCATGGTAGGACCGCCCAAATTCAAACACGGGCTTTACCCAGTGGGTCAAGTGGGGGAAACAATTCCCATGCTTCCTTTAGATAAGCAAGGACGTCCACAACGTCAAGACCTCATCTTTTCCATTGTCTATGAAAGCGGCATTAAAGTGCTTCTAATGACAAAGTTTGTGATCGAAATCAAAATGGGGACTTATGGTCAACTTATTAAGGATTACACCGGCACCGGACCATCAATGCTTTCTAATCTTCGATTCAACGTGATGCAACAGTTCGATCCTATAAACGACAAATTGGTGTTGACATTGGTACCTCGAAGTACCAAGCATTATGTACCTATCGGTAGCATTGCGGAAATGAGTGTTTTACTCAGCGGGGTTGTAGTAAACAGATATGAACAGGAAACGGAAGTGACGGTTGATGCGTGGGAGTATTACACCGATCGAGGGCCTTGGAAACGTCCTTTTAAGACGACGTTGGTTAAGCCGACTAGTACTTAGGGCTAAAGAGCTGAGTAGGTAGTCATCATGAGAAACTGAATTGGTTTCCACCAGTGCTCAAATGGAAAGTCAAATGATATCTTGCAACTCCAACATTATCATATCCCTATCATATATTAACATAAACAGTCTCAGGTCTCTGCGTAGTTCCCCAGAAAGTCATGAATTAATGATCACACAGCAAAAGCTCACCCATATCAAAGATCCAACTTGCCTCAACCATAGTAGTGGTTCCCTTCTCTATCAATTCCAAACTATAACCCTCGGCTCCATACATCGTAATCAGCCAAATATCAATATCCTTACTCACCATACCTTCCAACTCAATGGATTCCTACTCCCTAGAAATTGATGAATCATCTCCTGTCTTCCCCTCCACCTCCCTCCGTGGAGGAGGATTCCACCGACGAAATAACCGCAGCTTTAGATCCACTAAAAGAAACCAGAATCTTTCGGAGACCGACCCGCGAACAAGAACAGAATAGGAGACCTCGCCAAAACCCAACACAATCTGGGCTAAGCTAGGCTACCCAGGTCAATCCAACTTTGACCCTAATTTCCCAGATAGACAGGTCCTCGGTAGTTATAACCTTGATGATTAATCTATATAGAAGTAAAATCCTCGTATTGGTGAAAGAGCTGCCGTTTATAGCAGGAATCTCAAGGGGCCATTTTCGGCGCCCTTATGCAACCATAGCATGCTATTCTTTGAGAAGCCACTGGACCAAAGGTCACATAATTAAGCTCTGTCTCAGCTATACCAGGATTCCAAATATATATAATTTTATGCTCGAACATATTCAAGTATATATATATATATACATGTATTTGTCAACTTGGACTCAGGTACTACATATTGAATATCTACATATATAAATACATACCTGTGTCTCTCTATATCTTACAATTCCTACTTTCACATATATCTGCTTTTATTATGGCTGGTAACTGAAAGCAACTCGAGCTTGGCAGTATAATCGCCACAACAAATCTGATTGGGCAAGTAACGCGTCCGGGGTTGGATCGGGTTCGGACCGAAGTAGATTATTTACGTCCCAGCGGTCCCACCCATCGATTCCGCGGGATCCAAGAGATATAATTCATGCCGTCGAGGGATCATCTTGTGTCTAAGATGAGCTTACTCAAACAGAGAAAAGGTAACAATGGCGAGACTAGCCAACAGCCAGTCGCAGTTCCGCGGGATGCAATTAGCCGTCCCTCATTGCAAGTATGCAGCAATTGCAAGAGGTACGGGGTAGACCCATTCAATTACAGATCCCACCAATGCTAACTCACTATGGATGATCAATCTAGATTGAAACGAAAGTGTAAGTGGAGTTTTGTCTAACCAGTAATAAATTGAAAACAAGTACGACTCACCATGTCGTTTGAGGTGACCGGAAGCAGTATTATAAGAATCGTCACAAAACGTCGGACAAACCGGCCTACAGTGAGATTAGTCATCGTTCTGTATGCTTGCTATTGGATTTATTTCGTGTCATGCTTCTCAGGTGCATGTCATCAAACAACTAATCAGCTCTACCTTAGAGAGCGATGCTAAATAGTATACAAATGCCACAGCATGAGGGACCGGCCCTGCTTTGTGTTATCATAAGAAAATGGAAATGACAAAAAAAGGAAGAGAGGAAATGACATGGTAAATATCAAGCTTGGGTCCCATATCTGTTAAATAAACGGGCAACACCACAAACGATATTCTAGAAGCAGTCGATAGCTTAATATCTTAATATCATAAACTGGCTGTCGATATACTACCGTTACTGGTGGGGAGGTCGGGCAATTGTAAATACCAAATATGAAGGTTTTAGTTTGTTAATGACCGCAACAGATGTATATTATTCAGTTTCTATTTGCTGCTCACTTTCCATTGACTGTCCCATATCATCTATCTCACCAAGGACTTGGACAAATAGCATTACACAACTATAACAATGCGGGTGGTGCAAGCCGTCATTTCTCATCATCCGGGTTTGTAATTGGACTTAAATAGTTATCTACATTGAACATTGTAACCTAACATCGAATAGCGAAGTTCCATGACAATATATTAAGAAATAATTAAATGCAAACCAATGATGTTGTGAATGGCAGACTATGTGTTGGTGGAGTTGACATTTGTAAGGTGCTGTCCAGGGGGAAATGGATGGGTTCTTTTAAGCCGGAATTGGTCGACGGGTCCTTCTTCGGCAGGTATGAATTGCCAGTAAGAGAAAAGATTCCAGTCAATCAGTCCTATTCCATCCTCCCCGGTTTCAAAGACCTTATGATGAGCCAGGTGGCTCACATTCCCATAAGCATTCATCGGGTGCACCAGCGTTTCGTGTTTTTGACTGGAAGGTTTGGAATGAAATCATGAGTAAACTTGTCAAGTAACGGAAGGAAATGCTACAATTGTTTCATTGCGTAAACAGAAAAGGCAGGATAGCCTCAGGTAGTTTCCATGTTGCAGGCTGCAGCTTGCATACGAAGCCGGACTGGAAAAGCATGTCAAACGGCACCCATGGCGATAGTGTACTCAGAAAATATAAGGAACACGTCCGTCTGAGGTTGCAAAAATCTATCGATGTAGTCCTTGCGCCACTCATCCTCATACCAGCAGGTGTAGAGAGCTTTGCAATACTCCCAATAATCCGGATACCATCCTGATTGCTGCCAGTCCACAATGACCACCCGAGCTGGACTGGTAGAAGGGACAATGATATTGCGCCGATGGAGATCTCCGTGAGTCAGATTAATCTCTCCAGTATCCGGTAAGAAAGGTCGGTTAGGGTCATCGTATTTGACTCCAAGACGTAGTTGATGCAAAGCAGCAAACCAGTCGTTAAAGTCCTTTACGCTCGAGAACGGGCCTGTTTTCGGCTGGTAAACAAACACGTAGTCCGGTAAATGTTCGTGGTTTATTGATCCTATGCAGGCGTAAGTCATTGATTATGTGCTTCGTCTTCAATCATACCAATAAACCGCTCCGAGGGGTCCTGTTCGAGTCTGCGTAACTTTCCCGTAATCTGGGAGAGCTGGTCACCTATGGCTCTTTTCTCGATAATACCAAGAGAGTCCCAGAACTCTTCGAGGGTCGACTCCCTGATCAGCTCCATATAGATGAAGGTATACCCATGACTATCAACGCGCCAGCCAAATACCTCGGATACGGGAATGTCGTCACCAAAAACCTTTTTAATCATCCAAAGGTTCAGTGCCTCGACGGTTGTAACATAAGGGCCAAACTTCACAATCAGGCCGAGCTCCTCATATTTCACAGGCGTGGGTTGCGGACGTGTATCAACATCCTTGGACAAGGCTCGCACTTGAGTTGGCGTAGGAAGTTGCCGGTCTGGACCGGCGGTGAAAAACGCCGTATCGATGAAATCGAGCTCTTTTTGCTTAGAATCAGGTAATCAAAGTGAGATAGACTTATCGCCGAGTGAATATAGGACCATCTTAACAGTAAGGCCAATATGATAATTGTCAATAAAAGAAATATGTGCTTCATAAGAACGCGGGGAATGTGGGAAGCACGTGCTCCAAAGCCTTAAGAAACTCAGACAGCCCGGACTGTTGGAATTCTGTTATCTCGCTATTTTTAGGAAATATGTTTGTTCTTCGAGACCTCGCGTTATTACCTGCCCGTTTATTTTTTCATAATCACCCTAAGTCGGAATATCCGGTCCATCAGATGCCCAAATGGAGGAAGATTTGTTTTCGACACCCAAATGTTTCAAGATGGTGTTTGCGCGCTTAAGGATTCAGAGCTGCCACGTTGAATGCCATTATTGCCTGGAATGGATAGAAATAAAAACAAACGAGGCTGAAACTGATGTGATTGGCTGAATCAGATCTAACTTTGAGGCTGAACTTAATGCATGAACACGTTGTCTTTGGCGGTTAACACAGCCAATCAGATTGTTGATACTATATGGAATATTTATCTGTTCTGGCAGTAGATTTGTTATTTTTGACAAATTTAAGATATATAATCAGGATGACATTCTCCTAATTTTCTTCATTCAAAGCATTCATTTCTATTGTCTTTCATTCATTGATCACAAGATGCACCTCTATATTTTATTCGTCATTCTCTTCAGTCACTATGGATTCTCCTCTCCTTTGAACGAGACCAGTACTCTATCTAAGGAGTCATTATCCAACTCCACCGATCCTTTTGTCATGTCCCCTTCAAATGAATCTGGCTCAACTCCTTCTCTTCCCGATTCTGGTGATGATAATGAAGCAAATCACCCCAAGACCTTCATTCCACCGGCGAATACTTCTACAGTTCAACCACCCACTCTCGTTCAATCACAACCAGTGCTTTTAAGCTCTACCACCACCTCTGGCCATACCGCGTCGAAGACGAGACCAACCATCCTTCTATCTTCGACTTCAACGAGCTACCACACATCGACTGCCCCCACTGCGGACTCGAATCCACCTCAGAAAGCCCCAATTCAGCCAACAGATCTGGGTAAATCGTGCGTATGCAGCTGTAATTGGGAGGTGAATACCCATATTACATTCGATTTTCGATGATAAATCACATACTCTGGGGATATGCAGCGTTGCGATAGAAAGTAAATCTGCTGTATGGATACACCGGTAGACTGGAATATGCCATTCCTTCTCCTGGTGGGATGGACTTGGATGTATTTACTTCTATACTCGGGTGATGATTATTTTGCGCACTGTGTATTTAGAAGAATGATTGAATCAATGATGATTGAATTACCTTTTATCACTCTGCATTAAGAGAATATTTTCGCAATAAATTAGTTTTATTCGTAACAATAATTGAAAAGTTCTACTTTCCTCTATAAGCACAAGGCTGAAGCACGTGCTGGCTGGTTATAGGTCAGCTGAGCTGCATCCTAACCGCCAGCCTCGTCTTGAACCTCATCTCGGCCCGTTCGAAATACGACTGCACTGACTCATTCCAAACGCCAACGCTGAGATGGTTCTCGACCCGATGACAGCGCTCAGTGTTGCGACCTCAGTCGTCCAGTTCGTTGACTTTGGAACCAAACTCATCTCAAAAAGCAGAGAAATCTACAAAAGTGCAGATGGCGTTCTTGCCGATCATGCCGAACAGGCTGCAGTTTCCTCGAAACTGGCTGATTTGACCAGGAGGTTGTCAACCTTCGCTGATGGATACGAAACAAAACTCTCATCCGCAGAGAAGGCATTGCAGGAGGTCGCGCTTGACTGTCTTCAAGTTGCCAATGAATTCGGCTGTGCTATTGACCAGCTGATGGTTAATGGCAAGCATCGCAAATGGAAGAGTTTACGTCAGGCTCTGAAGAGCGTATGGAAGAAGGAGGAGATGGAGGAGCGGCTTGTCAGGCTGGATCGCCTTCGCCAGCTTGTGATTGTCCATCTTCTCGTGGTGATCAAGTATGTGTCTGTTACATTATTGGTGCAGCTGACTGATTCGTCTACAGTGAGGGACAAGGCAAATCATTTGCTGGAATCACTCACGATGTCAACCGGATGGAAAGTCGAATTGTAGCAGGAGTCTGCCAGAGCATAGGCGAAATGAAACAGCAGGTGGACGATTTGAGTGAAACACTGTCAAAACTTGCAAAAGAGCAATCTAACGACCGCCATGACCATTCTGAAGAAATAATTGCAAAAGGACAGCTGGTGGATCGATGGCTGGAACAAAATCAAGCGGCACTTTCCCATATTATTGAAAATGCAAATGTGAAGAACGCCCAAGAAAAGAGACTATCATACCAACAAAAGGTCCTCGACAGTCTGTACTTTGGAAACATCGACGATCGACAGAATATGATCGACCAAAAGGCTCAAGTGACTTTGAATTGGGTGTTTGATCCACCATCTGAGATGCCGTTGCAGTGGACTGTGCCTTCCTGGCTGCACTCTTCCAACGGTCTATACTGGGTGTCAGGGAAGGCAGGATCCGGCAAATCGACGATGATGAAATGGATTCTCCACGAAGACCAGACAAGAAGCATTCTAGAGTCTTGGGCTGGCGATAGAAGACTCCTCGTAGCCCAATATTTCTTCTGGAGCTCTGGTACCGATATCCAAAAGTCACTGTTGGGCCTTTTACGCTCTCTTTTATATGAATTGCTTCGACAATGGCCCGATGCAATACCATATATTTCTCCTGCTCGATGGCGTTCATACGATCTGGATCTGGCGCACTTTCCCACATGGACGAATGCTGATTTGGTTTTTTCCATTCGAAACTTTTTCCGACATGTATCGCCGAGTGCGTCTGTCTGTATCTTCATTGACGGACTGGATGAACTTGATGGAGACGATGACCAACGGCTCGAGGTAATCCATCTCTTAAAAGAGCTCTCTGGTTATCCTCATGTCAAACTGTGCATTTCCAGTCGACCGTGGGAAATATTTAAGGATGCATTTGCTTCTTGTCCCAATCTACGACTCGAAGATCTGACTCGCAAAGACATTGAAAACTATATCAATGGAAAGGTCCAAGCTAACGAGACATTTCAGCTACTACGACAGAACGAGGACGATCTATGTTGCCAACTCGTAAATGAAATTATCGACAAGGCTCAGGGCGTGTGGCTATGGGTTGTTCTTGTCGTCCGTTCACTCTTGCGTGGATTGAGGAATCAAGATACAGCGACAGATCTGTTGGACAGACTGAGAGAGATTCCGGAAGAGGTGGAAAAATGCCTTCTTCAGATGTTTTCCAAGATCGAGAGTGACTATCGTCTGAAGGCTTTGAAGCTTCTCAAGATCTCTCTGAATAGTCCACCCGGGCTATCTCTGATGACGTGTTGCTTCATGGACGAGGAGAGTTTGTCTGGAAGGGAAACACCAGGATTTCCTTATTCAATGCCAATAGAAGTCCTTCCTGAAGATGAAGTCATGGAATGGCTCAAACTGACCGATAGTCGTGTCAACATCGTCTGTCTGGGTTTGTTGGAAACCATATACAGGCCAAACCACCATCTTTTCTTTCGACATGGAGTCGAATTTCTGCATCGAACAGCACGGGATTTCCTCGCCGATTGCAATACTCAAAAGTTGATCGGAATGGAGTCAGTCGCTTCTTTTAATGTCAACGAGTTCATGTGTAAAGCACTGCTTGCACAGATCAAGATCTCACATCCAACACGGCTGCTTCTGGCCGACTTTATGTACTATGCAGCACGACTGGAAGATGAATCCGGATCACCCCAGCGTCTACTTGACCATCTGAATCATGTTTTGGATCTCCAACGCGATCAAGACTACTCGGATGATTCATTGCCAAACTGTTCTGTCAAAGAATGGCGGTGCGATAACCAAGGTCCTGTTCCTTTGTTGTCAGTGGCCATCCAGTACGGCCTCACTAGATATGCCAAAGATCATCTGACACTATCACCTGCACTCGTCATGAAGCAACCAGACAGGCCTCTCTTGGATTATGCACTTCGAAGGCGAATTTACAGCACATCTTTAGGACAGGCAGAGCAACTGGACCACCCAGTAGGGGGTTCCCGGGACCAACCTGATGTCGAGCTCGTGCGAATGATTCTGGAGCAAGGTGGCGATCCAAACAAAGCATTTGGTAACTCGACGGTCTGGAGGTACTTTCTGGAATTTCTAGATATCTTCTCCGCTGATCTCCAGAGCTTGGATGAAAAAGAAAAAGAGCCCTGGATTGAAGTTACAGAATTAATGATCCGACACGGCGCAGTCCGCGTTCTGGAAACAGAAACTGTCATACCACGACAATCGACAGGAAGGACTCGAGTTAATCTTTCTCAGCGGCGGTTATTGGCCCGTCGTAGTGTTTCAGCAGCTTTTGGAGAGGAGGAAGCAGCCAGACTGGATTTACTTTCTTGGTGGTTGAATGCGACTGGACAGAATTTGGTAAGGAGGGTTAGTAGGACGATGAGTTCCTTGTTCTGATCTATGCATTCTTCTGTTTTATACTAGTCCACGACCTTATAGGCTACCATATGTAGATAATTAACCCTTAATAAACTGTTTTGGCATTCAGCAACTCAGTGTTTTTAGCAATATCCCCAGTCTTCTTATACCTTCGACCAATCTCTCTTCCTCCACCCACATGAAACACAATCTCAGCCTTTGGTGTACATCACTCTTAGTAGCAGCCCCAGGTACTGCAAAAAGATTCCCATTCCCTAGCATAAGATTCTGCTGTTTCAATGCCTCTTCACAAACCGTGGTGGCATTCAGCGCACCAGGAAGCCTAAGCCAGATATAATATCCACCCGCCGACGGGCTATATGAATCAGGATAGAATATAACACCAAGCGGGACCAGGTATCTCTCAATCACATCTTTCATCAACTCATACCGCCGACTCCCCGTCGGTATGATCGTGTTGGTAATATACCCCGGTAGAAAGTCATCACGGAAAAGGTCATGAACAAAAGTCGACATCAATTGCGAAGGGGCACCACCGGAAACCGTCGATCCACTATCCACCAGTCAGACAAGACAAACCATACCTCAGAGAGAACCTACGCCTGAGAAAGACCATAAACAAAATCCTCCATCCCCTCCGCCCATCCAACACGACATCCCGGACCGATCAACTTACTAAACGAGCCGTTACTAACGACGTTCCCAAATCGATCAGCTGGGCCAGAGTCAAGCGTCCGATCTATATCGACAAGACGGGGTAGACGTGGCCCACTCCAGTGTAGGAAATCATAAACATCGTCACATATAACAAGGGCGTCGTATTTCCGTGCTACTCGGATGAGGGATTCGCGGCGGGGCAATGACATGGTCGTACCGGATGGATTGGAGAATGTCGGGACGAGGTAGATGATGTGTTTGTATATCTTTCTATATGGTCTGTGGGGTTTGGTTGGTTTCTTCGTCCATTAGCAGGGTTATTTCAGATAGGGTTCAGGAGATATACATCACAAGCAGCAATGGTGCCATCAAATCCATCCAAAGCCCTCTCAAGCGCATCGACATCCATCCCATCTGCGTCCTCGGATATCCCTCTTAATCTCCCAGAAAACCCCGCATCCTCAAACACCCGAAACACAAGATGATACGTCGGCTCAACAAGCCATATACACTGTGTCTGGGCCGGATCTGTAAAAACCTGCAACACACACGCTAGATTCTGACTCGCGCCACCTGAAATGCAGATTCGTTCGAGTGTGACTGAGTGAGTGGGTGTGTAGCATCCAGTGAGCCAGGTCGCGATGCTCTCTCGTAGTGGGAGATATCCTTCATCTGGTCCGTAAGCGCATCCTTGGGAGGATATTGACTCGTTTGAGAGGGAGGTGATGGCGGCTTGTTTTAGACGTTCAGTTGGTATTATGGCTGGCGCTGGCCAGCCTTGGAAAAGGTCGATTTTGTCTGGTTGCATTTTCAGTGTGGCAGCTTCAATATGAGATGTGTCTAAGGTACTTCTTGAGCAGTCTTTATAGTCCTTAGGTTTTTCATGATGAATACGAATCTCTGGCCAATCCGATTGCTGGGATGCAGTATAGTGGGGCGGTGGGATAGCTGTATTTGCAGCTAGCCAATTACCGCATGCATAACGCTGCCAGTGGGCCTAGCCCTCCTTGGACATATACCCGATCCAACCAATGACAGACAGTCTTCTCCTTTGCTTCCATGAAGCCAATGTTTTTTGATCAAATCTACCATGAGAAATATCGTTATCAGAGCCAAAATCACTTCGATCAACCAAAAGAACTACATGATTCAATACCCTACTGTTTGTCGAGTGACGAGCTGGGTATAGGATAATGCCTACGTTTGAAACATGTCTAGCTGAGCGAAGCCACACGGTGCATATTGAAATTGCGTTCTCCCATCTGATGAAATATCTCAAGCTTAGGCTTCTGGTGCTGAGTGAGCCGTTTGATAGCAAGACGATTGGGAACAGTCAATAGATCCTCAAGGAATGGTTGATGAGTGAGAATTTAATCATCAATAACTATTCCTGTTGAAGCGACGACAGTGTGGTTTATCGATAAGATAACGATAAAATGGCAGAACCTCGGATCTCAGTTTGATGCCCCGCATGGCCAAAAACGGAGACCTCGGTTATTCACCATCACCATCACTTCCATACATCATACTACCACGTCTTCCATATTCTACAACTTCAATAACATCATCATGCCAGCCCTTACTCTTCATCTGCTCACTCTCCACCCCCACACAACTCCCAAAACATTCCTGAATCAACTCCGCCAAACCGTCCAGGTCATCGTTTCATCCCGTCCCCGTTACACAGTCATCCATCCCACGACGATCGACGCTGATCCGCTCGCCACGGAACAATGGGATCTTCTCGTCCTACGGGAGAATAAACCCCTTCCATCCGACCTGCAAAAGCAAATTCGCACCGAATACAAACTCACCGTGGGCGTGCCGTCGAAACTCCTCTCCACGTACGAACAGCGAGACGCGGAATTAAAACACACCCCTCCACCCCCTCTAACCGGATCGCTCGACAAAGCTCGCGAAAATGGTAAATCGTCGTCGCAGAATCTCGAACTCTCGCCGGATTTGCTCGCGTTCATGGATGAGCTCACACAGCATCACCCCGGTCCGGTGACAATGCTGAACCTGCTTCATTTCCATCCGAATGGGAAGCAGAGCTACTTTAACTACGGTCAAGCGTTTATCCCGGTCGCCGGGAAACGCGGCGGCAGTGCGAAACTCGTCGGGAATGTAGTCAAGCCGAAAGCAGGCCATGAAGCCGAGACAGAGTCAGACTCACGGGGGAGCATCGATCGACCCGAGTCGGAGTGGTGGAATGAGATTTCCATTGTGCATTATCCGTCTATTCGGCATTTCTGTGATATGCTTGCCGGAGAGGATTATCAGGCAATCAACGAGAGGCATCGGTTGTCGGTGAGTTATCCTTAATTAGATGAGTGAAATGAGTGAAATGAGATGGATGAACTGATATATATAGGCTCTGCGGGATACATTTCTCCTCTGCACAACCGAGGTGGATGTAGAGGCTAGATTGTAGATAGTAGATGTTACATGATGGGATGTCAAATATCACGATATTTATGATAGTGATTATATATTATTGACAATGGATAATGGAAATATGTAATTATAAAGATTGCAGTGGAGCAAAAAGCTTGACTGGCTTGGCGTGATAAAGCGTGTTTTCGCCGGTTATTGAATCTGCCGTGTTGCATCCCTGTATGTAGGATGGAAAGACTTTATTTCAATATATCATACTATTCATCCACATTGTGAAGACAGTCATGGGAGTATATATTGTCCAAATAATTGATAGACCAAGATTCTAGTTTATGTTGAGTAATGAGACCCTATGGCATTCCACTCGTAGTGGGACTTCCCCAGGTTTACGGAGGACAGCAATATTCAGATTACCTAAAAGATTGCCAGGATATTCTATTCATGATCTTTAATTAACTTAAGTACTGCTTACTGTACATTATTCAATGTTGCTTATGCCAGACATTGTCACATGGCCTATACTATCTCACAACAACAGAATACACCACGAGAATAACCTCCTATCGTCTAATTGACATCAATCATTGTCACCAGAATCATCAGAAGATAGACAATTCATGACACAATCAATCGCCAAACCGAGGCGCATCGGCCGGGTCCGATGGCTTTCTTGTGGGGAACAGCAGGAAAAGCGGGGAATCAATGTAACCGAAGTCGATCGCGAGTCTCCCTATCCTTGCCTTACATTGCCATGCGGACATGGGTAGACATGGGATGCCATGACATTTGCAGATTAGTTCTCGAAGCCAACCGGCTGCTGCTATCGTGTGGGGATGATCGGGTTGCAGACTCCCACGAAGGTCGATCAGGTTGATCAACGGCGGACGCCGAAGACCGTAAGCTGTCGATTTATATAATACACCAGATGGAAGTGTTCCGTGGGTAGACATTGCAGATGCAGTGAATTGAATCGACAAAATGGCACCGTATTTTGGCCTGAGAGGGCCTGCCCTCAATCGAGCGATTATCTGGCTGGTTGTCTGTCCGGCTTTCGTCTGTTATGGATACAATCAAGGCGTCACGGGCGGCTTGTTGACGCTCGAGTCATTTGCGTTGACGTTTCCTGAGATGAACACGTTGACTACGACTGGAGCGCAGCGGCATCAGAATTCGACGATCCAGGGTGAGTGTGTCTGTCTCTGCGTGGTGATGTAGCTAAGAAACAGGCACTGTCGTGGCTCTGTATACTGTAGGGGGCATATTCGGGTCACTCTCATGCATCTATCTTGGCGATCTGCTCGGTCGTCGTCGCGTCATCTTCATCACCTCCGCCGTCTCCATCATCGGCGCCATCCTCATGGCCACATCCTTCGGTCTCGCCCAATTCATCGTCGCTCGACTGGTTCTCGGGCTGGGAACGGGCGGTTATGTCGCTACCGTGCCGGTCTGGCAGGCGGAAATCTCCAAGGCAGACCGTCGGGGCGCACACGTCGTGACGGACGGGATCTTCATCGGTGCTGGCATCACCATCTCGCTGTGGATTGACTTTGGGTTCTATTTCGTCACTGGCAATTCGGTCTCGTGGCGGTTTCCTCTCGCCTTTCAGATCGTCCTGTCTCTCGTCGTGATGGTGTTTGTCGTGCTGTTCCCGGAATCGCCCCGGTGGCTGGTCAAAAGGGGACGACAGGAAGAGGCACGCGAGATCCTGGGGGCTCTCGCTGATCTGGATCCTCACGATGAGGCTGTCAGCACTGATATCCGCGATATCGAGCTGTCGCTTGCTTTGTCTGGGTCTGGATCATGGAAGGACATGTTCTCGATGGGCGAGCAGCGTCTCTTCAACCGGACTGTTCTCGCTGCGACTGCGCAGTTCTTCCAGCAGATCTGCGGCATCAACCTCATCACGTTAGTTGCCATCCCATATTCATACCGTGGTGCATACTGACCATCCAGATACTACGCAACGACCATCTTCGAACAATATCTCGGTCTCACACCCCTGCAATCTCGCATCCTCGCCGCCGCAATGACCCTCACCCAGCCCCTCGGCGGCTTCCTGGCCTTCTTCACCATCGACCGACTCGGCCGTCGCGTGCTCATGCTCTGGAGCGCAGCAGGCATGTCCATCTCCATGGCCATCCTCGCCGGCACAACCTCGGCAACACACAACACGGGCGCACTCGTCTGCGCCGTCGTCTTCCTCTTCGTCTTCGAATTCATCTTCACGGTCGGCTACTCGGGCTTGACCTTCCTCTACGCAACCGAGGTCGCCCCCTTACAGCTCCGCGCAGCAATCAGCGCCGTCGCAACAGCAGCAGTATGGACATTCAACTTCCTAGTCGCCGAGGTGACGCCTGTCGGATTCGACACGATCTCATGGCAGTATTATATCGTGTTTGCGGTGATCAACGCCGCCATCATACCCACGGTGTACTTTTTCTTCCCTGAAACCAACGGCCGCACCCTGGAGGAGATTGATGAGATTTTCCTGCAGTCAAAGACGGTGCTCGATCCGCCGCGGATGGCGAGGAGATTGCCCCGGATGCATATTGCGGATGCGCAGGTGGTGGATGTCGAGACGATCAAGGAGGAGAAGAAGGGTGGATAGGCTGGTCCTTACTCCTTAATGATTTATGAATTACTTTACTCTTTGGTTCAATGGTTATCCAAATCCTGCAATACGATAGTAACCTTCTCCTGATGAACATATCACTATCAGGTCAGGTATATTCGAATGCTCCAGATTATCAGCAATAAACCTTATAGTTTCATGTCCCCCTACAAATAATCAGCTGACAGAGCGTGTAATGTATTATAAAGTCTTGCGATTTGGCACATTTCTATTGATTAAAAGAAAATTGTAACATCGCTTAACCATATTATCAAGATCTATTTGGATCTATTAATACAGGAAATGCGATCATGTATCTGTTTAAAGAACTCCTCCTGGTCGCTGGCATCGCCCTCACAGCCATGAGTCTTCCTCAGGGAAACTCGGAGCTTACTCTCTGTTGCCGTTCGCTACTTCGCACCTGGTCCAGCACGTGCAACGTGTATACGGAATGGCGTTCGCGGCCGTCCGCCATGTGGAACATAGGTTAATTTCAAGTCAACTGGATTATTTATGGGATAGTAAGAGAAGGGAAATCTGAACATGAACCACCTTTACTAATGTCAGTAGCTCTGACTTCCTTATGAGACATGGTTTTGAATAATATATGATTAACTGTTGTTGAGCTCGCTATGGTGAAGTGACTGCGTTAAAATTGATCTAATATATTATTTCATCTCACTTGACTTCACTTAGAAAGCTTCAGTACTCTATTTCGTGAAGATTGGGTTTTGTGTAGATGAATCAATTTGGTTGTTGTATATGTGAAACATCCCTGAACTGACCATGTTTCATCTCGACAAATATAAATACACTCATCCCTTCTACTCAGATCAGCAAAACAAAGCAAAATGAAGCATCTCAATTACCTCCTCTCCCTCCCAGCCCTCGTCCACTGCGGCGACGTCGTCTGGAATGGTTTTTTCAACTCTTCCATAACCGTTGACCATTTTGACCAGTGTATGCCCTTACCCCCGTATTACTATATATAAATATACACTAATAAGATAGGGTCATGGTCCAACCAACTCGAACCCTTCCAGTGGTACATTCACGGGTCCGGCGCAACAAGTCGCTATCTCGGTCTGGCGCCAATGAACAAGAATCCCGCTGATGAGAGCGATGCGCAGGGGATTCGCATCACCATCGTACGTCTGCCAATGAAATAATACTTATATATACTAATAGTGCAGGACGACACCTCCTCATGGAACGGCCAGCAAATGATGCGTTCCGAACTCATTCCCCAGACGAGTGAGGATCTCGGCAGCGGCCATTTATTCTATCACTTTTCGCTCAAGACGAATAAGAAGAATGCCCCGAATCCGAAGTTTGAGCATCAAATTGCCTTCTTTGAGGTACCGTCCCTTTATCTTGATATAATATGTGGATGTTAATGAAAGTAGAGCCACTTCACCGAACTCCAATACGGCCAATCCGGAGGCAGCGACAACACGCTGAAATGGAACGCAGATGGGCAAACGCACTGGTCGACAACGCTGCAGCCGCGACAGTGGTATAACTTTGCGTATGAGATTGATTTCGACGCAAAGACGGTTGGACTGTGGGCGTCGAATGGGACGGAGGCATTAACCCAGGTGGTCAAGGGGGTGAGTGCGTCGACCTCGACCAATTCTGCCGATTGGCATGTTGGACAGTTGAGACTGGATAACGGGGATAAAGGAGGAAAGGAGGATTGGTTCTGGTCGGGGGTTTATGTGGAAAAGGGGCCGGTTACGACGAGTGTTAAAGGGCCTTCTTCTTAGGATTTTTGAATTGAATGAATATATTTGTTATTCATATACCATTATGTATACAGTCGTCAATCATACATCATAATTTACCGCACGCAGTATCCACCGTCAATAACAATATCACCGCCCGTCGTGTACGAACTGGCATCACTGGCCAGATACACATACGCGCCCTTCAACTCCTTCGCGTCGCCATTCCGACCCAACGGAATCATCGACATCCACAGGTCCTGCACCTTCTTGTCCACAAAGTCCGACAAGCCAGTGTCGATATATCCCGGCGAGATGCTGTTCACTCTAGCAAAGTCTCTCCACTCGTTCGCCAGCGACTTCGCAAGGTGGATGCACCCCGCCTTGGCCACGTTGTACGAAGTCTGCTCCTGGGGGAAGTTGACGATATGCCCCGACATGGACGAAGTAATAATGAACGACCCCTTGCCGCGCTGCTTAAAGTGCGGGCCCACAGCCTTCGCGCAGTGGAAAGTACCCGTCAAATCGGTCTGGATGACTTCCTCCCAGTCCTGGACCGATCCATCCAGAATACCCGACGAGGCAGTCTTGCCGGCGTTCGCGATGAAGGCATCAATCTGCCCAAAGTCGGCCAGCACGGCGTTCACAAAGTTGGACACGTTCTCCCAGTCGCCCACGTTGCACTTGTAGGCCTTGGCCTTGACGCCGTACGTCTCGGCGAGTTCTTTGGCGTTTTGCTCGCCTCCCTGGGGTCGGGAGGAGTAGGTGAGGGCAATGTTGGCGCCGAATTCGGCACAGCCGCGTGCGGCTTCGATGCCCATGCCTCTTGGGCCGGAGGCGCCGGTGACGACGACCGTTTTGCCCTTCAGACTGAAGAGGTCTGTGAGGCTGGAGGCTGCGGGGACTTGAGGCATTTTTGGAGTGCGGAGTATCGGAGTTAAGGAGGGGTAATCAATATGTACTAGTGGGTAGTGTGTAGTAGTATGTAGAATAATGGTAAAGAGTTAAGATGATTATGATTGATGATAGCCAGCGACACAGACCTACTTATACTTCATCAAACAGCTATGATATAATGACTCTGCCCAGAACCAAGTCAGAGACGTCAGGCCATGTCAAAACAAGTCAAAACAGCCACCGACAGGTCGATATCCGGGGTTGATCCTGTTTTCGATCGATGGTGATGTCATGACTCTGCCTTGGCTGCCAGATTCGGCCTCAGGCATTAATAGCTGCCTGAGCTATAAAGCGGAGCACTCGTGTCCGACAGACACCAGAATCCTTGTTAATTAATCTTCTTTAATAATGTCAGCTAAGTGGATGTGTTGTTAATTATGTTAGTAACAGCTTCAGAAACAGGTTTGATCCACTGTGGGTTAACGGCTCGGGTTCTACGGAGTCGGGATTGCGATTTTATCGATGCCGATATACTGCATAGTATGAGATGTAGATATGGCAGAATACAGCAAAAGCAGATAGAAGAAGGGGAAATCGAGAATAGAGGAAAGAGAAGAGAGCAGATGACATCAATAGAATATAAAAGAATGAAGAATATATTAATCCCTCTGCCATAAGATAAGATGCAGCGAATATGCAGCATCGGCATCACTCGGAATCGGTCCGTTCACCGGGATACCGACAAAGTATGCAAGCACTGAATGACGACACGAACTCTCCGAGCAGAATCTTCCTGCAGTCCTGGTCTCCAGTCTCCAGTTCACTCCAATGGAGAGTCTCCAATCTCCAGACTCCAGGGTCTGCTTAATCAGCCATGTGGTTTAAATTTCTTTTTCTCGACTGCACTTTGCAGTGATCAACTGGAACTATTGATTCTATCCGAAAGTATCACCCATCATGGCTGAAAACGGTACGCAGAATCAGCATCTCCAGATTCCACAGCCGCAGGTTCCTCCTCAGGTGGGGGATCGTGGTGGAAGGCCTCCTTTGGATCGGAGGAGATCGAGTGCGGTGCATAGCAACCATTTTGATGATTCGTTCAGAGGACGGTATGCATACCTTTCTTATGTTGGTGTATATACATACTTACGACTATAGAATGTCATCCTTCTTCCGTCGAGACTCGCAAATCGGCCAGTTTGGACGCCATCCGATGCGAGACAGCACCGAGCTGGAGATTCATACTTGGAATGGAAAGGATGATCCGGAGAATCCATTCAACTGGGGTCCAGGATATAAGTGGTTACTGACTGTGACTGTCTGCTTCATGTGAGTTCCATCTACATACATATACAATATATGATACTAATAAGTAGATCCATCCTCACTGGTATCCCAGCCGGTTCCTACGGTGCCGGGAATAACTACATGGAAGAACGCTTCCACGTCCAGAACGAACCCTTCCCCAATCTCGCCTGGGCCACCACATCCTGGAACATGGGCGCTGCCTTTTGGCCGCTCATCTTCGTCCCTCTTACGGAATCCTCCGGTCGCATGCCCGGCTACTTTGTCGCATACATCATCCTCATCATTTCGCTGTTTCCGTCCGCGTTTGCGCAGAACTTTGCCACGCTGGTCGTGACTCGCTTCTTTGGCGGCGGTGGCTCGTCTGTGTCCATCAACATCGTCGGCGGCAGTATCACGGATGTCTGGTACGGTGATAGAGCGCGTAGTCTGCCCATGTCGCTGTTTGGATTCACCAGTGTGGTGGGCATCGCGCTGGGCCCGTTCATCGGCTCTGCTATCCAGGCCATCCATAAAACCGACCAGTGGCGCTGGATCTTCTACATCCAAATCATCTATCTCACCGGCCTCCTGCCGATCTTCTGGTTCATTCTCCGTGAAACCCGCGCGGATGTCATCCTGTCCCGTCGCGCGAAGAAAATCCGCAAGGAAACCGGCCGCCCAGTCTACGCCCTCGCCGAGCTCAACACCACGTCCGTCTGGCGCCTCATGCAGATCTCCTTTGAGCGGCCCACGCGTATGCTCCTCACCGAACCGGTTGTCACCTTCTTCACCCTCTGGATCAGTTTTGCCTGGGGAATCCTCTACCTCTTCTTCAACTCGGTCGTGCAAACCTTCGCGGCAAACTACGGCTTCAACACCTTCCAAACCGGCCTCATCCAGCTCGCTATCTCCGTCGGCGCCCTCATCGGCACCGTCTTCAATCCCTTCCAGGACTGGATCTACTTCCGCTCTGCGGCGAACAATAAGGAGATCCCAGGAAAGCCCATCCCCGAAGCTCGCCTCTACACTGCTATCCCGGGTAGTCTGCTCTTCGCGGGCGGGCTCTTCTGGTACGGCTGGTCGAGTTTTCCGCACGTACACTGGATCGTGCCGACGTGTGGTATCGCCGCCGCCGGTGTGGGCATCTACTCCATCTACATGGCTGTGATCAACTACCTGACGGACGCGTATGAAAAGTACGCCGCCTCTGCCTTGTCCGCTGCATCATTGGGGAGAAACTCCTTTGGTGCTTTCCTCCCCCTCGCCTCGTATGTGCTGTTCAACAACCTCGGTTTCGGATGGGCTGGATCGTTGCTTGGGTTTATCGGGATTGCGTTGTCGGTTGTCCCTGTTGTGCTGGTGCTCAAGGGGCCGGCTATCCGACGCAGGAGTCCGTTTATGCGGGAGTCGACTTTTGCTGGTGACGAGGAGGAGACGGAGAAGGTCAAGACGGAGGTTGAGACTGAGGTTTGATGTATATACATACCCTGCCCGAGTGGTAGATAAAAGTTTGTGAATAGTCTAGTTGTCAATACTACGCGTTGCGTACTCAATATTCCGCCAATAGGAATTGAAACGGAAAACCACTCTCCGGCCAAGCATTTAAGCTTGAATTGGCCGGCCAATGGAAATCGCGTATTTGTAAATCGGTGCATGTGTGGGGATTCACGAGCCACGCGGCGCCAAGAATTCTGTATAGAACATTCTGCAGGCTGTTGACAGTAGTTTAACTGAGACTGAGACTGGATGTATTCGTGGACATGACGCGGCAGTAGATAGAGTAAAAGAAAAGATATATAAACCCGTCACTCTCTCTGCTATTCAATGGAATAGAATAATCATCAAGTCAAGCAAGATGCACTTCTCCAAACTCCTCCTCGCGACACTCGTTACTCCCCTTTTCGCCCATCCAGGCGAGAAACACGATCCCCACGCTGTGAAGAGGGAGATTCACACTCGGGATGTGTTGGCTTCGTCTGGGAAGCGGGCGTTAGACGCTTGCTCTACCACTCTCGGTGCTCGCCATTTACACGCGAAGAACGTCAAGCGTCGTGCGCAGACTGTTGATAGCCTCCGCAAGAAGCGCGGCATCACTGCTAGTAAGCTTCACCTATCTGGTATGTGTTGAGATATATTAATGATAGACCCCCAAAAATACCGCCGCGACCTCGCCGCCCTCGAAGAATGGGAAGCCATCAACCACAACCAAACCGGGTTGCTGGATTACTCGCCGCACACGCCCGAGTCTGTCATTTTTGCCGCGAATACCAGTTGCATTCTTACTCCCACTGTCACGGATGGGCCGTACTATGTCTGGGGCGAGGTGATTCGGCAGAATGTCAAGGAGGAAGAGCACTGTGATGGTGTGGATCTGTTCCTTGAAGTGCAGTATATTGATATCAACACTTGCAAGCCGGTCGAGGGGGCGCTGGTGGATATTTGGCAGGCGAATGCGACGGGTGTTTACAGGTACATCCCTCTTATGGATTTTTATCTATAGAAGAACGCTAATGGTAATGTGAAGTGGCATCTCCACCTCCGGCAACTACGCAGCAAACGGGTACAACTCCACCTACCTCCGCGGCATCCAACAGACCAACGCCGACGGCATCGTGACCTTCGACACCATCTTCCCCGGCCACTACGACGGCCGCGCCATCCACACGCACCTCCTCACGCATCTCAACGCCACCATCCTCCCCAACAACACCCTCCAAGTCGGCACCGGCAGCGTCACGCAGATCGGCCAGCTCTTCTGGAACGAAGACCTCCGTTCTGCTGTCGAAGCTACGTACCCGTACACAACCAACACGCAGGCCATCACCTCCAACGCAGACGATATGTGGAGTGTGGAGCAGGCGTCGAGTGCGTACGACCCGTTCCCGGAATATGTGTATCTGGGCGAGGGGGTGGAGGAGGGACTGTTTGCGTGGATCCAGATTGGGGTGAATGCCAGCAGTGATTATACGGATAATAGCTATTATAGCATTGCGGCTTATTATGATGAGAATGGGGGACATGCGAATAGTGAGAGTGTGATTGGAGGTGGAAGTGGTGGTGGTGGTATGGGGGGGATGAATGGGACGAATAGTACCATGCCGTGATAGGTAGACAGTGTACTATAGTGATATATCAGGATATTGCTTTTTCCATCTTGGATATACATAGACGTAGATCATGCTCACAGATCAATTAATCAATCTTATTCTTAAGATGCCTGACGATGCTTTAAGTTAATCCCTAGACAGCGCAGTCCTACTAGTGGTCTAGCATTCTACTAAACAGTACTAGACTGCACTAGTATTTCTGACGAAACGAGATAAAATCCCCCTTTTTAGTGCATCTGCATGTAATACTAGCGGGTGGATCCGGAGTTTCCCCAGCAGTCAGCACGAGTGCCAGACCATGTGCTGGACATGTTGTACATATGTGTACGTGAATTATAATCTGCAGAACGTATCTATCCAATGTCGAGAATACCAAGCGTCTGTTATGTAATTGGACGATGCAGAATGAGTAATCGCAAGGTGTTCCCTTCGGGGAATCCCCGTCGGCGATGAAACCGGAGTAGGCAAACTTAATCGTGAAGATCAGGAAGATTACAGACAAAGACAAGGCAGGACAGGAACGAAAAGGAGGGAATAACAATGGGAAGAGAGAACAAAGAAGAATAAATAGTGGACAATAGGCAAACATAATAAGAAATATAATTGAATTATATAATTATTAGAATTATTGCCTTCCTATGAATCATTGATTCTACAAACTCGGCACTAATTTAGGGCTGCTGCTATTGACCCGCAATTCCACCCCGTTGGGTTGCCCTGCTTTGGCCTCTTCTGCCTTTCCTCTTAAAGGATTGTCTCCCCCGGATTTCTCCCACCATGCTGCACCACCATGGCCGACGATGGCAGGAGCAAGGCCATCACCGTCGTCACGGCGGTTATGCTGGCGATCTCTCTCACCACAGTCTTACTACGATGTTTTGTACGATTAAGGGTTGTCAAGGCGTTTGGGTGGGATGACGCTACGATGGTTGCTGCGATGGTAGGCCTCCAGGTAATTGAGATCAGAAGGAATACTAACTGGATAGACACTCAATCTCGGATTCGCGATTTGCGGTCTCATCGGACCCAAGTATGGCATGGGCAAGAAGATGACTTATTTCGCATTCTATCCCGACCACTTCCATCGCGCTTTATTCGTATGTTCCCTTCCCCTCTTTCTCGTCATCCTACTGACTGCTCAGTGCTGGTGGCTAGGTCAAGTCTTCTACCTCTTCACCTGCGTCATGGCCAAATTCTCCATCATCATCTCCCTCCTGCGCATCACCATCGACCGTATCCATCGCTACATTCTCTACGCCGCCATGGGCCTGACCCTGCTCGTCGGATTGCTTTTCTTCTTCTTCACCGTCTTCCAGTGTCAGCCTGTCGACTTTTTCTGGAATCGAATGTCTGAGAAGGGGACGTGTATTAATACCGATACCCTGCTGGATATCGCGTATATCTATAGTGTGGGCGCGGCCATTACCGACTTTACGATCGGGTTGCTTCCTATTTTTGTGATTTGGAACTTGCGCATGAATCCACGGGCCAAGGTTGCCATTGCTGGGATTCTGGGCCTTGGGTGCATGTATGTTCTCCGTCTCTGTATCTGCTATATCAAGCTAACAACCACAGCGCGAGTGCTGCCGTCATCGTCCGCATCCCCTATCTGCACAACTACAAATCGCACGACTTTCTCTGTACGCCTCCATCCACTCTCATGATGATCGTATACTAACGATATAGACGCAACATCCAACATCTCCATCTGGTCCAACATCGAAGCAGGCCTCGGCATCACCGCCGGCTCCCTCACCACCCTGCGCCCCCTCATCCGCTTCCTGCGCGACGGCTCCTCGGCCTCCCGCAGCACACCACACACCCCGGGCTCCTTCCCTCTCTCCTCCACCTTCGGCCACGGGCTGAAGTCTTCCAAATCCCGCCGCTCACGCACCCGCACCAACCCCGACGACGCCCGCCATCTCTGGACAGGAAGCCACGACGAATACACCGGCACCACGACGACGGTCATGGGCTCGCACGACCCGCACCGCAACACCAGCGAGGAAGAGCTGAATGCGGGCTTTGAACCGAGTTCGAATCCCGACGAGCGCGAGCTGAAGGTTGAGCGGACGTTTCGGGTTTCTGTACGGAATGAATCGCCCTGAAAAAGACAGACTAGATACCCATTAATGAGCGCTGTTGCGCACTAGAACTAGCTAGAAGGATAATCGTAATTAATACGCTGCCAATCATGGGGGATTGTGGACGTGTGGAGAGGCGATGAACACGGGCGATCATGGCTCGATTGGGTGATTCGTCCGATCGGCGTCGTTAGTTTGGATGGGAATCATGGAATAAATAATAATGAATCATGAGGTTGTCTGGTTATGGATGGACTATTGTTATTAGACTTTTCTGGCCCGTTTGGTTTGGTGTCTGATTTTTTGGAGTGCCGGGGATTGTCGGCATTTGAGGTCGACTGCCTTCGTATACATAGTGGCAGTTGATTATATATCCCTGACAAATCCTTCACTTATATCTCTACGGAGTAGTACAGACCCTACATTTCCCTCCTAACGGTACCGAAACAAGCCTCGAGTCGCCGCCGTTTCATCCGCCCATCTCTCCGTGCTGATCATCGCCGGTGAGAAGGATAGGCTGGCGCCCTTTCAAGACACTTGACGACCAAGGTGGATAAGCTGTTTTTTGGGCAAGGGCGTTCAAGTGTGTTGAGGGGTGAGTAGGACGCCCGTTGGGAGGAAGATGAGGGTTAAGCGTTTGGATGGGATGGTTGTGGAGTATGTTGAGCATGAAGCTATTCAGAGGACTGGATAGTCAGGGTCCATGATCGATGAACCCGTCTACTGTCTCATTTGTCCAACGTCAAATAAACCTCATGCCACATTTGCTTTAAATCTTTAAATTCAATAGACTCCTCCCCCGATGCAACTCTGATGATCGAAGAAGCAATTATTGTTGACAAATATTCGTCAGTCGGCAACAGACTAGGCCCAAAAGGGAAGATGTTAGAGAGTCTCTCTTCACTTCTCTTCTCTCAACACATCTCATCATCGACTGTCATCCATCGATGCATCGTGATAAATTCAATGCACTGTCATGAAAAAGCAATTATTCACCTAACCAATCATGACCAAGTGGAGATGCAGCAACAGGATACAATCCCTGCAAGCCTGCCGTGCCAGTTCATCAGTCGCTCCAGTCCGACAACCAGCCACGGCGCAGCAGCGGGTGTCGGAGATGCTAACGTTTTAAATTCCATATGATATCAGCCACAGGAACCTCAAGAGCGTCGGAACCATGGACCCATTGGCAGCCACGGGCTAGTCGGAAATAGCATCACCTTTGTCTTTGGCGTCAAGGTGGTTAATAATGCGCGGGAAATATATGACTCGGCTTCTGGTGCCACGAAGGATAATGCGAGCCACGAATATGTTGCAAGAGAAACAAGCTTCTTGCTCCTGATAATCGATGCCCCAGCGGAATGAAAAGGCGCTGTGTAGACTGGCTGCGGAATGCAGAAGTCTAGCTGGGCAGATTCTGGATCTTTTGAACAAAAGAAGGCCGAAAGATGCAAGTTTACGAACGCAAACACTCATGAGTGCCCTTCAAAATAAGCGATATGAGAAAGAAAAGCTGGACTACGCAGACTGGGTGATTGTCGCAGTCAGCTGGCGTTGCAATTGAGCAATACCATGACGTTGTACACTTACTATCACAGCCATCTCCTGCTTTGGCTTGAACCTCAAAGATAGAGTCCAGGCCATGAGTGTCTGACACCACGTTCTGCCAAAATCCACTGATTTTGCTCAGGAGCCTCTCGAACCGCAGTGCTCTATTTCTCGGTGGTTTGTTAGAGAGATTTCTTCGACGTGGAGCTGACCCTTATTTCTCGATTTCCTACGTGCCAGGTTTCACCGTTTCACCATTCAGGGTTATTTTCGGTATGGGGCAACGGCAGTCGTGGTGACTTGGCCGAGTTTCTCTGGGCCATTCACACTCGATTGGTCAGAGTTTCCTCTGGTGATTACGAAGGCGGCAAAATATCATTGGAAACATGGCCTGCAACTGGAATCGAGACGAGAGAAATATCTCCGTCGACCAGTTTGAACTCGCGTTGATCATGTCCAACATCCACGCCCAGCTGTATGCCACAGCAGGAGCAAAACCCGACATTGAAATGGTTCCACAGGTATAGAGTTAAACCTGTATCATAGCACTAAAGTTTTCAACCATTATCACTCTCGCTTAAGACCAGCCTGAGGGCCAATTTCGAATTTCCCGGCGAAAGATGACCGCGAGGCCCATGGACCAGGCCAGGCTATGGCCTTTTCAATCTCCTCATCGCTGTCATTCGATGTGAGATGGTCTATGGCGGCGATGAAGATGTACGCGCCCATGCCTGTGAAGATGTGCCACCTATTGAGGCTTTATTAGCAAGACTCCCAAGCCAGGCCAAAGAACGTACCATCCATGAAGTTCAAAAAGAAAAGCCCATGGCAAGCCCACTGCGGCCCGAACTTCTTTCAGGAACCCGCATGCCCATCTATCGACGATCCAGACAAAGTATCCCAGATGGAAAATGGCTAAATCCAGTATTACCAATCTATATACGATGAAGTGTGTGGTATATCAATCTCACCTGCTCCAAAACGGACAACACCTCAAATCTGCTGCCGAAAAGTTGAATTGGCTCGAGTCTCGCTGTTAATGAGTTGCATTGTTCGGACACCGATGACTGCAATTGAGCCCACGAAGAAGAGTGAATGCAAAAGAAGCTCATCAGTCGCTACATGGAAAATGACAATGGTTGTCAGGATGGATCCTAATAGGATGGCCACAAGTATCGAGTTTCCGCGTTCAACGCCAACAGTCAAGACACGGTGTAGGATTGGCGTTGTAGTGAGGAGCATGGAAAGATCATCCACTATTTCTGTCAGTGCAAAGAGAGTCAAAGGTGTCGAACAAAACGGTTACTCATTTGGGTGTGGTATTTCAATGAGGTATGGAATATGCCCGAGCATATACCCACTCCCATCAGGCCCCAGTAGGGAAGGGCGCGAAGAATATTCGAGTTTGCCTTTTGTCGAAGCCTGTGGATGCCATAGAGTGCATATAGTACTGGTCTGTTAGGTCATGCTTTGATTCAACGCCGAAAAGGATGCGTACTGTAGGTCAGATTCGTCATGGTATTGATAAACTCGGCAATATATCTCGTCACCACGTAATCCTATTTTAACCCCACGTGAGCATTCAACAGCTGCGCAGCTGATAATAGTAAGCTATATCATTACCTCCTCACAGAAACTATGCTAGAAATCAGCTTAATCAATCCAAGAGCGATAGTTGTGCTGGAAATACCGACTTTGCCTGTGCAGTTGGTGGCCCCCAGAACGGGGTATTTGGACTTTCTGTCAACATCGTTGCCATTTTTTAATAGAGGACAAAGATAAATTTCAAGTTGAAATTAAAGTAGAAGAATAACACGTTTATAAGAGAATGACTGCTGGTGCCTGGTCTGTTAACCCTTGCAATCTTACATCAGCGCTCTTAAAAGCTGCAGGGTTAGAGCTAATAGCTGTTGTGCCCCTGAGAGAAGTCATTAGAACTCCGCTGGTGTCTGAGATGAAAGAGCCGCACATCAGGATTGTCGACTTTGGCGTCTGTATGTTTATCCTAGTTATCGTTCTCAGTACAGTACTGATTCTGTAGCATCATGGACGGATCGTCACTTGACGGATTCCATTCAATCGCCTGCTTTGCGAGCACCCGAAGTTACCCTCGGCGCCGAATGGGGCCCTGGTGTGAACATCTGGAGCTTGGGATGTTTGGTAAGTTAATCTAGTCGTTTCTGTTCATACTATGCTAACAATTCAGATGATCGAATTTGTGCAAGGATACGTCCCCTTTTCCGGTAAGGCCTCGAAATACGGCACCTGGACGGTGGACGATGATCGATTAGCGAAGATGATTGAGATTCTTGGTCCGTTTCCATCTTCGCTTTTGAAGCGGGGGAAGAACGTTAGCTCATTTTTCGATGATAAGGGTACGTCTGCGTCCCATAATGCCGAATCATATTAACAGCTACAGGGAATCTCACCCGCGTCCCTGAAGTACGCCTACTAGTCTCGAGCGCATGCTGAATGGGAATAGAATGCCCTTATCCCGACCAGAAGGAGTCAGTGATGCTGAAGTCGGGCAGTTCATCGACTTCGTGCGAGGAATGCTGACGATCGACCCCGAGCAGCGCAAGTCCGCGAAGGAGTTGTTGCAGCATGAATGGTTGATCTAATCAATTCTGGTCATCCGCGGAACGGAATCTGCCCAGTTATTCGGTTCACCCATCTACATTGTCGTTTTGGGGGTAGATTCTGTCCAGGCAGCATTCGTACCTCATGACATTATTACACGTCGACTGGCCAGGTATATAGCCAGAATCCTATCCACTCCGCAGATCCTATCTCCCACAGATGTCAACTCGATTCGACGTACAGCCACGTGCATGCTCAATCCGTTCTTCTGGCTCAAGGTATGGCGGATGCCCAAGTACGAGCGTGAATTCTAGTGGGCCCTTTACCTTGCTAGCTCTGCTAGGAACACGGCATATAGTGACTTTATGGTGGAGCGCTGCCTAAGGGAAGAAGATTGCGGCATCGCCATACTCAGCGGGAGAACCGCCCACTGGAGATAAAAAGGGGAAACGAATACAATGGCGACAAATCCCCCGATGAACCTCCCGCATATGATGAAGAGCACATCGACGAGGAACTTGCAAATCTACGTGTCAAATACTCGAATCATCAGCATCGGATGGGCGCGACGCGGGATACTGACTGGTTTCAATCAGGCAACACCACATCGAGACATAAGATAGCCCGGAGGCATAGAGATGAACACGGCCGGCCCTATGCATGGAAAATGGATCGGTCTGTGTGTGCTGAGCTCGGAGGATGTTGCGGACGGGGTTGCGGATGTTGTCAAAAGCCTCTTCATCAGTATCTCCTGCCAAGTGAAGATGGAGAAACCGTCAATTGCAAACTTACTTGTTGGAAAGGAGCCATATACTCCCTTGCGAGTCAGCCCATCCTCCATATCGTCAGCACTCGACAAGCCTTCTCATAACACAGTCAACAAAAGACACCTGCACAGGAATTCACCCGGGAGGGTGTCGACGCAGAACAACAGGCAAGGTCCAGCAAGAGATTCCCTGGCTGGCCTAAGCATTCAAACTTGTGGTTACTTTTGCCTCGGATAGTCCAGGAGAGAGTTGGGCGCAGGTACGCTTCTGCCATTCTCCCATTGCTATTTGACGCATACTAATGGCCTGCAGATCACTGTTCAACTGCTTAGAAAGAGGCCGAGCAAAACAAACAGTCAAGCTCAGAATACCCTATCAGGATCAAGACGACAGGAATGCCTCCACCTGGCTAGACAGTCTTTCCCTAACGCCTGGTATGCCCGCTTCCACTTGCTGATGTTCCAAATTCTATATACTGACCTATTGCCAAACCTCAGACCAAGTCCGTCAATTCCATCGCGTTGATTCAATCCAGCACCATCGGTAATTCGATATTAGAAGACCAGGGACGGAATAAGGGAGCTTTTGTGAACGGGGCCGCGAGAGTTGCTGGTTGACAACCGATTCTGATGATTCGGGGCGGTGTGTCGGATTTTTTGTTTTCGATATATGTGCATGGCTTTGTATATAATTGACTGCGAGCTGCGGGTGAAATCTGGATTATTTGTCGATGATTTGGTTGTCATGTCGCTTGGAATTGGTGTCGGCTTCGTCGCATTGGAGAGCTGGAAAGGTGGAAATCGGAGCAGCGGAAGAGACAGGAATCGCCGTGGGGAAATACGATTGATGTAACAAGAAAATCAAATCCAGCGCCGTCGAGGGGGTGCAGAATCCATGGTTCCATTAAGTAGACTTTGGCTCAGGCACAAACCAAGGAAAATAGAAGCAAAGTCAATCGAGCTGACATCAGGAGATCGAGCAGAAACGACGCAGAAAACAGGGAACCGACAAAAGAAAAGAAAAAGGCAACTGAACATCTTCTTCTACCTGTCAAAAACGAAGAGGCAATCGGATGCAGCACATTGATTAGACGCTCACATGCAGCGTACCTGTCAGCCAGCTTCCCCGACTTGGGCAGGGATTGCGAAATTCCTCACATTTCGACGTGGAATTCGATAAATGGTCCCTCATCGCGTGTCCCGATTCCCCATTGCATCATCGCGTGGTCTCGATGCTCGATCTCGTGTGTCTCCCACCCCGATCGTCGATCGATCGGGCGATCGAGCGAGTCTGGAAATTGTGAGGCCGCAGATCGCTTCCAGCCCACTTTGCATTCCAAGCATCAAGACAATTAAAGAGATTCGACTGGATCAATTCCCAGGAGAACCGTGGACAGGTAGCCGTATTTTTGTATATCCTCACGGTCGGGGCTCACTCTTTGGGTCGATCTTCTGATCCATCATCTCCACCATGTTTCTTAAAAGGGCGCTCGTCGTCCGTCGCGGCGCTGTTTCTTGAAATTCTTCAAGTCCAGGCAGTCGCATTGTCGCATTGAGTCCATTTTCGTTTATCGCTGTCTTTACCCTCGGTCGCATCAAAATGGAGATCCCAGACTTTGTCGATTCCCGGCCTGGAAGCTTGAAGAAGCCTCCATCCGTGCTGTCATTCACTCCGACGGTGCATCTGGACGCTCACCTGCGCGACTCGGACAGTTACTCGAAAAAGTCTCACCACGACGATGCGCAATCACGGTAGGCCACTATCTAGTGATCTGAGAACTTCAAGTTAATTGCAACAGGACTTCTTACATTCCCGACTTCCCTCATCCTCCCCCCACCAACAGCGAACTCAGTTCCAAGACCTCCGCAAAACACCTCCGGCGTAACTTTGCCGTCAACGAACTTCCCCTTCTGCAGGAAATTAATCCCTACGAGGAATCCGACCAGTTCAATCCCGTCAACGAGGCCGGTCTCTCTTACGACCTGGTCGCTCCGTACGAGGGCGATGGTTCTGCCCCGCTGCACAGTCTCGAGCGCCAGGCCGACATCATGTTCTCTTCAGAGCACATGCTGGGCATCCTAACCAACCCGCGCTATTTGGCGCGTTTTCGCGAGTTTCTCGTCGAGGAGCGACCGCGCTCGGTACCTACTCTGACTTACTACCTTAATGCCTGCAAGGCGCTGAAAGCGCTGAATTACGCCAACGCCCTCGTGCGTCTGTCGATTGATGTGCCCACTCCGGGCATCAGCACGGCAGACCAGCCTGTCGGTGATACAAGGAATAGTTTGCTTGAGCAGCGAGTTGATGATGCGCTCAGTGCTCTGACGGCGGAGGAGTTACCTGCCTTCATCACATCCAACTGCATCAACATCACCAGCAAGGTCGTCGAGGAGCGAGTACGAGGGACGCTCCCGGATAAGTTTCAGGGAACGGCAGATGCACTTGCAGAGGTGTTTTGTCTGACTGATCCGTCGCGACCGGATAATCCAATTATTTTTGCTTCAGAAGGTGAGTCGTCTTCTACTTGGGTAGGGTTAAGCTAATGGAGTAGAATTCCACCGAACAACACAGTACGGCATGGACTACGTGCTAGGTCGGAATTGTCGATTCTTGCAGGGCCCAAAGACGAACCAGAATAGTGTGCGACGGATACGAGAGGGGATTCAGCAGGGTCGTCATCACTCGGAGCTGTTCCTTAACTAGTATGTCTTTCTCTTCTCTATCTTACTCTGGTTTGCGTGGACTAACAGCAACAGCCGCCGCGACGGCTCCCCATTTATGAACCTCCTCCAATGCGCCCCCCTCTGCGACAGTCAAGGGAAAATCCGCTACTTCATCGGTGCCCAGATCGACGTGTCGGGATTAGCAATGGAAGGCGCACAGATGGAATCGTTACAAGGCCTACAAGCAGAAAAGGAAGAGCGCGAGGAACGGGTGAGGAGCATGAAAAGCGCAAAAAGCATGCTCAGCGAACAGCACGAGGAAGATGAAGAAACCATCCCCGACCCGGTCGAGCAGAAGAAGAGCGAATTTCAGGAACTGAATGAATTGTTCAGTCCCCGGGAGTTGATGAGCGTGCATGAGCACGGTGGAAACTTGTTCCAACCTACGATTGATCCCAGAGCGAGTTCAAGGAGTGGACGGACATGGCGTGTGCCAGACTATGATAGCGAGGATGAAGATGCGAACACACCGCATCTGCAGGGGATGAAGTTGTCGAATCCGAATGTCTCGCTGACTGGTGTTTACGAACATGTATGCCCTCCCTCTTCCTGCTACCTTGACGATATGCTAATGTGAACAGTACCTCCTCGTCCGACCGTACCCCTCCCTCCGAGTCCTCTTTACCTCCCCCTCCCTCCAAATCCCCGGCATGTTACAATCGTCCTTCTTCTCCCGAATCGGCGGGTCCGCGTCCGTCCGCGACGACCTCCTGCACGCCATGATGGCCGGTCGCAGCGTCACAGCCCGCATCAAGTGGGTGACACGGTTCAACGACCAAGGCCGCAATCGCTGGGTACACTGTACGCCGTTGCTGGCGAATAACGGGGAAGTGGGTGTGTGGATGGTGGTCATCGTGGATGATGAAGATGAACATGTTGTGAGATGGAAGGGGAACTGGCCTACTGCTTAGGCTGGGTGGAATTTTGGGGTTTCTTGTATATATTTATGTAATATTTTTATTAGCCTGGATGGGTTTAATGGCATGGCATTGGTATGGATCATATCTCATCACACCTAACTAACAACAATCGTGGATAGACGGCCTAAGGACAGTGAACTTTGCCACCGTTATTATTGCAAGACTTTCCATCATCCTGTACAGGTCGACACTAATCATCGTCAGTATAAGTATACTTACTCCCTATGGCTGAAGAACTCACATTTCCAGTTTGACACCCACTAGATACGTTTATTAGCATCTTCTACCCAATATAGCATGAGAACTTACTGGTTATGTCCATTGATCTGACACACACCACCGAAACATCTCTACAAACACATTAGACGTCAATCCACCGATCTAAAAAGATAAATCATACCCCGATAGTGTTCGCAGCATTCTCTGAGCTCTCCACCGGCGTAGCAGCCACCAAGGCAACGCTGGAAAGGAGGAGGATGATAGAGGTGATGAACTTCATATTGTTTCGTTGTTTGATATGATCAAAGGATACTTTGGTAGTTATTTCAATTCAATTCAATTCAGCTCAATTCGATCTGTCTGATGATATACTCAGACGATAGTTACTCTCTTATATATCCCCAGCACCGCCCTAATCAATGGCAGACTGCAGAACATGTCAGCTGAAGGCCTGAACTGCACACTATGTCAGCAATTTATCCAAAGTCGTATCTGGATATTATCTATGAGGTAAATATGTCTTTTGTGCTACGCTGGGGTATTATTCTGGTGGTGATTGTGGATGATCAAGTTGTACAGTTACGTGGTGGGAGATGGATGGGATGGATTTGATACGAAATTGATTGTGGGGTGCATAGGAGTGTTATTTTGGGGCTGTCATGGTGTTGCTTTTGTTTACTTTGTGTGTTGGTATATGGACTTGAGTGGGATATTCATGCCGATGTTGTATACTGAGCTTTAGATGTCTACCTCAGTCGGTTCTATAACCTATCCACATTTCAGAGCGACAGTCTACAGGAGAAAAGGATAGTAAAGTATTCATTCTATATGAATATAGACATAACTCGTAATAAATCATTCCTCATAAAATAGACATTATTTCATCCTCCACAATAATATAAACCACCCCCAATATAATAGTAATCACCATCTACCGCGGGCACTGCACACCGGAATTCTCAAATCCGGTTCCGCACGCTGCTCCGCTGTGTCCAGAGCACTAGACATATTTGTTAGTACACATACACTTTCAATAAAATGGAGACATACGCTTCCATAGTCGCAGAATTCGTTTCGGCCGTTGATCAGACATGAACTTCCGACGCATTTCTGGGTTTGTTAGATTGTTTGAATATTCAATAGGGGCATGGTAGATGACATACGCCCTGGTCTTTGTAGGTTGCTGCTTGGGTGCTTTCCGCGTCGCGAGCCATTTCTTGGATAGGAACAGCTGCGGCCAAGGCAGAGCCGGCGATGAGGAGGATGCTGAGGAACTTCATTATGACGGTATAATGTGTTTAATGTAATGTATTAGGTCGATGAGATTAATGGTCTGAGATGAGATGAGATGCTTGAGTTGGAATGTGAATGCAACGACTTCGGCAGTGTTTATATAGCCACAACATTCCAAAAGACAAGGAACAAGGAGTAGATAAAAAAGTACTAATTCAAAAACCCAACCGCAGCTATAAGGCCATTCATGCATCACAGCCCCGCACAGTCAGCATGACAGCCTGCGCAGTCGTGGTATCATCGCCCAATATTTGAGCTTGCCGGATGCGGGGATGGTTGACGTCACGCGCCGACAGCCTTAGCCGACAGCCGAATCTGGGTGAGGCTGTGAGTTGGAGGCTGTGATGTTATTTTTGTATGTTGGATGCATGACAGTTGGTGCTTTAATATAGATATGGTGCCTAATAACTGAGTCTATTAATGTATAGGAGGCTTATTAAAATAATAGTGGCTGTTAAGGCTCAATGATAAAATTATGACAAAGACACTGTAGCTATGCAGATTATTCATATTCATATTTATCCAAGTCATTAGTGCTTACATCCATCTCAAGAAATTGAGAGAAATCAACTCCCATCAACCCTGATAAAAGTCCTATACTCCCCCTCCGCAACTTCCTCCCCAGTAACCGGATCCTCGCTTCCCTCTCCCAACAACCTAAAAAACCAATACGGCAGTCCATGTGACCCCGCATCAGGCCCATAATACTTAATCCCCCACTGCGTGACGTCATTCGCACCCAGGAAGATTCCATCCTCCTTCTTCCCGTCGTTGTAGTGGTTGTAGAATTCAACGGAGATGCTCTCGTCCTCGGGTAATCCCCACATCAGTGATGCGGAGTACGGGATGTTGGTGATGTTGAGCTGTTGCCAGGAGAAGTCGCTAACGCCAGTCTCGACGCGGCCTTCGAGGAGGTTGGGGGTGGCGTCGTTGCAGCGGAGGGGGATTTTGGCGAGGTCGTTTTTATGCACGATTGTTATCTACTTGAGTTAGTATTCTATAGTACTTGTGGTTGTTGGGGGAACGTACATAACCCTGCTTGATCCCGCCCTGCTCGTCAAAGACCTGTCGCACGACGGAGCTATCGCCGAATCCTTCAATGCTGCATGCTTGGCGGCTGTTTGATGGCGCGGTGGTATTCACGCATCCGCTGACGGTGACTTGGAAAAGATCTGTCATGCCAGTCGAAGCATCGTAGGTGGGAAAAGTCGAACAGCCCGTCTTAATCGGAACGGGGGTGATGGCGTATGCGCCTCCGACGAAGAGGGTGGTGAGGATGGTTGAGAGGGCCATTTTCAATTGATGATTGATTTGGTGGATTCGATTGAGGAATTGGGTGCTGTATTTATGCCAGGGAGCCGCAATATTCAGATTCTATCAGTCCGACCCCGGATTACTCCATTGGGAAAAGTGTGAGGCAGAAGGATCACAATGCAATTTATTCTGATCCTTGGATGCGTCTGGATTCATTTACACTGAGACATTTTATAGGCGACAAGGCCGCCGTCGACTTTAGCGTCATGGTTGCCTGTTTGGTCGCATTGTGCATCTTTATGCAAGGTTACATTCGTCATTACCCTAACTCATATGTACTCATCCGCATCGCTATCATTATATATCCCTTGCAAGTAGCCCTTCCGCCTCTTCCCGACCACTTCCATCCGCGTGGAATTCTCTCTCATCGTGCGTCTTCTCCAAGGTCTCTGCCATCGCCAATGCCTCTCGGCGTCCCTTTTCTGCGTTCACCATCCACACCAACGGAATCGGTGTGATGATCAAGATTCCAATGAAGAAAAACCCAGACCGTACCTGGCCAGTCGCGTCAATCAGCACGCCAACCACCGCCGGTCCAATGAACGAACTGCCCTTGTCCGTGGCTGCATACAGCGCGTAGAACGCCGCCTCGCTGCCAGGGGGAATCAGCAGTCCGAAAAACGACCGGCAGTACGACGACAAGCCTCCCCCAACCACTCCATGCACGATAGCCAGCGGGAAAATCTCCCACGGCTGCTGCAGGCCAATCACTCCCCACTTTTTGAATATCGGGATATAGGCCAGCATACCATACAGCGGAATGAGCTCAAACAGAGCGATACACACGATAATCGTGTGGTTTGACTTGAGTCCGAATCGTCGCGACACCACCGGCCACAGGAAAGCGCCCGCCATTCCTGACAGGGTCGCTGTGATAGACAGCAACGCCACAGATGTAGTGCTCATCTTCAGTTCCGTCCGCGCAAACAGAATCGCTGTCCCGGACACAGTAGCCATCGCGTCGGACAAAAGAAACCAAGCAACCAGAAACACGAGCACTTCACGTAGCCTCACGGCCACCTTGACCGTCTTCCAGAGCGATTTCCACGCAAAGCCGACCAGGTGAAGCCAAGCCCGCCATCGGCTCTTCTGGCCTGTTGTTCCGTGTTCAAGCGGAGGTCCTGGGCGGTCACGCAATAACCGACGGGAAACCATTGTGAATGCGAACCACCAGATACCAACCAGGAGCAGCACAAACCGTAGAGGCAGAGTGGCTGATGCTTTGGATATAGATGTTTTGCCCAGACCAATGAGCAGCAAAATACTCAAAATTTGCACAAAGACTGCTGCGCAATACCCAAGTCCAACACCCTTGGATGAAATCCGAGTGGAAAGCTGCAGTTCCGGAGCTGAGCTGGAGGATTTCGCTCCCGCACCTGGTGGAGGTTGGCTAAATCCTTCCTCATCTTCGTCAAATGCATAGTGTCCATCATGGTCCATATGGGGCAATTCCTCTTCCTTGCGATCGTCCTCGATGGACGGGTCATTGGCCACCAGAACAGGCAAGAAAGAATTCAGAACGACAAACGATGATCCCAAACAGGTCACTCCAATAACCACCAGAATCGCGCCGAGAACAAACACCGGAGGTGCGATGAAGACAAACAGCATGCTAGTGACAGAACCAATGAAACCAAAGGCCAGCAAAAGGGTTTTCCGGTTATTCTCTGTATGATATTCAATCAACTTCCAACCTCAGGGTAGTCCATAGCATCCAACCATACCGTAGTCCGCCAGAGCGCTGAAGGATATCAGGGTCAAAGCTTGAACGAGCACCGCGAGGGAAAAGGTGTACATGGCGAAACTGGCGGTATTGATGTCCAGCCCAAACAGACCTACCACACATTGTTCATTCTCCGTCCCATCACGGGCCATCAAGGCCGGTGCAGTTCCATTATTCGGAGATGCTGATGGAGAGCCGGGACCGACACATGGCAGATGGCTCGACTGGAGGATACCACGTTCGCGCGCAAGCTGTTCCAGCGTGAGGGGTAGGAAGGAGCCTGTCAAATGGTCAGTAAGAAATTTATTGATGGGACAGTATATCAACGTACCCACGCCGCAGACAGCAAAAACCTCGGCCGCAATGCCATACGCATACCACCCCAGGATTTCGCGCCGGCCGGTCGGTGTAGTGTCTTCGCCCGGATATCGCGGGGAACGTTGTTGGAGACCCTCGGAAGGAGACTCGGGGGCGTCAGAGGCGAAGGCCATGAGCGAGGATTCTATGACTGGTTTTGGGGATAGCCTGGACACAGAGCACCATCGCAGAGAGGAAAATTGAGGTCTGCATTCCAATGCGTTCCTGAAACTTGGAAACAGCTGCAACCATGGACGGCTGATTCATCGGATAGGGCGGAAGCGGAAGGTGGGGTCTGATTGGCTGGTGAGTGTGGGCCAATGACGTGCACTCTTATCGATAAGATCTAAACAACGGGCCTTCAAGAGTGTCTATGCTTTGAAGTATAAACTGAACAAGCTTTATTTCTGGAATGCAGAATGGCACTATCTGACCTTGGGTTGAAGTCAACAATTCATATTTCTAAAAGTGATATTCATGGCAGATATCATCAGTCTTGGCATTGTGATTCTGATATAGCGTGAATATATATCCTCGAGGTGATATGATGATCCATTCAAGTTTGATGGTCTGTCTCTATCCAGAAAGAATTGAAGGGACAGCTGGTAGCAAGGCTCTTGGTCTCCTGGTCTCATCAACCAGTATCATCTCCAGGTAGGATCTGGCAGCAGCTTCAGACAGAGAGGATCCCAGAGAGTCTAACTCGACAGATGAAGGTCTCAAGCCTGTTTTTGTTATAACAGATGTCTCACGCAAAACTTCAGTTCTGAGGCTGGAGGGATAATTGCTTATCATTTGACATCATTCTTCCATTTGTATCATAATGCGATGGCGCATCGAGCGGCTTGGGCTTATGGAGGAAAGGTATCTTGCTCGGTATATCGCGAATAGGGTTGATGCCAAATGCGAAGGGGTCGTGACTGTCATCTAGCAGTGTCTATGTGAAAGGCAAAAGGTTAGTGAGCTTAGAGAAGAAGGAAATAGCAATTCCGATGACCAATCTTTTGATTTAACAGAGTACCTTGGGTTATAAATGCAGATAAAGTCTTGGTTCCTGGTCCGTACTCTGATTTGGATGTCCGATGCGTCATTGCAGTGTTGTTGGCTCGACAATGGCCGACTAGAGGACGGAGAATTTTCGAAAGACTATCGTCAGATTTAAGGCATATTTAAAATCTTACTAGGTTTGGATCAAATCTCCGGCTTCGCTCAGACGTGTTGACAATTTGCCAGTGGCAGTGGATAGCTTCTCAACCCATCAAATAGCCGACAATTAAATACGGAACACAGCCATTAACTCATTCAATATGCCTTGAAGCTATTCACCTGACGTCCATCGAAATTCCCGACTCAGGGAAGTTGCGTCCGGTTCCGGACCGGTCCCGCGTGAGCTCCCCTGTTGCGTGACTTCTTCCTACTCTTCTTCTCTTCCCCCTGTCTTTTATTTTCCTTCCAATCCATCTCTTCCATTTGTTTGGCCCTTTGTTTCCCTGTCATAACTCTCAAAAGCTCCGTCGTTGTCGGGCCGTTGACCGCGATATCACCATTCAACATGGCCGGCATTCTGGCGTATCTTCAGTATGCGCTGGGAAAGCTCTTCTACCGCGTTCGTGGCCATGACGCGAAGCAGATCATCTACACCGATGCCTTCAAAGGTCTTACCAATCCCAACATTGCCCTCGAAGCCACCGACTGTGGTCCATCTGGCTCTGTGATGCTCAATGATCACACCTGCCTCGCCGAGGACGGAGTGGGCCGATTCCCCGACCTGCGCTGGAACCCTCCCGAGCTTATCGACGATGTCAAGGAATACGTCCTGACCTGCGAGGACATTGATCTTCCTATCCCCGGTCTGGTCATCCATCATGGGCTCTTCTACGGCATTCCTCCTTCGACCACTACTGCCCTCCACTCGGATATCAAGGAGCAAAAGGACAATCCCAAGTCGCGCATCACTGAGTCTGGCTGGAAATACGTCCCTAACCTTACTGGCAATGCGTACATCGGTCCGGCACCTCCTCTGGGCCATGGCAGCCACCGCTATGTCTTCACCGTCATCGCCCTTAATGAATCGCTCCAGTTCGACAATCCCGACAAGGTCACTAGGCAGAAGATCAAAGCCGCCATGGTCGGAAAGGTCATTGGATGGGGTCAGTGGACTGGATCCTTCGAACGCCCCTGGCCCAAATAGATGGCTGCTCGAGAACCAAGAGCTACACATCGGGGTTTATGTGCGTTACGATTTGGCGTTTAGACAAAGGCAATTCAGGACTTTCTAGGCCTCAGGATCGGTCTATGGTTTGAGAGGAAAGGATCTTTTTTTTACTATCCCCGCTTCTTGTATTGTTTAACACGTTCCAATTACTCTTCTGGACACAAAGAATTCTAATCTATTCAAACACCCTCCTTCCACTGGTACATTTGCACGTTTAATCTTGGAACAACTCCTCGTCAATTCACTAAATGAATCAGAAATGTCTAACAGCATGGGATCTAATCATCTTACTAGACTCGATCTCGATTTGCTCCATAAAGACCGCAAAGCGGTGCGTTGTGGACTCCACTGACGACTCACAGGCCCTCAGCATTGCTGCCCCGGCTCGATGGGCGTGGCCACCATCTTTCGACAGCTCTCGGAGGATATCTTTTAGAACCTCTAACAGCTCCAGAAGCCGCATAAGATTGCGATTCAGCAGTGTCCTTACGAGAAGACCGGTCTCATCGTCGTCCAGTTCCATTTTCCCAAGCAAAACCTTGGTCCGAATGCAAATAAACTGGGGAAGGGGTTGCTCAAAAGCGAGCACAGCAGGATCGAACAGGGCGTTCTTTCGGGTGATACTGTACGCAGAACAGACAGCTTCGAAAAGCGACAAGCATTGTTCTACCAAAGCAGGTAGAGTGACGATGGATGGCTGGGGGCTCTTCTTGCAGTCTGCGCAGTTTACCATTGCTTGGCCCTGCCTGTAGACGCGGTGGACGAGATCGAGGATGGTGCCAAGGTCAACGACGGTATGCACATTGCGGAGTTCGCTCATGATTTGCAGGGCGTCTATGGAACAGTGGCAGGTGGCCTCCATTATGGATATCGTGAATCTGCAGCTAACATGTATGTCTTGTCAGGAGTCATGCATTTCTGGTCAGTATAACGCTACCCTTTAACTCGGATGAAATAGGCAACTGAAAAATACTGACGTCTTTCTATGGTCCACGCTACGGTTCATTCTTGCATTATGGATCGTATCAGTGGCACAGACCAGTAGGAACACGTTCCTGAATGGTGATGACACCCTTTCATTGATCGACTCTGACAGGAGAGTTGAATACAACGACCAGTAATATTGTACGCTCCCATGAGGCGCTGTTGGACGTAATATCCACTAGCTACCTGGGGTTTCACCAACCAAGACAAGGATGTGTTACGAAATAGCGGCCAGTGCCAATCATTGAAGACGATATGTGTGATATGCTTTCGGTCTGTGCGCTATACTCGAATGGATGTTGAATGTCTTGCTAACAGATGGATATTAAACAGTACCAACATGATCGTAACATCGTACTATAGCATCACCGGCACAACATCTTGATCTTCATCATAATCATCTGCAACCGTCGATCTGTCTCCATCATCATGATCAACCGTCCCTTGGACGCTGAGCTGGCCAGAATTCCCTGCGTACAACCCCTGATCCGACGAATTGTGGCCAACAGCCCAGACAACCTGGTTTGTAGAACCTGTTTAATGAATGTGTACTTTTCTTCGGTTGGGACACGAAAATTGCCGACTAGTAATGGACATGCCTCAATCTGTTCCTTGAACGTGACGCTCCCGTCTTTATATTTCTTGCCCAGGATGGCAGGGCTCATCTCAGGATTTGCAGCTATACATTCCTTGTCGTCGGCGACTCCGTCTAGAAAAGCGCTTTTGGCAGTGGTTGTCGCCTCCAGTGTTGTCAACAAACCGTCGATGCACACGATAACCACCATGAGGAGATTCATCCGGGTTCTAGAGCAGGTTGTACAGTGCAGGATTGTCTCTGCGAGCTGTTGTAATCCACGCTGACAGGTCAGGACCGTGTCAATAGGGGATGGAGGCGTCGTACGGGCGGCACACAAGTTGACGCGGAGCAGCTCACGCGTGGCTTGTTCATGGCATTGACAGGAACAGTAGCTGTCTGTATCAAAGGAATTGAACTCGATAGGGGATGGCAGATCATAGCGGTGTTCCATCATGTGAAGGGGTGGTTGGAAATTATTCATGGTTGTCTCTGGCGGGGCAGCACTCTTTTTGTGGCATTCTGGACTGGAGATGGAAAGAGAATCCATGTAGTCCATTGGAAGATCTGGAAGGGGCTGGGGTTCGAGATTGTAATAGATCGGATCAAGTGTTTCGGAGGTTGCTGGATATGCCATGACGATTGGGTCTTTGAATCCGACTGAGAAGGTCAAGGAATCCTCTGTCTTGGATGGATAGTCCAGAGAATCGAGAAGGCTACGTTCCTGGGCAGAATCGGGGATTTGATGGGAGACCAAGCCTTGCAACCAGTTGTCGGAGAGATCGAAATTGTCCGATACTGGAACTGTCAGATGAAGCTATTCAGAGCAAGACGGGATGCATACCGGAATAAGGCACGTTTTCCATCTCCGTCATGGGTGTCTGTAGACTCTCTTCCACCGAAGTATCGTCCATCATCGGTTTGTCGACCTTCTCATCCTCTTTGTCCTGTCGAGACCTCCTCTTGGATAATTTCACCTTCTTGTCTCGACGGCGATCAGGACACTCTTTGGGCCGGTACTCATCGGAAGACAACTCCCTCTTCTTCGCGGGTCTCCCCAACCGCCTCGACATGCTGTAAACACAGTCGATGTTGTGCTTCTGGCATCGACGACAAGATGGTTTCTCATGACTGCAACGGATCTTCGCCTGTTGGCAGGCATTGCAGGTCGAGCGGACCTTGACGCTTTTTGGAAGATGACAAGACTTGGTCTTCTCAAAACTCATGATTGCGATTGATTGTGTTTACTCTTTCTTTCCTTCTACTTACTGCTGACGGCCTTTGATTTTACTTTCCCCCTTACATCTTAAATACTATATGCATTATGCAAGATGATAGCTCTATCTCCAAAGCATGATTTGGCGACTGTCTACCTCGGTTCTCATGAGGTGGCAGTGACACACAGAGGGGGGCAAAGTTACATGAGTCTTGGACTGTGCCACATGTCACCCAGGAAGGTTTTGATAAATCAAAGCAATGGAGTTGGATCGAGTTACGCAGGTGGTGAGATTGGGATTTTTCACGTCGTATGGAGGTGTGGTATGGCGTTTTGCAATTCGTGGATGCGTGTATCAATGCTTGTTTTCGTTTGTCAGAGCAATAAAAAGGCGATCCCCATGTCTTGGACTTTGTGTATTATGAGTTAAAGAAATGTGATTCATCAATTTATCTTGGATAATCGCCAACTCGCTAACTACTTGGTCCATCCCTACAATTCCCACTTTCCTGTCGCCCTTCCACACGGGGCAGACCGGATGGAAGTCGTCGTTGCCGTCACACTCGCCGTGACACCTCCCTGATTGATCACGAAGAAATAATTCGCAGCAACGGGTCCGTTCAGCCCCGCCACGTCCATGAACTGGCGCACGTTGAACCCGCCCCTCCCCTCGGGCGTAGTGGGGAATATGTACCCGAAGCACTCGGGGAAGGTGTAACTCTGCGGCTGTTCGTATAGGAGATACGTGTAGCGGTGGTGCGAGTGCGGTGGGGGCTGAGGGGGGATGTACGATGCGCCCGACGTGCTGGTGTTGGTTAAGAGATGTGGATGGTCGACGCAGTTCGGGATGAGGTCTGGTTGGTACCAGTGCAGGACGGGGGTGATGGTAGCGATGGGCTGGAGGAGAGCGTCGAGGTCGATGAAGAGGACGAGATAGGTTTTGTGGCAGTCTAGGCCGATGATGCTGATTTGGGGGAGGGGGGCGGTTTCTTTGCTGTCAGGGGAGGGGCTGTGATGGGATTGGATGGGTGAGATATACCTGGCATGAGGAGATCGTCTCCAGGGGATATCCAGGACCCATTGGGGTAGCGGAGATGAAGCTTTTTGTTATGGGGAGGGAGGAAGGGGATGGATTGAACGAGGGAGATGAGAGTGAAGACGAGAATGAGAATATTCATCTTGTTGATATTGGTATGGTGCTGAGAAGTAATTCTACCTAATTGCTCAAGAGAGAAGAGCATCATGAATTTATACACTCAGGAACAGCCTGTGTAACGATTCATATCGGCAATTAATGCTCGAATACCAGATCTATCCGGATATGACCATCTATCGAATACGCCATTGCATTCCTCGCCAGTAAACCAGCACCAACAACGGACTCACACCCATCATGACTCCCGCGACTATAAGATAGGTTACCGTGACGCCCCATTTTTGAATCATGGGATGCACAATTGCCGTTGCTCCAGCTCCTAGGAAACATCGCACGAGGTTATTCGCCGCCATCGCCGTGGCAGGGGTGGAATAGTACAGATCGACAATCAAGACGCTCATCACATTATATGCCGCTGTGATGCAGAAGGAAATGACAAACACGAACCCAAGGGCAACTGGCAAGGGTGGCTTCAGCGCCATAAGTATGCCGTATACTCCCACTGATATTGCAGCAGTCATCTATCGCAATCAGCCGTATATTGTCTCAGAAGGAGAGGAAATTACCATCATTGGCAATCCAATCTGCAATCGAGTGCGTTCGATTGGGAAATCATGATGATCGTGCTTCTGATTCGGCGATACCTCTCCTCTCACCTTCTTGCTCATCCGTTGATAGTTCCAATCGACCAGTATCCCGTTAAAAGTCGCACTGACCAATGATCCCATCCCCGCGGGAATAAAACTCAGGCCCAGTCCTAAATCCCCGAGTTGGTAGATTTCCTTGAACTGTGAAGGTATTCCAGCCGTGACGGAGTAGTAACTGGCGAAAACGATGCCGTTGGCTAGCAACACCAGCCCCGTGGGAAGTCGGAAGAGAAGACGCAGTGTAGCATGGGGGTTGGGGAATTGAATTTTGGTCCTTGGAGTCTCATCCTGTGTTATATGACTGTTGGCATAATTTCTGTCGCATATGTGTTTCCTTTTCCTTCCCTGCCAGCAATTCAAGACGGACTGGTTCCACCCACGAGACGGAATCGACCCATCACCAACAATGGCCCGGCAGGTCTCAGGGAAGAAAAGTAACAACGGCACGAAGAAGGCCACGGCAGCAATGGCTAAAAACCAAAATACGGCTTGCCATCCGAGATACTGACTGAGGACTCCGCCTAGGATCGGTCCGAGCGATGGTGCCAGGATATTCCCCAACGATGCAATGCCCATATACGTTCCTCTTTCAGCGGAGGTGATAACGTCTGCAGCGACCGCAGAAGCAAGGGCTACAGTCCCACTACTACCGCAGCTTTGGACAGCACGGAGAACGAGAAGAGCTGGATAGCTGTGTTGAAGCGCTAAAGCGATATTACCGCAAATGTAAATCACGAAGCAGATGATGTAGGCTGGTCGTCTCCCGGCTTGATCTGCCAGTGAACCCATGAATGCGGGGGCAAGACCTTGGCAGATCTATTCCGACAGTTAGCAAAAGACATAGGGAGAAGTCAAAAAATTACCATGTATGTGGTTATTGTTAGGTTGATCTGCGAGCTGCTAACATGGAGGTCCTTTGCAATGGAGTTGAGAGATGGGTAGTATATGTTGGCAGAGAAGGGGGAGAAACTCGATGCCAGAGCAGCAGTGAGAATTATCAAGCGCTTCTGACTGGTTGTAAACACTGAATACCTCTCTTGAGCAGGCTTTGGGGAGAGTAACGGGGTTGTTTCGGTGGCTGCATCATTATTCTCCTGATTTGGCGGATTGTCCGGATTGTTGGCCATGGTGCTCTTCAGATTTGTGGATTGTGATGGTTTGGATTCAGTAGAATCACGTTGAGGTACGCGAAATGCGATCTTGTAACTCAATATGGGCAAGGCACGGTTTATTTAAGATAGATTGTCCAAACTAAATGATCCAAGTAGATGCAGTATTTCCAGTTTGCAGTGTCCAATTTTCCAAGGTAAATGAGTAACAATGATCTCCATTGTACACATTGAACATGAACTAAACCAAGACGTTGGCCAGTAGCCCAGTATCTACATCCTCGCTCCCAGATGATTACTTGGGCTCGCACTTCCAGTGTAGATATGAGATGGTCGAAACAATTTTCCGCGTTTCACTGGCCATGGTTAGAAAATCCCCGATAGTCACCGAGGACACTTACGCATATATTCCCGCCAATGTGCCATTATTCCCATGATACGTTGGGCGAGCATGGCAGCCGGAATGATATCCGGTTCAAACCCTCTAGGAAATGGTCAGTCATTGTTCGTCCGGCATACGTTCTGGTGTCAACAGCGGAAAGCGTCTTACAGTCCCGTAAAGACAAAATTGCCGTAGAAGTCAGCATTGGGATATAACCCTCTCGACTTGAAGTAATCGTCACCCGAGGCGACCTGTTCGATTCTCTCGGAGACTTTCAAAAGAGGGTTCGAGGACAAATCGATATCTTTCAAAATTGACTGGATTGGGCGCACTCTCGGATCAATTCCCTTGTATGAGCGATGCCCATACCCGAACAGCTTCTGCTTCCCCTTCTTCACCTCTTCAATGAACTCCGGAACATTGTCGGGGGTTCCGATCTCCCGGAGTGCGCGCTGAGCTGACTCCGTTGCACCAAAATGTAACGGGCCATAGGCAGCGCCCACTGCGGTAATTAAGCAAGAAATTGGATCCGTTAGGGAGGACGCAGTGACCAAAGCTGAAAAGACCGATAGTGCCATTCCGTGATCTGCATTGAGCATTGAAAATCGACGGAAGCATGACAATTTCGTTGGATCTGGCTGTCCTGTTTCCGAGTCCACCATACCTGCCATGGCAAAGAGATTTTCATAGTAACTCTTATCTGGAGATGCGGGGGAAAACGGAATTCCTCGTCGATGACAATGAACAAGACCAAATACAACGGCGTAGCTTGCCACCGTCGTGAATATTGCTTTATCGACATTTTCACTATTCCCCTGGTACATATTGGCCTGCGAAGACGCAGGTATGGTATCTGGTGTACATCCAAGATACACTGAAAGGCCGGTCATGATTAGCGCTAATGGTGGTGTCGTTTTTCTAGGACTGTTAGATTAATCAATCAGGATCAAAGGATCAGGCCTTACGAAAGCGACCCAATAGCCTTCGATACATTCTCTGGGATGTCCTGCATGTGTCCCGCCAGTCTCCGACTTACCTCTTTCCTTTGGGGAGCCGTAGGATACGTTCCCCAGACAAGGAGATGAAGCATATCCTCAAAGTCACTATCCCACAGCTCCTCCAAAGTATATCCGCGAAACAAAAGAATCCCTCTTTCATGATCTCTGTGGAAAGTCAATGCCTTGACCAAAGTGGATTAACAGAAAGGTCCTGCATACGAAAAGCTGATTCCCGTTTCTACTACAGTCGTGTTTTGCAATCCCGGATCATGTACACGGAGACCACTAGCAACATGATCTGCTCGGTCGGTACCGATGGATGATGCTTTGATTTTCTTCAGGTCTGTTGCGAGAATCGCATTTCTCTGGATGGGGATCTCATAGTGCGCATTAGTGCGCGAGTCTTTGACAAAAAGAGTTCCCGTAGACATGTAGAATTCAGCCTCTGTGGTTGAAGATTGGATAGAATGGATTTGAAGACATCGTATTCGTTTGGAATATTTATAATTATGTTGAACAAGCGCAGCACATTGTAGCCTAGCCGTAGGGCAGGAATCCCTAGTAATGTGCCGAATATCTTTTAAAAAAATCCCCGAGGTAGAAACACGACGTTCTTCGACTTATTGATAGCTGTCAGGTGAGGTAGCACAAGATCGCTCCGTGGAGGTCAGATCGGACTCTAGGATTTCCTGATTGATGTCAGTAGCCTGTGTAATATCCATTCGTTACTTTGGGGAGCATTGAAATCTCCATCATCCCGGCAGCATGCGCGATAAAAAAAACAAAGCGACATCTAGTGAAAAATTATTCATTTATCCAAGAGGCAAATTCAAAATTGTTGTAGACAAGACAAATTTGAGTCATATTGCATTATCATTAGCTACTTTTCGTTTCATCATTCAAAATGGCACGTAAAATCCTTTCTGGGTCTTTATTCGTTTACTGGGGCATGTTGGGGAAGGGCTTCTCCAGGTGCTCCGAGCAGAAGGGAAGCTTGCTGACGGTCCAGATTTCGGTGTCCTATAATCCAAGTCAACATACTAGACGATTTCTAGTAATCTTGGGAAACTTACCGGCTTCAAGGTCTTCTTAATCTCAGTGTCCAAGGTACCAGCCTTGATAGCGATGATCTCGGGAGCAGCGTCCGGGTCGTGGGCGATGGGAGAACCGCACTCGGGGCAGAAAACACGGTGGACGGCGTGGCCGGAGGATCCCTTGCCAGACCAGGTCTTGGTTGGGCCGCTCACGGTCAATTTGTCCTTAGGGACAACGGCGACCAGGGCTGCGAAAATTGTTAGAATTCCAATCTTTGGTAGTGACTAGTAACATAAACTTACAGTATGTGGAGCCACTCTGGCGCTGGCAATCGTCGCAGTGGTCGTAAGCGACGATGAGGGGGTCAGAGTCAACCTTGTAGGTGACAGCGTTGCAAAGACAGTGACCAGAGAGAGGCATGGTGGCGATTTGTATGTATGATGTAAATCAAGAGATCTTATTGGACGAAAGGAGAGAGAATACGATCAAGGTGCTTGTGAATTGAGGACCCTTGAGGAGGACAATGGAGGGGTATTTATACCGCGATCCAGGCACAATGACCGACTGGAAAGGACTAATTTTCTCTCATGATCCACGCCCATTATGACCATCCATTCATCCACAGAAACCCACCAGAAGGCTTCCGGTTAATTCACTAGACTATTTGTCATTGATCTGTAGGCGATGAATCGATGATGATAGTAATGGGAATAAGACCGGATGAGGGGCAGCACTTGCGTCACTGGCGTTTTCCGACTTGGGCCGCGAATTCCCCGCCATTTGCTCTGCCCGCCCCTCGAATCGAGGGCATCGATCGCTTGCCGTCCGCGCTTATGATTGCTCTACATAGTATTTCCCAAACATTCTTTTTGCGGTGCTTTTGTTGAGACTCGCACTCGTCCTGCTTCATGAATCACATCTGATGACACTCCGATTGCCCAAGAACCGGTCCACCGGGGGCTGGAAAGAGGGGAAGAAAAATATGGAATTATGGATAACCAAGAGCGCAGCCCACTCGACTTAGCTGAAGATGGTATATCATTGGTGGGGTGCAGAGATAAACGCAGGAAGAATTCTCACCGAGAATCAAAAGGCCGTGTCGTGGAGCTGAAATGACAGTTTTCTGCTGCAGGTGGCAGGATACGGTCAACCATCCAGAATTTCAAATCAGCACTGGTGGAGCATCTGCACGTCTTTGTTGGGCCAGGACGGGGTGCTATTCTTGCTTTATCGAGTCTTGCGAGGTATTTGTCACGGTCCCATTCGGGGCGCATGGAATGTATCCGAGGCACCACCATACCGTCGGGAAATTGGGAACAAAAAGCAATAACTTATGGCAACTTGACTGATTATGCGGATTGCGTTTGGGGTGATATGAAAATGCCCTGTTCAGAATATTTTGGGAAATATCGCTGCTTCGCACCAGCAACCAAAATAGATCGGCATAATTTACCCCGGTCATGAACTTTAGAAAGCATAACTATCCATCCACTATCTTGGATAGCAAGAAGGTGCCGACCAATAACCCAGACCGACCATGACATATCCCAGATAATACTTGGGCTGACAGAAAAATATTTAGTTTCAAAATCCGACATGACTTCGGAGATTCTCTGGGATGCTGTGCTGGACACAACAGATCGTGCGGAGATGCTGACTTGGTTGGGGAAGCTCCGTAGATCCTTTCTCTGCTGATTTCAACTGCTGCTGTATCATATGTCTTTATCATGCACTATCTCTTTCCTATCGCGGAGGAAATCGAGTCTCCTCTTTCGGGCGGTCTTCCTAGTTTATACGGAGGAGGTATCGATTTCTCGGCGCCATGGAGGAGGGAAGGTCTTTTTGCTTGACAGAATATTGCATGGACTATTATAAACATGGGATTTAGTCTTTTAAAGCCGATTGGCAAGTCCATGAGATGGAAAGGAGATCACCTGCGATGCACCGCTGTTCCAAGTGCATGTTTGGGGAACTTGATTCATGGACTTTCGGTATTCAAGTCGAGGAGATAAGACCTCTGCTGCCCAAAAGTCAATGCAGACCCAAAATTCTCTGGATATTTCAAGCTACCCATTCTGGGATTTCGATGAGGGTGTGCGAATTTTGAATGTGGGTAGCTAGGAATGAAGAAGTTTGTGGGGAATGGTATGCGTAGGACATTGAATGCGTGCATGAGGGTTGGGAGTACCAGGTGCTCCCACGAAACCCTAGACCGAGCATGCTGTATGCCACAATCAAATATCCCCCTCGCATTCGCAGTTTCTCTAGCAAATCCACTCGGGCTCTCTTCTGCCAGATCGTTTGGACATATCCAATCAGAAATGGAAACTGTTCAACGATCTAGTCGAGTGTCGCGAGTATGAGCTTTCAAGGGTCTGGAAAGGTCCAGTGAGTTTGTCTTGCTCATGAAAGTGCTGCTCTCGCACATTTGGTGCCTTATGTCGACTCCCTCTTATGTTTTGTCTGCTAACGGAATAGGATTATCTTTAGATACGGTGTTATGATACGGCCATATCCACTATATTCAAAGTAACTACAGAGCTCCCCGAATTAAATATTCCCTATAGTTCTTCCTCAAGTATCGTACTGTCCTCCTCGAGCACATACTCCCTTCTCCTTTCTTTTTCGAACACTTCACATGCTACTTCGTCGAGCATGCTCCCTTTTATCGGCCGCGCTCTGAAACTCCATCAGTCGCCATTGATAAGACATATTCTGAATCGTCTCTTCTACCCACCTGCATCTTGGCCGCCATTCCTCCCGTCGGATTGTGTCCTCCATATATCGTCGACTCGGCGCTTTGGGCTTCACTCGCATCATCCTTGGTGACAAACGCCGGTGGCTCTGCCGATACAAGAGCGGGAGGCCTAACGAAATCCTGGGTCTGGGTTACTATCATAATGGTTCGCTGACTATCTCGGGATGGCAGGTTGATATCTATTACCTCTATTGACTCGTTCTGTTCTGAAACCCGCCGGTCCGTGCTACCCAGCGGCCTTCTGGAAGCAATAGCCATGTCTGCATCGAAATTCATATTGAATATCGTGATTTTCTTCCTTCTGGTGAAAAATTCAGAGTAATTGGTTTTGGTTGGTGTTGTTCTAAGTAGTCGCATGGTGACTTTCCATGATGTCACAGTGAATACATCACTTTGCCTCAACATGGAGGCAAAGTCGCAAACAGCGCACAACGCGATACGACACCAAAAAAAAGGCCCAAAATACCCCTCGGATCAAATTCACAGTTTAATCAGGGTTTGAAGGTCCTGGGCCATGCCGATGTGAGCTCATAGATTGGTGTTTACATCATTACTTTCCTTGGAGTTCCAGAGAAACAAAGGCGATTCAAGGCGACTGGGACTGGTTTAGAATTGACTTTGTCCATAATTCAAACGTGCGCATTGAGAGCGTTCTATGCACCGAGTACTCGGAGGGAATTCTACGGCAGAACTAGTCAATCTTCGATACCAACATGATGCACCGGCGTATTATTCTATCGCCATTGTTACGACGGCTGTGTATGGGTCAGTTCGTTAGTCTGTCAAGCTCTTGTGATGGTGACCTTTCGACACGATTGATACGAAACCTTGTGCAACAAATAGTCCCGTTCCTGAGCGCGAGATATATGCAACATAGCAACCGCATCTCCGTCACGAAAATTGACAGGCTTGTTGCAACGGCCGTAACTGCCTAAACATTATACGTCAGTCATGTCGATCGAATCTTGACTCGGGCTGCAATTAGTCGAGTAAGTAAAACCAACACCCCCCACCCGCCCCCAGTCCATGAAGATCTGCAAGATGAGTTGTCAAACCGCTACGCTGCGGCACGGTAGCAAGTACTTGACTGCGTCATGACCCCCAGAATGGAGGATAACGATGATACCGTTGGATATGTCGAACCATCCAATTGTTACCTGTCACTGAGGGGTAGTCTCCTCGTCTCTGCACCTCAAGTACGTATGCCTGTTACACTGCGGCCTTGCCAGTTGTAAAGCAATTCCACGTCAATATCATGACGATTAACCTTTGGAGTGTACTCGGATACCTGCATAATTTTCTCTGTCGGTACTCCACTGTGGTATGATGGGTATAACATTGTGGTGGACTTGAATGTCAGTGCGACCCTTGGACGTGGGAGGTTGGTGCCGTCAACAGCCTCTAGTGGATCTCCAATTAGGCATCTACAGCCTTTCCATTGCTGTGTCCAACGTTTTCGAATGGGACAGGGACGGTTTTGTGTCACACCTCTTGTTTATTATTTCAAACATGTGATGAACGTCCAGAATCTAGACACCAGGTGGAGAGCTGAAAGTATCATGTTTTCGTGTCCTTTCGCATTCATCGTAATTTTTAAAGACTGTCGAGAAAGAAATTTTCAATTTAGAACGTATTGCACTCCCTCTGTCATTTTGATTCATTTTCTCCCAACGCAATCTTCTTGGGAATCCCATGCGAGTAATGCATCTCCCGCAAAGGTAGTAGCCAGTGTATTCAACAGGCAACAACTCCAATGAAAAGCCTTTTCCCTTGGGAAGATAAGTGTATCTGACCGATCCACTTGAGCTGCCTTTATTATGAAAGTGGTAGCAAGCAGAGACAGTCCATTGAGGCAGACGCTGCCCACGTCTTGTCAACTGATATACAGTGATTCTCAAGTCAACATATGGCATCAAACATGAAGAGCCTTGCTCAATAATATAAACAATCAAAATAAAGTAAATGATTGAAGGCTTCCAGATCGCATTATATATATTTCTCATGCCAAATTACTTGGCAGGTCAATGAAGAAGGACCGGAGTGGACAAGAGGCCATTCTATGCAGACCCCAGGGCCGGTACCGGAACCGGAGGGTCTTGGCCAATTAGAAGCCGCTCTTTTCCGGTCCTTGTCATACAAGACCTGCATCTGCAGAATGGCCTCGAGCCGGTTCCGGGCCGTTTGGCAACTCTCGGGGCAATGACTTCACAATTTTCGGCTGCTTTGACGATATTCTCGACAGCAACCATAAAATTGAAGAATCCTCAAAACTATCATTGGTCCATTCCAAATTGGACCGCACTGAGAGAATTTCTTGTACATGTTCAAATTGAAATCTTCTGGCCGTTCAGAATTGGCAACGCACATATGATCAGCGCCGGCTTAATCTGTGCAATATCAGCAGCTTTAGAGCAAATAAAATTCATTTAATCTACATTACTTACTCCATCTCCTAGCTATATTCAATCTCAGTCTCTGATCTCAAGTGAATTATCGACTTCACTTGCTGAATTGTTGGGCTGTCGACGCTTGTAAAGTCGCGCGGAGATTATGGCCTTTATCCCCGTGGCCCAGGCTCCGCTGCCTCTTCCCCCTCCTCGTCCAATTTACCTTCGACAGCACTTTTAACGAGAGTCATGAATCCCCCAATAATCCCATCGCCACAGGCTACCGATTAATCCCGAGATGGAGCAGTCGCCTCAGCCGTAAGTCATCATTCAATGCGCTTCATCCTGTCTGGAGCTCGCCAACGTGCTAAACATGAAGCTCCGTTAAAGGTCGTCGTTGAGGCGAGGCAAAAAGGCCTGCACGGAATGCAGACAACAGAAGGTGCGTTTGGTGAAATTCTCTTCTCTTATACTCTCCGTCTTCGTCCAGCTCGTGCCTTCCCGTCTGCTAATATTATGAACCAGGCCAAATGTGATGCGTATTTGAATCCCGATCAGCCTTGCAGCCGGTGTCTCAAGGTCAAAACACAATGCATCGTCTCAGATCCATTCAAGAGAGAACATAAACGCCAGTATGTCTGGTTCTATCACCCCATTTCTCGAGGGCTTCTTCTTTGGTTTCCGTTTGCTTGTTGTTCCTTATATTTTGATTCTTTTTGTCTTCGTGGTTCTTTTCATCTACTTTGCTTCTCTTCACCATTAGCTGATGTGTTGATCAACCGAACAAGACGCCTCTCTGAGCTAGAGCACGAGACAGACGAACTGAGACGAAAACTGAGATCTTCTGCATCAACCGATCCCCACCCTTCGCCCATTGCTCTCTTGACGGCTGCAGCGGAGATGGGCGTGCATTCCGAAAGTAGCGGGGGCGATCTACAACTCTCTACTCCTCCAAACCATCCCCAGGCCTCTTCTTATCCCCAACAACTACTATCTCCAGGTTGTTCGGATCCATCATTGGGCCGTGTAGAGACACCAACAGACCGTGTCGCAGACCCAACTATATCTCGAACTCTGAACAATATCGAAGTGACCGGGGAGGAAATCGATGAGATGTTTCATTTGTGCGTGCAAAGAGCGCTTGGTCCTTTTTTTTTTTTTTTTTTTTTTTTTTTCCCGTGATGCTGACATTGAAGCTTAGATTCTTCAACCGCTATGCACAACTGTTGCCCATTCTTGACCCTCGAACTACTCCCAATTCCTACTACACACAGTCTGCTTTTCTTTTCTGGGCCATGATAGGTGTTGCGTGCCGTACATACCCAAGGAACCCGACTTTGTTGACAGCCCTATCCCGTAGCATTACCGATATGGCCTTGCTTTCAGTTGCGTCAACATCATCACCCTGGCACACCATACAAGGTCTATTGCTTATCCTCACCTGGCCGTTCCCGAAAGATAGGTCCAGACCAGACGTGACATTTCCATTGAGTGGGATGTTGCTACATACCGCCATGCAAAACGGAATACATATCCCTATGTCTAGCCATGAATTCTCGAAAGTCAAAATACCTGCACCTTCTGAGACGGACATGATCAAACGCTCAGAGCTTTGGGCACACTGTGTTATCGTCTACCAACGGTATTTATTTTAACTTAACATTGCTATTCAAGCCGCTAAATTAACGTAGTGCTTGCGTGTCAAAGGGACAGTCTGCTCGCACTCTCGCAAACTTGGAGCAGGGTCCAGGACAAAGTCAATTATTATTCCAGAAAATTGCACCATCGCTCGCACTCAAAGTCAAGTGTCAAGAGATCCTTTCTCGGTGCAGCGCAGCAGTACTTGAAAACGGCGTGCGAAATATGTCTTTGGATCAAGAACGTGCCTTGGATATCCTAATTAGAGAGTTTGAAAATCAGGCCACCGATCTTGAGACACAGATAACCTCCGGTATGTGCGCGTTATTCTTGTCTTGTTCAACTTAATCTGACATTTTTTAGAGGATGACAGATTCCACACAACACTTTGTCGTCTCAGCATGCAAGTCTACCACTTCTTCAAAAACCATACTATTGCTTCTACCGGCTGTCTTCCTCGACTTCTTTCTACGGCCTGTACTGTGGTTGATTCTATTCTCACTTTGGGCGAAAGACTCGATGATCTTTCAACGGCCCCCGTACAGGTTAATTTTGGGTTACTGGTTGCCTCCGTATCTCTGCTCCGGATATTAAAGAGCTCTGCATCTCACACTCTAGATCATGAGAAGGCAAGGTCCTCGTTCTTCACGGCCATAAATCTGACCAAACAGATGTCAATCGAGAGCAATGACGTACCTGCTAAAACAGTCATTGTTCTGAATCAACTTTGGAATAGCTCCAAGGCGTTCCGCAAGTCTGATGGTAGCGAGTACACAGCACTCCGAATTCGAAGCCGTCTCGTGTTCAGCGTCGTATTAGATGCAGTCTGGTGGTGGCGAGATGAATTTGATGCGCAGTATCGGGCCATGGTAGTTCCACAGGAGGAAGCAGCCGACGGTACTCCGACTACTTTTGCATGTTCTGTACATGATTGCTCATTCATTCCTTCAGGAATTGACCCCGGCCGCGAAAACCCCGGGGCTGCTACCAGTGCGGCAGTCGGTTCCATCGAGCGACAGGAGCCCATCCGTTTTGATGACCAGTTTTTGGCTGACTTCGAGTGGGCTCTGGGTGATGATGGAATATTTCCCCCTACAGAGCCTTATTCCTCGACATTTTCATCTACTGGAATTCTCTTGTAGGTCTCGAGTCGCCGAAACCACAGAGGACTAGCATCCGACTCGATCCTGGTGCTATGATACCACGAATTTCACCATCTTTCATCTTTGCTTCATGTTGAAGTTCACGCTATGTTTCCACAAGATCTATCAATCTCGTCCATATAAGAAAACTCCTCAGGAGAATCTTAGAAACTTTGGCGCGCTTTTTACCCCTGGGTGCCACTGTTGGGAGCAGCATCAACCAGAGCTTGGTCTCTAGAATCTAAGGCTTCTAATTTGCTGAGATAGATTAGCTGACACAGTCATGACTGAGATTGGTATCTCGTTGGTTTTACAGGGATCGTTTGAAGATAAAAGCATCTTGGCTCATTGGCTTTGAACAGACGGTCAGCCTCTAATTCGTTCTTCGAAAATCAATAATAATATCAAGAAATGATGCACCCTTTCTACCATTCTCGTATAGATCTAGCTTCCGACTACACCGCTACATCTTGATCGTAATAGAAGATTGTCATACCCAACCTCCAAACGGACTGCAGATGTTCATCTCAATAATGCCGTATGTTGCAAATCCATCATCTTTTCATCTAATAAGGCTGGCACTGGTAGCATCCTGTACTGATGCAAACTAGAGGAGCCATGCATTACCAACGACCTTAGTGCACACGCATATCCGGCATTGCGATGACTTCCCCGCATTTCTCGTGGCCACCCAGTCGAATTTGCCCTAGATATCTCCATGCAGGCCAGTTACTCCCTTCTTTGCTTTCGCAATGGACTGTATCCATGAACTAAATGCGCATTTAGTCAATTCAGTACACGGGGTAATTGAGTGGCCGATGAATTCCGAAAGGAAAGAATAAAAGAGTTGATGGTCGGATTCGAAGACAAAGAATCAAGATGGTTACACACCACCTAAACGATTCTTTCGGTTATTTCCGTCGCCAACCCCTGCTGTTCTTCTTGTTTTGGCTTATCGCAAACAAGCCTTGCGCTGTTCCGTCCAGATCTTCGTCCCAAGGGCTTATCAGGTGGTTATCATCCAGACGCCACCTGCCGACGGTCCCCTGTCGCACCCAACAAGTCAACCGCAAATAACCCCAGCGTGCTTTAATGCAAGGCATTTGGCACATGAGACGCTGCATACGGACTGGCTAGAATTAAAGCCATTGGAAAAGTTTCCATAAGCGAGGGAACGAGAGTAGCCACTGGCTCACTAAGAATTAATTCCTTTTGCCGACTATCGAGATGCTGTGTTACTCAATGCCCCCGGAGACCACAACGTCCAGTGGCCAATGATTCCAAGCTCGGTCTTTTTTAAATGTCTTCGCTGTGCAAATATGAATCGCTCGTGCGGGTCGGTTGACTCGCTTTGATTTAAGCAGTCTAACTATCTCCACTGGACTTCAATGAAATCCAATTAGTGCCACAGGCGAAGGGGGTATGCTCGAGAAGTGCACTATAATTAAGGCTTCAACACTCTGCCCTATCATATATCGACTCTGGGACTAGTCTATCAAGGTTACATCGCATGAAGGGGGGGCAATGTGGGAGATGAACCGAGACAAATATTAAGATAACCAGCGAAAATGGTTCTGAATACCAACTATTATTCAGGCTAAAAAAGAAAGATAAGGCATCGGGCTACCGTCGGGGTTAATCTTTGTTGATCCAGCCAATACACGCTGTATCTAAGTTTCTTTTATATCAATTCCTCGATCTGCTCGTCGCCTTCTCTTCTTTTTAGTTACTCATTTTGGAAACCACGACCGTGCTGCCATCCTCAGGTTTGACTTGTCATCAAGGCGAGGAATAGTTTCTCGTGATACCATCACCTTCTACCATGGAGAAGAAGGACCACGAACCGAATGTCGCCATTACCACCGGGGCGGCAGTCGATGAGACTGCCCCTGACACGGCGGCGGCCCATCTCAGAAAGTTGAAAGAACAGCATCATTGGGATCCCAATCTGCCGGACGAGGTCATCGATGAAATTGATGAGGCACTCCATACATCCGATACAGACGCCAAGGTGGACATCACCCATGAACTTCTGGACAACTCCCCATACCCCGAAGTGCGCGCCGCCGTCCCCAACCATGATGAGGGAGGCCATACCAACACCTTTCGCGCCTGGTTTATCGGTTTGGTGCTCGCTACCATTGGCTCGGGGTTGAATACGTTGTTCTCTATGCGTCAGCCCTACATTATCATTCCATCATACGTAGCCCAGGTTGTCGCCTACCCAATTGGTATGGGGTGGGCAAAGGTGATGCCCAAAAAGAAGCTCAGAGTCTTTGGAATTCAGTGCAATCTAAACCCGGGTCCTTTCAGCAAGAAGGAGCATGCGCTTATCGTCATCATGGCCAACGCCACTTTCGGTGGAGGCTTCGCTTATGCTACGGACGTGCTGCTCGCCCAGCGCGCTTTCTATAAACAGCGTTTTGGCTGGGGATTCGAGCTCCTGTTGTGCATTTCATCACAGATGCTAGGTTTTGGACTCGCAGGTTTCTTCCATCGCTTCTTGGTCACCCCTGCTGCCATGATCTGGCCGTCAACTCTCATCAACTCGGCTCTCTTTACCGCTTTGCATGACCGCACCAAACCTGACCCTAGCAAGGTTGCTGGCTGGAGAATTGGAAAATACCGTTTTTTCCTATACTGCATGATCGGGTCATTTGCCTGGTATTGGATTCCCGGTTTCATTGCCCCATTCATGAGCGTCTTCGCCTTCGTGACTTGGATAAAGCCACAGAATGTCGTTATAAATCAGCTTTTTGGTGGTTGGACAGGCCTGTCACTTATTCCAATTACCTTCGATTGGACACAAATCTCAGGGTTCAACTTCAGTCCGCTCATCGCGCCCTGGTACGCCATTGCGAACACGTTGATCAGCATGGTTATTTTCTTCTGGATTGTAACGCCTGCTCTCCATTACTCCGGTCTCTATTACTTCAAGCATCTTCCCATCAGTGATTCGAATAGTTATAATAACATGGGTAAAGTTTACGACGTAACTAAAATTCTGACTCCCAGCTTGACCTTGGACGAAACAAAATACAAGAACTATTCACCTCTCTTCTTATCCACCACTTTCACGCTTTGCTATGGCCTCGGCTTCGCTGCCACGATTTCAGTCATTGTACACACAATACTATTCCATGGAAAGGAGCTGTGGACTCGGCTCCGTCGCACAGGTCACGAAGAAGAGGACATCCACGGACGCCTGATGTCTCGGTTCAAGGAGGTACCACTCTGGTGGTATGCCAGTGTTCTGCTTATCATGATTGGAATATCCTTAGGGGTTACCCAGGGCTACCCAACACATCTAACCTGGTGGGCCTTTTTCATTGCACTGACCATGGCTACTGTTTGGTTCATTCCACTCGGGATTGTCAAGGCAACAACCAACATTGATATTGGTTTGAATATCATCACGGAATTCGTCATCGGTTATATGCAGCCTGGTCGACCCATGGCCATGATGTTGTTCAAGACGTACGGCTACATCACCATGTACCAGGGGCTGTATTTCTCCCAAGACATGAAGCTAGGTATGCAGACCGTACTTTGTTTTTCGACCTTTCATTGATAAATATTCTAGGTCACTATATGAAACTCCCCACTCGCGTTACCTTCACGGCCCAGATGGTCGCCTGTCTGTGGTCCTGCTTTGTCCAAATCGGTGTTATGAACTGGGCACTCGGTGCTATCAGCGGTGTTTGCTCAGAACATCAGCCAGACCACTATACATGCCCAAACGGCCGCGTATTCTTCAACGCCTCAGTCATCTGGGGTGCCATCGGTCCTCAGCGCATGTTTTCCGTCGGCCAGATGTACTCGGGACTAATGTGGTTCTGGCTCGCGGGCCTTCTGTTCCCAATTGTGCTGTACATATTGGCAAGAATGTTCCCCAAGAGTCCAATCCGCTTCCTGAGCGCCCCTCTCATCTTCGGCTCAACGAACCTCATTCCCCCCGCTACACCACTCAACTATCTAGCATGGGGCATTGTGGGCTTTATCTTCAACAAATGGATCCGTGGTCGCTGGCGCGGATGGTGGATGCAGTATAACTACGTTTTGTCCGCGGGCTTGGACGTCGGCCTGGACCTGTGCACCATCTTGATTTTCCTAGCGCTCAACATGACCAAGACCAGTTTTCCGTCGTGGTGGGGGACTAGGATCGCCTCTGACACGATGGATGCAGCCGATACGGCGAAGCAGATTACAGGCGTGAAGTTTGGTCCTTCGTCGTGGTGATGTCGGTTCATGAATGCGCCCGTTTTTTATGAGCATGCTATGACTGACATGTCTTAATGAGATTATTTGAATGAAATGAATAATAAGTCTAAGCAATGTTTAAATTCGTACTGCCTCCTGGCAGATATGTAATGCTATTTTAACATGAAACGACAAAAAGAGAGAATCATATCAATGATGTACAAACGAAGTACAGATAAACTTCATGGTATTCTCATCGAGTCATCAAATTTCCAACCGAAATTCCAATTTGCACCGTGGTGCAATTCCTCCCAAGTGGATTCACCAGCCAAATATAACCGTTCAAGACAAAACAATGAGAAAAGGAAGAGTGAGCTGAGATAATCAAAAGCAATTGCAGAGAAGAAGCTGACTGGAAGCCACTTAGGCAACAGTTCTCTTCTTCAATCCAACCTCCAAGCCCAGAGGCTTGCGGAGGAAACCCTCAGAGGACTCCATGGGTCCTTCCTGCTGGATGACAAAGTCAAACAGGCGGAAGACAGTAGCGCATATGACAAGGAGTTCCATCTCAGCGACGTTACGGCCGACACAGGCACGGGGACCAGTGCTGAAGGGGATGAAGGCGGCCTTTTGACGGGAGGTAAGGCGCTCAGGGGCCCAACGTTCGGGGATGAACTGCTCGGCATCGGGGCCCCAGATTTCGGTAGAACGGTGGATGGTGTAGCTGGGGACGGAGAGAACGTCACCGGCGTGGAAGACGTGGCCGGAAATGTTGACGGGGGGGCTACCAGGGGGGATTTCACGGGGAAGACCCATGGCGGAGGTGCTGTGGATACGCATGGTTTCCCAGATAACCCATTGGAGGCTAAGTGTCTGTTAGTTTGATGCGGTCAAGAGAGGTAGATGGGAGAGGGGACATACTAAGGAATCTCCTTGACCATGGCGTGGGTGGGAACGTCAACATCCTTAGGAATAGCCTCATCCAGAATCTTGTGGAGATTTTCAATGACACCAGGAGTACGCAGGCACCAGTACAGAATAGCACAGGAGGTGTTGGAGGTGGTGTCGGAACCGGCAATGAGCTGGGTAAGGGCCTCAGCGGTGAGTTCCTCACGGCCGAGCTTGTTTCCGGTGCTATCCTTTCCTTCCATCAGACGAGCGAGCAAATCGACACGGGTGTTGTTGGCCATGACTTCGGGCTTGAGACGTTCATTGACACGGGCGACAGCAATACCAGCAAGGTTCTCAACAGCCTCCATACCCTCGCGGAAGAAACGGTCGGGGAGGTATTTGGCAAAAGGCTTGATGGCAGGGAAGCAACCAATAGTAGCGGAAACCTCACCACGACGGTTAAGAACCTCAACAGCCTGGACGTAGGAAGGGGGAGAATCGGGTGTCTTGCGCATCTCAGCGATATCTTTGCCCTTCTCGATCATACCAAAGGGAGCACCGAAAGCCAGGTCACCAATAATGTCAAAAGCCAGGTAGTTGAACCAGTTGAGCGCATCGATAGTTGCATAGCCGGTCTTGGGGTTGCGCTGGAGCTCGGCGATGCTGTTCCATTTCTTCACGAAGAGCTCGATGTTGCCGTGGATGTATTGTTCGAATTGACCGATGGATTTGGCACTGAAGGTGTGGGAGACGGTCTTACGCTTGCGGCTGTGTTCGGCACGGTCGCGAGTGTTGAAAAGACCACGGCGGATGGAGACAAAGGCATCATAGAAATCCCTAGTGATGTTAGTTGATGTGGTGTAACCAGGAGAGATAAAAAACAATAACAGGGACAATAGGTGTGGAGCGTGTGGTGACGTACGATTTCAGGAACCCATTTCCGTGTCCGTAAATAGCCTGGATGGCAGCGTCGTCGGCGATGGAGACATGCTTGGGTGCAAGACGCACCATCTTACCGTACTTCTTGTGGGCATCATGGATAACAAGACAACGCGAACCACGGCGGGTCGTCAACATCAGCCAGAGGTTGGTGAAGCCGGCGACACTTGGGGCTGGGATGTCATGCAAGCTCCATCGTTGCAGGTAAGGAACGAGGTAGTAGGCGACCGCGAGGGCCAAGAAAAGGTAGGGGGAGAGTAAATCGGTGAGCATGATGCTAGAAAACGGAGAATAATATATTAGCTACTGTGATGTGACCACGACAGATGCATGGGCGACAAGGGTAGATCGCCTCGTTTTTATGACAGCCGTTGGAAAAAATAGTGGGTAAGAAACGGTGGAAAAACAACGTGGGGAAGATGACATCCGAACGGCACTGATTGGGGACAGGACAAGACTCACAGTAAAAATCAGAAAAGCAAAAATATGTCGATTGGAGATTCACTGCATGTCCGAAGCATCAGAGGCATTCTCGAACGGCCATGAACGACTCTATTTAAGGCCAGAGCCCCCCATCGTTGCCTCATCGCATCCCCGAGGGTATTCCCCTCGACGGATCTGGAGATCGGGAGTCTCAACCGGGCAGCAGACGACGCCTTCACTTTCTGCCAGCCGAATCGCAGCCCCGACCGGCGTCTTCCCCGCCACACCGCTCGGTTATGACGGTGTGGATCCAGAGATGCTAAGTGGCGATCATGAAGCCATTGGAAAGAAGGCAACGGTAACTGGCTGGGGATCATGGAGAGAAAGCATGGAGGCGATCGAGGGGGAGGGGTGTGGAGGATGCTTCTACTGTTGATTGGTCACGTGAGTGATGCTATACAGTATCTTCACGGCCAGGTATGCATTGTCTATGGTCTATGTATGTACAGATCTAGTACCATTCTTCTCGATACAATCCATTCTTTCGCTTCTCCATCTCCCAGCGCTCAATCCATGCCTTCATCCGCTCCCGGCTTTTTTGGCTGCCCACATTGACCGTGGGAATCACCCGCCCGATCCGCAGCGCACAACAAAACATGGTCAACTCCCGGAATGAACTATGCTCGCTGTACGGTACCCCATAACATGCGCTCTCCCGCGTACTGCCGCGCTGGGGCGCCAGGTTGCCGACCCCATACGGCGTCTTCCAGTGGGGTGAGTGTAGCACCGTGGACACAGGAGGGTTATCCAGCATTCTCCCTGCCGGTGGTCGGTACGACCACCCCGTCGGGCGAAAGCCCACCACCCGCGAAAAATGCGGCTTCATTGAATCGAGGTAGTCGGCCAGCGTTTCTGCACGAATTTCAAACACTGTCTGCATGTGGATTTGAGCCTCCAAGGGATCATCTGTGAGTAACGATAAGAGTTCTGCATCCTCCAGACACGCACATATCCGTTTTTTTGCGGCCGTGGCATAGATTTTGCTCTTGAGGGCTCGCGCAATTCCCAGGCAGATTCGCTCCTTGCCGATGCTGTACGTTCCCATCACCACCAACAGCCTTCCTCGCGGCTGTGACGTTGTCTGTGTGCCATTGGAACCAGCCACGGCAGAAATGAACTTGCTCATCGCATTCCCTATTCCTGCATTCTTTGCCTTTTGTGAAGTCGCTGAACCAACACCTCCATCCTGGTCCTGGTCTAGCTGGACACACAAATTCGAACACGCCGAAATTACATCCTCCTGGCTTGGAAACGCATACTTGGGGTTCATGTAGGTGGTATCTAGGTAGCAAACGTCGATCCTCTGTTGTCGACGCTGCCCTGTTACAGGATCAAACCCCTCCGGCCGAAGAAGTGCGTGCTGCACATGCGCTGGAGACGCACGAAAATCACCGCAGTGGAGTACACGCTGCATTTTTGGTGACGGGCCATGTCCTAAGGTCTTCTCAAAAAGAAACAGTGCACTGCCAGGGCAATGGTTCGCATCGATTAGAGTAACTTGCACCCCTCCCGTGCCGGGGACTTCGGTTTTCTTCTCAAACTCCAGGTCCACAACCCATTTCGGATTGACCTTGAGTTGCTGTCGGACAAGATTCCCCGTCACCTTACTGCAGTAGATAGGGCCGTGACACCATGACGATGTGAGGCCAACGTAGTGGTCACTGTGAAAATGACTGAGAAAGTAGGCATTACAACCTTCAACTGCTCCGTAGCGAAAGGCATCCACACAAATCGAGAAGCCAGGGATGATCTTGTAGAACGGACAGGTTCTCTGATAGGCCTGTTTTCCACGTGAGGAAACCTCATTCGATGCAGCAGTTGACCATGCTGTATCTTCCGCATTACCAGCCATCAATTTCGAGAACGCAGATGTTGAGCCGGTATTGCCCGCAGCATATGGATCACGTTGTGCCGGTCTCGCTATTGCAGCTTTTTCCTGTCGTGTCAACGCTTTATCCGGAGGCACCGGTGGCTCTTTCGATGGAGCTGGGTTGGGTTTTCCATCTAGACAGTTATTGACATGTATCGACACATCCTGAGCAAATGCAAGTTAGTCTCCTGTGACCATATCAGTTGCAATATAACTTACCGACTCATTTAAACCCGCCAAACTGGTTTGGCAGATGGGACAGTCGGCCACTTCACCAGACCCTTCCTCGAATTCCCCTTCCTCCACCAAATCGTTGGAGTCATATAGATCAAACCCGCATGGTTGCTCCCTCTCTTCCTCTTCGCCTAACGGCTCTAGGAGTTCTTCGTCTCTGAATTCTTCTTCTCCTAGATCGTCAAAATTCGCAAATTCATCATCTTCGATATGGCTCGTGGCTTCTCTTACCAATGGTGGTATGTCGACAGCTGAAGCTTCTTCTTTATCCGACTTTTCATCATCAACGCCTGTTGGTTCTTTCCCTGGTTTATCTCCTTTCCCTGGCGCCTTGGATAGTTCATCAACCTCTCCGAATACTCCGAGGTCATCCTCACTATCTGATTCATCGATAAATGGACCGCTAGTATGTCGGCTTTTGGCAGGAACGGGCGTATGAGATGGCTTCGATCCATCCTCCGTAGCATTCGAAACTGACGGCGAATCTACCTTCCGCTTCTTATTTGCCGATCCATTCTCATGATATCTGTCATCGTCCAGCCCCTCATCCTCACCCCAAATATCATCCGGCGTCTTGGACCTCTCTCTTCCAATTTTCTCCCCGCCGGAACTATTCCCTCCAATCTTCGATTTCGCCCCGTTTCGATCCTCCAAGAATAAACTCCCCGTTGTAGAGCTGGCATTGGAACTATCCTCTCGTCGAAGCGTAGGCGTTGCATTCTTTGCACCGCCCTTCGTTCCAAATTGTGTGATACGAGGTTGTCGTGATGTAGAATTGGGAGGGGAATCCGTTTTCTGGAAAAAGTTCAAAATGCTCCTGTTCTTCTTTATCGATGCTTGTTTAACGCTGAAGGGAACTTTGGAGGGCGTCGAGCCCTTTTTCGACGGTGGACCGACCATTCTGATGAGGAGGGGAGGGGGTAGGGCGAGATTGTCGATGGAAGTGGATGGTTTTGCTGCGGGGATGAGCCGATAATCAGGTAGTAGGAAGTCGATTGGATAGTGATCTATTGATGTTCGCTTGGCTAATATGTTTCATAATTCGTATGCTTTGCTATCGAGCCATCTTCAAGAAAATCGTCATTCGTAATACATTTGTCTTCGGTTATCGGAGAATGAAAGCGCGGCGCGGGCGGCGAGAATCTTGATCCCTCGCGTCGCGAGATCACGTGAGTAATAAATATAGAGGATTTATTCGTTGAGAAAGCTACGAGCGAAATGTCTTCTGGAACCAGTTCAGGGATATATTTCATCTTTGAAAAATAGCTGATGAATTGTGTTGGAAAATGATAAAAGTCCAAACACTTTGAACACTTAACCGCTGGAAATAACAACACCAGTCCAGCTTTACTTTCAACGGCGCAATTCAACCTTCACGACTACTTTTTTAACACCTTCTGAGCATCCCCAAGGTCTATATCGTATAGAAATATTCAATTCTCCATCAAAATCATCATCATCTAGGCCAGAGGGGCCTAAGTCCGGGGTCGAAAGTTATCATGTAGACAATGCGTTCAAAGCAAATAGCAGCGACATCACATCGTGAAAAGGAATTACATCAATTTGTTTCAATGGCGGAAGGTATTTGTAGAATGCCAAGCGATTATGTTTATCGTCCCTTTCCGGCTTGGTTGGCAGCCTCTGCAATAGAATCCTCATTAGCATCTCTCCAGAACGTAGCTGAGCCAGCTCAGGCTGCCTCAAGCAAGACCAAAAGGCCGCGAATATATCCGAGCATATCCTCCGGCAATAAGACCGGGAAACAGGTTCAATGCACTCACCCCGCCGTGTAGCATCTTCCAACAAACCAACATCGACCTCCGATCTGGGGAGCATCACGTATCGCACAACGCTACCACGAATGAACATGTTCTTCACCGACGATAAGTGGGGGTATTTGTCTAGGTCGAGGACGTCCACATCATCGAGCTTGATATTCAGGTATTGGTCGACCGACTTGAGGGTACCGCGGATGCGGATGTCGTTCTTGAGCTCGATGGTTACGGTTTGGTTGGTGAGGGTCTTGAAGAAGCTGCATAATATCACATGCAAGTCAGAAAGTCATTCATATTGGATTCGGTGGCGGTAAGAGACGAAATGCTGACCTGAAGAAGAGCATGGTTGCGGTATTAAAGCGATGGAGGGGTAGGTGTAGGTCGTATCTAGGTCTATATCATCGCCTGCGGAGCTGAGCAAAAAAGCAATTGATTTGAATCTGCCGCAATTCCCGTCCACGACAAAGGGAAATCGAATGGGCGAAGGGCTGGTGGGAGATTGATAGAGATGATGATATCGCATGTCGCATCGGCGCAACTTTCTGGGACCGCCAGAAGCTCCGGGTCACGTGATCTGATTGCTCTTTCCACTTCGCGGTAAAGCCAGCAGTTAACAATGTTAATTTGCACCTTTTTATATTTCGATGCACTTATAATCTTTATTGCGATAAGATTGCCAAATTGGCCTTCACTTGGGAACCAAAAATTGTTTTTTGTATCGTAAATCTCTTGATCATCAAGACTTTCCGATATATATTCTTGGATGTTTACTCCCATATTCATAGACAACATCGTACATTGCCCATTGCATTTCTCTATAACATAGTACAGATCGGGTAATTACTACAATACAATGAAAATTCGAATAAGTGATGGAAGATTAAAGAACAAGACTAGGGTTATCGCTATATTAGTGTCGCCTCCAGGGCGAAATGGGGTATCACAAAGGCCAAATGAATGAAAAACAAGTGAATGTTGGGAGAAAAGGAAACCAATAAAGCAAGTTAAGCCCATCAGTTCTTCTGGGAGCCGGTCTGCTTCCTGCGTTTCGGCTTCATCGCCCATCCAGACAGGCAGGTCCAGCCAGCACCGTTCTTACGACCCTCGTCAAACACACCCCCGACGCCTTCCAGCAGTCTATCACGTCCCCGACCCATTTCCACTTGCAGCTTCAACAGCCACTGCTCCCAAATCCAGCCCCCCAATAGGCCTGTTAAGCTGGCAATGTCAGCCGTGCTGCCAACTGGACCATGAACGGCTTCGCAGTCCTCGATCTGACTCTTCACACGGGGTTCTGGCGTCTCTCTGGGTGGTGGTCGCTTGACAGGCTCCACACCGATAGGCAAGAACATCCATGCCCTCTTGATACCTAAAAACCGTTCATTTCGCAAATGACCGAGAAAATTCTTGGTCGGATTCGGGTCGTATCCCCTGGTCTTGAGGTTGAATGCAAATTCGACCGAGGTGGCACAAGCGTAATCACCTGCGTGCGATATCTCCGCGTCCATGACAAAGAATTCAAGGTAGCCCCCTGGTTTCAGACAGCGATAGCATTCCTTGAGGCACAAGTCATATTCGTCCTTGTTCTCACCAACAGGGCATTCATTCTTCAGCAACGCAGGAAGCGAACGAGCAGAGATGACATCAAACTTGTTGTCAGGGAACGGTAGCTTCCAGAGATGTTGCACGGAAACTGGCTGATGGTTGGGTGGACCTTTGATACCAGGATTAACTGCTTGCTGTTCGGTAAATGCAGTGTAAACCTTGATATCTGGGTTGTCATGTGCAAGATCCCATGCCCATTCACATGAAGCATGTCCTCCCAAGTCCAGAACTCTCACGCGGCGTTTGTTAGATTTTGAGAACCGTCTCGATGCGGGGCTGGCGATCAATCTACCACCATTGAGGAACTTGAGAGCGTCGATGGCCCACATGGGCTGATGGATTTGCGCAAGCACGGATTGCTCCTTCTCCAGCGTGGAGAACTGTGCCTTCTCCGCCAGAACAGAGGCAAGCACTGACTTGCGAGGAGCTTGTGCAAACGGGCCATTGTATGGAGGACGTTCGGAAGGGGTCAGCTCATAGTTTCCCAGTAAGCAGTTGGTGTGCATTCCAGTCAAGCCAAGTCGGTTCGACTGCACGGCATCAAACCGCATGTTTCGGTGCATAAAGCCGTCCCGGCGCCCAGCCTGTTTACGAACGGACTGGAAGCCTCGCCAGTAAATCGAATCCCTACTTGCCAGGGCAGAAGGAAGGGAACTGGTAGGCTCGGGGAAAGCTTCGGTGAAACGAACAGACTTTTTATGAGTCAAATCGGAAGGCACATCCTCGCGATTCTCCTCGGCGTCATCTGTTACACCATCCCTGTGTTCGATATTGTTGACAGGGTTCGTTTCGTTGAGGGCAGCTAGGTAGGTAGCCTGCGCTGCCAGCCATACGCTAGTTCGATCAAGACTCGCCATTGATCGCTGTTGCAACTCTTCGCCATAGTGCTCATCATATTCGTATGAAACAGCAGGTCGCGGGATTTCATTGACTGCATCATCAACGACACTCACTGGACTCTCCGGATGTTCGATGGGATGAGATTCTGTCTCTGGGGGAATTCTGATGGCTGTGGGCGGTCCCTCCGGAGCATAAACTGCCGTTAACTGCTCCTCAGTTGACCGCTCTGGTAGTTCGATAACCTGCTCGACAATTTCACCCTCATCTCGACTGAAGGGCAAATTGTAAAAGTTCTCCGCAATGGCCGACGAGGGTACCTTGTTCCCCTTGGGTATAGACCATGTGTGGCGAGCACGGGGTCCAAGGGATGCGAAAAAGCCACCTGGAGAAGGAATGCTGAGGTTGCTGAAACTACACCCAGACAGCGCCGATGCCGGAGTCGCTTCATCGGCGCTCCGAGGGCGGCTAGGGGGTTCGAGCTGCCACATTTCCTCATTGCTTGACGTCTCTGACCAGGGATCCGGCGTCCCATCTAGTGGAATATGCTGTAACATTGCTAGAGCATCCTCAGGCAGGAAGACCCCTTGATCGGAGGGAGTGTGTTCTCGGATAGGTTCAGCATCTAGGTCGAGGGAAAGCGATGGCGACCTATTGTTTCCTGCGGAAGGAATCTGAGGAAAGTTCCCAAGCACATGGCGCCAGTCTTCTTCTGTACCCTCGATAGCAATCTCAACGCTTTGAATATCAGAACTCGCGTCGATGTCGGAAGCAGTACTCTGGCTCTCCAGATCAGGCCGTACATGAAAATCTCGAGGGTCCCAGGCATCATCCGGGAGGGATTGCAGGTCTGGCGTAGCAGGTGCGCTGATATTCGAGACCTGGTCGGACGAGACGCTACCATCTAGCGATGGGGGAGCATGTAAAGCAGGCACAGAGTGCGTAAGGCGCGAAAGGGCCGCAGGTGAGACAGGTATCTTTGAAGGTGGTGTCGGTGGAACAGGAGAGCTCTTAGGTGCACCTTGAATTGATGGCCACGTAGATGAGGGGGGGATCGTGAGGGTCGGATACCGATTTCGACTGACGGAAGAACCCAAAGAGTTTCTCGTCGTAGGAGTGATCATGCTCGTTGGTCGACTGCTGCAAAATGACGTACAATCATCACTCGTTTCCGATTCATCATCCGTGGCATCGTACAACTCGTCAAATCCTTGCATCTGGTGCTGCCACTCTGTGTCTGAGCAAGAAGACATAGTCCCTGCAGATAAGGGAGAGAAAAGGCGACCAAGTTTTGAACTCGATGTAGGAAGACCACTAGTCTTTAGCTTCAGACGGGGGCTCGCAGCAGGTTTAAGAAAGTCGTTGGCCTTAAAATCATCATGCCCCAACTCCTCTTTCTCCTCCTCTGAGTACTGCGTCTCGCGCAGATCCTCAATTATAGTATTAAGCTTTGTCCCTCGGGCCTGCCGAAGGGGTGGACATCTTGCTTGTACGGAGCGAGATGAGTCGGACATCTTGCCTCGTAAGCAGCTAGATGGATTGATTATAATATGTGGACCGAGATGCAAGTTCAAAAACGTCAACCGTCGTGAAATGAAAACCAACGTCTAGGGGTATCTCGACTGCATTAGGCACCGATCAACGGGTCTGTCAATGTCAGTAAATTCGAAGAAGCAAAAACGACAACCCAACGAAGGACGGCCCAGCTTCCAGAGCTCAAGGCACGAACACACAAAAACGACAGTAGCAAAACTGAAAACAAATGAACAGCAGGTGAAGAACACAGCGATCAGTGGCACATGGGGCTCTGATAAATAGAAGTACGTAGAGGGGAAGATCGGACGAAGAAACCTGGCCCTGTTCATCCCAGCAGCCAGCCGTGCAGAAACTACTGCATAATAGTGCGAAGTGGACACAAAATCCCTGAAGACCAGCCTCCTTGGGATGCGATCATTGGTGCTGTTGAAGCAGGCGCGTCGCCCACGGAGTCTTTTGTCTCTCAGCACTTTTAGCAGCACACTGGATGGAGCATCAGATGTGCGGATAGAGACGGAATGCACCAATCACTGCCAAAATCAACATTTTGGGGCATGCAACGAACCGCCCTCAACGAACTTGCATCTCCTCTGGTGGTGGTGAGGCCAATGACAGGTGGGCTGCAAGCGCTGAGAAACTATCTTTAGAATCGCGTCGGAAGATGATCGGAGGCATCCCCCAAGATCCCACCTAATTTGCTCATTTGTGACAGAAAAGGGTCAGTAAATAACTTTTTCCGGCAACAGAGGCCAAAGCGAAAGAATATATCCGGTTATCCATTCAAACGGCCATCCTTGCCTTATGGCGTGTCACACGACTAGTATGGGATGGTGTTTACATAGTAGACTGTGACGTCGGCGCGAGAGGATGGACTGCGGCACATGACGGGACCAGGACACTATTTCCTATTGTAGCCATCTCAGGCATCGACAGGTAGATTCAGGCACACAGCAAATTTAAGGCACTCAGGCTTTAACTGCCCCACGCCGAGAGCCACGTGCGAAGGAGGCCCTAGCCCTTATCGATGGGCGTGATTTCCGCTTTGGGCGTTCCGGACTGACGTCGACCGGCGGTGATGATATCAAACGCCGGCCGTTGGCTTGTTTTACGGCCTCCTATCCACTGGTATATCCACATCTTGCCGTCGCTCGGTGAACGCATTCTACTGTAATCCCTTTTAATCATACTTTCTCCTTTCTCATTGCTCTTTTTAATTCCTCAGCTTACTCCCGTGGTGATACGATCTATACTTCTCCGTCGTCATCATGTCTCCCCCCGCCATTATCGCCCCCTCCATCCTGAGTGCCGACTTCGGCAACCTCGGCCATGAATGCTCGACCAAGATGCAGGAGGGCTCTGACTGGCTCCATGTTGATATCATGGATGGCCACTTCGTCCCTAACATCACATTTGGAGCTCCTGTCGTCACCAAGATTCGATCCCACGTTGCACGCCCCACAGAAGCAAACGGCAAGGGAACGTTCGACTGCCATATGATGATTGCGGAGGTGAGATTTCGTAGGGAGATTCCGAATTCAAGAAAACCAAACTGATCAATTCGTGCTATAGCCTCATAAATGGGTCAAGGATTTCAAAGATGCCGGATGCGATCTTTACTGCTTCCACTACGAGGCCGCCGTGAGCTCCGTCGCCGCTACTGAGCCTGCCGACAAGACTACCACCCGTGCGACAAGCCCGAAGGAATTGATTAAATATATCCACGAGCAGGGCATGCAAGCTGGAATTGCTATCAAGCCCGACACCCCCGTGGATGTTCTCTGGGATATCCTGGCGAACGAGAACAAGGCGGAACTTCCTGATGTGAGTTCTGCGCTACTTTAGCCGTCTTCCAATCGCTAATATGCTTTAACAGATGGTTCTCATTATGACCGTGTACCCTGGCTTCGGTGGCCAGAAGTTCATGGCTTCCGAGCTTCCCAAGGTTCAGGCCCTCCGTGAGCGGTATCCGAACTTGAACATCGAGGTTGATGGTGGATTGGGACTGGGTACGATTGACCAGGCGGCCGAAGCAGGTGCCAATGTGATTGTCGCTGGCTCGGCCGTCTTTGGTGCTCAGGACCCTGCCGACGTCATTGGAAAGCTGCGTGACACGGTCAACAAGCAGAGAAAGGCATGAAAAGTTTTCGATTTATTGTCTACGGACTGAATTTTTGCATGTTGAACTGTATCAATCTAACGGACGTGATGACTTAGCAGAAAATGAGCAATTTATAATTGAAGTGAACATAGTATGAAAAATTAATATCAAACACAATTTCATAAATACTTATACAGCAAAATAGTACGGGAAATGGTATCTTTACTCAGTTGTCGTATTCATCATAGGAGTCGTGACCAATAATCAACCAGCCATTAATCCTTCACACTCACACTTTGCAACTTTTCCGCGAGATTTGGGTCTCGTCTTTTCTTTTCAACCTCCTCGTCCTCCAGCGCCTCAGTCTCTTCCTCGAACGGATCCTCCTCGATGGTCCCCTTATTACCCTCCTCCTTCTTCTCCGCGTTTTCGTCTCGCAAGGAATTCAAAATATCCTGATGACCACCAGAAATCGACTTGCGCAGATCCTGCGCGACCTGCTCCTTTTCCTCTTTGGAGGTGGCCGAAACGATGGAGCCGCGATGGTGGCCAACTAGGCCTATAGATTCAGCATAATCAGCACGGAAATTGGCAGAAGAAACCGCGGCAACCTCCGGCATGGCGAGAGGCGGCCTCTTTCTGACGCCGTCTTGTTCTGCGATCTCCGCAGCGACGGACTTCCGACGTACACTTTCTTCTTCGGCTTTCTCTCCTGCTCCTGTTTGTTTCTTGGTCTCGGGCGCGGTGGTAGGCGTTGGTGTCGCTGCTGGTGCTGTCGATGTCGACGATACGGCGGGTTTTGAGGTAGTGGTGGTGGTTGTTCCCTTGTTCTCCTTGGCCTTGGCGGCAGCCTCCTCGCTGGCCTGTTTCATCGCGACGGAAATCGAGTCATCTTTGGGCGTTTCCTTGACGGGCGGGTTCTGGATTTTGATGGTGCTTTGCTTAGGGGGTGCGGATTCAGTGGTCGGGGTCGTGCTGCTGCTGGTAGTAGTAGGCGCAGGGTAACTCGTAGCTGGGAGATTGTCGTGGAAATCCTCCACACTGTTAACTTGCATCCGCAGCTCACCGTATTCATTCCATTCTTCGATTTCTTCTAGATCCTGTATGACATTAGCCACCCCGCCCCCTCTCAAATAAAAACATCAAATATCAAAAAAAGGGTTTGACATGACATACACCAACAACAGTCCCAAACTTCACCAAACCCGGCAGTTTCTTGCCTTTGGAGCGTCTCCCCCAAAGCTTCCGGGCCGCATCATCGGTGGCGACATCAATTGCGCGAAAAGGGAGCTTGTTGGCCTTGAGGATCGTCTCGAGACGCGCAGTGGCGGTGACGATATGAGACGACCCCGCAGTAAGGGAGGTGTACAGATAGAGTGTGGAATCGGACATTGTGGATGGCGTATCCTGTCCTTGATGCAGTTCCAGAAGTAATATAGTAATAGAGGAGGTAGTAGAGATTATTCAATAAAAAAATTTGGTGTGCGGGGGAACAAAAGCGTTAGGACGTTCGAACGACTTTCTTCAAACCCCTGAGGTTTTTATTATTTTTGGAGGGGAACCAAAATGAAAGCGGGTGGGAGAAAATGATATGACGTGGCTTGGCTGGTGAGTTCCCCGATAACCCCCCAGAAATCACGTGTGAGAGGTCAGAGTTGACGATATCGTATACGTCTATCAATTGACGCAAAGTTCAATAGATTGAAAAGAACGGGAAGAAAGGAGAGAGAATATTGAAGAGTTTAATAGCTATTATATATGGTGTTACTCTCGAACCCTGGTGGTGGCAGAGATGAGCAAGCCAAGCGTGGCAACCTGACGTCAGGCCGGGTGTCTTCCATCCAGTTCCAGTAGAGTGGATGCTGCTTTTATGTTTCCCTGTTTCGATAATCCATGGGTGGTGGTTATGATTCTCGAAGATAGGGCGGGTGGTTCGTTGGTGATGGTTCTGGAATAATGGATGGCAAGTGTCTGTCTGTCTGCTATGTATAAAAGTGTCGCTAATTCTGGTGCTCTGCAACTATAGAGGGCAGATATAGCTAGGACGAGTATCGCTTCAGTTAACGATAAAGACTACACTTACCATCATCGACATAAGCTGGATTTCTTAACCATGGATGCATGATTCTGCCTTGGCACAGCGATATAATTCTCCGCAGTCTTTCGTCAATATCCCCACGTATGATCTGAGGATGCACTCACTTCACTATTTTATCGCACATTGGTTGGAGTCCGTCTTTTACGATAGGATCAGAAAGAAGGAGAACGAGAGACAGGAAAAAAGGAGAGAAGAGCAGAAAGTAAAGCATTTGAGTTGATATGAGATTGCATTCTGTAAGGATATATATAGGCCATTTACAGAATAGAATGGAATATATTTAACCTTCACATCAGTATTAATTCATACTATCGAACCAAACCATCAGAAGGATAATAGCTGCAAATTTTAGTAGATTGCCAGTCAAAAGCATAGTATGTTGACAGTTGATATAAGCAGTTTTCTTCACCTAGTGTTCTCTATACAGCATACGGTGCCATAGTAGAACACCAAACAATATGCTACAGTCTACGGAGTACACGGAGTATTTCTAGAAGAAGTAAACCACCACTAATCCTCAGGTTACTGAGTCAGTCGCGACATGAATAATAACTCGAAAATCATATTGATCTCCTCCAAACTTACCCGACCCGGCACTCAAGATCCAAAGTCGAACGAAACAAACCAACATCAAGCGGTTAGTAACTACTCACTCCACTTAGTTATAACTCTCATTATTATTAAAGGATCAAAGGTGTCGTTCAGTTCGTATTTTCCATCCATAATTCCAGAAACAGTGGAGAAGCCAATCTCCGGGAAATAGACTTTCGGAGCCCACTCGTCTGAAGGAGTATGGCTCCGCAAGAAGTTTTTTTTTTTTTTTCATCTTTTTTTGAACTCATTTTTTTCCTGTCTCAAACGTCAAGTTCTTCAATATACGGTGAACCGAAATAAAACTGGCTATGTGGTGACGAATGTTTCATTTGGTCTTAGTTATGGTAGTTGTTGATGATATTCCTATGACTGCGTCATAAGGAAACACTTTACCCCATGTTAGCAGACGGAAAATGCCTATATTTAGGAAAAAGTTTCGACTCACACCGTACTGTCTGCCCAAAATCGCCACTGTCAGCATTTACTGCTGATCTCGTAGAGTATGAAGATCGAATATGGCAGCGTACAGACATGCCTAACACTCGGTCATAGCAGACACAGCAAAGGGTGGCTGGAAAGTAGATAGCTGAAAGCATGAAAACTTGGCAATAGCGGTTGAGCTATATGGAAGGGAGCTATTAGAGCTAAGTCTGGACGGACACGAAGCAACCAGTGATGAATCAAGATGGGATCTCGGTTGAGAACGGTTCAGAAATCTCCCATGTGAGTCTGAGCCCAACCGGTGCCAGTCAGCTTTGATGATACCCCGGATGACTACCCAGTTTGTCTATCAACATCAGATGAAGATCAGGATACGAGGCGATGCCGCGGGTTATCAGAGAGTCGGTTATGTGTTTGATTCATGGTGGTCAGAAGAGGCTTGGATGACGACGTAGCCTTGTCGGGCGAGATTCAGTGCCAGGAAACAAAGGGGGTGATGGGATCAAGATCATCGACGCCCGAGGTTTTCCATGGAACAGGCTGAGGTGGTGAGGGAGAGGTAAGGCAGAAACAGGATGACTTGGGTGTTGGCTTTCAGGCTGCGAATCTACAGTTGTCTAAGATGAGTTCATCAGAGGAAGTTGATGGGTGATGATGACTCCTAAGGCTTTCATGCCGGGGGTATGCACTGTTCTCCAGATGATGCTGTGTAAAATGTTCCAGAGTTGCATAAACCCGACAGACTAGATTCGAATCATCTGACACGGTGACCAACCAGACCTTGTATGACTATCAAGCGATCGAGTGATTTGAGTTCCTTGCGTGGGAAACAACAACCGGTCGTACAGTTCAGCAGAATGCTTTTGTGATGGCCAGCAAATCAGGGTTGCGAAGGCTGGTCTGACCATCTCATGAGGGGTTCTCAGACTGCAGTACTATTGATCATCGTCAAAAGATTGGGTGTGGTGGAACCAAAGGATACGTCCAATAGTGATATTAGCCGGGACTGAATTATGCAGGTACTTGTATCCTTCTGGAATGGTATGGACTATCATGTCTATTTTTGTCGATGTTATGCCCAAGGACAAGAGTTGAGATGGTCTATGAATTTTCCATCACCGGTTTAGTCGTCTTGTTCATTAATGACACTCCGTTGGTTGGGTGTAAGTCCATGATCCGTACTGTCACCTAGTCAGCTAGTCCGACTAGATTCAGTCAGTGCGAGCCGGCAAAAAATAGAACATCCCACTTGGTGGGAAGATAGGCGACTATCACCGTAGAAATCAGACCGAGGGGTCAAAAGTCATCAGCGACAAAGTACTGGATCTGAAGCGTTATGCACATCACGATGACTCGATCGAACAGTCAGAAAAGCGGTGACTGCAGACTGGCGGTGGATGCTGCGATGGATCTGAAGATGAAACAACGGAGGATGGGCCAGGTGTGATACTGAATAATAACGGCGATAAATGGCCAGGACTGCCAGCGCATCGTCGACCAGTGATCCAGCGATCCTGTTACGACCTTCCGACCGACTCAGACAGACTCCGTATCCGCAGCCCACTTGACGCTGTCCTCGGACGACTGGAGACAGTCACGTGCGGCACGTGACATTCCCGTTTGGGCGCAGGGAGCAACTAGCAAAGTGATTGATCCATCGATAGTGTCGCGATCAACAAGAATAATGGCTCAACCGTGTGTTCAGGTGTGCACCACCCAAAGTCAGAATCTCCTGAGTCGTACAGCATCAGTTGATGACTGGTTCTAGAGACGACAGAACCTTGGAACAGTCCCGCGTGGGCGCGGGTTCATCCGTACCAATACTCTACCAAGGTCAAGTTATCTATCTATCCAATATAACCACCATAACCATAGTCTACATGGAAGTACGAGTGCAATAATAGAATAATAGAATAATTGAATAATAGAGGGAATCCAGAGAACTCAGCCACTGTGGCAGAGTGGCTTATCTGTCACCTGCAGACGGAGGTGAGTGTATGGGACGGGGAAGTCCAGTGCATTACTGTGTCCGACGTGGCAGGCGTAGAGCCAGTAGGACTGACAAGAGCACTCTAGAAGGTGTACTGGAAACTCCCGCTGTAGGCGCTGGAAGATAGGACGAGTGTATGGAAGACGACGACTGGCGATGTTTGCAACAAAACCAAATCATCCTGGACCCTGAACTGGCCTGAAATGGACCAAATAGACCAACCGACTAGTCCAACACATCCCAATTATCCACTGCTGCTGGCCCGGCTTTCCTTCGTCGCCATCCGTTTCGCTGCCTCACTTTTCTCCTCCATGGCACCCCTCCATCGTCGTCACCGCCCTCTCACTTGATCCATCCAACTCACTAACTCCTTTGTGGCCACACTGGTTTGGTCGCTCCCCTCCACGAGTCCAGACCCTCTCTGTGTCTGCCTCTCCCCGCTCCAACCCGGACGAGGTTTCGAACTTCTGACAACTGAACTGGATCTTGGATCTCTCTTTCTTCCTAACTGACTGACTGACTGACTCCCTCATGACTGACTGACTGCTCGTTCGTACCTTACCGTTTACCTATCCATTCCTCTCGTCTGCTTCCGAACCCCAATCATCCTTGTGGAGATGGTCCCTCTTCATTAACTCTACCCTCCCGATTCCCTTCATATTAATTCTCTCGTCTCTTCCCTCTTTCTTTTTCCCATTCTACTCTACAATTCAATCGATCATCTACCTGTCTATTCTCTCTCTCTATCTATCTACACTATTGTCTTCCCTCTCCACTATTCATACTTTTATCTCTATCACATTTCTCCATCCCACCTACCCTCTCATCTTACATGTCCTCTTGTCGCATGCCTCTTTACCCTCTTAATCACTTCAATTTCATATCGTCGTGATCTCGACTTGGGTCCTTCAGTCAGTCTTTTGTCCTCCCCTCCATCGTCTTTGCACAGACATTGATTGTGGTTACGCAGAGTGCACCCTTATCATCATCCCCACTTTTACTACTAATCGCAGCTCACCTTCCTCCTACCTGCGTGAAAAAGAAAAGGGAAAAAAACCCCCCAACATGGCTGTCATGATGGCCGACGACGACCTCTTTACACGGGCCATATCTGGGTACCGGGACGCATTTTTGGATCGACACTCCCATCTCTCGGAAACCGAACGAAATCAACTCTGGAGTCAACGCCTAAGTCAGTTCATGCCCGCTTCGGCCTCCTCCAGTCGCACGCTCTCGGGCTCTGGTTTCCTGGACCACGGCGCTTCGACTCTTGAGAAATCTGGGAAACGGACTCGACAGGATACTCCTCGGACGCTACCTGGTTCTGGTCTCCCGATGGCGAAACGACGAGCCACCGTATGTGATCTTGGTCTCTTGCTCCCGCCTCTCTCCTCTGTCTCCGTTTAACCCATCCCGTCCCTCATGCGCTACACCACTTCTCTCTCTCTCTCTCTCTCTCCCGCCAACAGTCCCTGGATTGACAATTGGCAGACTCCGGATTCCCCGGTGACCGTTGACCTGACACGTGAGCTCTCTCACGCGTCCTCGCCGGCAGCCCCCGACTCGACCCGGCGCTTGTCCGCCTCGACCCCCCGGAAGGACAACTCTTCTTTCGCGGCTCATGGGTCCTCGTCCCGACACACGGCCATGGTGCGCTCTCAGAGTTTGCAGACTCCGGCTTCGTACCGGATGCCACAGGCCTCTACCGGGACGGGAAAACGACAATCCTTTGGACCCCAGCGTACACAGCAGCTTCGCCTCGACCAGGTCGCCGAGTACTCCCCCTCCGAATACGCCAAGCAATATCCGGGTGACTTCCAGATTCCGGGTCCTTCTGCGCTTTCTATGGCGTTCTCGGCGGATCTCGCTTCGACTGGAGTCCAACACCCACCGGCACATCAACCCCAGCCGACGTCGCAGCAGCAACAACAGCAGCAAGACTCATATGTGGGCATGACAGGACTACCGAACTCCCTGGCCGACCAACCGGTTAATACCGGATCGGCGGCCGTGGACATGAGTAGGAGTACAACGACAGATTCGATCTGTTGGGGTGTAGACATGTTCAGATTCAACTCGGTTGGATCGAATGTTGACCCCGGTTTTACCTTTCCCATGTCTTCTGACTTTACTTCTGCCTCCCCTGTTAACGTTCCTCCCCCTGTTTCATTTCCCTCTCATCGTGACATCGAACATAACCCATTCTCATTGTCCGACTCTACCTCTCTTCCCTTTTCTACCTCTGCTCCTCCTACTACCTCCTTTCGTCCTACCGTTCCTTCCATGTCAACATCGACGGCAGTCGAGATGAAGCATTCTATGTCTGCCGAGAGCAATAGCTCTTCTGCTTCTCAGCAGTCTAGGGCTGCTCGCAGGGCTCAAGAACAGATTATGCAGGGAACCAGGCCCATTGCTCCTAAGCTCAAGTCGCATCACAGCTCTCCGTCCAAGTTGCCAGAGCAGCACAAGATGATCCGGATCTCATCTTCAGATGGGACTGCCAAGGAGGTGGCGGCCATTCCCAAAGCTTCGATCCAGCGTCCCCCGCGTCCAAAGACGTACTGCACCATGTGCAACGACCAGCCCGATGGCTTTCACGGGGAGCACGAGCTCCGACGACACATCGAGCGGGTGCACGCTGTGGTTCGTAAGGTTTGGGTTTGCGTCGACATCTCTCCGGATAAGACTTTCCTGGCTAACTGCAAGGCTTGCCGCAATGGCAAGCGGTATGGTGCCAACTACAATGCCGCTGCCCATCTCCGTCGAACTCACTTCAACCCGTGCCAGCGCGGCCGAGGTGGACGTGGGAAAGACAGTGAGAAACGGGGCGGTAAGGGGGGCGGTAACCACCCTCCGATGGAGGTTCTGAAACACTGGATGGTTCAGAGAGAGGAAGTCGTCCTCGAGAATGCCCAGAGCTACCTCGACCCGGACGGGCTCGGTGACGACATGGCTGTTGCGCCGTCGTCGGCCCCTGAGGACGACGCGACGTACAGCGGGTTGCCACCTGCGCCAGCTGAGGATCTCACCTCACTGGGGTTGGAATCGACCCTGGTGGATGGGTACGAGACTGGTCTTCCTCCTGCTGCTCTACCTGCTGCTCTTCAGACAATGAACAGTCTTGAGCCATATTGTGATACTCCATTTTTGCTTGACTCACAACAGATGCCCTCTGAGATTAATACCTTTGTGATGTGATTGAATCACTCACTGCATTGCTCTCTTTGCTCATCATGACTTTTGCCCTCTCATGAATACTTGTTCGAATATTTTCTCTGTTAATATTTGATTTCTTCCTTCTCTTCTCTTTTTATCTTAATATTAATTTTTTTCTTTTTCTTTTCTCTTTGACTTTTATCTTCTCTTTTCACTGTCACATCTTCTTATCTTCTCATCTTCTCTTTGGATATTCTCGATTCTTCATCCTTTCTTTGGATACTTTTGGTCTTAACCTTCTTCATCTTCTTTCATCCTCCTGTGCGACCACCAGCGCGGCCCATACCGGCCCCTGTCCTGCCTCGATGCGGTGATGACCCGACATGATGTGTGATGAGCGATATCGAACAATCAGTTTCGAATTGTCAATACTTTGATATGGTGCAAATCGTCGTAGTTAACAGCAGTCTACTTCCCTGAGAAACTGGGAATAATAATGATACTTACATGGTTACTTACCTTACCTTCTGTTCAGTGTTCAGACACGGACTGTAGGCAGCACTTGCCTGACCGTCATCATCGCCCATCGCAGATATTCCATGATGAGGCGGTTGTTGACCTTGTGCATCTCAGCTGTGTCTCAGACTGCCACTGCCATTCACAATGCATTGAAGTGAATTTATCTACAATACCTTGTTATGTCAAGGTAGTCATGAAACATGTTCAAGTCATCTAAATACAGTGCCTCGTTATGTCGAGGCAGTTATTCATGGACATACAAAATACTATTTCGGATATTTCGACCAACAGAACTGAACTAATAGTTATTGACAGCGTTAGTCAATACTGACACATACATACCCATACTATACTTAGTTATACAATGAATATTCTACTGAAAAAACAAGCTCCTTATCCAGATAGATCCATGTAGTGATTATTTCGCAATATTAATATAGATCGGCATTATTGGTGGGTTACACAGCAGTCCTCAGTTCCAAGGTGAAGAGAAACAACCAGATATTACCTTCCCTGTCAGAATGGACAAACCACCATCTCTCCATCTGGCCTCCATTCGCGAAATGCACAGTATATCAGCTCAGTGATTTCAAACCTAGCCACCTAGTCCTCACCAAATGAACGAACTAACCCCATCTAACCCAGTCAAAAGCAGAACCAAATTACACAACAGCTGTCAGTCAGCTGTATGCAGACGGCGCATCTTCATCACGTCCATTGCAGCTAGCTCCACTGACCAAACCTCCGCAGGTCAGAACAGGACATATGTGCTTTTTCAAGGCCTCAACCAGCCCGGTCGCTGTTGATGACTAGGAATTTTCTCTAGGGGATGAACTATTGGATAATTGCATGCTGAGATTGAAATATACACCGAGGACAGCAAACACCGAACCCCGAATTTAATAGAGTAAATAACCTCTTCTCTCCTTTAACCCACGACACAAACGAGCACTCAATTTGCAGTTCGATTATAGGTATCTTGATCTTGATAAAGATAATGACCTCGCTGTTTACTCGGTTTGCAAAACTCTTCCAGCCGGCACAACCAGCGCAATTTGCGCAGAAAGGACCCCTCCTCTGCCTTACCATCTGTGGTTATCGTAAGCAAGGGCTGGGCGAGGATGAATACCGTGACTACATGACTAAAGTGCACGCGCCTAAAGTGCAAGGGTTGTTGGTTAAGTATGGGATTGAGAAGTATAGCATGGTATATCCCATTTGCTTACAACTACACCTATCGTAAAGTGAATACTGTACTGATAGATTGAAAGGTTCATAGCCCCGTCGAAACCCGCGCGTTAATGGAAGAGATCTTCGACGAACAATTTGCAAACGTGACAGATTATGACTGTATTGTTCAGATTCAGTTCAGGGATATTCAGCAGTTTGTGAGCTTAAAGGCGGATCCGGATTATATCAAGGCTATTGCGCCGGATCATGAGCAGTTTGCGGATACGAAGAGGACGAAGTATGTTTTCTATCACTTTAAAGAGTACAGATGAGCTGACTCTGTAGAATGACAATTGGATGGGTGACGGATGTTGTCAAAAGTGGACAGATTGTGTAAATTATGATCTGTGGGTAAAAATCGACGTCTCTACTATCGTTCTCTCTGAGATATGACCACCGTCTCCAGCTACTTCTTGCGTCCTTGAGCCAGGTACCTGGTGATTCCTTTGGCATACCTGTCGAGATAGCTGCCCATCGACTTGTCTGATTGACATGTCAGCAAACAGGCTAGAAACAGTCGTTGAGCTGTCACTTACAACTGCGGACCCCAGCATCCCGATGCACCTTCATGTATTACGGTCGATCCTAGATTCACATTCAACAGCCGTCTTTGATACCAGATGTAGGCGATGCGCCCTTACCTCTCGCGGAGCCCCGTTCTCGAGCCACAATTTAATATCCTCTGCATCCTCGATGGTGGCTTTCTGGGATGCGGATATGACTGCCAGGCATTGGTTAAAGGACAACAGGGAAGCTTGTCCCACCGTTTCGAGTGATTCCCGCCCGCGGCGAATCTCTTCGATCTGATCTTCAAGTTTCTGCTTCTTGTTTTCCTTCTCTGTAATCTCATTTTGGACAACTATAGTACACGAGTTAGGAGGGAATTTGGAAGAAGAGAGCCACACCTACGGCCTGCCGCGATGATCAGGCCGGCAGTTGTGCCAAAGCCCACCCCAGCGGTGATCAATCCAGCAACCTATGCCGTATACATTAATTAAGCTGTCAATAGGAATATCAATACTCCACCTACCAGAAGCACTGAGGTCCACGGAGGGAATGCGGTCATCAGGAGTCCAATCACCCCCAAGGCCACTCCCGTAGCCAGTCCAATGGCTGTGGCCGAGGCATTTAAAGCTGTGAGCTTCTCTTTCAAGGCAACAAGGTCTTCATCAATTTTCTTGATTTCCTCAGTCAGTTGGCCCTCCTTATCCTTGACCCATTTTGAGAAGGACGTGACCAAGGCAGCAAAAGCATCGATCAGCTTCTGGTGGTGCTTTTCGATTTCATTAGCCTTGGTTTTGAAGCCGTTACAGGTCTACTACTCGGTTAGTTCTAAAAAGCGTTGAATCACTTTGTAAGTGATGTTCTTTCACCTTGGCAGGGGAGAATCTTATCTGATTAGGATTAACCAGCTTTACTAACAGCCTACATCAACAAAGCTATCCATAACTGTATGCCCCAATGTTTCTATCCTTGAAGTTGGTGTTTACAGCTGATGATAATCGCAGACGCTAACTCGGCAATGTATCTTCATATGTATGCTGAATATCTCGTTGATCCTCTTCGTCCTGGGTCTGGGTGATACTGCACCAACTGTCCTTATAGCGCATAGTTTCTGCCATATTGAACTGTATTCAATTTTTGTTTTGAAGCTATACTGCATAGAAATTTGTTAAGGTTGTCATGTGACTGTCCCTGCACTATCCTAAAGCAGTAATTTTGGGATCTTGAACAATCTGGCTTACCTAGTCCACCCAATCGGGACTAGCGCCAGACCTTTTTTGGTTGCCTGATCGGATCCAGACACAAAGATGAGGCGGTGGCTGGTCACATGACCGACGCTATCTTCACTTTCTAGTAGGTGAGTTTCTCCGAGTGAGACGAACGAGCGAGACTTTGGGCGCAGATGCTTGTCCATTGCGCTCAGTCAGCTTGGAGTTATTTGAGATGGACGTGAGTTGGGCAGAAGAGACGGTGTGACAATCCAGACGAACAGCCAATCAGCGACCCACTTGGCCCAATGGCGGTGGCTGGATTCCCTGTAGGGCTGGTCTGGTGTGGCTGCGCAACTCCTATTTTTGTACGGCAATGAGTACTTACGGTACCGTCTTCATCTTCAGCATCGTCATCGTCCATCTAGAATAGCATCACCGATGAGAATGTAGAATAGGCAGTAATGATAGAGCCGAGCTGAGGCCAGGGGATGGACCCAGAAAAGAAACACGGGTAACCACGATGCGCCCTCGTGGACGAACCAGTTCCATGGTGATGGCTGCTAGTCGCCCGTAGTAAGCTGCTACTGCTAGGGAAGAATAATCAAATCCCTCGTTCTCCTCTTCTCCTTTCTCCGCTTCTTTTTCTTCTTCCACTTCCCTCGTTTCCAATCCTCTCATCCCAGACTCCGATCTGCTTCTTTTTTTCACGCCGCTCCAACTTGGCATTTGCTTAGGTATGTTGGCTCCCCATTATTGGTCCCTCCGTGCTTCTCCTTATTTACCCTCTGGTTCCTCCCTCGGTCTCCGATCCCCCGTTTCTTCCGTTTCTTCAAGAAAAAAAAAAAAAAAAAAGTCAACTGTTCAACTGTTCAACTGACAACTGACAACTTCATCTTCGCGATAATCAGACACACCTCACCGTCACCATGAGCTCCGGACAGTACTACAACGGCCCTCCCCCTCCTCAGGCGTAAGTTGCCTTTCTCCTTTCTCCGTTCCGATCTCTTCGCCGATGACAATGCGACGCTTGGCTCGGGATTGATGAATGCTTGTCGCACGGAGCTCATTTCATCTCGGACTTCCGTCACGGTCGGGCTGTTATCTGGAGAGATTGGCCATACTTGAGTGCTTTCTTTTTTTGTCGCCGACTTTACTGACATGTCTATCTAGCTACCCCCCTCAGGGCTACCCTCCCCAGGGCTACGGTCCTCCCCCGCAAGGTTACCCTCCTCAGCAGTACCCTCCTCCTGTACGTTGTGACCGATTCCCGATAAACAATACTCGCGATACTAATTGATGTCCAGCAAATGCAGTACCAGCAGCAGCCTCCCCCCCAGAAGAAGGACCGTGGATGCTTGGGCGCTTGGTGAGACACTTTCCCCCTTGTTTTTACCCGACTGAACTAATAGCATACTCTCTAGCATTGCCACCCTGTGCTGTTGCTTCCTGTGCGAAGAGACCTGCGAGTGCTGCTTCGAATGCATCGAATGCTGTGAAATGTGTTAAGCTAAATACATGGTCTTTTGTTACCTCCCCAATGATCGATGACTCGATGATATCCTGAAGCGCCGGGTATCGCGCCGCCCACCGCCGAATACGGTCTTTTTATACCACCTTTCTTCTATGGAAATGCTCCGTTATTTTATATCTATCACGGGATGTTTGCGGGTTTCTGGGACAAGCTAAGGGTGCTTGGAGAGATCCAGGCTGCTTCTCTCATGGCGCTCACTTGATGATTTCTTTTTCTTTCTCGATTTTTTATTTGGTATGCTTTGATATGGACTTTATGTGAAGTGAATTGAATGGCAGGATATTTCTGCTTTATTATTTCTCAACAACTATTCTGTAGACTCAACACTGAAACTAGATGAGTGGAGATCATAGCTTAAGTAGTTTAGTAAGGGATGGCGTTTGGCAGCAAAACTGGGGCAATTGGTATCTGGATCGCATATGACGCGTCTCGTATATCCAATGCTCCACTAGCTAATATGTATTCATTGCAGATCAACTAGAGTATTGCTGCAACATATTTCGAGTGAGTGAGTGGTCGTATTCGGCTACTCTGAAAGTCAACGGCTCTCCATAGGGTGGAGACAACCTTCGCTTGTCAACACAACTCAATCACTAACTACCCATCCTAATTTCATCAAACCATTCCATCATCCATCATCTCACCTCTTCAAAATCATCCCACGAGATACTCCTCCAAGCCAAGCCATGCGACAAATAGCCTGAAACCAGTCAGCCCGGGGAGATGCGGGGAACCAAATCTCGGCTTTCTCTTGTCTCTTCGACAATTCCACCATTCAGGATCCAACAACAATGCCCGACTCGATATTGAACCTGACGATCCATGCACGCAATATGCACTGCTCTTGGTTGTTTTCTGTCGCTTCATCCGGGAGTCCGGCAGATGTCGCTTGACTCTATCTGTTTTACCCAGGACAAGACCCCGCACGGAGGTTTGTTTACTATGACAGCTGCAGAGCCGATATATCTCCTCATGGAGTTTTGCCGGATTTGGATATCCTGGTTTCTTTTATGAGGGGGTGGTGGTGTATACCTACCCCTCTTTAATACTGGGAATCGGATGATGTTCCGATTTGGGTTGGAGCACGATGGGTTATATAGTACCTGAGTGTTCCTCATCTACGGATCACTGGATGGAGCGTTGGATTTTGTCTAAAAGGGTATGAGAAGCAATATGATACGCAAATATCTCCTCACGTCATTTTTGGCAGCGTGTACTGCCGCCGTTGAGATCTCAGTTGCGTCTTCTGGTGGAAACACCACCAGCGGCCTGCAATATGGTATTATGGAAGAGGTATTTACACTTACAGATCTTATGATTAAAGAAAGTTGCTAAAATGGCCAGGAAATCAACCATTGCGGTGAAGGTGGTCTATACGCCGAACTGATCCGCAACAGAGCCTTCCAGGGTGGCACCACATATCCTTCATCGTTGGATGCGTGGATCCCCGTCAACGACGCATCCCTTTCTCTCAAGAACCTGAGCTATCCTCTTTCCTCTGCCTTGCCTACATCCGTGAATGTCAAAGGAACAGGTAAAGTCGGACTCGCGAATCTGGGCTGGTGGGGGATCGACGTCCAGGAACAGAAATACACCGGATCGTTTTATGTAAAGGGGTCTTATAATGGGTCGTTTACGGCCTCGCTTCAGTCGAATGAGACGAGTGATGTATTCGCCAGTGTGGAGATTGCGTCGGCGAGTGTGAGGGGTGCATGGACGCAGCATAATTTCACTCTTACCCCGACCAAGGCTGCGGGTGATGTGAAGAATACGTTTTCTATTAGCTTCGATGCTTCGGTGTGTATTCCCCCGGTTCGTGAATGTGGATGTGTCTAATGTGGTTGTCTTTAGCAAGCTGTGGATGGTTCTCTCGACTTCAACCTCATCAGCCTCTTCCCTCCGACATGGAATGACCGGCCGAATGGAATGCGCAAGGATTTGATGCAAACTCTTTCCGACATGAAGCCTGTAAGTCCATTGGATCTTCTTAATTCAGTCTATTCTAACTTTATCAGAAATTCCTCCGCTTCCCTGGTGGCAACAACCTTGAAGGTGACACCATTCCCGGCCGGTGGAAATGGAACGAGACAATCGGTGATCTCAAAGATCGGCCCGGTAGAGCTACTACCTGGGGTTACCAGGAGACTCTCGGATTAGGTTTGATCGAGTATATGGAATGGTGTGATGATCTGGAAGTAGAGCCTAGTACGTCCCATCTCCATGAGAAAACAAACACACTCTAACCATTTGCAGTCCTAGCAGTCTGGGCCGGATTAGCCCTAAACGGCGACGTCGTCCCCGAAGCCGATCTAGAACCGTATATCCAAGACGCTCTGGACGAGATTGAATTCCTCACTGGCGCTGAGGACACAGAACACGGTGCCTTGCGCGCATCGCTGGGCTATCCTACGCCATGGACGATCAAATACGTCGAAGTCGGAAACGAAGATAACCTTAACAATGGACTGGAATCGTACAAATCATATCGCTTCCAGGCATTCTACGATGCTATCAAAAAGAAGTATCCCGATATCACAGTTCTGGCGTCAACGATCGATATGACTCTTCCTGGTGTTGCGGGTGGTGATTATCATCTATACGATGAGCCGGATAACTTTGTGACCAAGTTTAATTTCTTCGATCAATATACTGATGAACATCCTATTTTGCTTGGTAAGCCCCCTCCCCCAGATATACTGTCCAGGGAAACCAACCAGATAGGTGAAATCGCCGCAACGCAATTCAACGACGGAGGCGAGATTAACTGGGATGATAAAAACTTCTCATTATATCCGTGGTGGATCGGGACTATTTCCGAAGCTGTTTTCCTCATGGGCGCAGAGCGGAACGCAGACAAGATTCTTGGAACTACATATGTACGTCCACATCCCACTCATATTTGAGAAAATACTGACAAGCAGTAACTACAGGCACCATTCCTCATGAACTTAGACAGCTACCAATGGTCACCGACCCTGATCGCCTTCAACGCAGACCCATCCCAAACAGCCAAATCGACAAGCTGGTATCTCTACGAACTCCTCGCAACCTCGCACATCACAAATACCCTCCCCACAAACTCCTCGACCGGCTTCGGTCCCCTCTACTACGTCGCCGGTCTGGATAACAGCACAAACTCGCATGTCTTCAAGGCAGCCGTGTACAATAGTACCGCCCCCGTGCCGGTCTCGCTTACCTTCTCTGGTGTGGATGCGGGTACTTTGGCAGAATTAACAGTCCTCACGGCCGGAAGCCCCTTCGCGATGAACGAAGTTGGAGGGGAGTCGAATGTGGTCGTTCGCAATGTATCGACCGTTACGGCTGGAACGGAGGGTGTGTTTGAGTTTGAGTTGCCGGATTTGAGTGTTGCTATTTTGAAGACGGAGTAGACAGCATACGGTAGGGTGTGGTGTAATAGAAGCCATGACTCGTTATGCTATATACAACACACTACCTTGGTAAATAAAGAAGTACCTACATTTCCAACCTTGGACCATGATAATGCCGCTTCGCATGCGTGAACCAATTCAAAACCCCCAATATCAACATAATCACCAACACAACCGATGTATAATCTAGCACACAAAACACATTAGCAAACCACTCGCATTCACATCCACCTCAACAGAATCAGGATCAGGATCAGGAAACATACTCATATTCCCCCCTGTAACCGGGAACAAAGTCGGAAAGCAAAAGAAAACCGTAATAATCACCGCCCAGATAATACACACCGTGTTGGCGATATACCCCACCAACGAGGGGACTCTGAACGGCCGATTCGGAGGGAGGTAGTGCGCGGACCGGGATCGGTAGAGGAGGAGGGCGGCGGGGATGGCGTAGGAGATTTGGGCTACTATTACGGTGGAACTTATGAATGCGTTGAAGGCTGGAATAGTCAGGACCAGTTGGTTAGTATTGACTTGTATGGTGTGATTGATGTGGGCTTACCTGTTGTCGAGCATACGTATACAATCCCTATAAGCAAGACGAGGATCCCGTTTAGAATGAGTGCGTAGACGGGCACGCCTAGTGAAGGATGAATAGATAATAGACGAGACGAAAAGAAGAGAGCTTCATCTCTGGCGAACGACCAGGTGAGTCGAGAGGCAGTCTGATGTACTGCGTTCAGCGCAACGCAGGAGACGACAAAGAGGCCAGCCATGAACGCTGTTCCTGCAACGGGGGAATTGGTAGCTTTTTCCCAGATGAAGTAGATGGGAAATCTAAGGTAGTCCACGTTAGCCATTTGATATGTAGGATGTGTAAATGAACTTACCCCGTCGGCGTATCCAACGACGACTCCACATCCCCATAACTATACAGCACAGCCACAGACATCGGAAACGCCGTGAAGAAGCCCACCGTCACAGTCACCATGACTGCCTTGGGGACGATTCTTTCCGGCTCGAGACATTCCTCTGCGAGATGGAGTGTAGCGTCGAGACCGGAGAGCATAAACTGCGGCGTTGAGAGGCCCGTCAAGAAGGCGATGCCGTCTGGCCAGCCTCCGGAGCCGTTGGCAAGATGGCCCCAGATGCTTGTGGAGTTGATGGTTGTGTGTGCTGCTGACCGAGCTGGACAGGTGATGGTAATAGCGAGGAAGGTGGCGATGGAGAGGAGGACTGATGGTTCGTTGGTTAGTACTATATTGAGGGTGTTAGAGGGAAAGACGTACATCCAACGTTGTATACCCAGAGCGTCTTGTTAGTGAGAAACATGTTATACACCACCATCACCGCATTAGACAATTGATAAACAAGAAATAAATGCCATGTCTGCGGCTGATAGTCCGGATTCCACCGAATGACCATCGCCATGAGAGCCTGCGTGCCAGCCAGACAGATCGATGCCGCAAGCGTAATCCACGAAAACACCGCCGCAAGACCACTAAAATACGACAGACTGCGACTCCATCGACTGGACGCCAAGATGGAGGTGAAGTGATACTGGCCGCCCGCGGTGGGATAGACACTCGCCAGTTCTGCCAGCGTCACGCCCGTGCAGAGCATGGCGATAGTAACGAGGATGATACCGTAGAGTAGCGAGACAGCACCGCCGGATTGAATGGCGATGGCGAAACTGGCTGCAATCGCCACCCAGCTGTTGGAGATGTTGTAGCCGACGGCGATGATGCTGAGGATGCTGAACTTGCGCTTCATGGGCATGTCGGAGATGCCCATGACGACGTGGGCATCGCCCATTTCGACCTCGGGGATCTTGGACGATGCATTGTCGTCTTTGAAAGTGGGGGATTTGGTTTCGCTGGATTCCATGGTGTGGTGTGGATGGGAAGGAGGGGAGAGGAGGAGAGGATGCTTTTGTATGTATGACTAGGAGGGGATACGAATACATTTACGAGAGAATATATCAGATATTCTGCTGCCTCCCACATGAAGTATTTTCAATATCATTTACTTTTATCATCGTGCTTTATTCTGACTGCTGATCGATTGACGTGAGAGGACGAACGAGTCTACATCTGTGGAGCGACGACGTGGAGTATCAATCCAGACTCGACATTATCACAATCCACAACGATAATCTCATACACAAGAAGCTCTACAATCAAACTAATTACTCAGTATCAAAATCAGGATCGAATATCTCACGATAATCAAGATAGCCCAGATAACATCGGAATGGCTTATCGAATTCCGAGCGACTATCACTCACGATACGCAGCACCACCAATAGAAGCAGACACGAAACACAGCTTCATCGCGGAATGGGCGGAATGGTCCGTCTGGATGGCTTCGTCTGGGCTGCAGATCGTCGCTCGTCGATGGTTCAAGGCTTGTTTTGCGTGCGGGGGTGGGAATGGGGACCCCGGATCGATGTCATTCACCCCCGCATTATGGAGTAGCTTCATGGGGATCATGCATTTGTATAGCATCATTTGCCAGGCGAGTCTTGTTTCCATTCCGAGGTGGAGGGATCCTCGGTAATGCTCTTCTCCACGGGGCGGAATGAATCCTTGGATCAACACATGTTGAATTGGGGCTACTTGTCGAAATTATAAGACTCAATCTCATTCTTCTAGACTCAGCTAGATGGTGTCATCTAGTATAGCTTCTTCGCCCTGTCTCACACTATCCATCCCCTAATCCATCTCAAACTTACCTTTACTCTCCAGCATCTAGTCGAGTCTATCTATTCATTCGATCGACTCAACCCCTTGCCCTTGGTAAAGAACGCAGCAACGGTCGCAATCAGTCCAAAGCTACCAGACGCAAGGAAAGAAAGTCGAATTCCTTTGTAGTAAACCAATCGAGCAGCCATCTGGATATCCGGGGGCAAATCATGAATCGCAGACACCGAGTGCCGGATATCATCAATAATCTAGACAAGTAGTAAGATGCGATCAGCCATTGTTCCATATCCAAATCACATGCGGGAGCAAGGAAGGTGTTACTTTCCATTTATCTGGTATTTCACTCAAGGCCTCTGGAAGGCCTGAGTATAATGTGTTTTGGACAATTGCGGACGATATCGCAACGCCCCAGACGGTTCCTAGCGAACGAACGAGATAGACAGTCGATGCAGACACGGCGTGGTCTAGATTGTTAGCCAATTTCTTGGTGATATCAAGGCAGTACACACCAGCATGGTCGAATGCAGCTAAAAAGGTGAATAGAATCCCCGGGTACACGATGCCCTGTCCCAAATTGGCGGGAATCACATAGGCAAAGTACTTCCATCCCGAATCGTTGAATTGCAGGGCCATCACAAGTAGATTCCCAATACACATCAACACCGAGCCAAGACGTACAAGATAAGCCAATTTGCCCCATCGTGACATAACAATTCCAGAAATAAGTCCACCGATCGGTGTCGCCAAGGATGGGATAGCTAGTCTTGCACCGGCCTTGGTGGCTGAATCCAGCAGGACTACTTGGAAGAGCAGAGGAAGAGTGAAGAGGAACTATCAAGTCAGTATGACCCATCACGTAGATATTGCAAAACTCACAGCATAAGCAGCCATTCCAACACAAACATTGGCAACCTGAGTGGCGATGGGCAAAACTCCCTGCAACATCCTCGGGGGAATTAGAGGAATTGCGGTCGTCTTCGCTTCAATGACCATGAAGATCGCCAGGAGAATCACGCTTGCCACCAGCGATAGAATGACCCAAATATTACTCCAAGGAAGCACATTTCCACCCAGACTCAGTCCAACCAACTGACTCGAAAGTCCAAGAATCAGAAGACATGCACCAGACAAATCGACATACTTCCAGATCGCTCGGAAGCCGAGGCTAGACTGTCCGTAATCATCCCTTCTAGGAAGCTTGAGCACGAGATGACCGGTCACCAGAGCAAAAATAGAAATTGGGACCTGTAGCAGGAAACACCAACGCCATCCAATTGAATCTACGATCGTCCCTCCAAACGAAGCGCCGCAGATCGATCCAAAGCCGTGAAGCACATTCTGTGTGGCCTGGTACATTCCGCGCCTTCTGAATGGAATGAGATCAGAGTTGACAATTGTGGCTATCTCGTCAGTCGGTTGTCTTAGGCAGGTCTATACTGTACTTACCCATGGTCATCAATCCTCCACCTCCAATACCCGTCAATGCCCTCATCAGATTGAGAACAAGGACATCCCTCGCCAACGTACATCCTAGACATCCAGCCATGAAGCAGATAGTGGCCGTAAAGAAAGACGCTCTTCTTCCAAAGATATCAGACAGGCGACCGTACAATGGCTGAAAGGCAGTGCTAGTGATGAGATACGAGGTCGTCAACCACGAGGCCGTATTGGCCGCATTGAACTCCGAACTGATCACGGCATAGGTTGAAGCCGTGATAGTTCCATCGAACCCCGAGAGAAACACATTCGACATGATGGCTGCTTCCGTTAGGGCATGACTACTTATTACTGGGTAGAACGCACCGATTTGAATCCATACAAAACCTCTGGGTGGCTTCCATGCTGCCGCATCATCTTCTGGTCGCAAGAGAGGCTGCTGCTCATGCGCTGCTGGCAACGATGACTCTGCGTCATAGTCATCGCCAAAGGTTGCTGTGACCTGGCGAGCTCCCTGGGTCGTATTTGGATCGGGAGGGTGAGACATTGTCGATTCGCAATTTCCTACTTTTCTGTGGTATCTTGCCAGACAATTGTTGCTGTCGCCAGTTGTATGTAGGGAAAAAAATCAAATTTCTTCCATCGGAATCCAAGAAATAATTAGTTCATCCGAATAATTCAAAATGTGTGGACTGTGGAATGAGAATACCGAGCAGTGGGACGGTTCCTGTCAACAACTGTTCCTGACCCCACAATGACGATTGACGACTCAGTCTCGACCCTCGCTTCAGTCGCTTATATTCTTGGTCCTTTAAATTGTTGCCTCTGATTGAACAATATGTGCCGTAGGCGTAGATGCAGCAGCGGGGTGGGTTGTCGGGCACTGAATATGGCAATTGGCGTTGATGATCCTCATCGGCTGCTGTCTCTAAATGGCATCATCCAAAGCACGAAATCGGTCCGCAGAATGGCACGATAAAAATTAAATATGAGCCAGCAATGGGAAATGAGCTGTGAATTTGCGGATACAAGTAGTCTGGCTGCCCCTCTTCTCTTCCTTGTTCTTTTTTTTCAATTAGCACATACTCGCAACAAGCATCAATTGCCGATAGCACAAGAGTGTCAAGTGCAGAATACCTAGCCAAGGTTAATGTACCCTTCGCTGAACACAATGGATCTGATGGAAGCTAATCACTTGGTCAGCGTTTCTAAACGCATCTCAGAATGAAGGCTGCATTGTCCTGGATCAGTGCAGTTGCTTTGCTGCCGTTGGCATCCGCCGACTGGCAGTTCAAGTCGCGGACTGATCTTGCACCTCCTCGGTTGAATATCACCATCCCAGCCACCTCGGAAGTCGAAAAGGGCTATCTCTTTGTGGCTCCCTTTCCCGGTCTGACGACTCCCGGCAACCATGGACCGCGTCAGGAGGGCCCGTATATTGTTCGCGATGATGGAGAGTTAGTCTGGTCCGGCTATACGTACTACTCCATCTGGGCGGCCAACTTCCAAAAGGCTCGCTGGAACGGCAAGGACGTCTTGTTCTCCTTTGAAGGCGACCATAACCCAGCTTATGGACATGGACATGGCCACGCCACCTTCCTCGATCAGAACTATGAGACCATCCGCGAGTTGAGGGCCGGAAACCACAAGTTGATGGACAAGCACGAGTTCCATATCATCGACGAGAAGACCGCTCTCATCCAGGTTTATCAACCTGTTCCAATTGACTTGAGCCGTTGGGGTGGAAGCCCAGAGCAGCAGTGGATTGTCGATGCTATCATCCAAGGTATGTTTAGGTTCCCCTTGTCGACAGGCGTATCTAACCTATCCAGAACTTGACATCCAAACTGGCGAGCTGCTCTTCGAATGGTCCAGCCTTGCTCATGTCTCCCCTGATGGTAAGGTCCTCATTTTGTCATGTTCCAATCCGACCCAAGCTAATACAGCTCAGAGGCCGTCATCCCCCTTAACCCTGGGCAAGCTGGAGCTGGCTACAACTCTTCTGATGCATGGGATTACTTCCACATCAACTCGGTCGACAAAGACGCAGAGGGTAACTACCTGATCTCAGCCCGTGATGCTTGTGCAGTTCACAAGATCAACGGTACTACCGGAGAGATCATCTGGCGTCTCAGTGGCAAGAAATCCGACTTTGAGATGGGAGACAATGCATGGTTCTGCTTCCAGCACCACGCTCGCTTCCTTTCCCAGACTGACGACGAGGAAGTCATCTCGTTGTTTGACAACTCCGCTCACGGCACTGAGAACGGTCGTGGCAATGAGCTCCACACGCATCCTTTCTCACAGGGCAAGATCATCTCTGTCAACACGGCTACCTGGACTGCTAAGGTCGTCCAAGCCTTCGCACCCCCAGATGGACTCCTCGCCAAGTCTCAAGGAAGCACTCAGGTCCTTCCCAATGGTAACGCTCTCGTGAACTGGGGATCAGAGGGCGCAGTGACCGAGTTTCGATCGGATGGAACTCCCATCTTCCACGCTTATATGGATTCCGACTTCCTGGGCGAGGGTGTGCAGAACTATCGGGCCTTCCGCTACAACTGGACGGGAACCCCTAATGAGAAGCCTGCCATTGTCTCTTTGAAGAACAACAAAGGAACTACCGTGTATGTGTCTTGGAACGGTGACACTGAGACGGCTGCCTGGAGATTCTATGCACTCACTGATGCATACGGATCGCGGGCGTATCTGGGCGAAAGCAAGCGAACTGGCTTCGAGACTTCGTTTCATCTGAAGGGACACAGTGTCGACAAGATTGCGGCAGAGGCAATCTCGGCCAACGGTCGTGTTCTCACTTCCACGGGAGTTGCGCGGATTCAGGAGGAAGTGTTGCCCCCAGTTGATTCCACTGTCAATTCGGTTCAAGTGGATGGTATGCGCTGGTTGCAGAGTGTCTTCAAGAACCAGCATATTCTTGGAGAAGAACTTTGAGAGGGTAGATTTTGATAGTTGAGATGGGTGGAAGAGCTGTGGCATGTCGGTGGAGAGGAGAATCAGTTAGGTAGTTGAGTCGTAGAGAAATCCATGCAAACGACTGTCTTGGCAGTGAATAGCAACAATGCAGTCTTTTCTTTGGGGGTCCCTTGTTTCGTTTCTTTCTTCTCCCTGTTATTCTTACAGGCAAATGAGTTAAAAGGATACCCATATTCAACTCTATGTATCCATCTTCTCGCTCTCTCCTTTTCCCAACAACCACCAAGCCTTGATCACGCCATAAAAAGACATATCAGCTGCCCAGCATCACCAAAATGAATCGCTGGAGCTCGGATGATGACAGAATCCAAAGCGTCGAAACCTATCTCAACTACAAATTCGTGAAAAACGACCTTGCCCTCCAAGCCATCTCTCCCGGATTTACTTGTCTCGATTCGTATGATAGCGCCGAAAAGCTCGCATTGTTCGGAATAATGGCGCTGAAACTGGCCCTGGCTTCGCGTTCATATGATCGAGGTGATGACACAGGTAGACAGGCAAAAGACAAGATTATTAAGGTTAAGCAACTAACTTTTGGCTTTTAAATTAGAAAGAATCAACCGTATCATCTCTACAAAAACAAGCGATGCTTACCTTATGGGAAAGGGTTTCGACAAAGATCTTGATCTACTTATGTACGGTGTCTCGCAGAATGGCCGCGTGTCCGATGAAAAAATGGCAACCACAGTCAAGGCCTTGTTCGGTGCTGTTTATATAGACAGTTGCAAAAGTATTCAGGCTGTGACCTTGGCTATGGATACTTTCTTTGGATACACCCATAGTCCGGAGGCTGGGCACATTATTGACTATTCCATGCGCTACAGCACGGATACAATGCGCAATGGACGAGATACATATGATATTTCTTGGATGGAAAATAGATTGAGTCCGTTGTAGATGGGCAGCCCTACGCCTTTCATAGGTTGGGTGACCTAATCTATGCAGTGTGGTCGTCAATAGAAAAGATATGTCGAAAATATATACCTCCAACGACTGTGGCATAAAGTGATGATTTAGCAGCAGAATCAGAGTGATATTTCCAATTAATATAATGCGAACAACCCACGTAAATATTTCTTAATTATCACAACTTAGCTGTCATCCTAGCGCGTTATGCTGACTCAAAACCCCTCACCCCTCAATCATCCCATCATTTCCCTCACTCTCTTCACTTCATCTTTTCTTGAGTCAACAGCCCTTTTTTTTTAATTTCAAGCCCACTATATCCTAGATACACCAAAGAAGATCAAACTGTGCCCATCATGTCTCTCATTTCCGGCTCTTTTGCTGATAGAATTCATGACCTCGAGGAGATGGTTGACTACGAGTTCACCAATAACAGGTTCGCCGGAGAATCCCTTCAGACTGCGGGATCTTACATTCCCGGAATCCCAGCTGGTCCCACCGGAAACAAAAGACTCGCTCTAGTCGGAGATGCGGTTTTGAGACTGGTCTTGACTGTGGATGAATACAATAGAGGTCTCTCCAGAGGTGAGCAAGTGGATCAGGATGAGGGTATGGACAAGCTCAGCTAATGCTTCTGTCGGGATAGGTGCCATTGCCCAGATTCTGACGACGCGTGCCAACAATGCCTATCTCGCTGAAAGGGGGTTTTTCCAAGGTCTCGAGCGCTTGATCTTCACGAACCGCTCCCAGGGCAACTTCGTGTCGAATGGAGACATGTCCGACACTGTGGAAGCGATTCTCGGGGCTGTCTGGAGGACAGCAGCGAGGATATCGCAGCCGTGCGCCGCGTCGTGCAGGCTCTTGGTCTGTCTGGCAATTAAACCATGATTAGTCCATCATTGATGGTAACGTTACTTCCTCCCCCCATCTCTAGAGATTTTGAACAATCATACGCGTTAATTGACTTGAGCTATTAGTTACTTATTGCAGGGGCTCTCAGAAGCCCCCAGGCCATGGATACGGGAATAAATGTAGAGGGGCTTCTTGAGGACTTCCTGCGTCTTTGCTGGCAATGCCTTGCAGCCCCTCCTCATTTGCTCCCCTATCGAGGTCCGGGGGCTCCTAAAAGTGCCCGCGACCAGCCACTTCTGGTCTGGAGCCATCATATATTGAATGATTCATGGTATAAGTAGTACTGTCACATACTAATACATGCCAGGCTTGCGTCTAGGTAATATCATGGGTTTGGTACCGGATTTGACGAGATGTTAGGGGCAAATAGCTTCCGGGATGAGAAGTTGTGGAGTCGGAAATGGATGGAAGCTTTTTCTAGGAGGATATATATCTAGGGAGTCAGTCAGGGGGTATGTCTTTGTCAATAGCTATTACATGAGTGATAGTATCAGCACAATACAGGGCTGCCACAGACAAAAATCCTCTGAGGGCGGTTTACAATAATCGGATTTGATGAAACCCAGGACAGGTCACTGAGATAGCAGCTTAAGTAAGTTGCTTATTTCAACATCTAAGTTGGTATATATCAAATAATGGTGACAAAAATAACCACGGTTAGACCAGATCCTTGAATTCCGATGCAGGTTATTTGTACTATTTTCGTAGTACTATTATTGCTCAGCCTTGCAGTATTTCACGTGGTATGAGGTATAATAGACACTGATTTGGTCAATCTCATCTAATGTGAAACATTCCTCGATCTGACTGCTTATGCATCCGAAAAATGTGAGTTATGCCTTATAGTTGGCAACTTCAGGGATATGTCTAATTGTCGAAGCTGCAATATGCCTTGCACCTTGGGGTCCATATGTGTTGCTTCGTACTCTGTACTACCAACTGTGCATAGTGCATAGGCAAACTACATCAGTATTTGAAATGCCAAATGCCCATAAATAGTATATGGAATGCACCAGAAGTTACACAGAAATTGCTAACATCATATCAACTTTAATGTCAACTCCAGAGCGGTGTAACCATCTTCAAGAAACTTGAGAGTTAGTTCTCCAATTCAAAGGGCATACCCATTTATGAAATGCTCGTGATATCAAAATTAAGGTCGAGTGTTTTCTCCGATGACGATCGCCTGACTTGGCCTAATCAGGCTAGATCCGGGGCATGATTGGGTCAGAGTGGGCTTCGGTGGAGCCAGCCTAAAGGAAATAACGGACCTAATACGCAGGCAATACGAAGCCAATCAGAGTGCTTTCCCGCGTCAAGTCAATAGCTAGCTTCGCCAATCAGAGAGTGTCCTCCCCTCCTGCCCCACAACACTGTATGCCCAGGGGCGCGTATTGCGTATTTCCACTCATATAACGGTTCATCTGAACTAAAATCCCATACTTAATCAACTGTAATTAAAGACTTCCGGACTGCTTTTCTCCCGTGGAGATATGACTGGAAACGGGATACGCAACACCCGGAGAAAACACTGCAGTAATAGGAGAAATCAAGTGCAAATCACGACAATCGGGTCTTTCCTGCTCCGTACCACACATGTCCAAGCCTTGTCTTCCATGTGCTTGCTTCGCCTCTGGCCACCAGTAAGCTTCCATTTCTATCTGATCTTCGTATATGGCTCTCGGATGCTTTGCCATCCGCTTTCCGTCCCATGAATCTGGCCGGGTCCGTCCCGATAATGATGTATAAGGTCCTTGCCATTTCTGGATGTCGAGCTTAGCTTCTTGGGATCGGCTCAATTTTTCCTTCCTCCCTACTTTCTATTTATTTCTTCTCCTCTTCCCCTATATACACTTTTCGCTCTATTATGTCTGATACCTTCGACTATTAACGTTCTTCGCCACGATGGCTCAACCACCAGCTCCCCTCGGGGCAACAGCTGCGTCGGCCGACCTGGGTCGAGAGATTGAAAATGCCCTGAGTCCGCAGACAGCAAGTTCCGAGGCAGACCGGGATTCTACACCAATGGAAGACAAAGCAGGGGGCTCTGAAACCGCAAAAGCAGAATCGGAGGATGGCATCAAAAGTGAAGACCAGGAAAAAATTACAGCTCTAGCACGAACTCTCTCACGCCAAAAAAGCACCATAACCGGCGATGGATTCAACACATTTCTCGACCCGAGTGGCGATCCAGAGCTCGACCCGAATTCGGACCAGTTCAATTCGCGCAAATGGGTGAAGAATATGTTGCATATCACGTCGCGCGATCCGGACCGCTACCCGCGTCGCAGTGCCGGTGTTTCGTTTCGCAATCTCAATGCGTTTGGGTATGGTACCGCAGCGGATTATCAGGCTGATGTTGGCAATATGTGGCTCAAAGGTGTCGGTTGGCTCCGGGGCCTGATGGGACACAAGAATCAAGTCCGCATTGATATTTTGCGCAACTTTGAAGGCCTTGTGCGCAGCGGAGAGATGCTTGTGGTTCTGGGACGTCCAGGAAGGTGATTTACCCCTGTTCATATTATATGCTCTTTCATTCCCTAACAAAATGTAGTGGTTGCTCGACCTTTCTCAAGACCATTGCGGGTGAAACGCATGGTCTTTGGTTGGATGAAGGCACTGATATTCAATACGAGGGTATCTCATGGGAGGAGATGCATAGTCGTTTCCGTGGAGAAGTCATCTATCAGGCAGAGACGGAGACTCATTTCCCTCAACTCACTGCCGGTGAGACACTGCTATTCGCCGCCATGGCTCGAGCACCAGTCAACCGTCTCCCTGGTGTCACGCGTGACCAGTATGCTGAGCACATGCGAGATGTCACCATGGCAATGTTGGGTCTCTCTCATACAATGAACACACAGGTCGGTAATGAATTCATTCGCGGGGTTTCTGGAGGAGAGCGAAAACGAGTCAGTATAGCCGAGACAACCCTATGCGGCAGCCCGCTGCAGTGTTGGGACAACAGTACACGCGGTCTTGATAGTTCAACGGCTCTTGAATTCGTCAAGAATCTTCGTCTATCTACCGATTACACTGGTTCAACAGCTGTTGTGGCTATCTACCAGGCTAGTCAGGCTATTTACGATCTCTTTGAAAAAGCCATTGTTCTTTACGAAGGCCGTCAAATCTACTTTGGAAGAGCAGAAGATGCAAAACGCTTCTTCATTGATATGGGTTTCCACTGTCCAGACAGACAAACAACTGCCGATTTTCTTACATCCTTGACAAGCCCCACTGAGCGAATCGCTCGTGAGGGCTTTGAACATCTTGTGCCTCGCACCCCAGACGAGTTTGCAGCAAGATGGAGGGATAGTGCAGAACGACAACAGTTGCTGTCTGAAATGGAAGCTTTCCGAAGTGAATTCCCTCTCGCTGGCGACAAACTGAATGAGTTCTCCCGCTCTCGAGCAGCAGAAAAGGCCAAAGGAACACGGGCAGCATCTCCATACACGCTCTCTTATCCTATGCAGGTCCGTCTGTGCCTCTGGAGAGGTTTTCTGCGTCTGAAAGGAGATCTAAGCATGACCCTGGCTACGGTCATTGGCAACAGCGCCATGGCTCTCATTGTTTCCAGTGTTTTCTACGATCTCAACGGCTGGACTGACAGCTTTTTCCGTCGCGGTGCCCTACTCTTCTTCTCGATTCTGCTCAATGCATTTTCAAGCTCTCTGGAAATCTTAACCCTCTGGCAGCAACGGCCAATCGTCGAAAAGCATGACAAATATGCATTGTATCATCCGTCTGCAGAAGCAATCAGTTCTCTTATCGTCGATCTTCCGGCCAAAGCGGTTGTGGGAGTTGTGTTCAATCTGATCATCTACTTCATGACTCACTTGCGTCGTACCCCGGGCCATTTCTTTGTTTTCTTCCTGTTCTCCATCATTACTACGCTTACCATGTCCAACATCTTTCGCTGGATCGGTGCCATCTCTCGCTCTCGGGCACAGGCAATGGTTCCGGCGTCCTTGTTCATGATGATCCTTGTCATTTACACTGGCTTTACCATCCAAACGCGAGACATGCATCCTTGGTTTCGATGGCTGAACTATCTGGATCCCATTGCTGTGAGTATCTCCATTTCAAAAGACCCATTAAAGGCCGCTCAGACTTACTGATGATGACCAGTACGCCTTCGAGGCTCTTATGATCAACGAATTCAGCGGCCGCAGATTCCCATGTTCGACATACATACCAGCAGGGCCTGGCTATGAGAATACCCCCCTAAGCTCGAAGATCTGTTCCTCAAAAGGGGCCAAGGCTGGTAACGATTTTATCGACGGTGATGCGTTTATTAATATTTCGTACGAATATTACGCACCACACCTCTGGCGTAACTTTGGTATTCTTCTGGGCTTCTTATTTTTCTCTCTCATCATGTACATTGTGTCGAGTGAGATTGTTCGGGCCAAGCCATCTAAGGGCGAAATTCTCGTTTTCCCCCGTGGTAAGATTCCTGCATTTGCAAAGAGTGTCAGTCGAGGCGACTCCGAAGAAGCTATCTCGTCAGAAAAGCTGCAGGTGGGCAAAGAAGGACATGATCAAGCTGCTGCGATCGTCAGCCAAACGTCTATTTTCCACTGGGAAGATGTCTGCTATGACATCAACATTAAAGGCGAAACACGACGCATTCTCGACCATGTCGATGGGTGGGTCAAACCGGGTACTTTAACTGCACTGATGGGTGTGACAGGAGCAGGAAAGACGTCCCTACTGGACGTTCTGGCTAACCGAGTGACTATGGGTGTTATCACTGGTGAAATGCTGGTGGATGGGCGTATACGCGATGATTCCTTCCAGCGCAAGACTGGCTACGTCCAGCAGCAGGACTTGCATTTGGAAACAAGTACTGTACGGGAGGCCCTCATATTCAGTGCCGTTCTCCGTCAACCAGCGAGTACTCCACGGGCAGAGAAGCTAGCCTATGTTGAAGAGGTTATCAAGATGCTTGGCATGGAGGAATATGCTGAGGCCGTTGTCGGTGTCTTGGGCGAAGGCCTCAACGTGGAGCAGCGAAAGCGCCTGACCATTGGTGTCGAGATTGCGGCCAAACCAGACCTTCTCCTTTTCTTCGATGAGCCCACCTCGGGTCTGGATAGTCAGACCGCCTGGTCCATTTGCTCACTTATGCGATCGCTGGCTAATCATGGGCAAGCGATTCTCTGTACGATCCATCAGCCATCCGCCATGCTCATGCAGCAGTTTGATCGGTTGCTTTTCCTGGCTAGGGGTGGAAGGACTGTCTACTTTGGTGGTCTTGGGCCCAATATGCAGACTTTGATACAGTACTTTGAAAGCAATGGATCGTCTAAATGTCCAAAGACTGCCAACCCTGCTGAGTGGATGTTGGAGGTGATTGGAGCTGCTCCAGGATCGCATGCTGACCAGGATTGGCCCGAGGTGTGGAAGAAAAGTCCTGAGCGTGCGCAGGTGCGTCAGGAACTGGCCACTATGAAAGCCGAATTGTCGCAACGGCCTCAGGCCCCACGGGCCGCTGGGTATGGGGAGTTTGCGATGCCTCTGTGGGCGCAATTCCTGGTCTGTATTCAGCGGATGTTCCAGCAGTACTGGCGCAGTCCATCGTACATCTACTCGAAGGCAGCCATGTGCATTCTGCCGGTAAGTAATATTTGTCATCATTTTGTGAGAATCCCATGCTAATAAGCTCTTCCATAGCCGCTGTTCATTGGTTTCACTTTCTGGAGAGAAGCGACTAGTATTCAGGGCATGCAGAACCAAATGTTTGCCATTTTCATGCTGTTGATTATCTTCCCCAACCTGGTGCAGCAGATGATGCCGTATTTCGTGACACAGCGTTCCTTGTACGAAGTTCGAGAGCGACCGTCCAAAGCGTATTCCTGGAAAGCGTTCATGATGGCGAGCATAATGGTTGAATTGCCCTGGAACATTCTGATGGCAGTTCCGGCGTACTTCTGCTGGTACTACCCCATTGGTTTCTATCGAAATGCTCCTGAGGAGGTTCATGAACGGGGCGGTACTATGTTTCTTCTTGTGTTGCTCTTCATGATGTTCGCGTCAACTTTCAGTTCCATGATGATTGCCGGTATTGAGCAGGCAGAGACAGGTAGCAACATTGCGCAGCTGATGTTCTCCCTGTGTCTCATCTTCAACGGGTATGCCTCACTTCCTAGCTGTTCTGTTTCAAGACTTTTCTTTGCTAACTTATTTTGTAGTGTTTTGTCGAGTCCAGGAGCGCTTCCTAGGTTTTGGATCTTCATGTACCGAGTGTCGCCGTTTACATACCTTGTGTCCGCAGTCATGTCGACAGGGCTTGCTGGGGCCGATGTTAAGTGCTCTGATATCGAGCTGCTGGCTTTGCAACCCCCATCAGGCCAAAACTGCTCTGCTTTCTTGGACACATATGTGGCGAACTACGGAGGACGGCTGCTGAACGGGGACGCGACGTCGGACTGCCAAGTCTGCTCCTTGTCCACCACCGACCAATTCCTGGAAGAGATGAGCATGTCACCGTCAGACACATGGCGCAATGTCGGGCTCTTGTTTGTATATGTCGGGTTCAACTTCTTTGCGGCCATCTTCCTGTACTGGTTGGTGCGAGTGCCGAAGAACTCTCGGAAGGACAAGAAGGAGTGATTTGCAGGCTATATTGGCCATTAATTGATTTGTTGGTGTATTTGTACTTGATATGATATCCACGGCGGAACTTGCTCGATTTTGATGTTTTTTTAGAGAAATAGCTTATTCCCCATAATGTGCAGTATGACAGCTGGTAGGGCTGAATGGACTGGTGTCATGTGATTTGCAGTGAATAGCCTCCAAGAGTCGTCCTCACGCAGGAATTCCTTCTGCCTGGCCTGCATCTAGCATCCACTCCTCATCTGTATTATTCTCCTCAATCCTTCCCTGACCCTGTGTCTTGGACACGGTGCTTCAGTTTTGCTTAGATCGGAGGACTCGTCATTGAGTCTAATGGTTGCTTACTCCGTGGCTATGCGTCGGTCTGATTCGGTGAGTCGATCATCAGAATATGGATGGACGAGTCCACAACCCCTGGAGCGAGACCAGGATAGAAGACCAAAAATTGAATTCTTGATCAGTGTCTGATGAGCATTAATAACATGCACAGAGATGCATACCAAGAAAGAAAAAAGCAACGAGCAAGCGACACCAAGACCTGCGGCGGGAAAACGCCAAAAAAAAGCAACGATGACAGCTGACGGCAAATCAAACCGCCAGCGGCCACAACAAAAGTGGGTAATGCCATTCAAGCAACCTTCAATCTCCAGCACCCGGGCGCAAGTAATTAATTGTGATGATCCTGAATAGTTACCTCTTCCAGCATCACCTGCAGTCCAACCGCCGTGGACAGAGAATGGGCATGACTCGTCCTACGATCGCCTCGGCCAATCCGACTGTGTTCCCATCCCGGCCAACTCATCGTTAGTCTGCTGGTAGTGCGGGCACTGCCCAACATTGCTGAGGCTGAATCTGCACTTCAGGGCTTCACACGCGCTCTCTCGATTGTTAGTCTCCGAACCCCCAGTTCCTATCCCTACTGTGTACGGTCTAGTGGCTCCGAGCCCCCGGCCAGGATTACAACCAAACCGGAGCGGAATCTGCCTGCAGGTCTTGGTATGGAGGCTGAGTCTGACTTTGGATCCAACAGATAGGGACACCTCTGACAGATGAACCGCTGAAATGATCCAATCAATCCCGACAAACATTTTAGCATGACGCCATTCAGGGAATTTTTCCACGTTGATCGCTTTCTTCTGCTGATTTCGGCTTTGCTGGCCCATCCTCGTCTAGCTCTCGATCGTGTCAAACCACGAGGGCCTCAGGGCACCGCCGCCCATGCGGTGGATACGATGATCTATCTCTTCGCTCTGTCATCGCCCGGGGTAGGGGGAGATTAGAGGAATGAGCCATACGCAGAACGGAAAACGGAGGGAGGGAAAAAAAGAAACAAACCCTACAGATGGGTCACTCGCAAATGACAATCATCCACGGATGCAGGGGTGCTGTTACTGGTGTATTCGCCTACGGTGCCCCAGTCGATCTTTTACTAAACCATTACTGGCCAGATCCCACGAGCACGAAGTCTATCCCTGGGGCTCATTGCGGCTCAACTGCCATCTTGTGGATTTGAGGATTTGCCCGGTCTTTGCCCTGCGTACGCCCAGAAGGGCCCAGCACATTTATACCGATGTCATTTCCTCAGGTTTTCGATGTCTGCTTCTGCAGGAACAAGTCTTCTTTTTTTATTTTTCGTTTTCTCCCTTTTTCCTTGTCATGTTTCTTGCCCCTCTTGTTGCTTGTACTACCAACTAAACCATGGCTTTCCATCATTTTGGCCCCATGAGTAATCCTTCTCTGGAGGATGATCATGAGCTCTACCTTTCCGGGACAGATCTTATTCACCACCCTCGGGCTGTCCACCTTCAGCGCCATTTAACCCATATTGAGGATTCCACCAAGGGCCATTGTTTCCCTCCGTATGCTTCATGGACCGATGAACCTGTCCCGCCCTACCATGTCGCATTCCCCAATGTCAAGATGGAACTTCACTCTCCTGCTCCTTATGTCGATCGCTACCCATCGCCTTGGAGCGGCGATCTATCCTCGACCTCAGGGCCTGACAGCCCCCGCAGTACTGGCTGGGGTAACAATGTGGGATGTTACATGTCCCCGCCATACACCTACGAGGATAGTATGATTCCTTCAATGGATCTCGGCGGCTACCCCTCGCCTGATGCGCTCGCCGGGCTCAATCACTCGGTGTCGCCGTATGATGTTCAGCACTATCCAGAGCCGGAGTCAATGGTCAAGCTTGAACCGCTTGAGCTTGAGCCAATTCACCGCGTCATCGACCACACCCCCTCGTACGAGGCCCCTGTGATCAGCTCCGCAAACACCGATTACCACGAACCCCTTCCCTCACCAGCTAGTATTCTTTCCAAGCCGCAGATCACCCGTCGACGGAGATCAGCGGGAAGACCGTCCTCGAATGGAGTGAGCAAGCCCAATCAGAATTTCCGTCGCCTCAGTCCCCGGTCCGCTGGAGCGCGATCTTCATCCAAAAAGACAGACAAAGATGCCGCCGGGCGGCTGTTCGTATGCAGCTTCGCCCCTTACGGATGCACAAGCACGTTCGTGTCCAAGAATGAGTGGAAGCGGCATGTCAGCTCGCAGCACATCCAGCTCGGCTTCTACCGATGTGACATTGGCGCCTGTAACGTGACCTCCAAGGGCAAATGCCGCAAGGGCCATGCGATCGGCGAATCATCTCAGCCCAATGACTTCAACCGAAAAGACCTCTTCACTCAACACCAGCGTCGTATGCATGCACCCTGGCAAGACCGGAAACCCCGCCGCGACCCCTCCGATGAGGAGAACCAGGCCTTTGAGTCGCAGCTCGAAGAAGTGCGCAAGCGCTGTTGGCACCAACAGCGCCAAGCGCCTGCTCACAGTACGTGTGGATTCTGCGGCAAAGAATTCATGGGCGAGCGAAGCTGGGATGAGCGCATGGAGCATGTCGGTCGCCATTTTGAGAAGGAGGATAAGAACCTGGAAAAAGAGGATCTCGGGTTGCGCGATTGGGCAATTCGCGAGGGGATCGTCCAGGTAGATGCAGGGAAGCTGAAGTTGGCTTCTTTGTGTGGTGGTTGATTTGATAATTTCTTTTGTTTTCTTTTCCTTTGTTCTTTTTCTTTTCTTTTTCCCCCTTCTCATGACGGACTTTACACAGTTTTAATTTTCTTTTTTTCTGACGAAAACCTAACGATGAATGATATCCTGTACTTGTTGTTAGTGTCTTTGTTTTTTTTTTGTTCATGACTCATATCCAGCACAATACCCATGAATTATACTATTTTTTACAACTATGAACTTTGAAAATCCACTTCGACTCCACGATCGTAAAACTAAGACTTCTTGGTTCCTTCGATCGATCGTAAACGAGATCGTATCGTGTAGGTAGGGATAGCAGAAGGATTCCCGAAGGATGTATCCACGTGAGAAACAGCTCAGAGCCTTGGTAGTACAATACGAGCCTAACTGACGATGTGACGACTATCGCAACGCCCAGAATTCAACTACGTCTATGATGCTATTCGGATTTACCGCCATTCCTCCCCCTCGGGCATATCGGTCGGTGTATCCAAAAGCAGAAGTGGACCCCGTGCTCTCGGCCTTTCCAGCCCTATACAGTCCACTCTTGTATGCGTCGACATTCGAAGCTTTTCGACTCAGCCTCGCAGGGACGCGGATTTATCGCAGATGAGATCATATTACCTCGGGGGTGAGGATTTCTGCAATAGAAAATGGCCGATGAACGGAGAATTGGTTGGAGCTGGTGAGGTCAACCCCGAGGCTGAGCAAGTAGGTATAAGTTATCTTTGTCTTTTTCCCGATGCTTTTTTTATAAGTACTGAATATCTATCGCGGTGATCATGGCTCTTCAATCGAATCAAGTCAAACTTATCGCTCTTGGTCTTGCTATCATCCCAGTTATATCAATTCTTCGATCTGAATCGTTTACTTCGTGATTGAAACCTATAGTCCTTCCAGTTATCCAAAACGTAAGTCATCTCAACCATTGACTCGTCACTCGACTTGAGTTACTCACATATCTTGCAATCTAGAGAATGGAAGCCCGCGCACAGGCTCTCCACGAGCACTTCCTCACCACCCCCACAGAAGCCATCCAGAACAACCCCTGGGCCGTGGTGAACGCAATCGAGACCTACGCCAGCACGAACCACATGATGATCTTCAAAGGAGGCAAGCTCATCGCAGCCCGAGACCGCGTCTCCGCCATGCAACCCGCGCCCAAGAAGTTCGTCGAATTCGGGACCTTTGTCGGCTGTTCCGCGATAGCATGGGGTGCGATCCTGCGCGACCTCCACGGCGACAATCTGGCCGGCTGCAACGTTTACACGTTCGAGCTGGACCCCAAGATGGCTGTTATTGCGCGCGATATGATCAAAATTGCTGGGTTAGAGGGTATCGTGCATGTGCTTGAGGGGCCGGGCTCGGAGTCGCTGAGGAAGTTGCATAGAGAGGGTAAATTAGTTGAGAAGGTTGATGTTGCGTTCTTTGATCATTGGGAGGAATATTATCTGCCTGATTTGCAGCTGCTGGAGGAGTTGGATTTGCTCAAGGTCGGCTCGAAGATGGTTGCTGATAATACTGATTTCCCTGGTGCGCCTAAGTATCTCGAGTATGTGAAGGCTGGGGGTAGTGAGAAGGTTAGGTATGAGAGTGAGTCGATTAAGACTGAGGCACAGCATGGGCCGGTAAGTTCTGTTCTTTTGATAGTATTGTTTGAGTGAATACTTGCTAACTTGAGTTATAGTCTATTGTTGAAATTAGCGATGTTGTTCGTGTTGCTTAATTGTAGCGGTTGGATATATGTTTCTAGATGATACCTCCTTTATCAGCCATGTCGATACATTCAAATAGATAGATAGATACTATAAACTGTTTACATTCAAATAAAAGATAACTATTATCTTGCCGTAAGCTATTCAGCAAGATTGAGAATCAAGATAGTTGCCATCTATAAAACACCCACACTTCCCATAATACTCTTCCCCCATTGGCTGATGCCACCCCACTTCAATCTACCACCACCAGACTGGGTGCGGAATAAACAACCTAACACTCTCCGCATTCTCATTCCGCCGAATCCACGCCTCGCTGGACTCCAACATCCCCAAATCCTCATGCTGCACAGACAATAGCCTCAATTCATCCCTTGACAGGTCATCTGTCAGGTCCCTCAATTTCATCATGTGCGCTAATGCCCACTTCCAGTCCCCATATGGCCTCACGAACTGACTCGAAACCGCAGGACCGTCTTCTCCCTCATCATCATCAACAAAGCCGGCGGACTGGTCTACCAGCGTGAATTCCAGCCCGGTCTGCGCAAACTCTCGACAAACGATTATCTCGTCCTAGCAGGGACATTCCACGGGTATGCTTCAATTCACCCCAATTCTCGACTTTCAATATATCATGCCACTAACCAACAACCTACAGCGTCCACGCCATCACCCGCACCATCACCCCCAAACTCCCTCTCTCCGCAACAACCCCCCCAGCAGCAGCAGCTTCCTCTTCCTCCTCGAATACCGTCTCCTCGCCATCAGGAACATCTACCCCGACCACAACTACATCCGCCTACTCCTTCCCCAACCCCGGCATCCCCCCCTCGGGCATCGAATACCTCGAAACAGACAAGTTCCGCCTCACCTGCTTCCAGACCCTGACGGGGACAAAGTTCCTCCTTTTCACGGACCCGCTCACGGTGAATATCGAGGTGATCGTGCGCAAGATCTACGAGCTGTATGCCGATTTTGTCATGAAGAATCCGTTTTATCAGCTGGAGATGCCGGTGCGGTGTGAGAGTTTCGATCGGCATTTGGCTGGGTGGTTGAGGGGGAGGACGTGAGTGTTTGGTTTGATCTGATCTGATCTGATTTTTATGATATGATATATATCTGTGGGAGGGAGGCAGATGTGCCGGTAACGACTACAACTTATGACATTGTTCCTTTCCTTCTGTCCTTTGTGTTCTGTACTTAATTATGGTGGCTTGGATCAACGATTATGATACGATAGACTCAAAATCACATCCTATGAAGCGTGTCTCTCTTTTTTAGAACCACCTTCTAGAATTACAAGACAAGATAGGTAGAAAAAACGCCGGGTATGCATCAAAGGTCATCCTGAATAGAACATTATTATGTGTCCCTTAGGCGGTATCCATCTTGTCTCCGTCCTCTTTCTTGTCTTTACTTCCGCTACCTCCCTCCTCGGGAATGTTGTCCAGCAAAGATTTGCCTTCTTGCTCCTCCTGATCCCGCTTCTCTTTCTCCTGTCGGTTCTTCTCTTCCTCCAGAGATAACCGGAGAGCGAACGCAAGCTCGGGGTCGTTCTCGGCCGCATCCTCAAATCCAAAGCCACCGCCCTCACCACCGTCTCCTCCTGCACCGCCTTCAGCACCAGCACCGTCGCCGCCCAAGATGGGCGAGACCTGGAGCTCTTCACTAAGCAGGTTTGGGCCGGGAGGGATGATGGCGAGGTTGGAGCCGTCGCCACCCTTGACGTTCTCGACGAAAGCCTCCAACTTCTTGGTCTGGTCGGATTCGAGGTCTCCAAAGGCAATCACGTCGATCGAAACGTTGTTCTTCTTCATCTTCTTGGCCAGCTTCACCAATGTCTTCTCGTCTTCTTCGATCGGAGAGCAGGAGAACACGATGATGCGTTGGCGCTGGGACTTTTCGGAACGGTGCTTCAGGGCAAGCTGTAAACAAAACAATATCAGTATTTCTGTTGCTTTTTGTATCATATGGATCGACAACAGGGAATATGACATACACCAGCCACCTGTATGCTGGAGCTAAGATGAGGAGTGCCATGAATCTTAGTCCGGTGCAGACCTGACAGAATGCTACCAAAGTCGGATGTGAATGTCGAGAGGACCTCGGGGCCTTTTCCGCCCATGCTCATGAGTCCAACGGCCGACTGAGGATGTACGCGCATCTTGGCGCTGTGGATGACGCTGACGGCATCGACCTGGGCTTGCCATCGTGTCGAGCTGGGGCGGGTCAGAAACGAAACGGCCAGGACGAGTCGAGGAGGATGACATAACTCACGTATAATCTCCATTTCTGCTACTTTCGCTGTTGTCCACACTGTAGAAGCTGTCAGTGGCATGTCCAGAGCTTAAAGAGAGATGAGGGGGGTGGCTACGAACACGATCATGGTTGCTTCGAGCGACATCTTGGCGGAGTTTAGAGGGCGAAAACCGAGAAACAATTCAAGTCAAAACGAAAACTCAGTAAAACGTAAATCCGGAATTGTCTATTAGAGCTGGGTGGGGTGCAAAAAGCGATGGAATAGCGATGGTGGGTGTAATGGCAGTGACGGTGGTGGTTGGAGCTGGCCTGAGATGTCACACCCTCTTTCGTCGCCGATCGGAGCTAAACCGTTCGGGAAACGCATTAAGTCAGCGCTTCTTGTTTATTCCCACCATCACCACCACAACTTCCTTCGTCAACCACTTTATTCGCCTTTCCACGCCCACCCATTACACCGCCTGCTTCCCTTTTTCGCTGCAATACTACACGTCACATCTTACAATCCTCCTGAAACCAATACTCCAACCCATTCCCTCGCCATGACTCCATTGGCAACCAAGCGCAAGTCCCCAGAGGACGACGCGTTTCGCACCGATGAGGCTAAGACGCCTACGGGCAGTCCTCCCAAGAAGAAGATGAAAATCACCAGGAGCCAGAAACAGGCTCTCATGGACAATCTGCAGCTTGAAAGTATGTTCTGGCTGTCACTGCCTTTGACTTGTATCCTGTATTCTGACTCTGGCCTCAGTTACTGAACGAGCTCGCAAACTCCGCGCACAATATGCCCTCCAGGCAAATGACTTGCGAGCACGAATTGAAAGACGCGTTAATCGTATTCCCGTGGCTCTCCGAAAGGCAAACATGGGCGAATTGCTGGAGAAGCATAGCAATGCCTCCCGGGCGCAGCTAGAGAATGTCTCCCCAAAGAAACATGTCCACCCGACCAAGGGAACGCGAAATATCACCACCATCTCTGTCGACCAAGATTCCTCTGCTGCAGGAACAAATGCGCGTAGAACTAAGAAGCAAAGGTATGTCATATATATTTTACCAGTCGAAAATTCCTCTAATTCGTCTAGCCACGAATATTTCGACAAAGAAAACGCACCTGCTGCAGGTGAACAAATTGATGCGCTGAAAAACCCCAAGAGACGCGGCAAGCCCGGTGCTGCTTCTGGTACTTCACGCGTGGTATCTCAGGAAGTAAGAGGACCGGACTACAGAATCCTTTCTCCGAAATCATTGAATTCGAGGACTTATCCGCAGTCCCCGTTCCGTGCTTCTCCCGGCAAGCCGCAGCCTTCCTATCTCTCCCGGCCCATGTCGCCGTTAAAGCCGACTAGTCCCCTCAAGGCAACCAGCGCCAGCCTGTCGGTCGATAACGCTCGCGCCCGATCAAAGGCAGCAGCAGAGAACAGGCCAGCCTCCCAACAATCGAAGAGGCCTGTTAGCAGAGCTGCGACCGGAGTCAAGGGCATTAGATCGCCTCTCTCACGACCCGCTACCCGCCAAGCTGACCGCAAAAACAGCACGGGCACCGTCTCTTCCACAGCGTCCTCTGGGACAACCGTTGTCAAGCCAACGCGCACGGGTACAGGTGCCAGGAAGGCAACCAATGCTTCTACCACCTCAAGCACGGTAACCAAGAAGACAGCCGCCTCCAGAGCCCAGGCCCCCACTGCGGCTGCCAAAAGAAACACCGCTTCACAGACCAAGAAGACTACTGCCCCTTCAGGAGGTGAAGCTCCCACAACAGGGCGTAGAGTCTTGCGCAAGCGCGTGTAGATTCTCCACGTTTTAAAAAGGAGAAATGGGTTTTTTATAAGGACTAACGTCGCATAACCATGGACTTGGTCAGTCCACACTGGAGTAGTGGGACTTTTTTTTTTTTTTTCTCGGCGAGGAGTTAAACCATACCAAGGATTGGTGTTTGTTTTTTTATATGGGAGTCTCAAGTGTCTGCATATTTTTGGGACGGATTTGGGCAACTGCTTTTTCTGGATTATTATTTTCTGACCGGTTTTGACATCGGTTTCTGCATCATTTCTTGACTATCGTGTGGGCTTCGTTTCGTAGAGCTTTGAATTGCTCTTTTATTCAATCTTGATCCAAATCGGACTTTTTTTGTGGGATTACATGCATTTATCCAGACCAGAATGATCAACTGTTTCTACAGCATCTGCTGTTATCTTTCGCTGATCTGAAAATGATCATGCATGAATCAGTCATGTAGTATGTGACGCATCAGTCTTGACATCTGCATATCTATCCTTGCTGAACCGCGGGGGCTGGGGGACTAGGATGGACAGGCAAATGCCTCACTCTTCACTTATCACTTAGATTCGACTTAGGATTTGCTTACTGTAGGACAACAAAGATCATTACCACGCTTAAATGGCAGGAATCTCATGGAATTGGCACTATTGCATTCCGTTCAATTGCAACTGTATGTAAATTACACCTGTTGTTTTTTGGTTTTTATGAATCGTGTTTCCATGACATCAAATGCCCTAAGAACATTGGGATGATGTGGATACAATAGATAAAACAAACTTGGGATATCAGCTCAAGTAGGCTGGATGAAAGTGTGATTAAAAAAAAAAAAGGACAAAAATTTCAAAAAAGAAAGAAAAAGAGAAACCACATATGACTCAACACAGGTATCTTTTGCGGTCATGCTGGCCGGCTGTTGAAAAGAAACAAAACAAACAACACTCGTTGATTTCGCATCGTAATTGATGGATGGGGAAATATTAAACACCGGGGGCACAAAATTGAAACAGACATGGCCACGCTAGATCTCAGTCAGAGATAAGAACTGGAGGGGAAAGAGAGGTGGAAGAAAGAGAAAAAAAAAAAAAAAAAAAAGACAGCAAGTCCCAGCCATGCATATGACGGACCACAGCGATCAAAACCGATCTTTGGCTAACCAACCAGGGGGCTGGCATCCAAGTTGTCAATGAAATGGGATCAAGATAACCAGGTCGTCTTGGGTAAATGTACTGCTCCTCAGGCAGCGAGAATTGGGCAGAGGCCAAGATAAGGCGCGTAGAGGGAGGGAGAAAGGAAGAGGAAAAGAACTAAGTGTCATCGATCCATCATGGCAAATCACCAATCAGTCAGTCATCTGGGTAAAATCTCGAAAATCGTGTCAATCAGAAAGGAGAAATAACTCCATCCAACCATTCCTGCCGGTTAAAATGAAAGAACGCTGAAAAGCCCAATTGGTACGCCAGTGACGTGCAGTTGGAGCTCAAAATGAATGCGATTCATCGACATCAAGAAAATATGATAAAAAAGGACAAAAATATCGCGGCTGTGCAAGAAATTAAGGTATCTCATAGTTTATCGCTGAAAATGCAACCAGACATTGATTAACCGGCAACTCCCATGGGACCGGCATTTGTACGTGCTCTGTAAGGTAACTGCTGACCTTGTCCCTCGCCCTGAATCGAGTTCGGCTGACTGCCATTGCTGGTGCTGCGTTCACGATAGACTCCGGGCTGTTGAGTTGCAAGTTCCTTACCAGTATGCGGAGTGGCACTGGTTGAGTGGGAGTGTCCACCTCCAACAGGGCTCTGGACATGGCGAACCGAGCTCTGCATCTGCCACGCCGCGTCCTGCGAGGGGTCGGTTTCGATGCGTGCCGAAGCAGGGGTACTAGTTCCTTTGCTAGAGCTTGTGATCGTGACAGTCTCGCCGCCATTGGTGGGCTTCGATGAAACACTTCCCCGGGCGATGTCTCCGTATCTCTTGAGAATTTCCTTCGTGGTCACTTCAGCATTCTCCTTGAAGAAACTGGTGTCATTGAGAATCGACTGCAAATCTTCAGGGATCTTTTAAACGAATTAGTACCATGAAATGTAAAACTAGATGGAAAACCTTACCTCGCTAATGGTGTCATTCAACGCAATGAGCGCATTGACAGCCTCAATAGCTAGGAAACTCTCATCCACGGTATTGCTCTTGGCGTTAGGGTAAAGAATGTTTGGCGTCATGACAGTCGCGAGGTTGTGAATGTCCATTTTACTACCAGACTCCTCATCGACATGTGAGAAAGATGAAGTCCAGTTTAAGAAGGCAAAAAGAACTTCCATTGTGTCACGATGCGCCTTGGGCAAAAGACAGCATGTGAGATGCAGTACCCGTTTCTGCTTTTCAGGGTCGGGGATTTCTAATATTGATTAGCGGAGAACATCTTCGCACTGTTGGACTAGACTTACTCTGAGAAATGACAAACAGATGATAGAGTTTGAATGTCAGAAGCGGGTCAGGCATTTCTCGAAGGAACTTTTTGAGAAGAGCCGCAATCTGGACGGGATTCTCCTTTGTCATGTCCACCTGCTCGTACTTGTTATCAATAAGATCCGAGAGGTCCTTGAGTCTTCTGATATTGCCATTCTTTCGGAAAACACCCTCGACGGACATATCCATTTGTCGCATAGCCGAGACAGCATCGTCAACCAGTGCAGGAATGCGAAGTGCGCCGGGGCCGACGCCGTGACTTGACTCTGTGCCCTCTTTTTCAACGAGGTAGTCCAAGCTCACACCAAAGGCGCCCTTCTTCTTGCCACCCTTCTTGGGATCCTTGAAAGCACGGCCGAAGATGTTCCATATGGTAGGCTTTCGCGATTCAATCAAAGACAAAAGCTCTTCCAAGTTCAAGTATCCTTCAAGCAATGGCTCCATGGAAAGTACTGCAACGTGACGAACGATGAAGTATTCCAGGGCAGAAAGTTCGGAAAAGTACTTTTTGGTTCTGCCGGCTGTTTCAATCATATGAGGATCCAATCCGGCACCGGATACACCACGCTGATGGCCAAAGTTGTACCTGGGCATAGGTTCTCCTGTAACGAGCTTTGAGCCAGCGTGTTTGTATGCGTTGGGTCGCTGCTCCTTGGCTTGCTCCGCAGCAACGATCCTTGGGATGTCATCCAGAGTCAAGGCATCCTGGTTTCCAAAGGTCAAGTCGGTAACGGTCTCGCCATTGGCATCCTTCTCCTCTACAATTTGGAACCCAGGGCCGCGTGGATCAGTGCCTTCGCCACCGGAAGAACCAGGTCGCACGCTTCTTCCTTCTGGGCCATCAATAATTCGGGATGCTCGTGCCTTTTTGTAGGTGGTGGACAAAGTACGTTCGTTCCGAATAGAGCGCAGTCGCCGCATTTCTCCCACTGTTTGCTCGAGAGAAGACTCCTCGGGACCGTCCTTGGCCGAGCTGGTATAGGACTTTGATCGTGTGTTCGATCTGCGAGGGTCGGCATCTGGGGCTCTATGACCATCCTTGGCCTCGTATCCTTTAAGGTTGGGGTCATCTGGACGTAGCAAAGTTTAGTGGACCGTGAAAAAACAACAGAGAGAAAAGTATGTAGGAATAACGTACCAGACGTATGGGGCAAAGTCCCTCCTGCACGCAAAACAGATAGAAGTCTCGCAAGAGCGACTTGGAGCAAGAAGACAAACTGCTGAAGTTTGCTTACGCGCATGAAAGTGTTGGTAGTATCAGCAGTTACGCCCTTTTGTCCAGCGCAGCTTAGGCAGAACGGCCGCTTGTCCTTTGCACTCCATACCGCGTCCTGAAGATCGGCGATCAGGTCTTTCTGACACGCAACACAGTTAAAGTGCGCGGGCTTGATATGCCATCTTAGGTCACCAAAAATGACACACTCGTCGTCGATTGGTTCTTTGCAAGCCGTGCAGCAATCTGAGAGTTGGTCGGCAAGACTCTCAACTCCTGCCATCAAATCAGAGGCTGACTCTTCATCTTCGACCGGTCTGAGGGCCTCGAGATCACCCAAGGAATCCAAAAAGTTATGCAATCCACTAGGACTACGTGTTTCCCTTTCGAGTTTCAAAGCACCTTGGAGGCCGATACGGATGAGAAGCTTGAGGTAATGAGCAAGGCCAGTCACCAAAGACAAAAGCTCTTGAGTTACGCCCAATTTGCGAACTCCAGTCTCTTGGGTCTTGGACAACAGTGCAAAGAATGCAACGATTTTCTTGCACAGGAGCTTGGATTCGCGTCCGTAGGCAAGATCTTCAACAAGTCAATAACGATTCTCTGTAGAAACTACGGGAAAAACTCACCTTTCATCCCCTGAGCCTTAATATACCCTGCTAAGAGATCAATCGCTGAGAAAAGAACGTTCACATGACTAATGAACCTTTTGGCAACGACGACACCGTCCATATAAGCACCATTACTGACATGGAGCAGCATGTCTGAGATGCATGCAGCCGACGACTCTTCAAAACTGGACAGAATACTCCAGATCTTGTAAACCTTTTCTTCCATCGTTTCTTCCTCTTCCCGGATTCTATTGCGTTCTTCATCGGTAGCATCGAGGTCCAATTCTGGCTGCTCGAATGGTTGGCCGGTCGGTGCAAGACGAACGTTCCAAAACTTATGGATCATGTAGCACTCAGGATGCCAGTGTTGATTTTGGCCATTGCGGAAGATTTCCACAAATTGCTTTAGAATTGCCGTGTGACAACCATGGCATCGCTGTGCAAACTGAGTCGAGTAATGGAAATGACAATACACCTTGCCCTCGTGCTCATAGTAAGAATCCTGTGCGCCAAACACTGTGGGACACACAGAGCAAGTAAAGTGTTCAATGTGATACTTGCGCTCCAAAGCAGTAATGTATGATCCACGCAAGGCCCCACCACATTCATGACATAAAAGTTTTAATCGTCGGAAATAATCAGTTTCACACAAGGGGTATTGCCCGCTTCCATCTTCTGATTCAACGGGGAAGAATTTGGACGCCACGATTGAACCGCAATCCTGTGGGGAAAGCAGTTAGTAGGTGAACAGCGAGGTCTGGCTGACCAACTTACCTCGCACTTGAAACACTCCAGATGATATGTCGCACCCAATGCTCGCACAAACTGACCAGTGAGCGGCTCTCCGCATTTCTTGCAGATCCGCTGCGTACTGCCAGGAGATTTGGTATGCGGCCGGGCATTTTGACGAGATCGGTCGCGCGGCGTAGATCTCTCCCAGTAACCAGCTGGGTCTCGAGGTGTTGACGGATCTCTTGAGTTGGGGTTATTCGAATCTAGCCTTCGACCCATGCGACCATCCGGAGGGCCTCCATCGATAGGGCTATTCACAGATCGGGGTCCGGTTCTCGAATGCGGCGAGTCGAAGGGTCGATTGCTATCTGCAGGAGATGTGGGGGTTTGCGACTGATAACTGCCGCCATAGCCAGTGTTCAGCGTAGGACGAACCGCCCCGTTGCCCGGCACCAGGCTGTCTGGCAAAGGAACGTCACCGGGAGGCATGCCCGTGACAGAGTATTTGTTTTATTTGATGTAAAGGCAATTCTCGACGAAAGAGGGGGGGGAGGGATAGAGGGTGGGAGAAAGGAGGAGGAAAAAAAAAAATAAGGGAAGGGTTGGACAAATTTCGAGTTCGTTGTGATTGTCGCCAAGGAGAGATGGGGGACGGAGTGGACAATCTACTGTAGATCGGGGATGTCGAAACACGACGCAAAAAAAGAAAATCGTCGACGTCAAGCAGTAGACCAGCGCAACCTTTGCAGAGGAAATAAATGTTAGAATTCATCCAATGAAATTCCCCCGATCGGGGACTTAATCTCAGAGTATCTTTCGAGTCCTCCGTAGCCACGACTCACCTCACGCCATGCAGCCAGATTAGGACTCGCGGGGAAAGGTAGATTGATAGATTGGGTACTCGGCAAACGGGAATTGGGTCGCGATATCGAACGAGGGTCGAGGAATCTCACCAACCACGAGGGGATCAGATGAGAGGGGAGAAGTGTTCGAGCGCGAACCGGGATGCGTCGAGGGTCGGCGGATTTGAAAAGCGTTGGAGCTCAAAGTGAGACCAACAAGCGGCGGAGCACTCTGTCTAAGAGGATCACAACCATTCCCGATCCCTTCCAACAATAACAATGCCAACAGCAGATATCCTGGAGGACAGGGCGTGTCTGGGACACGGGGGAAAGAAGAGGAGAGAAAAAGAAACGCCAGAACAACTGCTCGCAGCAGATAAGAGGAGAGACAGGAAAGGACAGTGTTTGAGGGGGAGAAGAGAGAGTGGGTGTGCTGCTGGCAGTTGGCGCGGTGCCCCCCCCTATGCTTTGCTTCATGTTGCTCCCTGCCCGCTAGGGTCCATCACGTGAAGCTGTTCACCGCCAGTCTCACCGCCTGGTGATGGTGGAGGGATGGAGGAACAATCTGGCGAAGGGGGGTCAGTCTGGGAGAAGTATGGATATGTGGGAGGGAAAATACACATAGAATCAGTCATAAGTAACCTAATAATGGCATTTTGTCTAATTTGAAGAAAATTGACCACGCATAACGAGACAACAATGGCTTTGTCCTGGTGGTTTATTTGTTTTCTCTGTCCGGCAGAATCCAACGGTGGGTGGGCGCTAAACCCGAAATTAAGGCCCACCGATTTTCTTCGACCCTTCAGGGACTTAACCTGACTCAGTGTTACAACCGGTGAATGTTTCAATTATTTTTTGCAGTGCCCTCTTCTATTTGATACTAACTGGTCCATTTACTCTATATCCTCATTGGGAATATGTCCAATATATATACAGGGAAAAAAGGGGGAATCTCCTACAGAATCCACCTGACAGCTGCAAATGCACATAGAACCACGGGCAGAACCGGTACCGACTCACGGTGACCTGTCGAAGAGGCCTTCTTGTTCGGATCGCCCCTATTCTTAGAACCACTCGAGCTATTTGGTGTCGACTTTTTTTCATGGCGGAACCCACATAGACCGGAATTCTTCATGCTCTGAATGGGAAAGAAGACCCTAGGTTCCCCAGCGTCCATGTCCACCGTGATATTGCCTGCATTGTTAGCCACCATAGTGGTGCAGTCCAGTATTTCGATGACTTCAGTGCCCGGAGCAAAGCCTCCGTTCAATGCAAGTTGATATCTGCCGCCGTCGGAGCCCTGATTGGAGAAGACAGACACTACCTGCGCCCCCTCAGTGCCTTTTCGCGTGGCGTACGTTGATCCGTCCAGGTAAAGCTCCTCGCTGCGGCTGGTCACATAGTGATTATCGACTTCGATAGCATGGTTCCGAAGTCTGTTCAGTGTTGCCGTCAGGTTGAACAAAGATCCGTCTTTCTTGTAGCCAGTGTTCCACAGGGCCTCGCGGTTAAAGGGCGAGTAATTGCCTGTCATGTGCTGCTCCTGTCCTTGGTAAACTGCTTATGTGAGCCTGTGCGTGAACCTGGCGGATCAGGAGAACTTACCAATAGGGATTCCATCGGACAGTATATTAAAGGCCATTGCGTTCTTGGCTAACTGGCTGATGTTAGTGGGATCACAGACTGACTTAAAGGCTCGAGGCATACCGTGGTGTCATTGATTAACGACGCAAAACGAGGAATATCATGGTTCTCGACAAAGGTTCCCAGACGAGTGATATCCTCGCATTCGTCTCGTACTGAACGAACCTCGTCAGCAAGCCCTGGCATATCTCCTGCGGTGAAGGCCTGGATTATCGGAGCGTGAAGAGGATAGTTCAGAACCCCAGAAACGAGTTCCTGGTATCCGCAAACCAAGCTCGTGTTTGTCGCATATGCCTCGCCCATTGTGAAAACGCCAGCCGCCTGAGTAAAGTTGCCCAGATATTCGTCATTCATATGTTTGGCGGCGTCGATGCGAAGACCATCAATGAAATAGTTGCCAACGAGCTCTTGAATCCATTCCTGGATCGCCAAAGCAACTGTCTCATCCTCCGTCTTCAAGTCTGGAAGGGCGACGCCTTCCGCAGCAAACCAGCATTTCTGATAGATCTCCGGGTCATCCCAATCCGTTATCTCGCAAAAAGAATGGTAATATTTCTCGTCGTTGAATGGAACCAGCTGAGACCAGTCGATTTCCGGCGCAGGCTCATCCAACATGGAGCCATTTACGGCTTGGGCCATGTCGTTGATCACAACATCAACCATGAGATACATGTCCCGTTCATGAAGCTCATTTGCCAGGTTCCGAAGATCCTCAGCAGTCCCAAACTTGTCATTCAAGGAGTGAATATTAGTTGGCCAGTAACCATGGTATGCCTCGCCGTACTTTGTGTCACCATGGATGTTCTCCACAACCGGGGAAATCTGTATGGCCGTAAAGCCAAGCTCCTCGATGTAATCCAAGTTCTCTATGATCCCAGCCCAGGAGCCCCCGCAGTATTTGTATGGGTCACAAGGAGCATCAGTGGCACCTTCTGGTCGTGCGAAACGGTCGGTCATGATTTGCTATAAGACCACATTAGCTCCAGATCAATTTAATGCCGTTGGATAACAGAAACGAACGTAGATGGATCTCTCGGCCCATTCTCTGCCTGAAGGGGCATCCGCGGCAATTATGCCGGCCAGAGCAGACCATATCGCGGGATATATCAATTGCATCTTTGCGTTTTCACAATATGATAAAAAATTATTGAGCAGCAATAACAACAAATTGTATTGATGATAGCATAACAGAGTGATGAAAAAAGCAAAGAATCCAGACTTTAAATAATGAATCTCAGTCTACTGCATCTGTCGTCAGCATCATAGGGTTATACGCCGTATGCAACCCTTCAAAAGGGCAAATGCAGGGAATCCTGCCAGGAATACTCCTGTCAAACGCCAGACAGCTGCTTGTTTGGTGGCATCGCGTCTAACCTGAACACGACATTAGCTGTGATAGACCCAAAGGGGAAATGGAGGGTAGGGCGAGTCAAGGGCTGGCGGGGATGAAGGATTGTCGACAGGTCGTGGTCAAGGGTTTAGAGAGTACTAGGAGGGGATTTGGAAAACGTAAGGGGTACAGTGAAGTTATTTGACATTGTGATTTACGATTGGCCATGATGAATAATAATGGTGTTGCAGTAGATTTTGCGCTGAATCTGAAGCAATTCGACGTCATGGGATTGGAAGTATTCGAGGGACTGGTTTCGTCGAATCAGCCATCCTTCTTTATATCCTGCTGTTCTGGTCAATTTGCTAGTAATTATAGATAGATAGTCTGGTCTGGTTTTTGAATTGGCAAATTAGCAAGTTTTAGAGACTATTCGACAACTTGGTGTCAACAAATCGATTATATATACATGTGCCAGCCCTGGATCTTAGAAGGATGTTTGTGGTGCTTTTAATTTGGTAAATACGATATCACGGTATTAGAAGAAAAGAAATATGAGATAAAATCGCCAAATCAATTAGGATATAGTATCAAATATTTCAAAAATAAAGTTAAAAGACAAAGTGAAGCTATTCAAAGCAGGTGACGACGTTTCTGCCTCAGGCTCCAATATCAAGCGCGGGATCGCGTCTTCACACTCCGATGATCCCCCCGAACCAACACATCAACAACAACGACCTCCGCCCATCCCCGCCACCATTGAATCCGACTCTCTGCGGGGCGCTGTTGGAGGCAGAATTTCGTCCTGCATGATTCACAATGGCTAACTTATCGCCCGGCCTTGTGGTCACTCTGACTGACGGTCGGCAGGCCACCGTTCGGTTTGCTGGCACAACGCATTTCTCGAGCGGAGATTGGGTCGGTGTCGAATTGGACGAACCGACAGGGAAAAACGATGGATCTGTCCAGGGGGAACGTTATTTCGACTGTGAGCCAGGATTTGGCATGTTTATCCGACCACCTGCTATAGCTGCGGTCGTTGAGCAGCAGCCAACCCGGGAAGCTGCTGTTAAGGGGAGCGCAAGCAATGCAGTTCCGGGCAGAGCACGAGCGCAGACAGGTGTCGCGCAAGGCGGTGCTGGGATTAAAAAGCCAGGCAGCTTGTCGTCTACGAATGTTAAGCGGAATAGTGTCAGTGCTGTTAGTCCATCTCCTGCATCGAGAGTCGCGGCGACACAACGGGCGTCATTGAGGGTATGCCGCGGATATCCACATTCGTCTTTCCTTTTGCTAATTGTCTCGCTGCTAAACAGTCTCCTACAAAATCGCCGACGAAGCAGCTCTCAACGCCTTCCGGTGGGTCTACTCGATCATCTATCAGTGGTACCTCGCGGCCATCTACGGTAGCACCCAAGTCTCGACCATCAGTGGGTGCCAAGTCCTCGATGGGCCCTCCGCCACCACCTTCGACCGCTGCGCGGACATCGCGACCATCTGTATCCGGCCCAACCCACAAATCATCTAGACAAAGCCTCCAGGGCGCGGCAGCCGCACAATCGGGGCTAACGAAACGACCTTCTTTGCGCCAAGTAGCCCCGAAAAAAGCTTCCGAAGAAGCAGAGAAGAGGGCGAGCAGCCATTCCGATGACATCGACCCTCATGATGTGGATGCCTCTGAAGACCCAGCCATGACACCCAGAGTGGCGAAGCAGCAGGCTGGAACCTCACGAGCTGCTCGAACTGGATTCTCCCCAACAACTTCACCACGACCAGCGCAGAGCAATGCCGTCTCACGAGAGCTTGAGGAACTGAAGACAAAGCTGAAGGTAATGGAGAAGAAACGAACCGACGACCGTGATAAACTCAAGAACCTCGAAAAGTTGCAGGCTGAACGTGACAAGTTCGAAGGGATCATTCAAAAGTTGCAGGCCAAATATCAACCCCAGCAACTCGAGATTGGCGAGCTACGCAAAAAGCTGAAGGAGTCAGAGGCCAAGGCCGAGGAGGTAGAAAGACTTCAGGCTGAGCATGAATCGCTCATGGAAATGGCCACCCTTGACCGTGAAATGGCGGAAGAGACAGCGGATGCCCACAAGCATGAATGCGAAGCCCTGAGACTCAAGGTAGAAGAGCTCCAACTTGAACTTGATGTTCTACGGGAAGAGAACGAGGAACTTGGCCAGGTCATGAGCCCCGAGGAGAAGGCTAGCCATGGATGGTTACAGATGGAGAAAACCAACGAACGTCTCCGGGAAGCCTTGATCCGCCTCCGCGATATGACCCAGCAACAAGAAAGCGAATTGAAAGACCAGATCAAGGAACTTGAGCAGGACCTCGAAGAATATGCATCTATCAAGTCCCAGTACGAGTCTACCAAGGCAAAGCTTCTCGTGTCAGATAACAACGTTGAAGATCTCAAGCAGCAATTGGAGACTGCCCTTGGTGCCGAGGAAATGATCGAGGAGCTTGCTGACAAGAACATGCGCTACCAAGAAGAGATCAACGAGCTCAATGCCGCAATCGAGGACTTGGAAGCTCTGAAGGAGATCAATGACGAGCTTGAGTACAATCACATTGAGACCGAAAAACAACTCCAGGAAGAAATTGACTACAGGGAAACTCTTTTCAACGAACAATGCCGTAAGATTACCCAGCAGGACGAAGTTATCGATGACTTGGAATATACTCTGGTTCGCTTTCGGGAGCTGGTGTCGACTATGCAGGGCGATTTGGAGGATATGCGGGCGTCCCAGCAGATTTCGGAAGCCGAAGCCAGCGATCTCACGACTCGGTCTCGATCTATGATGGATCTCAACACGAAACTTCAGGCTTCTGTCTCCAAGGCCCAAACCAAGAGTATTGATATTGAGCTTAGCCGTATGGAGGCAGAAGAAGCTATCCAGCATCTTTCAATCTTGAAGTTGTATCTTCCTGAATATTTCGATGGGGAGCGGAATTCAATCCTCGCGTTGCTACGCTTCAAGCGTGTTAGCTTCAAGGCTTCGTTGATGAACAGCACTATCCGTGAAAAGGTTTCCGACCAATCCTCCGTGTCTATCGCACAAGAAGAGATTTTTACAGCCCCCGACGTCCTTGGGAAGCTGATGTGGATTGCCTCCATCTGCGACCGGTTTGTGAACTATATTAGTAGCTGTTCTGCCGAGGGCTTTGGTGCCGTCAAGGGAACATTATTCGAGCTGGAGCCAGTGGAACGCACATTGAACTTCTGGGTTGAGAGCCTGAAGAAAAACGAGCTGAATATGAAGAAGTGTGCTGTGGAGCTGCAACGGTCCATTGCTCTGCTGTCGCATCTTGCAGAGACAGTCCTTCCCGCCTCCTTGGAGACTTTCGCTGATGAGCTATGCATGCGTTCATCGTTGACGCAGTCTTACCTTGACCATTCTGCAACATCTATATCACGTCTCAGGTCATTGCTCCAATCTAAGCTCGTGGTGCCCGAAGCGGGCGATGAAGAAAACAAGTTCCTATACAACAAGATGGATGGATTTGTATCTCAAGCGCGTGGGCTCAAGGTGGCAATGGGAAAGATTTACCGCTCGCTAGAAGAATTGCAATCCAGATCCCTTGCCCTTTCTAACGTCGCAGCCGAACCCTTCAAGAGAACCGAGGAAGCTGCCGATGAAATTTCAAACCTTGCCAGGCAGCTTGGGGAGAACATCGTTGCGATTATCAGCGATGAGGAACGCTTGGAGCCATTAGCTCTCAATGACACATTGGAGAGCATGTCACAGACTTCCTCCTCGTATGTCCAGCCTTCCGAGCAAGGGACTGATAGCAGTGATGCGATGACATTGCTTGCCAATAAACTGCGCACTCTGGGTGGCTATCTAGAGGAACTTGATTCCATCTCGTCTGACCTGACCATTACCACCGAATTCGAGAAACGCCCTTCTCCCTGGATTGCAAGAGCCGGGGAGCTCAAGTCGAACAAGACTATTTCTCCAGATGCCGATGAGGAGATTCGGCAGCTGAAGAATGAGATTCACGAAGCCTCAACTGCTCTGGGTGTTAAAGACAAAACCATCGAAGAACAAGCTATCAAGGTGGAACTTATTGAGTCCCGGATGCGTGAGGCGAGCAAGAAGGCCGCTATGGTAAAGGATCTCGAGGCCAAGATTGAAGAAATGCAGGCAAAGGAGTCGGAACTTTCAGGGGCCATGGAAAATCAGCGAAAAGAGCTGGAAGTGATGGAAACTGAACGAGACGAGTTGAAGGCTCGCCTAGAGAGAGTCAAGAGAGTCTCTGGTACAGCCGGAGTCACGTCTACAGGCGATGGCGTCGTGGTCGATAGTAGCATCTCGCTGGCGACGATGCGTGAGAACGAAGCCCTCCGTGCCGAAGTCCAAAGCCTCCAAGCTGCCGTGCGCTTCCTCCGCGAAGAGAACCGCCGCGTGAACATGCTCGACCCATACTCCGTCCAACGATCAGCAGATATGCACTCCTGGCTTGACGTGCCGCTCACCCAAGCCAGCGCCAACCCCCAGCGCGAGAAGCTACAGCAAACCGCCTCCGAAAGCCGAGACGTCCTCGGCCATCTGCTCAAACTCACCAAGGACTCCAATGTCACCGACCTCCGATCCACCATGTCCCAAGACAACAGCAGCCGGGTAGCCTGGCGCCCATCCAAGACAAAACTCCGCTACCAAGTCCTCCAAAACCGGGAGAACTTCGAGCGCTGGTCCGAATGGAAAAATGACATTGTCAGTCACGAGCGCGAACAAGACCGCGTCGCAGCCGCAAAACAAGAACGCGCCCTCCGTGAACGAGCCCAGCGTCACATGCTCCGGAATTCCGTCCATGGCGAGTTCCCCCAGGGCACGGGTCACGGCATGATGGGTCGCGCCTGGCAGATTCTCGGAATGCAGGATGATCGCAAAACACCCAAGCCGGCCGAGCCATCTATTCTCCCGTCTTTTTAGATCGGATGAGATGGGATAGATATATCATGACTTCGACTCTTTTTTGTTAAGATCTGGACATAAAATCTTGATGTTTGTTTGATACCACTCGGAGCGTCTGTGATTGCGATTATAGTGATAGCTTTTGAAATGTATTATTTGATCTTGTGCTTACTGCAATTCCTATGTATATGTATTCTCATCATATGCTATTTGTTTTCCAAGTGCTAATTATAGTCTTAGCTTCATTTAGACAGGTTGCACACCTGTTGGACATACAATATGAGCAACCATTCTAGAACATAGCAAATAATATTCATTTAAAGGCGAAAAAAAAAAAAAAAAAGAAGAAGCAATTTAAAGCCCTGAAGAAAAATAACAGTTTTTAAATAATAATGCGCCCAGCCAATATACATAAAAGGTATTGTTATTATGTCACAGCCGCTCGATATCCAGACACAAATGCTAATGATGATGATGATAAAAGAAAAACCAGTCTAGATAAGAAACTATAACAGCCTCATAGAAATTCACGCTCCATAATATGTAAAACCTGATCAAATAGACAACCCTGGAACAAAGAATAATAATACAACTCCTGGCTTAAACTGACGAAAAGCAAACAGCACGACATGCAACATCCCGAAAGAATCCAAATCGAAGATCATAAATGAGTATTAGGAGAACAATAAGCGAGGGGGGGAAAGAGAAATATTATCATTATGTAATCGTGCAAATGAAGTAAAGGGGGACTTTGTACAGTGCCGTGAGTGGATTGGGTAGAGGGGATCAAAGGATACCGGATAGAACGGCTTCGGTAGCTGTAGAAAAAATGTCAGAAATTTGCTCATGATATGATAGATTTTGAGAGTAGAGGTATTCTTACCTGAGTTGATGTATGGCCGTTTGTAGTCCAAGTTGACACCGAACCGTCTTTCCAGTTCTTGCTTGATGCTCTTCTTTGTGACAGTCATCAAGTCTGCCGTGTGAAGGATGTTTCGGATCTCCGCGAGAATGGCATCGTCAGTGGGCGATCCAGCAATATCTTCCATCTCCATGTCCATGTGTCGGCTCATCCGTTCGGATGGAGCCAGTGACATGCGAGATCCATAGCGAGGCAGCTGTTCGAGCTGTGACATGGGTCGAGAACCAGGGAATCCGTAATCCGAGTGAGCAACAGGGAAGTTCTTAGTACCGTAGGAAATACCAGAAATTTCGGACCGGTCGTCGCGCGACGTTTGGGCCTCCCACAGTTCGGCTTGATATTCTTCCCATCGCTTCTTCGGGATTGAGGCTGGGTCGAATTTGCCTTCGTCTGAGATGACGACCTTCCGGCCACTCTCTCCGGTAATAACACGAGTGTTTCCCCAAGAAAAGTCATCCATGTGCCAGAAGGAGTAGAGCGGAAGGGCCAAGGAGTACACGGGAATTGCAAGGATGTATACAATCATCCAGCCAACCATTTCCCACTTGCGGCGAAGGATGAAAACAAATGCCTGAAGACCGTATGTCACACCTAGAAGAATGAAGGCTGTATAGGGAACCACAGACGTGTCCCGGACAAGCCACACAATGAGATAGATAATGTACGCCACGGTGACAGGCATGATGACGGTACTGAGAAGATCGACAAAGACAATAAAGCGCATACTAAAGCAGCAGAAACCACAGAGTTGTTGAATAGGAATCAGTTCGATCAGGTTGTGGACAGTCGAGTTAATCCAGCGACGACGTTGCGATAGGAAGACTGACCACTGCTCCGGAGCGATGGTCCAGGCATTGGCACGGAAGATAAACTTGGTCTTGTACTTCGGATGATGCTTCAGAAGCAGGGTCGTCAAATAACGATCCTCACCCAGGTGCAGCAGGTTCTTCATATGCAAGGTATCAACTCGAATCTCAGAGTAGGTCTCGACGATTTCCTTGCTAACGAACAGTGGTTTTGCGTTCTCCGCGGAGCGAATACGATACATCGTGAAACAACCAGGCAAACACGTAACGGATCCGAAAAGACTTTCGAAGGCCTTGATAAGGTTGTGCGAAATGTAGTATTCATAAACCTGCATCATAGTAACCGCGGATGTTTTGGCGTTGGTTAAAGCTGTTTCTCCACAGACACCAATGAGTCGAGTATCACCCAGGAACGCAGCTACCATTCGTGTTCCTGCATCTTGGGCAACCACCGTATCGGCATCGACCTGCAAGATAAACTCATAGAATGTGGGATTGACACCGATGATATTCCGTATTTGGTGATACATTTCCAGTTCCATGGGACTCATAGGAAGGTTGTAATGGACACGATTCAAGAACCGCATGAGAACCATTTGGGAGTCACGCTTGCCTCGGTTTCCAGGCCTCGATACCTCAGACGGCTTTCCAACCTTGACAACGACGAGGAAAGGAACGATATGACCTTGTACTTCATATAGACCGGAATAGACCTTGGCCATGTTGTGTTGCTTCATACCTTCACCCAAACTGTCAAAGCTAAGAGGCTCGGGATCGACCGATTCTGGGACACCGAAGATGTCCAAAACAATCCGTGGAGTAGGACGGTCGTTACCTTGACCAATAATCATACCATCGCAGATGACGAGAAGAAGTTTACGCTTGTCATCATAGCGCATGCGTGCCATAGAGTCGATAGCTCGGCGAAGGGATTCTTCATCTTCTGTGTAGGCCGGAACCTGACAAATAATGAATTTATCCAGATTCTCGGGAACGTTCTTCTTGCCGAATTGGAGAGCAGCCAAGAATTTGAACGTGATTACCGCACAGATAATGATCGAAATGGATAAAATGAAGTAACGGGCGAACTGGCATTGAGGCGAATTTCGGGTGTCCACATGGCCGACGAAGAACAAGTTGTCCAAGCATAGTTGCATACGTTCACGCATTCCCGAGTCAATGTCGAGGTTTTCCCAGTATTTCGAAAGGTCCTGGCCGGGGAGTTGCTGGAAGAGGTCGACAACCATAGAGTCCATGAAATCCGTGTCAACTTTTGAAGGCACCGATTTTCCTGGGGGAGCTGCTGATCTCCGACCTCCTGTAATGTACGTGGTAAGATCATAGACTTTGCCATTGATACTACCGATTGACTGGGATTTTCCTGCCAGGGTCTTCAGATAATCTGAACTGTAACCGATGAAGCCCTTTTTGTAGTTTGCCCGTAGCATGACCATCTGCTCGTAGAACCAATCCGGACGAGAGTCATTGGTGAAATACCGGAAGTCATGGTAGTTGGCATTGGTATCTGTGCTACTGATTGCAGTCACCGAGCCCGAGACGTTTGTCGGTTTGTAATCCAAAAGAACGGTAGGATCGATGTGCCCATCTTTGCCCTGACACAAAGCAGACACTTGGACAGGGAAAAGGCTGGTGGCATCGACACCAGCGTACTTCTTTAACGCTGACTCTGGCACAATATCAGGGTAATGAGATGGCATGAAAGAACCTAAGTCAAAAACAACACCTCGGATGGCAACGTAAGAATTGTGGCCATCTTTGCCGTTGTGAGAAGCTAACTCAGATGCCGAATAAACGTGTTGTGTGGGACAAACCAATCCAGGGAAAGCGACAATGAAGAAAATGGCGACGGCACAGCTGAACCAGATGATAATGTTGATAGCCAGCTTTTCTCGCCAGGCGAGTCGCACATCCTTCCGTGACATTCTTCCAAAGAATTTGATAGCAATGTCGGGAATGTAAAATGTCAGCATGTAGACGAGTGCCATCCACCGCTTGCGGCTACCAGAGACAGGGGCATCATCCACTTCCTCCATCTCCTTCTCATTGCCCTTTTCCAGCATCTGCTGCCTGGTCTCCAGATTGCGGAACATATCACCCGAATTGAAGGCAGAGCCTCCCGCATCAGAGCGTCCATCCAGATCGCGGCTGCCAAAGTATCCTTGCTTGTCTTCGCCGTAGATAAAGGCACCGGGAGATTGGTCGGCTGGATTGAGAAGTCGCACTTTAGAGTCCATATAGGCAGCATTACGTGGGTGAAGCAAGCCATCCTCGTCCGGCTGACCGGCGAAGGGGATAACGCGTTCCCCGACCTTTGCGAGATCTGCCCAGCATCGCTCGCTAAGGAAGACACCAGTGCTACCAACTCTGGCTTCATTTCCTGGCCACTTTCTTTCGTCCAGGACGACTTCTGACTTTTCTTTATCACTACCGACGACAACGTTACCGAGTTCAGCCAAACCAAGGAACTCTGAAAATGGAAGGAAAACGCTAAAATCAGCATTGCGCAACCTCTGACTGATTTCAGCGATTCCGAAGGTCTGAACTTGGGCTCGCACGCATTTGCTGTCGAACTGATTGGCGATTCGTCGATCGTTTGGTTTCAAACAGAAAACGAAGTATGGGTTCAAGTTGGCTGAGCTCAAGCATTTATTGACGATTTCAAGAGAGGAGAGGAATTGACCAGCTGCACCTTGGATACCACCAGTAAGCACGCCTGTTTTCCGGCCCGCAGAGCCTTTCTTGATGGAACCTGGTTGGCTTTCATATTCCTCTCCTTCTTCAGCCAAGGAGGCATCGAACATTCTGGCAGATGGGTTTGTCCTGCGTCTGGCGATACTCGGCATCCGCAAAGGCTTTGAACTGACTTGTGCTTGCATAATAGTCGTCTTCTCTCTCGGATGAGAAACGGTTTGCAAGGCATCTTGTCCAAAGAGGTCCTTGACGAACTCGCTTCGAGTGGACTTCATGAGATTCATCAGGTCACTTGAAATGACTTCCCCGTTCTCTTCAATCAGGCCAGTGGCAGGGTAGTCGACCTCGCCGGCAAAGTGTTTTACTGTAAATGCTGAGCGGGCTGTATCTGAAACAAAGTTGCTGCCAGGAGCTCGCCCCGGGTTGCTGACAAGAATGGCAGGGTTCTTGTTTTCAAAGCGCTTCTTGATACTCTCAATGAATTGAGCGTCAGACCTCCCACGCCTGCCCTGATCATCAAGAATGCTCAACAAACCATTTCCATGCTTCAGAAGCCCACGCACAGCATCCGTGTTATCGAAATAACTCGTAGGAGGCACAGCCACTTCTTCGCGCTCTAGCATATCGGCCTTTCGGTCAAAGAATGACTGGAGGCAATAGTTGTAGAGCGATTCAGTTGCCGCATTGTTAAGGAGCTGATCCAAGGTAGAACCAGTAGAACAGGCTTGAGAAAAACCGGGAAAGTCAACAATGGAGACGGTGTTTGCAACGCTGTCTTCTGCGGCACAAATCTTTTGGTTGACCGTCTCGATCACATAGGCCACCAGAAGAGAATAAATGGTGCGTGCAAGCTCATCAGCATTTTGCCGTGCGCCTTTCGGATCAAGCATGACGGTCACACGCTCCCGGTGGATTGTTTTCGTTTTGTAGCCCAAGCTAATCTCAAGCTCCTCGAGTCCCAAGCCCAAAAAGGCGGCGATGATGGCGAGTACATCCTTGTTCTTCACGATGGTAACGGTCTCACCACCTTCATGCGAGTATCCACCACTCTCCTCTGCAGAGGTGGTGGTAGATTGCCCACTGGCAAACTCCAGCTGCCCAAGGTGAAGGATACTCGCCAGGATCTGACAGATTTCGGCGATTTCGTTCCGGGAAAATTCCAGCTTTCTTAGTGCCGTCTTAAAATGTTGGAAGCCGTCGGTGTCATTGACTCCCACCTTCAACTGAGTCGGATGGCCCAGATATCTCCATCTCTTGTGGCTCACTGAACCGGACGAGAGCTTACCCCCAGAAGTGGTTATGTGGATGGAATTATCGATACCCAAGTGGGCCTTCTCTGCAGCGCTTGTACCAGCCAGCAGGTAGTAGAGAACATGGAAACTTCGCTCACCCGTCGGTACTGAAGCAATTCGACTCCGCTCCAACCTGTGATCAATGACCTTACCACCGATCAGGGTAGGGTTGATGGAAGATGATCCATCGTATTGTAGTTCCAAGAACAGGCCGGATTTAGACGCTGTCTGCGTGGTCAGGGACTTGGTGGTAGTCAAAGTGTCGAAGACAAAAGTTGCATAGGATAGTTTCGACGATAGCGGGGTAGATGAAAATGAGAGCAATGAGGACAGGATATGCGCGCGAATTGTCGTTTTACCAGCTCCACTCTCCCCTCTGTATCTCTGTTAGCTGACCGCATAGAATCCGTGCGTTCATGTCCACCTACAGAAACACAATAGCTTGATTTTCTCCCCGAGCACCTAGTCTCGTAAAAGCCCGTCGAGCCAGATCCTCCGCCTCCCCCATGGCACTGTCCTCCTTACCGCCATCGGGGCCTTTTGAAGACGAAGTATAAGTATTGAGACATATCAATGCTTGAGACGACAGGCGGGCTGTTGGTAAGCCAACATGAAACCTGTAGAAGAAAATCACCAGTGAGCAAGTTGCATAGGACGAGTTGATCAGGAAGTAGACTGTACCGGCTTGCTAAATGTGCCGTCAGGTGGGTATCTGATTGTAGATGCGATGGCAGTGATGGGAGCGACGACTGCGCATGAGACGGAGTACTGCCCGCCATGATTTCAGCCGTGTCGAAACCTCGACACTTGAGGCTTCAAAGGTCAATCAAAAACGACGATGATTATGGCTTGTAAGAAACTGATCTTTTCGAAGTATGGTGACTGATCCGAAGAATGTGGGAGTGTTTGCCGCCTGGTCTCGAACGCAGTCGACTCTTCAGATCACCCGCTCAGACCTGTGTGATCAGGGAAATGTGGAAAGTTCGTGCGGGCTATTTTTGGGAATCGGGAATGTTGGCAGTGCCTAGCAGTGAATTAAGAATCCCTAGCAACCGAGTAATGTCAAGCACATTGCCTGCATTGGGCTATCAATAATACTGCAAGCCGGGCATCAAGTGGTGGAAACGCGTGGGAAACAAATTGAGGCGATGAAGCGAATATGATGGCGAGGTGAAGTGCTGGATGTAAGGGCGAGAGGGGAACAGGATGGCGCCGATGGTCTGGATTTCTGGAAAGCTTGCGATTTGGGATAAAACGAGAGTGTGTTGGAGGATGAAACAGAAGAGGAAAAAACACGGGAAGCGAAGGGAAAGCAGATATCTCTCTGCTGGCTATCCACAGAGCCAGAAATGAAGTTTTAGAATTTTTTTTCCCTCTGCCTGAGAAAGACCTTGGACGGCGCCAGAAGGACAGCTTTTTTTGACATTGATAGCGTCCGGGGTCACCGCCCACGATAGTAAGAAGTGTAAGACACCAGAGGATCAGATGCTATCAGTAGCTCAATACAAGTGGTAATACGTGGTCATGACCAGCTGGATACAATTGCAATACAGCGGTGCATCACCAGCAGAGCAGCACAGCCAATGGCCAGACGGCAGGAATAATAAGCAGCAAGCATAAGGCCCACCGATACAGGGAAAAACACCATGACGATGGCCTCGAGCGGCAATCAACTAAGTGGGATATGCTGGACCCTCTCCGACGGCCGAACCGTCCGTATAACCGGGTGGAGGTCTCAGATGCAAGAGGAACAGATCCCCACCTGGCGATAGAACCGTAGGTACTCCGTAGTGGCCATAGTACCAATATTTCATGCTAATCACAAATACGCCATTGACAGATCAGAAGATCAGAGAGGATCAGGGGCTGTTTGGCCGACCGCCAGAAACTCAGTTCACCGTACTATCCCACTATCCAGTACTAGGCGATGCTCACATTGCGACCATTTTATGATAGAGTCAATTTTGCAGAGTGCAGTATGTATTGAGCATCCATGGATCTCTGCGTCTGTACCTGACTTTTTTCGTCGTGCTATGGGAATTTTCCGTGGGTACGTATCGATACTGCCTCGGGTATTTGAATTTGATACATACACAGTTTGGGGCAATATTCCGTTTTTATTTTTATTTTTTTTTTCTGATAATAAATGAAGTCACCGTATGGGCTGAAAGACAGAAAGAAAAAGGAAGAAGAAAAAAAGGAGTGGATCGATCTGCTTGAGCTAAAAAGGTACCCATGCCCCACAAGGGAAAAGCGTGAAACTAGTAGGGTCTTTTTGCTCCTCGGGTAAAGATGCCCGCCAGAAAATAAAATCAAAAATAAATAAAAAACCCATTCCGTCGACCACCATGGGCCATTACAGGGCATACCATACACCGACCCCTGTAGGTGTAGTGTAAATGTAGGTGTAGGTAGGTGTATGTACGGTGAACACAGAGTGGTATTGCATACGCATGTACGGAGTACAGACTACATATATTTATTCATTCTTTTTTTAACCGGGTTAAGGCCGAAGATCATGATGAGAGACAAAGAGTAAAAATAACAACAGGATCTGAAACTGACAGTGGGAAGAGAAGATGGGATGCATGACTCTAACATATGACAGCTGGGCAGAAAGACTGGAACTGCAGTGGCAAAAGGGAGATTCCGCCCTTGACTGGACCCTGGAGTGAGACACAGTAAGACAGGGTGCACCAAATATAGGGCCACTCATTGCTGGGTGCTGGTTTGGCTGCGGATCTGACCGTCGCGTCTGCGGTGATTGGCTGGAGCACGTTCCATTCAATTCTGGCTCGGTCCAACGTCACATGATGGAGGAAAAAATCAACAATCCTCTCAGTGCTCAGAAAGCCATATTGGGCATTGTTATAATAATGAACGTGGTTTGGATATATGCAGAGTATCAGATAAATGTATGATCCTATAGCCCCTTTCTTATATCAAATCAACATCCTACAGATAATCAAATGATAAATCCACTGCCGATATCAACAGCAAACACACTAAAGTATGGAATATGCACTATCGCATGCAATTAGCCTATCAGAGTTAGCTAGTCCCCTGCTAGTCTCAACTATAGTAAATATTCCACTCTAGTCATACATAGCAGTATTAATCGTACCACAGAACACTCCAAACACCGAAGCACTCTCTGACAGCTGGCCGTATTTCTGGTATCTTACGCCATACCCGTATTTACCAGCTAGACCCGGAGATACCATGCGAGAGGGCCGCAGTTTTGCGACTCGCATCACAGGTTCAATTGATCTTCTTCTGTCTTATCCAAAGACTTTCGTCTTTTTTTCTCCTCTTCTTATTCTGCCTGACCTGAAGCGACCTGTGGTTTATCTTGTTTTCTACTTTTTTCTTCTGTAATCCTAATGTCGGTCTCCCTCGGTCTTCTCCTCTCTTCATAATCACTAACCTAAACCCCATCCTCCAGACGCTCGTTATCGAATTTCTCCAAGTCGCTCGCTCCAAAAACCAATGATTTGCAGCACGTTTTGTTGAAATTCCCCTCTCCACCCCACATCCTATATCTGGAAACATCTTTCGATCATCCGTGAGACGCCAGAAGTCAAACATCCTCGCCTTACTCTACACCTATCTGTTATCGCTATCGACGTGAAGAAAAGAACCCTCATGTTTTGACCCGCAGCTTTCGACAACGCACCTTTTGCCTCGTCTGGTTGTGCAAAATAACCGCCTGGTCAACTTCCGTTAAATTTCGGTATTGACTGCGTGGTTAAGATAAGGACCATGTCGAATCGTTACTCTGTCTACTCCAGCCATTCGGCTGGTTTGTCTACCGGTACTCCTCGACTATCTCCTCAGCAAGCCTCCCAGGTTTCAACCACAACCCTTCTCAATGCCTTGCATTCATTCTATACCTCGGGTCAGCCATATCAATTGGATGCGAGCACAAGTCTGGTTGTGAACACTTGGCTTACTGCTACACGCACGACACCCGATGGCCGTACCGGGGGAACTATCGATCGGGAGTTGGCACTCAGAGCGTGGGAGCATGCAAGACGAAGAGCCGAGGATGGCTGCATCGTTCTCTGGTTGGTTTCAATCCTCCTCTCAAGCAAGCTACTAGCTAACATATACCAAGTTCGACTCATCAGTCAACCCCGTCTGTGCTACAGCCATATCTGGCAGCGCTACCTCTTCCTACGCCCACCACTGCATTCACAGCTCTGGCCGTTCTTCGACCCTTCCTTTCCGCTGTCACGTCGTTTAACCCCTCGTACTCTCTCTACTCCGCTCTTGCTGCGTCCTTCACCCTCTCATTACAAGGCGATGTGGTTGGCTTAACCTATTCCCTTTCAACGACCGGTATCAATGTTCGGAAAGGACTGTTGGATATCCCCAGCGAACCAGGCTATCGGGCCTTTGACGTATTTTACTATCTCTTGACATCCGCATCAACGCCAGCAGAGAGAGAGTTCCTGGATCTAAAGAGTGCCTCCGAATATTCATTATTAAACAAGTCTGGCACTTACAAGCCTCCGTCCTATCTTCCAACTGCAGATGATGACGCTGCTGCGGAAGATTTCAGGGCCTCGCTCAAAGCTATCGGTATCAAGGGAGCCGCCCAGCGAGGTCTCTTGTCAACCCTCGCGGGTTTGTTGAAACTTGGCAACGCATCGGGCTTTTTTGTCGACCAGGAAGAACTCGAGGATGTCTGTGAAGAGGTGGGTGGCTTGCTTGGTTTGGATCCAGAGGTTCTCCTTCGAAAATGCTCCACCGACGAGCGGGAGATTCTGGTTGCAGGCATCTACGAGGCGCTCGTGGACTGGGTGATCAGCAAGGTCAATGAGGCCATCGCCAGCGAGATCAAGGAACACAATGATCATGTTGGCCAGTGGTCGAACGATGACACTGTCAGCATAACGGTTGTCGATGTCCCCAGACCGGCATTTGGAAAGGCCGTGGCCATGAGAGGAGTGTTCGATGACAACCTGGGTATCAACGCCGAAATGCGAGAGGATGGTGTCCACATTCCCCCGGCGGGAAATTCAGTAATCAACGAGATGGATAACGCAGTGGCTCAGGTTGAAGCCGACCTGGGAATCACTACCGGCTCCGCATGGCACGAAAGAGAATACGAGCTCGACAAGCGACAGGGAGTGTTAGAAAAGGTTGGCTTGGAAGTCGAAACAGACGCTTTTCTACGGCAGCTACTGTTCCCTGTTAGCACCGAAGGCATCTCGCTCGGCAAACGGGGCCGATTCGATCTCCCTGCTACGTTGGGAAGCAGCCGTGTTTGGTATCAAATATCGATGCACCCTACCGACGATTCACCCGAAGCCTTGAATTCTCTGATGTCAACTACGACCTGGTCTGCAGGTTCCGTGTCCCGTCAATTGCGTGACTGGAGACTTGCTGAATGGGCGAATCGACGTCTCAAACAGCTTGACTTCACTGCTGATTTCGATATGGAGGAGTTCTTCGGTAGGTATGCCCGATTAGGGTGTATGGAAGGCAAAGATGGCATTGAAAACTGGATCCTTCAGCGGGGATGGACCAACGGTGATGCCTTTGTCGGCCACCAGCGTATTTGGATGAGGGAAAATGCATGGTGGGAGGCAGAGACAATGCTTGACCTCAAGCCTGACGAATCCCCTCCGATCAACCCTTTCATGCTTGGTAATGGTCTTGTGGACCCCAGCTATGCACCCGATATGGGCTACCCAATGGCAGAGTCGACAAGCCTCCTGAACGTTGGGCATGATGCTTCAATGCAAAAGGGTATGCTAGCTCCCAGTTTTCGTGGAGGAGCAAAGTCAATATCTCCTAGTGTACCTCATACCATGAATATGGGAGGTGACTATGGCCTGGGCTCGAAGGGTGATGACAGGAAGTGGGACAACACATATTACGATAACGAGTTTGGGCAATACATTGGCGAACTCGACCCCGAACATGGTGAGCCTAAACATATCGAGAAAAAGGAAATTACTCCCGGTCGACGCATGTGGACGGGCTTCGTTTGGGCCATGACCTTCTGGATTCCATCCTTCGTGCTTCGTTATGTCGGCCGAATGAAACGCCCCGATGTGCGGATGGCCTGGCGTGAGAAGCTGGTTCTTTTCTTCCTGATCCTTCTGTTCAATGGTATGGTCTGTTTCTACATTATCGCTTTTGGTGATCTTCTGTGCCCGAATAAAGATAAAGTATGGAACGAGAAGGAAGTCGGTTACCATGAAGGCGATGACGATTTCTATGTCAGCGTTCATGGCAAGGTTTACGACATTAGCAAATTCTGGCGCATTCAGCACAGTGATACGTCGATCGAGACAACTTCGTCCAACATGAAGCCATTTGCAGGACAGAACCTCGACGCTTACTTCCCCCCACCTCTTACGGAAGCCTGCAAGCCATTTGTGGACGACGACTCGATCACATTGCAAAACAACAACACCGATGCCGTCTTGTATCCACAGGCGAAGCACGACTGTGGGCCCCGAAATCAACCTGACAAAAGCACTGCACTCCACGAGATTAGCTGGTATGCAGACAAATTCTTGCCAAAAATTAAGGAATACTACAAGGGTGATGTCGTTTGGAAACGGAGTGTGGTCTCATCCCAAGCGACCGACAGTCAACGGTATTGGGTAATTGTCGACAAGAAGATTTACGATTTGACCAATTACTTCTATACGCTGAAGATGATGAACAATATCGACACCTATAGTTTCCTGCCCAAATCTGTGACGGAGCTCTTTAAGAACTACCCCGGTACCGATGTCACTGACAAATGGCAAGACACAACGCAGTTTAAAAATGCCCAGAACTGTCTTGACAACGTGTTTTATGTCGGGAAGGTTGATTTCCGAGACTCGCCCAGGTGTACAGTCAACAACTGGATTCTGCTGTCATTCACCGTTCTCATTTGTGCTGTTGTGATTGTCAAGTTCCTTTCTGCTCTCCAGCTTGGTTCCAAACGACGGCCCGTTCCACAGGACAGATTCGTCATTTGCCTGGTCCCTGCATACACAGAAGGCGAGGATGCCCTGCGTCAAGGTCTCGACTCTTTAACCGCTCTGCAATATGACAACAAGCGAAAGCTCATCTGCGTTGTCTGTGATGGAATGATTGTTGGTGGAGGTAACGATCGGCCAACCCCAAAGATTGTCCTCGATATTCTCGGGGTAGACCCAAAGATCGACCCTCCTGCACTGCCATTCAAGTCCATTGGCCAAGGAAGCGACCAATTGAATTATGGAAAGGTCTACTCGGGTCTTTATGAATATGAGGGCAATGTCGTGCCTTATGTCGTTCTCGTCAAGGTTGGAAAAGAGTCCGAGCAAAGCAAATCCAAGCCTGGTAACCGGGGTAAGCGTGATTCACAGATTCTGCTGCTCAATTTCCTTAACCGCGTGCACCACCGTTCACCTATGTCACCATTTGAGTTGGAGATCTTCCATCAAATCAATAATATCATCGGTGTTGATCCTGAACTTTACGAGTACTGCCTGATGGTGGACGCCGATACGAGTGTTAGGGAGGATTCACTCAACCGTCTAGTTGCTGCTTGTGCGAACGATGCGAAGATTGCTGGTATTTGTGGAGAGACCAGTCTTCAGAATGAAGAACGGAGTTGGTGGACAATGATTCAAGTCTATGAGTACTACATTTCCCATCATTTGGCCAAGGCGTTTGAATCTCTTTTCGGTACCGTCACTTGTCTGCCCGGATGGTAAGTCTTTCTATATCATTCCATCTTTCGCCTACGTTTACTAACATTTGTCAGTTTCTGCATGTATCGATTGCGAACTGCAGATAAAGGTCGACCACTTATTATATCCGACAAGCTCATTGCCGAATATGCGGATAATGATGTGGACACGCTGCATAAAAAGAATCTTCTCTCCCTTGGTGAGGACCGCTACTTGACGACATTGATGGCAAAACATTTCCCTACCATGTCCTACAAGTTCATTCCCGATGCATACGCCAGTACTGCTGCCCCGGAGACATGGAGCGTTCTTTTGTCCCAGAGACGTCGCTGGATTAACTCTACTGTTCACAACTTGGTGGAAGTGGCCATGCTGAAAGATCTCTGTGGCTTCTGTTGCTTCAGTATGCGATTCGTTGTGCTAGTTGACCTTCTGGGAACAATCATCCTTCCAGCCACCTGTGTTTACTTGGGATACCTGATCTACCGTGTCGCTAGTCATACCGGCCCGTTCCCTCTGATTTCCGTCATCATTCTGGCGGGTGTCTATGGTCTTCAAGCTATCATTTTCCTTGTTAAGCGGCAGTGGCAGCACATTGGATGGATGATCATTTATATCCTTGCTTATCCGGTCTACAATTTCATCTTGCCTCTCTACTCTTTCTGGAAACAGGATGACTTTGGTTGGGGTAGTACTCGTGTTGTCATTGGTGAAAAGGGAGATAAGCGTGTGGTTGCTGTTGAGGACGAAGGCTTCGATCCTCGCAGCATTCCTCTCCAGCGTTGGGACGATTATGCCCTTGCCAATAACCTCCCTGGTCGTCGTGGAGATGCAAGCATCAGCCAGGAGAAGTTGTTCCCGCCAAGATACACAGATGAGATGGCCATGGAGATGGATGATATGCACTCCAACTACTCCTCTGTCAAGCCTGCGTCAACTATCCTCACTGGGTTCCCTCATAACCGGAACACTGGTCCGTACATGCCTCCACACTCACCAGCACATTTTGGCGGCAACGTGCCAGGAAACAGAAACTCGCATCTTTCGAACTTTTCAAGGTACACCGATATGGGTCAAGCAACAGGTCACCAGGCCTCGCGACACATGTCCATGGGCGGTCTTAGTCACTACCAAAGCAGCCCCATGAACAACAGCCGACATAGCGTGGGAATGATGCAGAGTACCGACAACCTGCTTGGGGGCACCCCACGACCAGTTTCTCGCAGTCCGCTCGGCGCAGGGTATAACTCGAGGCCCACCAGTGCGTTTGACTTCCGAGGGGGAGCAGGAGGGCCCGATGATCATTCCATCGCGGAGGCTGTTCGGAGCTGTCTAGCAGAGGTCAATCTGGATAACGTGACAAAGAAGCAGGGTGAGTAAACCACACCATTCCAGTCTATACATATAACCATACTAACAAGATCCCAGTCCGCGTCCTTGTCGAGCAGCGACTGCAAACAACATTAACGGGCGAGAAGAGAGCGTTCCTCGACCGACAGATTGACCACGAATTGGCGAATATGTGAGCCGACCAAACTGTCATATTATACACAGGAATACAGGATGTGGATATTTTCTTTCTTTTTTCAACGAACGGGGATCATCTAATATATGCACTCAACTTGTCACTCTGAAAATATTTCTTTTGGCTGGGCATGCACGGCGTTTGTTTTTCGGATGAAATTATTTTTTGAGCATTCAGCGATCTGTTTTATGTATCAAGCCAGCATGGGGATTTGTATTGATGTTGATCTAGATAATATTTTAATGATGAGGACTTGGGATAATTCATAGTGAAATAGGAGTAGCCAGATATATGATCACTTACTCCACAGAATGACTACCTGCAGCTTATATGCAGAACAATTCTAGCGTGCCACATGAGGTGGGGTTGATGAATCTGTTCCTGTCATATCCATAAACATCCTATATCCATCCATCAACAGATTAATTAACCAACACTCGTATACAATCATCATCTACCTACAATAAAATAAAATAAAATGTCAACCCAGCAACCCCCCTCCCCCACCACCCCAACATCACCAACAACAACCTCCCCCTCCGACAACAACACAACCACCAACACGACAACCAACCCCTCCTCCCCTTCCCCTTCCCAAACCCAACGCACAACCGAAGCTCGCGCCGCATTCACCGCATCCCTACAATCCGTCGGCGCAAACTACGACGCCGAGCTCCGCGACCGCGCGCGTAATCTCCACGACAACACCGCCGCGCTCGACAAGCAGCAGGCGGATTTGCAGCGGGCGACGACCGAGCTGGGCAGGCAGAACGAGCAGTGGGGGAAGGTGACGGACACGGCGCGCGAGGGGTTAAAGGAGATCGGGGACGTGCAGAATTGGGCGGAGTTGATTGAGAGGGATTTGTTGGTTGTGGAGGAGACGTTGAGGATGGTGGAGGAGGAGGATGAGGCGGTGGGGAGGGTTGAGGGTGGGAATGGGAATGGGAATGATGATAAGAAGGGGAGGAAGGCGGGTGGGTGGATGAAGTGGTGGTAGTTATTGTATGCTATGTTATTTTATGATGTCTATTCTATTTTGTTGGGTTAGATGTTCAATATCCAAGGAATATCCAAATGTCAGGTCTATTCTTCCGTCTCTTCCTCCTCTTCCTCGTCATCTTCATCTCCATCTTCAGTATCCCCATCACTAGCCATCTCATTCATATAATCTCTCCAAACGTCCAGATTATCTTCAGGTTCACCCTCTTCATCCTCCTCTTTCCACTCATCCCATTCATTCCACTGACCCAAACTCATCAAATGTCTCATCGTCGGCCGTCCATGTGGACAATTCCACGGCTTGTCAATCGTCCCCATATTCCTCACCACCTTCACCATCTGTTTCTGCGTCAGGTTTTTCCCAATCATAATACTCGACCGACACGCCCGCATCGCGAACATCTTCCGCACTTTACCCGGGCGAGGGATATAAGAAGTAGACCCTGTAGTCCCGGTTGCCGGCATCTCGGATAACAAGACGATCAACTCCTCTAGATCTCGAACACCGAAGACGACCTCTTTGCTCAAAGGTAGCGAGACTAGCTTGCACCGTCGACCGATCGGCTCGTTTCCGCTATCGTCGATTTCCACCACAAAGCCGTTCTTTTCTAACGCGGCTTGGTTCTCGATCACTATCTCTTCTTCGACGGCAGTGAGGTCGAGGGTTTTGGGCTGCACGAGACGCTGGTTTTGCACGACTGTTTCGGCTTGAAGGCGCTCAAAGTTGATCTTTTCGTCTGAGGCATGTTGGTCGATGATGAAGAGCTCGTCCCTGGAATTGCCTGATCTATCCGCACCGGTTGATCGAGTGGCTAGGATGAAACCGAGATTGAACTGGCCGATGATGCGCATTTTGGCAAAGTCGTCCTTGGTCACTGTCAGGGACAGGCGTTCTTCTGCGGTCTCCTGTGATATGGCCAGGCCGTCTTCATCTTGAGGTTTGGAAACGTCCATCACGTGTGATCGGAGGCTATCTTGTAGTTTGTCGATCTGGGTTTGTATGCGAGAAAGTGATCCGTTGATCGTGCCCACCAGGTTAACGGTGGAATCGCGATGGCCAGCACCCTTGTTCAACTTGTTTGCTCGATTGACGCTGTTTTCCTGAGGCAGCACAGCCTTTTCCTCTGCTTCTCGGATAAGTCGTTGAACCTCGGCCTCTTCCTTGGCCTTCTTGTCCTCTTCATCTAGACGAGCTTGATCCGGGCCAGCAGATGGTGTATTGCTCACTTCCAATTCACCAACAGGATTGTTATATGGTGGACCTTCATTCTCTTCCTGACTTTCCCCGGGATCTTCTTCCAAGCGTCGCCTGGGTGGGCTCCGAGAGATGGCATGCGACCTTTTGCCTTTATCATCTAATGGAACGAACAATTCGGAGCCGTCATCGGAATGTTCATCCTCGATTTCATCAGCCTCGTCTTCCTCTTCGCCTTCCCCTTCCACTTCCCCTTCCTTATATTCATCCTCATCATCATCATACCCCTCCTCTTCTTCCTCTTCGTCTTCATCTTCGCTGCCCTCGACCTCCTCAGCCTGTGACCCCGGGGCCGCAAAGGATTTCATATGATTGCCAAATATATTAGGGCGGGATGGGGTGTGTATCCGCCTCTTTCGAGTCGAAGTGCCACTTCCGGAGCTAACAGAGCCCGCGTCCCTCTTTCGAGGTATACCACTTCCTACCATAGATGTAACAGTTCGGTTACCGATAGTGATTGTAGCAACTTCAGCTGGTATCCGCCTAGGTCGCATTCGATCGAATGCATTTTGGATAGCATTTGGCTTTTCTTCTGTGGAGTCCGTTGGAAGTGAGGACGTCGGTTGTTCATGTTCATGGGCAGGTGCAGTGCTTTGTGGAGTTTCATCTTCAACATCTGCTGGAACTTCTTCCTCTGCGGCATCTTGAGCCTGGCTTTCTTCGTCGATGGGCGATGTATCTCGGTTGAAACTGCTTTGTATGCTGGCGGGCTGTTTAGGCAAACTTGATTCTGTCCTGGTACTTTGCCTGATAGGCGAGGAATCTAAGGCTCCTTTATCTGATACATTGGCAGGCGCGGGAGAAGATGGTACTTCTGCCTGGCTACCACGGCTACCTAGTCCGCCTAGAAAGCTCTTCATCCTCTGAGAACTAACTTGACTTGATTCCGCCTCATTTGTTGGGGTCTGATTCTCATCTTCAGCCATATCCGCATCGCTCTTAGAAGGCCGACTGGGTGTACGCTGCAACCCACCTAGGGGGGCAGACTGTTTGGTGACGGCGGGAGATTGCTTAAAACCAAGAACCTGCGACTGAGGAACCGTCTGATCAGAAGACTCGAATAATTGCGTAAGAGATGTCTTAAGGGACTCGATCATAGTCCCAGCATCATGCAGCAGAATGGTTCGCTTATCTGGGGAGACGTTGACGTCGTATGCATTCGTATCCATGTGAAAATCTGCAAAGACGAATGGCGACTGGGAGACATTGAATGACTTGTACACTTCATTAAACGCCTTAGCAATCTGTGGCAGCCCACAGGGTCGCGAATTCACAAAGAACATCTGTCGATCAGGCGTCTGACGTCCTTCCCCAAAAACTGGTCGAGAAATATGCCCATGAACCAAGAGTTTGTTTGACTCCCCTCCAGTATCTCCCAGGACTCCTCGTCTCCCAGCCGTTGAAGGCTCGAGCTCCAGTGTGAGCTCCAGCGGTATGAGAGCAAGTAGGGTCTTTGCGCCGTATACATTCGCAATGTTTTCCTTAGTGGTTTGGTTGCCATTCGTCGAAAACACCACCACGTTCCGGGTTTTTCCAACTGTGTTCTTCACGCTGAATCGCACACCGGTACTAACGCACGCATACGCGTGGAGCAGGTTGAGCACCTTTCCGTATTCACGCTTGATGTTCTTCTCGAGCTCCCGACGCCGGACAGGAAGTCGTTTGAACAATCCTCCGACTGAAGCCGTCGTCCCTTTCTGGCCCGCGACAATCTGTGTCTTTTTCAACTTCCCTGACACTTCGAATTCGAGTCGATTAGCTTTCGGAGCTTGATTGGCCTGAGCGGTGACGATTTGGAACTCTGATAGAGCGCATAGTGACGACAGCGCTTCGCCGCGAAAACCGAAGGTGTGTAGGCTGGAGAGGTCATCGTAGGAGGAGAGCTTGGATGTGTAGTGCTTAAGTGCTACTTTAATCAGTAAAAGGGACGCATGTAAACAATCAGAGGTTCCTACCGATGTTCTCATAATTTTCTGGTGAGATTCCGCTACCGTTGTCTTGCACCTCGATCAGGTCCAGCCCGTTATTCTTAAATCGGACCTCTAGAGCAAAAATCATCAGAATTTCTGTCCCACGAGCAGTTATAGCAGCTAAATGGTCCTAGATAAGCTTACCAACCGACGTAGTTCCGGCATCGAGACTGTTCTCAACCAGTTCCTTCACAACCGAGCAAAGGTCGACAATAACTTGACCGGATTGGATTTGATGAACCTGGAAGACGACCAGTAATTAGTAAACTGTGGGTTTTTCTATCGCAGCCGATGAAGGGAATGCGAACCGTACCGAACGGGCCTCGATGGCCTTGATGGTCGCCATACTCATCCCATGATGGTTGAAGAGTTTGGGTGGTGACGCGGATTGCGGCGCGTTCGTCGGCCACTTTACGCGTGCCGCTCGGATGTTCAACCATGGGCTTTCTACAGATTTACGGTGTTCTATAGCGCAATTTCAATATTTAGAATATAGCATAAAAACAGTTGGGAATATATATTTAGCAGTACAGGATCTGTCACAAATTGCAGCATGGTACGATAGTACTGCACAAACGAATGACGGCCATGAGATAGAGTACATCATCGCTACTAACCAACGCCCAACTCCACGTCAAAAAAATGATAGAATAAAATATAATGAAACCCAATCTCCTTAATAGCTGTCAAACCGACCGGGCATGATGACGGGGGCAATCAAAGTCCACATGTAAATGGCATAGCAGACCCAGGCGCTGATGATCTTCACCCAACTGGCCCAGTAAGTCCTACCCACAGGAGCAAAGTCATCTGCATTTGAAGCTTCAGGGTCCAAGTTGGCGGTCAGCAAAGTAGCAACCCAGGTCGTAGCCAGGAAGAATATAATGTGGAAAAGCGAGTAGTTGTACTGGGTTGATCCCTTTTCATCGTCCTTGGTATCGTAGTCGTCTGATTCATCGTCGCTGTCATCATCCAGTGCACTAGCGGGCAAGCTTCCGCTTGCAACGGCGGAACGAAGAGCCTCGGCACGCATCTCCCGGCGGCTGGTTGGCTGCTGGGTCACAAGACCATGTTCATTGTCATCCATCCCCAACTGCGAGTAGTTGTGCCCACCCTGGGATCCCAGAGCAAAGCCCTGAGTGGCAGCACGAGTTGTTGTGTATGCAATGGTAGCCATCGTGACAATCGCACCCAGAACGATACTGGCGGTTCTGGTACCCCGAGCACGAAGCAGAGGGTTGCACTGATGGTCATCTGGCTCCATAGAGACGGCCGACATGGTAAGGTACGTGCAATAAACTGTGACCATGGCTGCTTGCGCCAAGCCAGCTCTGGGGTTGGACTCTTGAACGACCGGTTGAACGGATATAATGGAAATAATCAAGAACACAACGAGATTAATCTGCTCAAGTTAGACACGAGGGATCATTTGACCAGATCGAGAGAACTCACAGTGATAGCTGCCTGGTTCATGGCGCATCCGCTCTTTGCGAAGAAGACGTACATCAACACGGTCATAACGAGGGATGCAATGTACATCCCAAGGGTTGAGCCAATAAGCAACCCACGCCACAATCGAGAATCACTATCCTCAATCTTTTGAAGGCATACTTCGGCCCAGGTGTGCGCAAGGTCAACCAGAAGGATAAGGCCCAAGAGCAGGAAGAGCATAGCACAGAAGAAGGCAATGTAGTTGCCATAAACGAAAAAGAACGGCTCCGGAATCAAGAACGAAATTACCACAAAAGCGAGCCATAGCACAACCTTCGGGCCCCAGAAACCATTCTGGAGAGCTGCTCGGCTATCTTTGGATGTCTTAACGCCAAGAAGCAAGAGGGCAAGAATCAAATGGAAAAGACCGAGCCCGAAGTTGATACGATTGACAGCTACCCAACCATGGCATTCCTTCCCATCACATCGGATCGTCATATAGTCCATAGTCAGATGTTGAAGCTTATTGAGTGCCCATGGCGTGAGCATGATCCAGGAAGCGATCGAGTTGATCAAGAGAATAAAGGCGTAGGCGATTCTCGTAGCCATACTGTTTCCCAACCACCCAGTCAGCGACTTCGACCATAGTCAGGAGATAGAAAAAGTGGCTTCACTCACCTGTTTTGGAACTTTCCACAAGCACTACACACTGCCGAACAAGTTGCAGCACCGCAGCACGAGGTCCCGATGGTAATGAGCTGATCAACATCAGCGCTGCCTACCCACGGCAGAGGGATCTTCAGTTAGAGAGCAACGTACTGTACCAACACTCGGGACTGCCATAAGCGGCAGAGACAGGAGAGCGCCCATGACTGATAGGTTCTGTGACAATAACCAATTGATAGATTTCCCCGGATGTCGCGATAAAAGAAGCACTATTTAGTAGTCTGGGGCGAAGAAGATGAAAGCGACCGCTAACAAGTGGAGGCCGTCTTCGTCACCGGAGCCACCTTATGTAATCGGCGCTTATCAGCGATAGGAAACTCCTGAGGCCGATGACGAGTCGGGCTCTTTTCCCCGTCTGAGTGTTTTTCCCTGTCTCCTTTCGTTCGCTCGTTTGTGCTTGTTTCATCTCTTTGACGGAGGATATTGGATTTTTCTGTCATTCGTTTTATCGTCTCTCATCTGGAATTGTTGGTCTGGATGGCATTTGTATACCTCCATCCCACTGCTCCTCCACCCGCATCTCCATCCATCTCGGTAGTTTGACACTTGGCCGGTCCTTATCTGGGGAAGATTGATTGATATTGCGAGCAAGATAACGCCCAGCGACTTACTTCTCCGCCACTCTTCTCGCATTTTTATGTTGAAACAACCAATATCGCAAGCAATCGGGGCAACAGCGCCTTAGTCGCAATGACGGGGTCGTCGACTCATACAACAAGACGGGTTGTATCCGCTATCGCAGCAACTCTCGTGGCTCTCGCCTGCGGAACCAACGTACGCTCTCTTCGTGGATAAGGGGTTGATTGGAAATAGCGGAACGAATTGCTAATATCTGAGCAGTATGCATACTCAGCATGGGCGCCCCAATTCGGGCAACGGATGAAGCTATCGTCCACCGAAACCAATCTCATAGTGAGCCACTCTGTTGTTCTTCAATAGGGATAGGAATTCAATATTCACCACTTCTAGGGTGCTGCTGGAAATCTGGGGATGTACGCCTCTGGTATTCCTCTGGGATTATTGACCGATACTCGAGGTCCACGCATTGCAACCCTGCTGGGTGCCATCACCCTTGGGACAGGATATTATCCAATCTATCGGGGTTTGTTCCCACCATACTATGACATTTAAAAAAAAAAAAAAACGGGGCTAATATGCCTTGCGAATAGCCTATGAGAATGGACAAGGGTCGATGGCAGTGATCTTTCTTTGCTTTTTTACTTTTCTTACTGGCTTTGGAAGTTGCTCTGCTTTTGGAGGGTCTATCAAGACAGGTGCGTCCTCAATTGATTCATCATACGCAAAAAGCTCAATGAACTAAACAACTCGGAATTCAGCGGCTTCAAACTTTCCTGAACACCGTGGAACGGCAACTGCGTTTCCCCTGGCTGCCTTTGGATTGAGCGCCTTTTTCTGGTCCTCAGTATCTACCGCAATTTTCAAGGATGATACTGGCCGATTCTTGTTGCTGCTGGCAGTTGGCACGTTCGTCTTAAATATCGTTTCGATTCCGTTCCTTCGGATCCTGCCTCCCAATGACTCTTACATCCCACTATCACACCCCCGCCCAACAGCTGTCGAGTCCAGGCGACTATACAAAACCAGATCCAACGAGTCCCGATTGCATCCAGGCGATTCTGGTGAAGCAGGTACGCAAAGTTCTTTTGAATCACAACCCTCGGCACATGTCAGGTCACATTCACCCTTGTCGAATCCCCATTCACCTACTCACAACCCCGATCTCGATGAAAACTCATCTTTGGTATCCAAAGCCACCTCAAGAGCTTCCCAGGAATCTTTCGATGGAGAAGAGGAGGATCCTCTATCTGACCTTGACTTCGACTCACCTCAACCAGACGTTAGAGGCCTCGCGATGCTGCCTCGCGTAGAATTCTGGCAGCTTTTCTTGACAATGGCGCTTCTTTCTGGAATTGGACTGATGACAATCAAGTTTGTCTTTCCCTCCAAACTCTTGCTTGTATCTGTGCTAACCTGGTCTGTAGCAACATTGGAAACAGCGTAAGCATCCTCCTGCACTCTGGAGTTTTCAAAATCTAATCATTAGTAGGCCGAAGCGCTTTGGAGACACTACGACGATAGCGCTACCGCCAAGTTCATCCAGCAACGACAGGTTATGCATGTATCCATCCTGTCATGCGGTAACTTCATTGGCCGTCTCTCTAGTGGTATGTCATTTTTCAGGGTGTTGAAGGCTTGCAACATACTAACGATTTCCCTCACCATAGGTATTGGGTCCGACTTGTTGGTAAAGAAGCTAAACATGTCGCGCTTCTGGTGCCTCTTCGTTTCCGCGGCTGTATTCACAGTGACTCAAATCGCAGGAGCTGCGATCTCAAACCCCAACCAGCTGGTCATTGTATCTGGATTCACCGGAGTGGCCTATGGCTTCCTCTTTGGCGTGTTCCCGTCATTGGTCGCCCATACATTCGGTATCGGCGGTCTTTCTCAAAACTGGGGTGTTATGACGCTTGCTCCTGTTCTGAGCGGTAATGTCTTTAACCTCATCTACGGCCATATCTTTGACGGGCACTCCGTGGTCGGTCCCAATGGTGACCGGGATTGTCCAGATGGACTGGGCTGTTATCAAGCCGCATACTACACCACATTTTTATCGGGTCTTCTCGGTGTGTCGGTATGCTTGTGGAGTATTGTGCGCGAGAAGCGCAACCCTATCTTGCACCAGAAGGTCGAACATGACCGTCTTGCTTAAGGCCATCGCTATCTAGCGAAAAATGTATACAACTATTTGCTTTCATCTGACTTGCCTTATTCAAAGTCAATGATGACATCTGTTGTATTTCCTTTTCTTTTTGGAAGTTATAGAAGGACTACAGGACTGAAACCTACGAGTAGAACACAACCCCTAGAAGGGTGTGTTCCTGTCTCTCTTTTACGTGCCATTCCCCCAATCTTTGGCATTTATCTCCTTTTATTTGAATCTTACTTTTCGGCCCGGTTGTCGATCAACCTTTTATTTTGTTTTGACCTTTCTCGTCTCCTGGTTGAGTTTTTGGGATAATTTTTGGTTAACTATAGAAGAAAAGTAATTGAGTTTTCGTATTGAAACTCCCAGGTAGCAATGTAGCACACTTAATATAATCAAATCTACTACATTAACCGGGTGTTCCCAATTCACAATCACATAGAAGTGTCTTCATTGATGATTGTAAGACCAAATGGCTCGAGAATAAGCGTATATTGATAGTGTTATAACAAGAAATGAATTAAAATCCGGTAGATCATCTACCTAGAAATGACACGGAAGAAAGTAAGAGGAGAGAGGATAGAAAATTCAAGATGAGAAACAAGATTATAAGAAAGAGTAGGGCTGCTTTTTTGTTTCGAAAGAAAAGAAAATTCCCATATCATAATACCCCCCAAAACCCGAGATGGGCATATGGAGGGTTCAAAGAGAAGAAAGTGAGAAACACCCAAAAGGAAGATTGATTAAATAAAGTAGATAGAAGAATTACCGTGCATGTCGTCCCATCTGCATTGCATTGCGTTCCCCCTTTCTCGTCGTGTCCCTGGCCTAGTATGTATAACCACCAAACTCTATAGTCGTAAATTTGTTAGGAAAAAAAAAAGTGGAATAAAGAAGAATCCCCCCCCCCCGATCCCCCATGCTTGGGGTTTTTGTTTTGTTTTGTAGGCAATGAAGAAGTAGAAGAAGCAGAATCCATTTCAATGGTAGTAATAAGCACAAAGTATAATCACTTTCACACCGGTTTTTTAGAATTTTTGATTTCGCTCCGCAATTTGCTGTCTCATAAAAGATGATATCCTCTGTCATCCCCATGTCGGAATTATAAGCATAGCTCGATAGCCCGTGCACAAACAAGTCGAGAAGCAAAAAAGGAAGAATGTATGGTGAAATCAAAGAGAGGTATTAGATAATTCGATTTATATCCAGCCAATGACAAGGGTCGTAAAGGGTATCAAAAAGATCAGGGAAGATCAGAGAATCCAGCAACGCGGGCGTATAGGGTCTTTTTTTAAGGGGTTTTTTAAACATGGCCACGAGTGGCTACATGATTCCAAGACAGTCGTTTAAGTTCGGAGCGCCATGATTAGACGCTCTTGGGTGATTTGGTAGGAGAACCCGAAGGTTGTTCTACCACGTCGGATAGTCTTATCTTTTTTGCCAGAGGTTCGCCAGGACTGTCGTTGTTCGTCAGGTTGCCAGTGCTGTTACGCTCAGAAAGATGCTGCTCAAGTTCACTTAAACGCCGCTTGAGATCTTCTTCACGCCGTTGAGATTCTTCTAAAGACCGTCGAAGGCGCACCTCCGAGTCTCGGGCAATCATCTCTGACCGACGCGCGGTCGCATCGCTTTGCTCAAGTTCTGCCACACGACCCCTGAAGAGCTCGTTGATCAAGTCAAGCTCACTGACACGAGTCTTCAGCGAAGTGTTGGCTGCGAGGAGTGCCTCGAATGTCTGTGGTGCCTCGATGTGACGGTCCATAGCAGATGATGTCGAGGTAGGAGAAGGTTGACGCAACTGGCGAGATGGAAGGCCATTGGGAGGGTTAAAACTGTGGTCCGCTAAAGTAACGCTGTCAAACATGTGCTGTGGTGCAATGTTGGAGTTGTGTTGCTGCATGGGAGGAATGCCAGGGGTTTCCGTCCGAGATACAGGAGAGTTGGATCTATCCGAATGGCCCGGAGAGCCCTTCCGCGACGCGCGACGATATCCATGGGTGCCGAGAGGAGGAGTGCCTGCTTCTGATCTCGAGCCAGAGAGGCCGTTGGCATCGAGGCCACTACCGGACTATAATGCGATAGGAGTTAGTACTGATAAGGGTCGAAGAAAAAGTTTTTGGTTGAGCACTGACTTTACGCTTAGGGCCCTGACCGGCGGTCTTAACCCTATTACGGCTCTTGATAACATCCGTTTTCAAGCTGATCGGACGAGGTCGGCCGTGCAGTTTCAGGAATAGACCACAGGCGTTGCAGAGCACAGAGCCGAGTTCGTCCCTGCGCCATAGGGGAGTGGTAGAAGTGCCACAATTCTGACACACGGGCTGTAATTGAGGTCGTTTCTGGTCAGTCAAAGTCGTCGCCATATTGTTTAAGAATGTAAGGGCAGAAGGAAGAAGATGAGGGAGAGAGAGGAGGATGAGAAAGGTGCTGATAGTGGATGAGAGGGTGGATGTGCGATGGTTGATAAGATCGGGAGAGATTTGATGGGCTGGCGCGATAAGGACCTGCACCCGTTGGTGGTGCGCGGGTAGAGCGGCGCCAAGACCCGCCGACGGCGCTGATAACAGAAAAAAGCATGGAGAAGGCCCGGACAGCACGACACCGCGAGAGAGATAAGACCGTCCAGAAAGCGATAAGAGACCATGAAGTGTGAGAGAAGACAATGAACTTACCGGATTGTTTCCTTGCCCACCGGTGGTGGCTGCTGGTGATGATGTCGCGTAGGTCATGCTGCCCATGCTCAGATTCGCATTGCTGCTCGAGTTTCTGAACACGTAAGACTCGGTCAGCCCAAATTTCCTCGTAGATCTGGTCGCTGGGGTTTCCAGAAATAGGCAATATGGGTGCGATTTTATCTACTGAACGACAATCGGACAAAGAATGACTGTAACCACTACCCCTAATACTGTTCCTCCATGGTTCCACGATACCCAATCTTGTAAAAGTATTTTTGATGGCACATACCGCAGATTTGAAGTTGGAGCAGATGCGACTGACGCCAGAGCAGACAGTCCGGGCAGCGATGGTCCAAGAGAGCTAGCCCCAGGGAAACCGCTGCTGTTGTCGCTCGACCGGTGATTAGATTTCTCGATACCGCCCAGTTCAGGAAGAGAATTCGAATACTGAGATGACGATAGGGCACCTGTATTTGCACCCGTCACTGACTGACGGGACGCAGATTGGTTATCAATCGAAGAGTTACGGTTATAGCTCGAGAGGTCGTGTGATTGAGAAGCGGACGGCGATGGGGGACGGAGGGCTGGGTCGATGGGCGACGCCCGGTATAGAAGGGAAGAAGCCACTGTGGAAGTCGTGGTGAGCAACGTCTAGAAATCCGGCCGGGTATCGACCGAATTGGAGGCTGAAATGAAGCAAGGTAAACGGTCGTGTGAACGGCGTGATCCGATTGATAAAGATCCGTCACGGAGGCCAATTGGCAACCACGAAGGATAACAAAACAAGGTATTAAGAAACCCTCAGCTATCGTCAGGTGGAAGAAAGCGTAGTCCTTGAATCAGATTTTTTTTTTTTTTTTTTTGGGCCCCCCAGATCAATATTATGTTGATTGCAGGAAAGGGGATAAGGAGCAAATGATCTCCACGAGGCTGTCAAAGAGTGAGACGAGAAGAGATCAAACCACTGGTTAAAGAACGACAGTCAACAGGAGCGACCACGAGAATCATTAAAGAATAAATTGAAAAGTAAGAACGGATTCGGAAGATGAGGTTGAGAAAATCAAGTTTCTTGCGAAAATCGTCGTACACGAGAACGGGGAGACGGAGAGGAGAGAGAGAGGAGACTGAGAGTCTGTGGCTGATAGTAAATTATTATCGCTATCGCGTCGGAGACTATCGATTGATCGAACGGACGGAGTAACAATAATGTCTCGGCGTTTTGATTGTTGGACAAATGATTTGGCGACTAATTACTGGTATTTTGATATCGATTATTAGCTATTGCCATTATGTAGTTTTATTGTTTTATTTGGCGGGCTGGAATTTGGGGTCTCTTTGGAGGATCCCCTGCCTCTCCGTTCTATGCATGTATGTCCTCTGCAGTCAACTATGCAACACGCAGGGAATGGCTCCCACGACGGTTATTTCATACCCCTGCGTCTTTGCCCCTTTATTTGACATGTTTCGGGTGGGATGGCTTTCTGGATACTGTGGGTGGCTATCATGTTGTTCATTCTTTGCAGTGAGTTTGGATAGGGCAGGGATTGCTCGTGGGGATGTGGTATTTGTTCCTGGGCTCTTATCGTTGATGCTTCATGCACAAATAGTCAATATACAGGAGTAAAGATGAGTTAGGAATATTATAAAGAATATTTCTGTCGTTTCTCAGCATTCATATAAATGGGGAAAGGCATATTCAATTGACATGTGGTTATCGAGGAATGCCTGCGAATGCCGCTATACAGATCGCACTGGTCGACTCGATAATCAACCCCAGACTCTCGATTTGATATTAACAGTAATTGTTTATTTGACTCTGAATCTCTGGTGGATTAAGCATTTAAGCAAATAGATTCAATTGAGTTGGTTGCAATTGTTTCTATTAGTAGAAACAGTCTGGATCAACACATGGCACTTGACCCAGATAGAGCCAGAATCATCGGAATAACCAGACAAACTGCGTCATTGTCATCAGAATTGAATTGAACAGCTGTCAAATATCCTCATCTCCATCTTTTCTTCCACCAGACATGAATATCATCCCTTTTATCCTCCATCTTCATATTCAGGGGCGTATTTTAAGCTCTTCGCCTGGTGGATTCCCAGTGGAGCCACACGGCTTACCTTGTGGCGGTGCCGTATCGTAATTTCGCTTGTCTGTGGCTGCTTCTGCGCTGGTCTGGCCCGTTGGCCGTACCGTACCGTAAGGGTCCACGGCATCCCCTTCTGGATGACGGCGAGTTAACACTGAACAACTTCTTCGCCATTCGCACCACCCCGTTCTCTCTTACATGCTGGTCACTTGTTTTTACCTTCTTGTCCGCGTAATGTCTTGAGGTTTTCCTTTCTTCGTCCTTCGTTTACATTGACTTATTATCATCTGCGGTTGTTTCGACTGCCCTTTTTCTTCTTTTTCTGCTTTAGATGATCCCGTATTTGCCTCCGACCCTTGGAACAATTCATCATGCCTAAACACCGCCCTGCTACCTCTGGGTATGCCCGTCTCGCCCAGGAGGAGGATTTCTCGGATGACGCCGATGAGGATGACCTTCAGGGCACCGTTTCTCAATCCGCCCCTCGGTATGCTCCTATCTCCCACCGCGCCGGCCACATGCAGGCCTCCTCTCCTCCCGAACATCGACGGAGACACAGCGGTCACTACTATCGACGAGGGCGCAGAAATTCGGGCGTGGATATCAAGGCCATCAATGCGCGATTGGAAAAATGGGCAGAGGAGATCGCCTCCAAGTTCAAGATCCACCGAGTCAAGGGCAAGACCTATGAAGAGGAGAAGCTCGAGATCTACCACTCCGTCTTTCAGGCTCCTGAAGGCATTAGACCGATCACAGCGGAGATGCTTGAGTCGGATGAGATTGAAGGTGCTCAGCGGAGGGCTCGGGCTGAATTCGAGGAAGTCGTGGAGAGCGTCCGCCTCGCAATCGAGCTGGGAGTGCATCCCCGAATGATTTCCCAGGGAAGCTCGGGAAGTTACTTTGCGCGCAACAGTGAAGGTAAAGTTGTGGGTGTCTTCAAGCCCAAGGATGAGGAACCCTATGCATCCCGCAATCCCAAATGGACCAAGTGGATTCACAGAAATCTATTCCCATGCTTCTTCGGCCGCGCCTGTCTGATTCCCAACCTTTCCTACGTTTCCGAAGCGGCGGCATATGTTCTCGACTCGCGACTACGCACAAACCTCGTCCCCTACACGGATATCGTCTGGCTGTCCTCCAAGTCTTTCTTTTACGATTTCTGGGATCGAAGGAAGGCATGGATGGGCAAGAAACCGTTTCCTCACAAGGCCGGTAGTTTTCAGGTTTTCCTGAAAGGATTCAAGGATGCAAATCTATTCCTGCGTGACCACCCATGGCCCGATCAGACCAACACTGGATTCCGAGCTGAGGACGCCCCGAAACGTAAGAAGCGGCCATGGAATGAGGCCTGTCGCCCTTCGGGAGTTCATTCGGATGATGAGGATGACGAGGAAGAATACGATAATGGCCAAGCTCGTACTCCATCTCCACGGGAGGAGAGTAATGAACGCCGATTCTACTGGACCGAAGGTCTCAAGCAGGCGTTCAGAGAAGAGCTGGAGAAATTGGTGATTTTGGACTACATCATGCGGAATACCGATCGAGGTCTGGACAACTGGATGATCAAGATCGACTGGCAAACAGAAGAAGTGGCCATTGTTGCGGACCCTCCCAAACAAGATGGTTTCCAGCAGGATGACGACGAGCACATGCCCCCGCCTCAACCTGTCTCATTAACGCCTGACCAGGCCGCCTCTGGATCAGGCCCCTACAGACGACACGAAACAATGGTTGCTATCAGTCGCACTGGAACTCCGTTGAATGCACAAGAGCCACAAGCCACTGTCCAACTTGGCGCCATCGACAACAGTTTGTCATGGCCGTGGAAGCACCCTGACGCTGTAAGTTCATATGCCTAGCAAAGGACATATTTACATCGCACTAACTAACTCGATCCAGTGGCGAAGCTTCCCCTTTGGTTGGTTGTTCCTCCCGGTGTCTCTCATTGGGCAGCCATTTTCTCAGCGAACAAGAGAGCATTTCTTACCGCTTCTCACTTCAACGGCATGGTGGAGTGGCACGCAAATGGCTCTCCGACGGATATTCTCGCAGGACGATGATTTCAAGGAGAGTATGTTTGCGAGACAGATTGCGGTCATGAAGGGTCAAGCATGGAATGTTGTCGAGACTTTGAAGCATGCAGACCACGGTCCTCTGGAGCTGACCCGCAGGACCAGAGTATGTGTCTGGGATGACTTGGTAGATGTCCCGGTCGCCATTCCTCTTCGCGCGCCATCTACAGACATGCAAAAACGCAGAGCTCGGAATTACGACTTGGATGACGAAGAGATGGACATTGGCGCTTCTGCGTCTTTACAAACCGAATCCGATCACGATCTCTTGGGTCTTGGTTCTCCCTCGGGTGAGCTTCCTAATCCCAACCGGTTCGAGCTTTCACGGGGCCGCAACTCACGTGAACAAGGACAAGCAAGGACGCAGAACGGCAGTCCCGCGACTTTGGGAAATCATGAGTTCGGCCGGGAGGATGATATAGGCTATGGGAGAGATTTAGACAGGAGCTGGGCTACACTCCCTCCCCGGCCAACCGGTAAGCACACTGGTCACCGTCGCAAGCAAAGCTCTATATCCAGTGTGCTTGGACCAAACTTCGTTTTTGGCGGCGACGACCTGGAGGGTGATCTGGGATACGCCGCTGCAGAGGGCATGGAAGGCAACCAACGCAAAGTCATCGTCGAGCGACTCGAGGCCGTCAAGAGTAAAAACCCAGTCTTCACATGGTGTTAGACTGGTTCAGCCACCCCCTCCGGTCTCGACTTGGTTTTATTTCACTCTTATTTCTTTTTCCATTTACTTTTTTTTAGCGCTTGTTACGGCAGATCTGGCATGAGGAGTCCTTTTGCCGCAGGGTGCGGCATTGAATGGGGAAAATTTTACCTCTGTGTTGTATATAGACATTCCGTGCCGACTTCTTTTTCTAATTTCTTGGGTCAAGGAAGGCGCGCATAGAGCGAGCAGACCATGTAGCATATGACGAGAACTAATTCAACGATACCTCTTATTTTATTATCATTTATTTATCTGTTCTACTTCGTAATTGCTTTTATCTATAATCGCCAAGTGAGGGTAGAGTGAGGCGGCCGTGAGCCCATGCTTTGATAAGCGTCTTCTTATCGGCCTTCTTGGCGGCTAATTATCGAGTTCAACACCAGACGCTGAGATCATGATTGATCTCCCTTACCTCATGGAAGCTTGACATCCCTGACGGTCTTTTCCGGGATACAGCGATAATGAGTGGATCGTAGAGCCTCTCATTGAACTACGATTCCTCATCTCACCCATCTCTCCCCCCACACACCCCTTTCGCCTTCCGATCGCCGCCTCCTCTTCCTGCGGCCTAGTATATGGTATCACCGATCCTCGATAGCGTCACATGAACAATCCCTGTTTTTCCCCTTCAACACCTCTGGATACCCCTCGAACGATTTATTATTTATTCTCACATCCGACTCCGACTTGACCAACATCGTGCAACTACACCACATTCTTCCTGGCGTGTCTCGGTTACGTGCATAAGTGATGGCGTCCCACGCCGCGATGCTCTTGGACCCGCGGGCATACAGGAAACGCCTTCAGGCCAATGGTAACGACCCAGAACCCCCCTCTGCCCCCTCGGAGGAATCATGCAGCGACACGACTAGTCCTGGATGTCTAGATAATCCCTACACTTTTTTCCCATCTGCTCGTTCCCCCTCTCCTCCTGATGACCCCATCGACTCGGATACAGCTGGTTCTCTTTACTCACTCGTCCATGGCACAGGCCAGCAGGATCCCGGAAAATCGCCGCGAACCGCCCCCTCAGCGACTGTCGCCTCAGCGCCCACTACTCCCGTAGCGCATCACTATATCAGCCCGCAACATCATCAGCCTTCCTCGAACCCGAGTCCAACGGCAATATGGAACCTTGAGTCGCGCGGGCCAAGAACCCCCAGCAGCGGGGCTAGCTCCTCATCGCAGCACTTAGTCCCGCTGGAACCCGCGGTGGATGTGCAGTTTAGCAGCACGCTGTCAGATGATGGTAGCGATGGAAAACGAAGCTTTGAGCAGCTCGGTGCTGACCTCGGTCATGGCAGCCTGATCGAAGATATGTATGGAGTGGAGAGGCGCACGGTTCCGGTATACAAAAAAGCCAAGGGCCCTGATGAGAAGCCCATTCCCGTCAAAAGGGGATCTTTTTCAGTGAATGGGAATACCGAGTTGGGTGGGTATATGAAGGAGGACCGAGGGACATCGGGATACTCGTCGCCTGCTACATCTAATGTTGTTGACTTGACCTCAGGTACGTGAATATCACCTTCTCTTCATCATTCATGTGCTAAATTGAGGTTTTATCTTTAGATGCCCCGAGCCGTTCTAATAATGACGATGACGATCTCCAAGTCACAGGGTCTGTCAACCTCAGCATCCAGAGAGTCTGTTATGGGAAGCTAGAAAATGCGATGGTCCAGGCTTTTTTGGTGCCCAAACCCGCCTCACAAAATATATTCGGGGATTCTCTCGACTGGCCCTCCATGAAGTTAGGGGTCCACCGTCAGCCAAGCCAAGATACCAAAATCGAAATCTCAGACCCCCATGGGAAGAAATTTGGAGCTGTGGATGGGAGAACGGCCTCAGTCATAGTCCCACTGCTGGATTCGCCTGCGCTGAGAGTAGAAACCACTGCTCGTTTAGATGTGAGAAGACGGTCGCCAGGTGAATTGCCGTGGATGCCCTGTTCCAGTGCCTACCGCGTATCTATCAATCTGTACGGCCTGAGAAAGGATGCTGAATTGGTCGGGAAGCATCTTGGCCAGCATAATGTCTGGCTTGGGACCCCTAACTCTGTGGAACAAGGAGTGCCGGTGTTTAATCCCCACGCCGAGAGGCGACGTGCTCAGGCATCAATGTTGCCCGCAATAGCTGCTCGTGGCCGACCGGGGGGTAACTATGAAGTTCGAACGGCAGAGGAGGTCAACGACGCAGTCATGAAAATGTTTGATCAACTCCAAAGTGCGGATAGTATTCCCGAAATGGAACCTCCATCTCTTTTGTTAACGCCGCTTCTTCGGCATCAAAAACAAGCACTCTGGTTCATGACTGAGAAAGAGAAGCCTCGCAAATTTGGTGTCAAGGAGGAAGACAACAACTCCCTGTGGCGAATGGACTACCAGCCCAATGGAGCCAAACGGTTTCGTGAAATAATCAGTGGCACCGTCCTTGATTATGAACCACCCCAGAGTTTGGGGGGTCTTTTGGCCGATATGATGGGTCTAGGAAAAACTTTGAGCATTCTTTCCCTCGTCGCATCCTCTCTTGGAGAATCCCGCGAGTGGGAAAAGGTGATACCACCACCAGAACTTGTTCGTAGCTTCCCGGGTATCCGCAATACCAGAACGACGTTACTTGTGGCTCCTCTCAGTACCATCAATAACTGGGTTGGACAAATTAAGGAGCATCTCAAGGAGGACGCTATTTCTTACTACGTTTTCCATGGCTCGTCGAGAACGACCAATGTCGACGAGCTGTCAAAGTATGACCTGGTCATCACAACGTACAGCATCATCCTCAGCGAGCTGTCTGGAAGGGGTTCGAAGCGAGGCGTAAGTCCTCTGACCAAGATGAACATGTTCCGCATTGTTCTAGACGAGGCGCATACAATCCGCGAACAAAGTGCGGCGCAAACCCAATCTATATTCAAGCTCAACTCGCACCGTCGTTGGTCGGTGACCGGAACACCTATCCAAAATCGTTTGGAGGACTTATTCTCGGTCACCAAGTTCCTGGGACTTCACCCATACGACGACAAAAGCAGGTTTTCAACACATATTCTGAGCCGGTTCAAGATCGGTGATGCCACGGTTCTCGCGAGCTTGCGTGTGCTTGTCGACTCGTTTACCCTACGTCGAGTCAAAGATAAGATTAATATTCCCTCTCGTCACGATAAGATAATTACGTTGAATTTCTCTGAAAAGGAACGGCAGCTGCATGAATACTTCAGGAAGGAATCCAATGTAATGATGAATGTCATTGCCGGAGAGAGTAATGCAAAGATGAAGGGCCGGATGTATCACCATGTTCTGAAAGCAATGATGATATTACGACAAGTCAGTGCCCACGGAAAGGAGCTTCTCGATGGCGAGGATCGAGAGAGAATCAAAGGAATGAGCGTGCAGGATGCCATTGACCTCGAGGAGGGCGGAGGAGAAGTTGCCGGGGTCACAGATAAGAAGGCTTTCGAGATGTTTACATTGATGCAAGAATCCTCGGCCGATTCATGCGCAACGTGTGGGAAACGACTGGAGGAGTCCAGCACAGACTCAGGGGCTGTTGACCGCAAAGCAGCTATAGCGATTGTGCTTCCCTGCTTTGATGTTATTTGCCCCGAGTGCTTTTCTGGGTGGAATCAGGCATTTGATTCGCAAGCCGGGAAATCCTCGCATGATACCAAATGTCAGGTTTGTGAGGGATGGATACCTGCTTCGTATTCGTCAATCACCCCAGCAGGGCTTCAAGAATACGTGGTGGACCAAGCGAAAGCAAAGCAGGTTCGCAAGCAGGCTAAGACGCTTGGAGAATATGAAGGACCACACACAAAAACCAAGGCTCTGGTGGCTCAGCTGATGGAGTCCGAAAAGAAGAGCAAAGAGCTGAAGGAAGAGCCCCCAATTAAAAGCGTGGTGTTTTCTGGCTGGACTTCGCACCTTGACTTGATCGAGATCGCCTTCCGAGACAATGGAATCACAGGATTTACCCGTCTCGATGGAACAATGACATTGGCTGCTCGCAATAAAGCCCTCGAAGAGTTCCACAGCAACAATAAAATCACCGTTCTGTTGGCTACCATTGGAGCCGGTGGTGTCGGCCTGAACCTCACTTCCGCTTCGAATGTATATATCATGGAACCGCAGTACAATCCAGCGGCCGTTGCACAAGCAGTGGATCGTGTGCACCGACTTGGGCAAACGCGAGAGGTTACGACCGTGCAATTCATCATGAAGGGCAGTATCGAGGAGAAGATCTTCGAATTGGCCAAGAAGAAGCAGCAGTTGGCCGATTTGAGTATGAACCGCGGCAAGATCGACAAGAAAGAAGTTCAGGAGCAGCGGATGAAAGAATATAGAACTTTGTTTAAATGATTTGGGCGTTCTGTTATTTTTGTTTTCTTTTGCGCTTGGGAAGTTATTTTCTCATTTTCATGATCATAGGCAATCTGGGATGGCAATAATTGATACCCACGGCGATTTGGTTCTGCTTTTTTGTTATTCTTTTTTCTGGGCATTCTCTTGCAAGACTTTCTGTCTTTGTCGCTTGACATTTCCATGTTTTTTCTATTCCCTTCGTTTGGTTTCGTTTCATTTCAGGCGCTTCACTTCTTGACAAAAGGTCTGCATTGCAAGCTTGCGTAAAGCAGGATGATATACGACATACACAAGAATTCTGGGACTCAGGTCCAGTGGTTTCGGTTTTGAGACTTTTATATTTATTTGTTTTTAGATAAAAGGTTCAGGATGAGATCCAGACTCAAAACAGCGATTGGGAAATAGAGCATCCAAGTTTTTCTATTGATATCTTGTCCGTATTGTAATGCAGTCAACACGTCATAGGCTAATATAAGTTATCATTAAGATTCAAATTCAAGAAAGACATAAAAATCAACCCATCAAGTGTCCTCGATTCCCATAGATCCCAGTCTCAACTGCCCCCAACGCCGTCTCCAATCTCCGTCTCAGCTTCTTCAACTCTTTAGCCTTCTGCTCCCTCTCCTCTTCGACACCTCTCAACTCCTTCTCTAACTCCCGTATCTTACTTTCTTGCTCCGCCTCAGACGACCCAATCCCAGGCAGAACCGAGATCAAGTACTCAATCTGCTGTTCCTTGATGATCAAATCCCGCGCCAACTCCCTCTGTCGACTAGCGAACGTGCGCGGCGAGTCCGGCGCAGGCGGTAGATTCGGATCAACGACTTCTCCTCCCTGGCCGGTCTCTGACGCACCACGGGCAAGTTGCGCAGATTGCGGCGGTGGTGGTGAGGCTTGGGCTGCGGCGGGGACACCGGCCGGTGCTGGCGGCGCGGACGAGTTCTTGGGGATTTTGGCGAGAGCTGGGGCGGCGTCGGGGACTTGGGGGGGTGGAATGGTGGGCGAGTTATCGTGATATGTGCTGAGGTAGCCTAGGGTGGCGTAGAATTGGGTTGCGAGCTGTGATGTGGGTTAATTTGGTTGTTGGCTTTGTTGGAGATGGAAGAAGAGGTAGGTACCTGGTCGAGGCATGTTTGGAGTTGGGTGAGGATGTCGGCCATGATGGCGCTTGGGTAGATATTTTAGAGATGCGATAGTTTGATTTGAAGATAGAGTAGGGAATTTGCGAGTTGTTTCTAATTTGTTAATTATGATGTCGTTGGAGTGAGGGCAGATGAAATGCGGAGAACTGGACGATGAGCCTATCTTGAAGCTTTCTACCGCCTTCAGTTTTCCAGCATTTCCTCCATCTCCAATTCACCACGCCATGGATGGTACATAATAACAAAAGTCATGAAAGCGCATCGATTAATTTGCAAATATTCCCCCCCAAAAGTTTTCTACCGCTACTTTTCCCAATGTCCCATCCACCTCAGTCTAAACCCCTTCACTCGACGACTCTTCAAGCTCCCATCTCCGCCCTCACCACCATCTACCAACCACAATGACCTCCCCTCTTTCCTTTCCTACTCGGAGCGAATCGCCCTGCCTCAAACAAGCACGACCTACGTAGGCACACACTACGAGTACACCGTCCAACAAACCCTACGCCAATTTGCCTTCACCCTCGACCGCATCGGGGGCCGCGACGACGCCGGCATCGACCTCGTGGGCACCTGGCACCTACCGCAGCGCGAACATCCCCTCCGCGTCTTCGTACAATGCAAATCCCTCAAGACAAAACTGGGTCCGAATCTCGTCCGCGAGTTGGAGGGTACATTTCGGCAGTCCCCGGTTGGGTGGCGCACGGGTGAGAAGGCGGGTGTATTGGTTAGCACGCGCGAGGCGACCAAGGGTGTGCGCGATGCGATGGCTAGGAGTACGTACCCGCTTGTTTGGATGATGGTTGAGCGGGATGGGACTGTTCAGCAAGCGCTTTGGAATGCGAGAGTTGAGGAGTTGGGATTAGGGGCGTTGGGGGTGGAGACACGGTACGGTGGTCATGTCGATGATGATGGTGATGCTTCGGCAGGGAAGAGGATTGCTCTCACCTGGGACGGTGAGGATATACCTCATATGGATGAGGTTGAGAAGCAGATGGCTCAGGCCGAGGCCAAGTGGATGGCCTTGTGGGATGAAGGATTACCAAATTCCGAGAGTGGCGAGCTTGAGTTGCTAGAGATTGTAGAGACGCTGTTCCCTGATGAAAAGCCTTTACTAGCTACGGGGCCGACAGGAGTATGCAGCACTCTGTCTGACGTGGACAGGGCTAGGGTGCTGCAAGTCTTCCGCGACAGACTACATGCACGTCAGCCTGAAGGGAGATCGGAATCAAATGAAACATGATAAATGCCGTAGTTTGATATTTCCGGGCATTCCTACAGTAGGTCACATGGACTCCATCTGGTTGTTGTTGCAAAATCATTGCGATGCGTAAAAATCAAGGGTATAACAGAACATATAACACCAAACCGAAAGAATCAAGAACAAATCGTAGCATCATCAAACGCCCCACGGTCACCAATAATATCAAACGCCCTGGGCCATTTACATGGTGTTTCTGCAAAGGTTATTAACCCTGCATCGTTGACCAGAAGTAATTGGCATAGAAGAATCGCGAAAATTTGGAGTCGACATTGACGACATGCACGTCTCCCTTTCGACTGTTGCGAATCACGGCTTTGTTGAAATTTCCGGCATCATCGGCCTCGATATCGACTCCCAGTGATCGGTATATCTTCAAACGAAGACTATTGAAATTGAAATTAGCAAAGGCACTGTATAATCCCAAAACACAATACTCACATCGTCGCATCGTCCAACTCTCTTTCGCGTCTGGTGGGTTCATCTCCCTCCAGCCCCTGAGCTTCTAGATCTGCCAGTCGCTCTTTCAGCATCTCCAGCTCTCCCTCTAGGCGTTCACTTTCGACCTCGAGGTCGGAAGCCGCCTTTGCTACCCGGAACTTTCTGGTGTCCAACTCGACGATTTGCTCCGCGTGTTTACCCGAGTCATGCGCGGCTACGGCCTCCTCATACTGTGAATTTTGCGAGTGGAGATTCCGGGACAGCTTGCGCAAGGCAGATTCAGCATCGCTAATGCGCAGTTCACGGGATTGCTGTAAGGTGGAAAGAGAGTCGTTGATGCGGGTGATGGCTTGTTTATCGGGTTGGATGTTGAAGTTTCCGACGGTATGGTGGATGAGCTATCGAATGGTCAGTTTTGAGTAGTCAAGGTTGTGACGTGCAACATACAGTCGCGGGATCCTCGTCGAGCAACATCTTGGGTAGACAGCGATGCTTTGGTGGGTTCAGTCGAAATGTGGTTGTTGGAGCATCGTCGAAGTCATAATTCTGGATGTTGATGATTTCCCGTTGGGGGAGCAACAGCCACAGCGCCACACGCTATCAGCTGCACCGCCACATGTTGGTCCCGGAAAGTGACGAAACAGGCAGATCTGGAGTAATTCTCCTCATCGTCGTCAACTTGCAGGCTGTTTGTTTCTTTTCAAACTCGCTATCATCGATATCGCATATATCAGAGATAATCTCATATCTTTGTTTATACTCCATAATCAGTAAAGAATACTTTCGCAGCGATGGGATCTAACTTGCCGTGTATGAGCCCGCCTCCATCTCATTCTGTTATTGATGATTGCTGACTTTGATCTGCTATCTAGACGCTGCTGATGCAGAGAGGTCAGTCAGACGATGAATCTATTTTACTTGCCTCCTGTTTATCTGGGTCGGCTTGAGCTAACATTCCATCGTTTAGCCCGTTGAAGCCCGCGGAGCTCCAGGTCTTGCGGTCACAGTACGAAAAAGAGGGAGACTATGTTGGAATTCAGACAAAATTCAACTACGCATGGGTATGCTCGATATCTAAAAGCTCCGTATTTTTGAGGCTAGTGTCAACGTTGGCTGACTGGTTGATTCCGCATCTGACAGGGCCTCATTAAATCCAACGCTCGTTCAGACCAGCAGGAAGGTGTCCGCCTTCTCTCAGAAATCTTCCGTGCTTCTCCCGAACGACGACGCGAATGCTTGTACTATCTGGCACTTGGAAACTATAAGCTAGGAAACTACGGCGAAGCCCGGCGATACAACGACCTCCTCCTCGAAAAGGAGCCTGCCAACTTGCAAGCAGCCAGCCTGGGAACACTGATTGATGACAAGGTCTCCAAGGAGGGTCTGCTGGGTATTGCGATTGTGGGTGGTTTGGCTCTTGCCGCCGGTGTTGTGGGAGGCATCGTCTTCAAGGGAGCCAAGAGACGATAGAGGCTTTCGCCTTTCCCGATAGTCTTTGACGTGGGCTGTATATATAATTTCTCTGGGTTCATTTTCTTGCGATTTGGTCGGCAGCATTTGACGGCGTTTCATGTTCTCTTTGTCTAATCCATATGGCCTAAAGTCGCCTCACTACCGTCGAATGATACCTTCCAACGACGCTATTGCTGCCTCGTGTTTTTTATTCCCTCACTGTCACTATTTTGATGAGCCATGTCACCTTTGATAGTTGTCGATAATCTGCAGAATAATAAAGTTTAGTCTTGAGGCTAAAGTGGATGATTTGTCCCGAGGCGAGGCAGATACACGTCAGAGCCACTTCTGCATCGACTCAATCAGTTTGTATCGGAATTAAGAAACCAGGGCAAGGCAAAGAGACTCCAAATCTCAAACGCCCATCGTATAAACCGTTTGCTATTGTGGATGCGCCACCTCGCTGTCAAACGAATAAATCCCGGTTAACGTCATCGGGAATCCAAACAGAAAACCGACCGTTGCGTTCTCTTCGCTTCTTTCTCTCTTCCTTCAGCCTTCTCTGGCCTACTTTCTATTTTCCCCTTCACAAATTTATTTGTTGTCATTTACTAGCTCTGCAAGCGATGGATTGATTCGCTTTCTGGCACTATCGATTCCCAGATGCCACATCATTACCCCGAAACAATGACTCTAGATGCTTGTCACTATCTAAGTGCCTCAGGGAACAAGACTCACGAATCTCCGACCACAAGGCTCTTCTGACCTGTTTGCATCTTTTTGATCGACACGCCTCACTTTTCTTTCCTGTGATCTACTTATTTCTTTCTTTCTTTGCCTCTACATTCGACACATCCTCTGCCCCTCCACATCGTTATCATGGCTGATAGTGGGGATCGAATGTTCTGTCATGCCTGTGAGGGCGTTTGGCTTCGCAACGAAAGTGGACTGACCTGCCCTCACTGTCAATCAGATTTTACGGAGATTGTATGTTTATTCATTATATTGTCCTATATTCCCTTCCCTAACCCTTTTTTCCAGGTCGAAATCCCCCCAGAAAGTCCAGAAGAGACCTCCCATGCCGGCCTCTCAACCCCGCCACACCGAGAAAGATCGCGCTCCCCGATTAACCCCTGGGCAAATCACGATCCCTGGGCAAACGAGGACGATTATTTGGATGATCCCCATGGATTCGGCTCCGGTCTCGGAAATGGATATTCACACCGTACATACCGGTCCCCGGATGGCCGGTTTACATTCACCAGCACCATGTTTGGTGGCCAAAGCTTTCCCCCCAGACGACCACCTGGGTTCGAAAGAGAAATGCCAGGGGATCCTTTGATGCCGATGATGCGCAGTCTGGAAACGATATTCAACGGCCTGGCAGAAACACGGCGTAATCAGGATCGAACAGAAACACCTCGGCAGGATAGCACTGAGCCTGATGAGCGTCCCAGAGATATGCCGCCCGAATTTGGTGCAACGGGGAGGCTGTTTCCTCGAGATACAAATGGTCCGCAGAATATGGCGCCACCTTTAAGCACTTTAGGAGAGTAAGTTTGGTTCTTCGCCCTTTTCCCCTGGATTTGCGTGCTAATTCGTATATCAGTATCCTTGATCTCCTCCGACCAGACCCTGCGATGAATGCACCTGGAGGGGGAGGTGCCCCTCGCGTCATGACTGGCCCGAATCCGATGGCGATGTTGTCAACACTATTGAATCTCACTCGACACGGAGATGCGGTATATTCGCAGGAAGAATTAGACCGGGTAGTATCTCAGCTGGTTGATCAGACCTCGAGTGGCACCGCCCCCCCGCCAGCCTCCCAGAATGCTATTCGGTCGCTGCCGAAGAAAAAGATTGACCAAGAGATGTTGGGTACTGAAGGCAAAGCGGAATGTTCAATTTGTATGGACCCTGTGGATTTGGGCACCGAGGTCACAGAGCTGCCTTGCAAACACTGGTTTCACTTTGGCTGCATTGAAATGTGGTTGCATCAGCATAACACATGTCCTCAATGCCGCCGCAGCATCAACACTCCAGCTCAGTGAGTCGAGCCTTAGTCTTCCGGGCCTATCTCAGGTGTCTTGTTCAGGGTTGTTAATAGATTGTATTACAGACAGGAAGGAAGCAGTGAGAATCCCGTGGTTATTACTGATAGTCCTGAGCCTCCTTCTCCCAATCGCCGTTCATCCGGCACAGTACCTGAGCACAGTGGCCGCTCACCATTGTTCGGACAACGCCAGTACACTAACGAGTCCGAATCCAATGAATCAGATCGCAGACGATCTAACCGGAGTGAAAGTAACGGTGGGGGCTTGACCGGGTGGGTGAGAAGCCGGTTTGGAGGAGGAGTTTAAGATACGCATATGCCTTTTGGCTTATAGCTCAGGAGGTTTGTTTGAGTTTCACTGGGTTGGATATCCACGGGTGAAATGGACATGGACTAATTTTCAACGACTTGCACCTGGAATATAGATGGAGGGCTGTACCACGCGGTTTTGCGTTGATATCTTGGTTATTCCGCGTTGATGGTGTAATTAATGGAATGATGACTTACGACTTGATTATTTTTATACCGACTCGCATCAACTGCAATTTCATTCATTCAAGCAAAATGATACCCAGATGAATAATGACTTCAATATCTTTATAATAAATTCTTCAGTAATCGTTTACCCCACCTTTGGCTGATCAAAGGGCGCAATCTCCCCCACTTCCACGGACAAATGTCCGCCATCTTGGCTATATCCACTTGGATAGAGACGACTCGACTCCTCCAGACAATTAAAGATGTTCCCATCAACTCTCTTCTATCAATCAATTGATCTGTCAACATTCGACTCACCATGAAAACAATCTACAATAATGGCGTTATTATCTGCGGGGCCGCGACGCAGGATGTATCGATTCCCCGCACCTGCATGATCGTCGACAACGACCGCATCGTACATGTGGGCAACGATACAGATGAAGCTGTCGTCCAAACGGGACAGGAAGATGGAATTGAAGTTGTAGATTTGGAAGGACGACGAGTTGTCCCGGGGTTCATCGATGGGTGAGAAAACATATATTTTCACCATGGCATACTCTGTACAGTATACGCTAACAAGCTATCCAGCCACATGCACCTGCTTCTCTTCGGAGCGTCTCTATCCAAAATCAGTCTGGACAAGTGCAAAAGCCTCGAAGATATCCGCGCCACCATCAAAACAGCTGCCAAAGAGCGACCTCACGCGGAACGGCTATTCTGCCGTGGCTGGATGCATTCCATGACAGACGGCAAAGCGCTGGCTAGTATGATTGACGATCTAGACTCGCGGCCTATCTTTATCGATTCCAAGGATCTGCATTCGGCGTGGTGTAACACGCCTGCTCTGAACGAGCTCAACGTCCACGATATGCCCAACCCAGAGGGAGGCGAGATCCACCGTGACGAGAGTACGGGAGCTCCCACCGGTCTTCTTAGTGAAGCAGCCGCCGTGCTTGTCGTCTGGCCTCACGTAGCCAAAGTCGCGTCGAGGGAGGAGAAGCTGTCGTTTATCCGAGAAGCCGTCAGAGCATACAACGCAGCCGGGTACACTGGGATGGTGGAGATGGCGACGGACGAAAACACCTGGCAAGCGATGGCGGCGCTGCGCGAAGATGAAGCGAAGCAAGGACGCAAAGTACCCATTCGCCTCGCGGCACACTGGATCATCTCGCCCTCCAAGACGAATGAGGAGAACCTAGCGCAGGTGGACCGGGCCATCGAACTCCATCAACAATTCAATTTGTCGACGTCTCCGGATTTCCGTATCACGGGCATCAAACTGATCTGCGATGGTGTTATTGATGCGTGCACGGCGGCGCTTACAGAGCCGTATTCTTCGAACGGGACGAACTGCGATGCGCTCTGGCCGGCGGATATGCTTCAGAAAGTAGTGCAAAAGGCCGATGCGGCTGGTCTGCAGTGTGCGCTCCATGCCATTGGCGACGCGACTGTTCGTCTAGCCATCGATACCCTCGAAACGGTTGGGACAGCAGGGAAGCGTCACCGTATCGAGCATTTGGAGTTGACGGCACCCGAGGATGCTAAACGATTGGGCGATCTGGGCATCACGGCGTCTATCCAGCCTGTCCACGCTGATCCGGCTATCCTGCGTGCCTGGCCTAAGCTGTTGGGTCCAGACAGAGTCAAGCGAGCATTTGCCTATCAGGATTTCCTAGATCACAAGGCGCCCCTTGCTATCGGGACGGATTCACCCACAGCACCGCATCTGCCTCTACGGAATCTGTACACGGCCACGACGAGACGGTCTGCACGGGAGCCTGGGCTGACGACTACCGTGAACGATCACTTTGCGCTATCGCTGCTGGATGCAGTATCGGCTGCGACGGCGGGATCAGCGTACTCGTGCTTTGCGGATAAGATTGCAGGCAGCTTGGAAGTAGGGAAGAAGGCTGATTTTGTCGTGTTGGATATGGAATGGGAAGCGGAGAAGTTGTTGGATGCGTCGGTTTATGCGACGTATTTTGAGGGGGAGAGGGTGTATAAAAGGGATGCATAAGATCATTGTATGAATGGTCTATATAGGTTCGATGTCTGTAGATAGTATATAGAAGGGTGGAGTCACGTCATCTTCTTTTCAGCCCATTCAAGTTTCTATATAGCCTTCTTCATCATTCGTAACGGCTTCCTCTGGGGATAGTCTAGCATACTCCAGTTCCTAGAGTTTAGTCTTCGTTGCTGTTCCAAAATATTCCGAGTGAACCCGACCACACAATTCCTTCAGAACACTAGCCAGCCATTCGAAATCGCTCTTCTCAAGATAGACCTGCGCACTTAGACGAGTCCACAGATGACCTCCATGCGAGAACATAGGCACAAACGTCCCATACGTCTCCATCAACTCGCCCTCAATCCACTTGCCCAGTCTCTCAATATCAGATTGCGCGAGTCGATCAATTGCAATCGGCAATCTAACAGTCGTCATTCCACACCGACGAATCTGGCTCGTCTCACCCGGTTTAAGACCCGGCTCTTGCATCACCTCCGTCCCCAGAGCACCAGCCACAATATCTGCGGCCTCGTTGGCCAACTTCTCAAGGTAAGCGTAGATACGGTCGTCACCGCCGCAGACCTCGGACCGGAATTTCAGCGCCGCAGGAACACACATGTACGGGGTGTCATCACTAGTTGCGACGAAGTCGAAAAGCATCTCAAAGGCAGATTTTGTGCTACCGTTCCCTTGCATGACCGAGGGACGGGTGGCACGCGACGTGGGAGCTGGGATAAACCCCCAGGAGGTGGGAAGTGTAGTGCGGATAAGATGTTGATGACGAAGGGGGACATAAAGAACAGCACAGCCACGGGGGACATAGAGCCATCTATACATGGATTAGTATCCTGCAGTGAATTAGAACAGGGGATTCATTACTTGTGACAATTACTTGTAAAGAAATCCGGGTTTAGCATGCCCAAATCCAAAGGGATATGTCCAATGCCATGGGCACCATCAATCAAACTCAACACGCCCTCCTCGCGACACGCCTCTGTCAATCGTTCAAACGGGAACCGCACACCGGGGTTACTGACGATAGTGTCAAAGACAGAAACACGGACATTTAACCCCTCCGCTTTAGTCTTCCGGACAACCTCCCGGAACCGATTCACCAGATCATCATGGCTAATCGGTAAGGCATACTCGACCTTTCTTGCCTTCAGGCCGGGCGTCTTCTCCATCAAGAAGACAAGACTCTTCTCAACGGCCCCGTAGACAGTATCAAAGTAGATGATAACATCACCCTCGGCGAAATCAAGGTTGTGCAGGATGGTATTGACGCCCGTCGTGGCGTTCTTGACGAGCACGCACTCGTTGACGGAGACGTTGAGGAATGCAGCCAAAGCCTGGCGGGCGGCGTCGATGCCCTTGGGCTGTGTTCTGCGGATGAAGATATCCGAATGAGCTTCGGCTTCAGCTTGAAATTGACGAAGGGCTGTTTGCACTTGGACGGGATATGTGCCAAATGAGCCTGATAGGAATTGTTAATATCTTGGTTGATGGATGCGGACGGGGAGACAGACCGTGGTTGAGGTGTTTCAATTTGGGGTCAATCAAGAAATGCTTCAGCATGGGGGCCCCAAAGGGCGTGGGTGTATTTGGAGACATGGTATTAGATAAGTATGATTATTATAGGTATATTTATATCCAACTAAAGATGAAAAGCGATGGGAGTGATGATCTTGGTGGAGGGGAGGAAAGACGGTGGAGTGAAGAAAACGGCGGTTTTATCTCTCAATCTCAGCACGGCATGCGTCGTAATTGAGTCATGATCAGCCACGCTGACTCCACTGGAATCCACGATACTATTAATCGATCAGATTCAGTCTAACAGTTGTGGATCTGGACTCTGAACGGTTTCTAGTGAACAGATCTACATTGTCTAGGCAGGTCTCGTCCCTCAAAGGGCGCGCCCTCGTATTCAACGGCCGGATGCAACCCTACATACGCTAAATGAAAAATACTCCATCTACAGTGAAATCAAAGATGTCAAGTTCGAAACATCAATATGTTGACTAGCACTGGGTTGACTGTGCTTAAAACCAACTCGAGTACATCAAAATATCAAGCCAAAGCCATCATTCGTGCAGATGAGCTGATCATGGTACAAAATGGCGTTATCCACAGATTCTTAGATGCAACATAGACAAGTCTCGCATACACACTCCTTCCAATTCACATTTACCTCTTGCCCTTCTTGCGGGGAGCAACAACCTTGAAGGCTGCGTTGCTGTTGTCTTCCTCACGGTGGACACTAGCCGATCCCTTCTTGGCCACCTCGCTCCATCCTCCAGCGTTGTTCTGGTCAGCGAAGGCGCTGGCAGCCACAGATTCGACGATGCCCTTGTCCGCAAGCTTACGGCGACGAATGAACTCGTCGGCAAATCGTCGGCCATCCAGGGTCTGGGAGTTGGCATACACCGAGTCAGAAATGATCTCCGCCTCTGCAGGCAACAGCACAAGTTGCTGAACAAAGTCGTCCACTGTACCAAAAGTTAGCAAAATCCTAGTAGATATAGACACCAAACAAACTTACCATTGATGTTGCTGTTCAAGCCCTTGCCCAGTGACAGATTGGCCCACTTGGTGAACTCCTCCATAGCTCGGTTCGAGTTGGATGCGGTAGTGCTGGCCACAGTGACAGTACGGGGAGCGGCGGTGGTGACGGTAGAGGTGGTAGTGGTGGGGGTGGACGCAGCGACAGTTCGTGGTTTGGCTGCGACAGCCGCCGCCGTCGGGGCCGCTGGAGCATTTCCGCTGGTCGAACGTGGTCCAAGAGGGGCAGCAGGGGGTGCCTTGGCCTTACCACCAGCACCAACCGTGGTCCACGCACCCGAAGCGGCCGGGGCAGCTGATGCAGGTGCAGGTCCAGATGCAGGTGCAGTCACCTTACTGGCAAGGTCGGCATATCGCTTTCCAGTAGACGCAGGCGGGCTAGGAGCGGCGTTCTGTGCTGCGGCGGCGGCGGCGGCTGCCAGACGCTGCTTGCGAGTCTCCTCCTCTTTCTGGATCTGGGCAAGAGTCTTCTTGGCTGCGCCACCGTTAGAGGCGGCTTGGCCCTTGTTGTTCCACACTGATCCAGATGTTGGTGTCGAAGGAGATCCACTGCTGGCCCAGTTGGCGGTCGAAGGAAGACCCGGAGCCTGAGCCTGAGCCTGGCTGAGACGTTCTTGTTCCGCAAGCAGCTGAGCACGACGAGCGGCAGCGGCCACTTCCTCCCTTTGCGCGGCATTCCGAGCCTCGGCTTCTTGGATCTCCTTAAGCGAGGGTCCCTTGGGAACTTCGTTGGCTTCCTTAGCCCATGGAGCAATGGAGGTGGCGGGGGGTTCAACGGGGGTCTGAGTCTGAGATCTGGAGTTGGCAGCCAGAGACTCGGCCACGTTCTGGCGGTTGCGCTGCGCGGCGGGAGCGGGAAGCGGCGAGGCGGAAGGTGGGGGGGGGAAGGGCTGGGGCATTCCGCTGTCAACCTTGGCCCACACAGATTCCTTAGGAGCTTGGCTCTGCTGCTGCTGCTGCTCCAGTTGGTTTTGCTGCATCTGATCCTCCTGCTGCTGTTGCGCAGCTTTCTGCACCTGTTGGGACAGAGTGAGAACCGGTTCGTTTCCAATGGCAGGGGATTCTTCAACCTCAAGGGTGGTTGTCTCCGTCTCCTCCTGGATTTCCTCGGTCTCGTCCTCCTGCGATGGACCCGTAGCGGGATGGGTAGGGAGGCCTTCGGCGGTCCGCATGCCGAACTCGCCTTCTTGAGCCCTCAAGGCGTGGAACTGACGAAGGCGTTCTTCGCGAGCCTGTTGATCAAACAAGCTATCTCCCTGTCCAGCGTCGAACTGGTCTTGTTCCTGTTGTAGCTGGGCCCGATCTTGGAGCATGCTTGCGACCTGCTGCTGGTGGAACAAGCTATCAGGCTGGCGAGAAAAGGACGTGGGGCTTCCGAATCCAAACGGGTCCGGACGGCTCACGTTCAGGCGATCAAGAAGGGCAGGAAGCTGATCCTGGCTATTTACCAGGTCCGTTCCAAGCATCTGAGGGCCAACATTGGGCAAAGCACCCTGTCTCAAAGGACCAGCGGCATCAAAAAGGCCCTGGGTTTGCTGCTGTCCTTGCATGGGAGCCTGGATGGGCGATGGCTGGAAACCAACAGGGGAAGTAATGCTACCGAAGCTGGGCTGGCTGTGAAGACTGTGCGCGCTCGAGTGATGCTGGAGCTGCTGGGGGTGCACTCCATGAGGAACGCCCTGCAACTGCATCTGCTTCATCAGCGCCTGCTGCTGAGCGAGATGCTCCTTCTGTCTGGCCATCAGATATTGCTCCTCTTGCTTTCTGCGCTCCAAGGCATTCTGCTGTTCGGCTGTCAATGTAGTGCCGAAGCTCGGGAAGCTACCGGGGAAAGGAGGTTGAGCAGAGCCGGTCGTAGGTCCTCCTGTCCAAGGGCTAGGGTTGGGATCGGGCCCGTGGGGGATTCCAATCTGGGGCACCAAGAAGGGCTCACGCGAGTTTCCAATGCGTCGCACGAGCTGCGCCAATGGCTCAAATTCAGGGTCTTCGAGCTTCTTGATCTGCAGATCAGGGCTGAAAAAGCCTGCCTTGAACCAGTCGTGCATCTCCAAGCCAGTCCATGGACCCTGGATGTTGCCCTGCGGGTCACGGTAGATCCAGCGCATGCGATCCGGCATCACCATGGTCCGCTGCTGGGCGGGGGGCACGGAGCCAGGGTTGCTGATAGTCTGGCCGGGAGTTTGGCTGGGCTGCGGCACTTCGTGGCCCAAAGTAGCGGGAATCGAGCCCACAGCGGAGACTGGGGTCTGCGAGGCCGAGGTCGCCGTCGGCTTCTCTGCTTGCTGGGGATCTTCTTGACCTATCAGCGGGCTTCCGATTTCAATGCCGTCGAGACCAGAGAAGACACCTCCTCGAGAAAGCAGTTGTTGCTCTTTCCCGGGAGAACGAGCCTTTCCGGGGCTTTCTCCTATCACACTCGGATTGAAAATCTCACCTGTTTGCCTAGTTCCATCATCCATGACAGGGTCTTGTCTTGCCAGGTCACTTTGCATTTGCTCCTGCATGGCAGCAGGGAAGAGAGACCCAAGCTTGCTGGACCGGCCAAGGCTACCCGTTCCCGAAATACCAGCATGAGGACTGAAAAGGCCACTGCCTCCCAGTGTAGACAAGCTGGGGGACTGGAGATCAGCCGCCGAGCCAAAGATCGGGTCGCCAAAGCCGGTCGCAAAGGCAGATCTCTCGCGCGTAGGCGTGCCAACAGCAGCGTTCGAAGCAGGCCATCCACCAGCACCTCCAAGAGAAGGAAGACCCCCAAGGGCACCAAGGTTAGAAAAGCTTCGGTTTCCAGCGACACTAGATGTTTGGCTGCGGTCGATCGAAGGTAAGTCCATTCCAGACCCAACCCTTCTCATGGAACCAAAAGGTCCAGCAGGGTCACGAAGTCCAGTAAGACCAGGATGGTGGCTGTTCTGAATGTCAGATCCATCAGTCTCGACATCATCTGCGTCAACTCTTTCCCCGTGCGGGCTTTGGTAGGGGTTAGTATTAGTAGGGCTAGTCGGCTCGTGGCCCTGGAGTAGGCTGGGAGTCGGGTTGCGCGAATTCTCATGGCTCTGCATCAATTCACGAAATCCAGGGATGCTAGACGTCATTCCAAATGCGGAGAACCCAAGCTGGTCAACACTGTGAGGTGGCGCTTCGACATCCTGGGAACCGCCAAGAGCAGCACTTCCGCTACGAGCCTCCTCCGCAAAGGGATTCGTTTCACTGCGGCCAGCACGCGTCTTGACGGCCTCACCCCAGGGTGAGTGTGAGCGCTTGTCACCCTCATTCTCAGTAAGCCTTTCCAAATTGCTGAGGGAAGCCTTTTCCTTGATAGAACCTGCAATATCCTCCGAACTATCCTTTGAAAACAAGCCCTTCAGACGACTTTCCCCACGCAAACTGCCAAATCCAGGTTTCTTTTCCGTGGTCGGGGTCGGGGCGTTATTCGATCCCATTGAAAAGGCCCCAAAAGCCCCCATCGGAGAGAAGTTGGCGTTGTGCGAGGCCGTTGCCCCCCAGGGAGAGCTCGGTCCGCTCACACCAGCACTCAAAGGATTGGTGGAACTGCGCTTCAGGGATCCAAAGGGAGAAGCAGATTCACCAGGGCCCTCCTTATCCTTATCATCAAGCTTGGTTGCCGTATCTCGGAAATCGGTCTTGCGGCGCAGAAGAGACGGGGGTGGGGTAGAGGTGTTCGTCTCGTCACGGAAAAAGCGAGAACCACTGGTCGTAGGAGACATGGAATTACCAACGGAATCGCCAGTCTCCCGACGCCTGGGTCCTGGCCGCGCAGCGTTGGGAGAGGAGGTGTTGTAGTTGTTCATATGGCCCTGGGAAACTGAAGCTTTGCGTGCTGCTGCAGTACCAACACCAGTGGTATTATCCTTGTTGGCATTGGTCGGTGGGGGCTTCAGAGGGGAATTGACCGAGACGGTGAAAAACTAAGCCACTCAGCACGGCTCTTTCCAAGTCAATATCAAACAGGCACACGAACCTCTTTCTCATCATCGTCCATATCCATTAATCCCAAGGGCTCGACCTGTCCTCCATGGTCCCAGCACACCTCAGGCCCTGAGGGAGTATCCTTATGGTCATCCCGCTTCCCCCAGACTCCCCCATTCACAGAGGGCGCCTCCATATGAGGATCCCAGTCGGCAACAAAGTATTCTGCAACGTTCTTACTCAAAGCTCCCGTCTCCCGCTGAACTTTGTAAAAACTGAGAAGCTGGTCCTTGGAATAACGAGTTTCACCGGATGCTCCGTTACGTAGCGCACTAGAATTCGAGGTCATATGTGGGGGGATATAAGCACCGACCGTAGGAGTCGAAGCGGATGTAGGTTGGCTGCTGTCTCGATTTTGAGAAGGGTTCGTAGCAACGGACGGGCGGCGGAAGGTCTGTGTTGCACCATTCATACGAGTTCGAGACCTGAAGGAATAGCAGGAAAAGAATAAGTAACAGAAGAAGGGTGTGCTCAGGACAAAAAAAATTGGGTGTGGGCAAGCTTGATGAAAGGGATGATGTGGCCAGCAGACAATGCCACCACAGCTGGCCTTTCCAAAAGAACAAAGAGAACAGGACTATCCATACCATTCTCCACCGGCGGTTCCATCACCTCTCCTACTGGAGGAATCGTGGATGTTGCCAGCAGCAGCTGAAGCAAAACTAGAAGGGAGTGGCGTAGGCATTATGGCGGTATCAAACTAGATGATACGGTCGGTCCAGCAAACGGGAAAAAGATTCAAAAAGAAATCGAATCGACGAAAGCTCGGCGCGAGATTCTTTTTTTGAGTGGCGGATTGGAAAAGTGAGAGGGGATTGCGAGCGTTGGGAGTTGGAAGACAACGACACCAGACACGAGGGAAGAAGGAAAGGAAGATTCCGCAGCGACAGAGACGAAGCGAAGTCGAAGTGGAGGTGGAATGGACGGACTTCTGGGGTTGGGTGTCTGCTGTAATTTTGCTGTGGAGGCGAGAAGGATTGAGGTCGGTCTGGTTGGAAGGAAACAAGAACGCTAGACGATCCAAGTCAAGTTCCAAAGGAAGCAGAAGAAGAAGAGAAGAAGAAGAAAAAGATCTCAAAGTTTCTTCGAAAAGTTCCTGGCATTCATCGAACTGAAGCGAAGAAAAAAAAAAAAAAAAAGAGGCTGCGGGCAGCGGACGTGGCAGTAACGGTATTACCGCGCACAATCGCTGTTTTCGGGGATGCCAGCCACCAGGTTGCACTGCAGAATACAATACGTGACAGTACACACAATGGATGAGATGATGGCATCAACACATTGGCAGCAAAATTGGATGCAGTTTGTCGACAGATCATGGACGATTGTTTTGCAGCGATTAGAATCTTCAATATTTAATTATCAACACATCGATTTGACAGATTCATTCTTTGCTATGGGGCAAACAACTTGCAAGCCTATTGCCACGTCTGTCCCGTGACTGGCGCTGATGCTGCAAACACCCTTTTCACTCTCGACGTGTCGATTTTTTTTTTTTTTCTTTTGCAGCTGCAGATGGACAAAATAAATATCATCAGAGTATTTTTAGAAGAGGGTTTTCTTTGAAATCTTCTCCTACAATGTCGATGTTTGATATTATGCCCGCAGTGGGGAACTCATCGCCTGTTGGGCTTCATATCCCTATCCCAACCTCTCATTGATACGATTCCAAATATTCTACATCCTGCTGCTTGCCGCGTCCTTACTGCGTGCTTGCAAGCATGTTTGCTATGTTGATTGACTTGTCTCACAGCGCTTTCTCTCATGAAACGACTGATCCACCTGGACTGGGCCATATGGAGATATCAAAAACGTCGTCAATCGCTCATTTCAGGTCTCTCACACATCACATATTTGACATTAGCTGAACTTCTAGCTACTTCCACATAACAGACCATCCAAAAGTCCGGATCTGCAAGATGAGACGAAACAGGAGCAGCGATATACCTTTTTCCTGGTACTGGGAAGGCAAGCCACTCCGAGCAGGTCGTGCTGTAGGAGAGAGAATCGAGAAGGTCCCAACATCTTCATCAAGTCTTCAGAGTAGCAGTCTCTCGCCTTCAAGCTGCTGTTCGCGTCCAGCATCCCTACCTCCGTCAGATAATTCAATGTCTAAATATGGAAATCCGGGCAGTCTTGATGGCTATATCGATTGCCCACGAAGCCACGAGGGTTTATCTCAAGATACGCATGAGCGATGCTACCGCCATGACGCATGCAAGCCACGTTCGGAAACAAAGCATTGTTCCTGCTCTGATGGCAGCAGCCACACTTATGCAGCGAGATCAGATTGCCAGCATCACATGCCAGAATCAAGAGGATCATACTCAACAACCCTTTGCGAGAGTCATATCCACCCACAGGACCTTCCTTGTCCATGTCCCTACATTCATGGATATCCTGTGCATGTGCAAGTCTACTCTTACCCCGTTTCTCCCAGGCCAAACCCCCCGTGCACTTGTTCGTCATCTGGAGCAAGTCAACCAGAACCCCCCTTGAAAATGAAGCCTCACTCCAACCGACGTTCGTCCTCGGTGCAAAATCCACGACTTGATGTGGACTACAACGACCGGGTAGCTGAATGGGCCAATATATACCCTTGCCATATTGGACAACGTCACCACCATGTCCCTTACCATACTCCCGGTGGTGAAAACCAGGGCACAGAATACGCCACTGCCGCCGAACATTCTCCCGACGATGGTCGGGAAACGGATGTTGAGAACAGATCCTATCATCGACGTCGTCCGGTTTGGAAGAACTGCTTCCATACAACTTACCATAGTCCAATCTACTGACAGTGGCTCAATGCCACTCATCAGGTGGTCATTAAAGTGACCATTACATTTATTTTTTATTTTTTACATAGATTTCTTACATAGTCCACGAAATAGAACACCTAGCAGTCAATATTACAAGAAAGCACCTAATATGCCAATCTTTCCTAAAACGGCACTCATGACGTCGAAGATATCCTTACATAATCAGGAGTGATGATAGCATTCAATCTTTGTTATTCATTTTTTCACTTTGAATTATTCATTGTAAATGAAAATATTGTAAATGGAATTATTTTACGGGTCTAAGTCTAGCTAAACAGCTTCTTAAGATTGCGAGTCATATATAGACAGTGTCTGCATGAAAAAATATACATTCCACACTACGGCCAGACACAATCAACAATTAATTGAAGAACACAATAATAAGCATACTGCATACAGGGGCAGATAAAGCCAAAATATCTTATTTCCTCGTCATTAATACCTTTGAATTGCATCATATGCCAATTGGTCATTGATCTTCCAGTCCTCCATGGACCGAGGTATATCGTTCGAGATTATTGACTAGTAGTGTCGAATGCATTAGTTCGACAGTTGTACTGCAACTCTTTTTTAAGCTTTTTAATTCTGCTATTGAATCTTGTGTTTTTCTCTTTCTCTTTGCAGCTGTTAATGATGCCCAATGTTTGCTGCCGTTCTGATCATTAATCCATAAAATCATCCCTCGGTTATCGATAACAGCAACGCATCCCCGCACGTTGCTCAACAATACTTCAACCTCACTTGCAGCCCAATTTTTTCTCCCTTTTCTCCTTTTCTTCGGCGATTACTTAGCACCAGAACAATTCACAATGTCCAAGGCTATTTTTCTCGGCACTATTGATGGCAAACCCGGTAAGCCCGGTCAGGTCTACTATCCTCTCTCCCTTCAAACCCTGCCTCGACCTACCCCGCAGGGACGAGAGCTGTTGGTAAAGATCACAGCAGCATCTCTCAACCACCGCGATGTTTTCCTCCGTCAGCATCTCTATCCCGGTGTGACCTTTGATGTGCCGATGGGTGCAGATGGCGTGGGTACCGTTATCGGTGCCGGTCCCGACGTGACGGCCCCCGAACGATGGCAGGGGAAGCGGGTTATTTTGAACCCAGGTACGGGTTGGAAGGACTCTCCTGATGGACCAGAAGATCCCAAGGGATACCGCATTATGGGTGGTACCAAAGTTTACAACCAGGGAACGTTGCAGGAATATCTGACAATTGAGGAGTCGGAGGTCGAGGAGGCTCCCGAGCATCTGTCTGATGCAGAGGCTGCTGCTCTGCCGTTAACTGGGTTGACTGGATGGAGAGCTCTAGTGACAAAGGCTGGGGAAAGGAACTCGGGCAAAGGCGCTGCCGTTTTGCTGACGGGTATTGGCGGCGGTGTTGCGTTGATCGCACTCCGTTTTGCGGTGGCCAGAGGTGCCGACGTTTACGTGACAAGCTCAAGTCAGGAGAAGATCCAGAAGGCAGTCGAGCTCGGCGCTAGGGGAGGTGTGAGCTACAAGGAAGAGGGATGGGAGAAGAAGCTGTTGGGACTGCTCCCAGCTGGCAAGTCATCGTTTGATGCCGTTATCGACGGTGCTGGTGGGGATTCGGTAGAAAAGGCAGTCAAGTTACTCAAGGTGAGCTTCTCAACTACGCCATCTTTGAATCATTGTTACTGACCATCTCCAGCCTGGTGGTGTTCTCTCCGTCTACGGGATGACCGTTTCCCCCAAGATGCCTTTCACAATGCAAGCCGTTCTCAAGAACATCGACGTTCGTGGTTCGACGATGGGCTCTCGCCAGGAATTCAAGGAGATGGTTGATTATGTCAAGGCAAAGAAGATTTACCCGGTGATTTCGCGTGTTGTGAAAAGCGAGCTGGATGATATTGCGAGTCTCGATACGCTTTTTGAGGATATGAAAGCGGGTAAGCAGTTTGGCAAGCTCGTGTTCGAGTTTGGAAAGGCTTCGGAGAGTAAGCTGTGATATATCGGGGGTCATATGGCAGGTTGCCTTTATGTAGACGGTTCAAATTCCCTAATGAAGAGACGAGATTAACATCCATGTCATTGAAATGTTGTTTTGCCTGGAAAATGGAAAGAGTTCTGGGTGTTCCTTCCTGTTACGACTCATGATACCTTCGACTTCCATTGCTGGCTAAGAATAACAACATCCAAGAACCAGTATAGCTCCCATTCTTTAACCCAGCACGACGTCTATTCGATACGACACAGACTTATTTCACTCATTGGATATTTGTTACCTTACGAGTTATCAGGATGTCATCCATGAGTGTCGACACGGTCGAGTTGTACGGCCCTGGGATGTCCTTCTATCTATCCAAGCCCAGGACACGAGCCTCTACTTCGAGTTCAGGGTCGGAGGTATCATCGGCAGCATCGGCAGCAGCATCGGCGGCAGCATCGACTTCGTCTTCGTCTTCATCACTCGAGGTGCTTTCCCTAGGTAAACTCGAAGAGAATCAGTTGTGCTAACCAACGTAGAAATATACCACCACTCTCAACGCACTCGCCAGCCTTAACCATATCCTGGAGGCCAAGATGGCCAAAATCCGATCGAGCACCGTTCGACTCAATCTCGACCTTTCCAAACTCCGTCGCCATATCAAGTCGTTTCATCACGAACTCCTTGTAACCTGGCAAGCGAACGTGCTCACGCGTCTGGTTGAGGTCATCTACCTGCGGCAGGGCTGGAAGTTGCCAGGGGGCTTCGACGTCGGAGAGCAGGGGGATCTGGATCGGGAGGGTCTGTCGAGGATATATTCGATCGCAGCGAAGAGGGTCGGGAGGGGGATTATGAAGGCACGATTTTGCCTTGGAGGGAGGTATTATCTGGCCCTGCAAAAGTATAGTGAGGTGAGCATAACTGTTGTGCAAACTCTGCAAGTGTCTCTGCTAACAAGACAGATTGTCGAGTTCCGAACTTCAGATCCTTTCGAGACCGAATGCACCTTTGCTCAGTGGCTTGTTTCGGAGAAGGAGATGAAACCTGATATGTATGAGTTCTGGGCAGGGCTCTTTCCTCTGTGTTACGGCAATACCGTGGAGGAGAGTTCTGGTTTTTGATATGACGGGGGTGTTTGCTACGATTATGTGTTAGGGCAGGGATGATAGATTCTTCCTTGTATTGCTTGCGAGTGAATATCAATATGATTTCATCTACTTTTTGTCCAAGTATTCTACCTACTGTACATTCTCCATCTACTCTATCCTGTGTACACCGATATTTCGACCAGAAACCTCAACCTCAGCTCAACACTCACCACTAGCCCTACTACCGACCTACTGTCTATACATAGATCTCAACCCTCACTAAGCAACAAACTAGATAGCCAACTATTCTTGGAAAACCACACTTAATCCACGGAACAGCCCATACCCAATCCGTCCAAAAGCCACCCGTTAAGCCAGCACCTCAGCCAGCCCAAAAAAACAACCCAAAAAGAAGCACCAAGAGGATTGCCCAAACAGGCAATTACAGAGATGGGGGGCCCGGGCCGACTTTCTCCATCTCTCACTGGCTGAGTTTCTGATTGGGCGACTGTCACGAGACCAGTGGGGCGGCTCTGCACATGGTCTGGTGAGGCTAAAGTTTGGGTTAGTCCGTTTTGGGTGTTAGGGTTACTTTTTATGAAGTTAGGGCGATGCAGGTTGGGCATTTAGTGGTTAGTGGGTTTTTTTTCTTTTTCTTTTTGGTCATGGATCATGATATATTTTTTGGTTTTGTGATGTCAGGTAACCAAATAAACCTTGTATTATATGCTAGTCGGATACTACCTTGATAGATACTGATATCTAGGTTATTATTATAATACATGCATAAGCCTTCAATGTGGCCCTCCTGATCCAGATAAAGCATAAGGCTGCATGATCTGTATACTGTGGCGGGTATATATATCGGATACGAATGTATATTAAGCTGTAGATGAATTGTTATTAAACATACGAGTAACTATATTATGATGTAATGCTATAACATTGCTAATTATTATATTTACTACTAATTAACTAAAATCAGGATATCAAGTAAACGGCAGATAATATGCCCTTACGCCGAGGAACGCGACCAGAAAGTAGACATCATCAACCGGGGCATCAATGCTGCACTGCCCACCTACCTAGGTAGTTAGGTATAGCTCCACAGAAGCCGAACTGCCGTCTGCCGCAGCTGAAGAGAGAATAAAGTAGAGCAACCTAAATAACCTAAGCAGTTAGGCAGAGTTGGTCAGTGGTGACCCTGACCCCCCCTATCTTCAACAGCGGCGAAGATCAACGAATAAACCGTTTAAACACAGTCCCACATCTCTTTTACTCAGCCTTCCGATCATCCTTAAACTACGGCAAGAGAGACAAAATGCATCATAGAGCGGGATAAATAGACAAAAAATCCGAAGTCACACCGTTGAACCGGCGAGAGCTTAAACCTGGTACTAACCTAACCTGACTGGGTAGACAATTACTGTATATTACGGTACGATTCGGATCCGGGCATTGGAGCGCACCGAGAAATCGCCAAAAATGAAAAAAACTGGAATGGCCGGAGAATTTCCTGTTCTGAGTTACCTTTTGCTAATTATATAATAATAATTATGATTATGTATAATTGATGATGGAATGTGGAATGTGTCGGGTATTTTTGGTTCGGCTTCTCCGAAGGTACACTGACTGACTGTAGTACTGACCGTAAGTAGATATACCGAATGGATATGGATATTTCTTCATAGCAGATCGACGTGGATACCAACACTACACTACATAACAAATCGAACATGCAATCCATAATTAGGCACGCGCAGTGGTCAGTGGCACAACATTTAATTAAACCCAGGACCTGTCAATATCTAAGAAATAGGTAATCAGGGTTAAAAAGCCGGGGGAGGGGCTAGGGCTAAGAAATCCACGATTAAAATAATCAAACCAAACCCGAATTACATTCTATCTGAAACGACAGACAGTTTTTTTTACAGACTAAGTACAGACGCAGGATATAAAATCTTGGCATAACATAACTGCCGTAATTGCCAGCAGGGTCTGCAGATGTCAATTCAAGGTAATTAGACTATTTTGGGTATAATTGGTGGTCTTTGCTCTGTTTAGTTGGAATGGTTTATTTTCGTCGTGGCTGTACATAACTTGTGGTATGTCTACGCTACCTACCTAGTTTGGTTAGTATAATGACTGAAAAATGGACTCACTGTTATCAGAATTGATATTCCAGAAAACATCCATATTCTTGCATAGTACAGTACTTACCATCTACTCCAAAGACAGAGTCTAGCATAACCCAGGTAGAATAAAATAGAATACGCCTTACAAAAGCCAAAGTTTATCTGATGTGGAAACGGTTCCCCCCGCCAGTCACTCAGGTCCATCCATTCAGTTGCCCGATTGGGAACAAAGTCCTACTCTCGATATACATACATTATACTATTTTGCCAGTGATCTTCTCGGATGGTTCTTCGGATATACACTCTGATAGGAAAGTGAACGAGTTTGTTTTCAAAAAAATGCGAGCCCTCAGCCACAACGTACGAAAGACGAATAGCTATCTACTTTCTCCTTCTCCAAATTGCAAGTGTTGATTGCAGGGTCAGGAACATAGCCAGTCATGGGTTCTATCTGCTGGTTGTCGGCGATTCCGAAGGCATAGTTCATCCTGCTATCAAATATAGACTGAATAGTAGGTGTAATGGATCCATAGGTTTCAAACTCGAAACTGGGTGTGAAGATAGTCCAATATCTCAGCTGTCGGCCTGACCGATACCAGCAGTAACGGTACCGTTCACAATAGACGAGCGTTGAGCTATGGTATTAGGACTATGCCGTTAGCTTAACAATAGCTTAATTAAGTCATGTTGACACCCGTTCCAGATAGGCTTTGCGTAGCAACTCAGTACTGTCTGTCGATATTATCTGTTGGTAGGCTTCATGAGAGGCTCTTACTATTGCCAGTCGCATCAACTGGCTTCAGTCTTACTCATCCTGTAAATCTAACCCAAGAATGATACTCCAACAGCCACCAATAACGGCTCTTCATTTCTCATAATCGAAAATCACCATCGGTGGGCGAATGTGGATAGCTGAGCTGCAAGGCTGGTCTTCGATCTGCAAAGAACGGACAGTCGATCTGCACAGGAGACTCAAACTCGTCCAATAACTGCCGGCATCCCACCGGAGAAGTCGACGATGGTGTCCCCAATGTTTCACCCCGTGCTGCTGCTGCCAGCCTGCCACAGCCCCGAGGCAAGACAAACGCAAGGATCGTCCTGTTTTCTGTGGGATCATTGAAACTCAAATATTCTTTTTTTTTTTCTCTCATTCTTCTTTTTTCCTTTTTCAAACATGACGGAAATGTAATGGGTGAAACATCTCCAGTACCGGAAGAAGGTTATTGAACCTCTGTATGGGCTATTAGTAATGGATTGACCAGGTCAGCCCAAAAGGTAACGACTAAGACACAAAAACAATGAGGGTAATAATGACCAGAACGGGATTGTTTCCTTGTTTTGCCGTTGACCAACCCTAATCGTTTATCGTTCAGGCCGGGAGAACGTTGAAAAGCTGAACAGACCCTGCACTCGCCCTAAGCGAAGCGCGCAGGGAGGCTGTACACAGCGACGATCGCGACACCAAAATAACAATCAGAGCGAGACTGGCGGGCTGAACCCCTGGCTAACAGCCCTAGATCATCACCATCATCATGACTATGACTATGGCAGCATGGACATCACCATCGGCATCGCCGTTGAGGAAACGTGCGTTGATGCCAAGGCAGTCGAGGGTCGGTGGGCCTTGTCTCTGTATGTTGAATGCACAAGAAAGCGACTATTGAGCCCAGCCTTCAGGGCTAAACCGCTGCAGGGTGTGTCATTTGCTGGCGCAAATGAGCCCAAGTCGGTTTCAACAACCTTAAGCACCCCGTGCGTGCAGTGATCGCAAAAGGCCCGGTGGTTGCCCGATGGTGCCCATAATACAGAAGCTTGGATGGGACATGCAAGGGTGCCACAGATGACAGTGTTTGCTGATCTGAAAATACTGTAATAAGATAAATAATAATAAACATAAACATAAACATAAAAAATAATAAAATCATGATCATGACGATGATTACTGTTTATAGCAACTAAGACGCGACCAATTGAGGATTGGTGTAGTCTGATGATGAGATCGTCGTGACATGGAGAGCTGAGCTGAACTGAATCAACAAACGGTTTTTCCCCAGCGTCAAGAAAAAAGACAAGAAAGATAGAATCGGATCACGGGGGAAAGTTGATCCCGGGGAGATGCACTTAATACAGCAGTATTTGGCATCTCATGGCCACAGTCAGAGTGGCTGAGCAAGACATTCTGCCCTTAGTGTCGGACGGGTTCCTGAGTAGACTGTGAGGTTGGGCTGTATGCAGGTATTATGTATGATGTAGGTAGTAAGGATTGCAGATGGCAGTGATTTCGGAATGAAATGATGCTTCCGAGGTAAGGTAGAAGAAGCATAGAATACTGTGGAATGTAGAGTATAATATTAAATGTTGATGCCTTATGCTATACAAAAGTCAAATCAGGTAACCGATTCACACCGCCGGCGAAACAAAACAAGAAGCGAAGCAGTGGAGCGCCGCGGTGGATCTTCGGTCGGGGTTTCGTAGCAGTTAGAAGTTGATGGAGAGCCGAACTAATAGGTGACAGTGATTTTTCCGAGCAATGGCCGATAATGTAGATAGCAGTTAAATAATATAATTTAACATTATATTATAATATTAAATTTAATTTAATGCCTTACTGACTACAGTGTAATATGTATGTTGTATGTTGCTGTAGTTGTCTCCGTGCTTCAAAGATTGCGGATCATTTCGGGGCCCACTGGCTGATAACCCTATGTGCAGTAAACCACCGCTCAACGTGGCAAAGGCTGGAATGTTAGTGCGGCACTGGCTGCTTCGAAGTGTCCAGTCTGTATCACTACCAGCTAGCATGTACTGCTCATTACACTGTGGACAGACGGCTGGTGATCCTGATCGATCTGTAGACTGTGAGGGATGTCATCAATCCATGGTTGGTTCTTTGTTTTCCCTCGCGATCTGCAGTCCTTAACTTTTTTTGTGACCTCATCCAAGCAGGCGGGACCTCTACAGTTTACTCCTCTGTTTAGGATGTCGAGTCGATGCTTCATGATGAACTTAACTTGAGTATCGTCTATTCTTGATCGATTACACTTACACTTGGATTTACTTGGTACTTTTACACTTCGTACTTTCCACTTACACTAAACTTTTATACACACTTACAGATAGCACTATGTATGTACCAAGTATACATATCTGACAGAGTGACAGCGCAGAGTATGACCACAACGTAGTGAGTGCATCGTGCCACCAGACAACCGGGATTACTACACCCTCTCTTACATCCCACGAAGGAATTGAACGGGCAAAACCAAACGACCCCTGTCAGTGGTCCCCCCCCCACTGATCTGGGCCAATGGGAATGATCGGCCCTTGCATGGTCTGGACACCAATGCAAGGCTTGCTATGTTTAGCACCCTAGATCAGCCGCTATCATGTCCGCCCGATCTGGCGGTCATCTAGTCCTCTTCCGGCCTAGCTTCGTATTAGAGCTGTTTAGCAAGGTAACCTAACTAACACTAATTCTCTCTCCTCCAGGAAATCCTATGGAGATATCCATGTATCCATCTATCTACCGGCCCGGTCTGATGATCAAGTCATCAGTGGCTGCCCATGGCATGCCATCAATGCAAGTCCAAGTATACGAGAATTCCAGCGCCACATGGTCTGACAGATTGAATGACTGCGGGTGTAAGGCTGCCAACCGTGTAAGCAGGTGAGCAGCATCAGCCCAGTCCAAATATAATCCGCATCACAATGCTGTAATGCAGCAGCTCGTGTGGGTGATGCATGGTATGATGGTCACTGGTCGTTTAGTCAGTTAGTAGAAGTTTAACTGGTGAGTTAGGACTTAGGATATTCTTAGTGTCGGCCCGGAGGATATCCATCTCCGTCCTATCCGATTATCAACAACAGACACCACCACAACCACCATCGTCATTATTTATTATTCTGAGATCATGAGGGATGGTGGGGAAGTACGGAGTAGATTGACCAAGGTGAGGGAATTTGGAGAGAAAAGCGCGCGACAGTCGCGATGCCAAACTTACTTGGGAAAGGTGTGCCAAATATCCACCGGACCCTAACCTGATAACCATCAGATGTAGTTTAGTGGTAGGTACCTAGTAGAGTACGGACCTACCTACTTGGTAGTAGCTCTGGGTATGTATAGAACAGGGCTAAACAAACTGAAGTGAAACGCTATTGATTTTTCTTCAGCCGAATTAAGACAGTAGAAACAATGGATGCTTGATTTCAGTGGCAGACAGACTGGCAGTACAGTAGAGGATTACCGGATTGGGGGGGTGGAGGGTGGAGACTAGGGGAAGCCAAAAAGAAGCTACTAATAATACAATCCGCGCTCTCAGTCGCTGTGCTCTGGCTGTCTCCAACGAACGGCGCCCTTCCACGGTTCCATGGACTGACCGTTCGATGGAGGGTTCTCTCTCTCTCTCTCTTTTTTTTTTTTTTTTTTTTTTTGGCTCATTCTCACTCAGTTCTTCGAGTTTTGATTGGCAGGGGTACTGGGTGGGGCAACATCCAGGGCCAACAGGAAACGACAAGTTAAAAAAAAAGAAAAACCCCAGGGAAAAAACAAGAAGAGGCGGTGCTCCAGGCTCCCTTCCTAACACAGTTTAGTGCACGAGCACAAAGTGGAAGGAAACAATTAACAAACCACCTTTTGATACTAAACAAGTACCAGACGACTTGCCTTCCGTATTTTCGATACGCCCCCCCTTTGACCCCATGCTTTTTTCTTTTCTTTTTTTTTTTTTTACTACATAGATTACCCACTTCGCCCAGCGGCGTAAACCGCCCAAAGGGTGTTTTCCCCGAGACTTCGATTGCTATTCTTTGCTCCTGCTGCACCCTTGCTAGTATTTGGCTGGTATTATTGATCTAACCTAACTCCAACAGAGGGAACTCCCTTTCCCACCCCCCCTCCTCCGTCCCACCCTTTCTTTTTCTCCCCCCCAAAAAGAAGAACTGTAGTAAAATAAAATAAAATAAAATAGAGAAAGTTTAAAATAATAAAAAGAAGTAATACCTCGGAAGAGAAAAGACAATAGTAGAAGACTGGAGACTGCAGCCTTCGGAAGCTTTCCCAGCTCAGGCATATCAACGGTTCAGATACACTACGCCAGAACAAACCCAAGTTTGGCAGCAAAACAGACAGACTCGATAACAGTAACAGGCGGAACTAACCACCTGCTTTATTAACCAGCCAACCAAAATGCACCGGTGCTTGCTCCATCGTAAAAATAAAAAAAAAAAATACTCCATCGCAGTAATAATAATACATTGGATCTCGAGGTTTATACCTTATGCATGCTGGTGTGCTACCAACGGTGGCTCCCCCCGAGTACTTTTTTATACTGTGCCCACTGCTCTCTTAATTCTATGTCACTATCGCCATACTATACTTCCTGCTCACTAACCTCCCTCTGTGCATCCCCCGCCACGCTTTCCCACTAGTCCGTTTCCTCCTCTTCTCTTCGGATTCTTCGTCTTCTTTTACTTCTGAACTAGTGCAGACTTGGGAGGATCAAGTGGACAAGGCCTCTTTTTTTTCTTTTTTCTTTTTTTTTTTTAATCCCAAAAAAAAGTAATATATTATTCTCTCGTCATCCATCAAACTTCAACTGCCGGCCTTCTTTTCTTCTCCATCTCCATCTCCATCTTCCTTTATTATTCAACCCTCCCCCTCCTCCTTCTTCTCCCCCTCATCCTCTTTCATCTCCCTCTTGCTGTGATGACATCTTGAGTGTGCCTCTGCCCTTTTCGTTTCCTTTTTGTCTTATATATTCATTCGCTCGTCTCTCTCACACGTTCGCTCGTCACACTCGCTTTCGGCTTCGACTATATTATTCCATCATCACGTTCGCTACGTTTGTTGGTCTGAAATACGAATACACAAAAAAAAGCAAAAGAGGAATTCCATCAAACAAGAGGTGGATAGGGTTGTCTGTTTTATTGCCATAACGTCTAATATCTAATCCATCCCGATATCAACGCCGCAATCAGACGAAAACAAAACGGAAAAGCAATAAAAAACAAGTCGACTGGAATTAGAAAAAAAAAAAAGAAAAAGGATTCGGGGAATATTGAATTGACTGACATTCAATATTGCCTCCAACGAACTGGTTGATCCTCGCGTTTGCCCCTCGACAGTAGAAGCAACCCCCGCAGACCCGTTTGTCTCCAGCCCGGAAAGCTGTACCTTTGGGATCTTCGAATTTTGCTTCCTCTATCCGGTTGCGACTATTTTTCTATTCTCTTTTGAGAGATCTGACGACAACTCATTCAGGAGGTGATCTGGACCAAAGGGATTCTCGGCCTGTCTTGACTGTCTCGGTTGAGAACACCCATCCAATCCGCCCACGACTAGCTCGGAACATCTCATCTCATCTTACCTTTCAACCCTTTGGGAAAGTGGGAATTCATCTGGATCCTTATTCTTCCGTCAAGGTTGGTTTTTTCTCCCTCTGCCTCTTTGCCCCCTTTGCCGCGAATCCTTGGGTGCCTTGCATCCGTCTCCTTCCTCCCTCCGGCGTCCCCTTCATCTGAACTCTCCTTGCTTCTCCAAGGTCGTGCCTCTCGGAAGTAAAGGC